GTCCGAGCCAGGGCTCATATCACAGTGAAACGGGCGCTCCTCTCCAAACCCAGGATGAAGGTGATGAGGAGGGCGAACTATGGATGTTGGAGAAGGCCAACGCCCGCTTGGGGAAGCGGAAGAGGGCACCTGATTTGATCGGTGCGGATGGCCAGCCATGGGATGTAGAATTGCGCAACCCGAAGAGGCGGGCTTGGATGGAATTGATGGGTTCTGATTGAGGCCTGATGAGATGGGGTCCACATGTTAGGGGTATGCTTGGTTGGTCAAGGGAGTAATCAGACGGGTTTGCCGGTCTGACTCCTCACTTTATAGATTTCTGTTTTCGATCGAGGGCTTCGATCGCCACCGGAGGGAACTAGACAGGTATCTTTTCTTTCCTTCTTCTTCCTTTCCCGTCCTCTTCTTGTTTGCATTGTCCATAGATGACACTTATTACTAAGAAAAAGGGAGATAGACTATAGATTAGACTTACTTGGCATCAAGTGTGGATATGTGTCTATCACTCGAAATGATGACTTGATGTACGTCGGCATGTGCGGCTAACGTTGGCGTCGGAATAAGCCCCCGGTTCGGCAAGCGTTTGTTTGCTCCTAGGACCCTTCATGTTGAGTACATTGATGGTGAATCATTGTTCCCCGAGCTGCCACCTTGCCCTCCAAGAGAGAATGCCCCTATGAACCATCCAACGCGAGGCATCAAATGCGGGTACCCACTCGAAAACGCCTCTCTCTGACCAGCAGACGAGCCTATTTGTTCAATAATCAAGAATAGTCGGCAGGCTCTTCGGTCACTCCGAACCCGTGACGCGACAATAAGGAGGTGCCGTGGCGGCTCTGAAGCTAGGACTAAACTAGGCTTGGCCTGAACTAGGGTCATGGTAGAAGATGCACTACTGTAACATGGGGGAGAGGAGGATCAATTGATCTTTTGTTTCTGTCGTGGGGGAAGGGGCATTTACACAACGCTACTTCGTAGTTTCAACGTCGGGACAGCCATCAAATCTCCTAGTATAGCACTTCGTAGGATATGAAGCAGGCAAGTCGAGAGACTTCTGAAGCCGTGACGGCATTTCGTCAATGCTATCCCTCTATCTTAACTAGTGTAGTGAACGTGCCAACCCAAACGCTCTGGCAGTTTGCCGAACCAGCTTTAACTTCTTCAAGTTTAACGGTTCATGTAAGGCGAAAGAGGCATATTGGATACGCGTCGATTAGTCCTCTTACGACTCGGCTTCGGAGCGTGTTCAACATCTTTTGGCCCCCACTTCCAGGCTGGTTGCGAGCGAGATGCATGCGCCCGCTTGAAGGAGGAAAGAAGTGGTGTCCAGGGTTTGTTGTCAACTCCCAGTGGCCACCTGGATGGGACCATTTCACCTCACACAAGCTTCTTGGGGGAGAAGGGGGGAGGAAGGCGATTGGACTGGGGCTGAACTGGAGCTCAACAGTCAGTCCTTGTCCATGTCTGTCTATCCGTCCATCCATCACCCATCACCCACGGCTGGGGCTATGTTTAGTGCTAGTTTATGCCACTCTGCGGGGTGCAATCAATCGAATCGTTCATCAATTAATGTTTCTGGGGCATTGGTGGTGGTGGGGAGGTATTGATTCCACTGCATCCGAGACTGCAGGCGCAAGGTGTTGCCTTGCAGCGGCGATTCCGAGCGGTTGCGACGACGTCAAGGTTAGATGCAGGTGGTCAAACAACATCGGGATTCAATGTGGGATGCTGGATGCTGGATGCTGGATGCTGGTAGCGAGTCTAGTGTCGCCCGCCAACAGTCGTCGCCCGTTACCGTTAAGCCAACAGACGTTGATCATTGATCTATTGCCAAGCTCATCAAATGATTGACTGGGAGAGCATGGAGGAGTAATCCGCAATTGCACGATTTCATGGATCAATGACATCGGGTCCTGGACCGGACCGGACTGACCTACTGCTGCCTATGAGGAACTTCAAATGCTGTTTTCGCCCAGCCGTTTCTATTTTGGTGGACATTGTTTCGGAGGTACATATATGCAGGGTGACCGCCCTCATTGTTCAAAAAGTTTAAAGGCGATCAAGACCAGCTTCAAGTTGAGTGAATCAATTTGACCTGATTGCGTTAATCTGCTCCGATCCCCTAAAAAGTGTGACGCTGCAGGTGAGGAGAGGCTCGATGATCAATGAACTTGATGGAAACGCAACAACACAGGTGAAGAAACGACACACCAGAACCACGTCCTCGGGATTGTGACTGGGACCCAGCACCTCCTGTCAGTCATATTACTTCGTACTCCCCAGATCTCAATATCCACTACCTCCACTCGCTCACACGACACTGTAACAGCCTTAACACATTGATACTTGGAACTTAGACTGACGAGCTAACTGTTTTTCCCAGACAAACAAAGCACACAATCGATGATCCCGGGATCAAATTGATTCATCCCTTCCCGTCCGTCATTTGATTAATTGCCTCGAGCCCTGGCCCAATCCACCCCACGGACCCTCTGACCCGGACTTTGGATACACATCAATCAGTGTACGAAGATACTCCGAGGACAATACCAATCTGAGGTTTGGCCCCCAGATGAGCAGGGGGATCAGTGATATACCGACCACAGCCAAAAATCGAAGATATCAATGCCCTATGAGCTCCTCCCTCAGTATAGGTGGAACATCGAAACAAATCAAGATTGATCTGGTCCTGTTGGCCGGCGCCATTGGCGGTTTGATCAAGAACTGGCGACATCACTTACGCTACCTCAAAGTATCAGCCAAGCCATTTGATCAACCATCATTATCGTCCCCCCCCATCCCTTGATCCCTTGATCCCTCCATCCCTTGATCCGCACCGATACGATACGATACCATCTAGAGTGGTTTTTGATAACCAGGAGACCGCCCGGAAGGCAGATGCGATACGACGGACAGTGGCTCGGCGGCGATCAACAGGGCGATCCATCAGACCATCATCTATCAACTCTCCGGCTCGTTGAGTTGCAGTTGAGCATCTGACTCTCAATACGAAGTATATGGAGGGAGGGGAGAGTGCGACCAACTCTAACCCTCCAATTTCGAATTCTCCAAGATTTTGGGGGCTCAACGATATTTCGCGTCATACCTCGGTACCTTATCGAAGCATTGGCTCTACTTGTAGGTTAGCCTAGAGTCCAGACCATACAACCGTTCGATCTACTCATCTCAGCCACTTCTTTCCATTGCCTAGTCTAGCTCTCCCTGCCTTCGTTGATCTAGGTCCACGGCAATATTCACACGGTCAAGCCCAACACCCAACTTTCTTCTCCGGGTTCTCATCCCCAAACATATCCAACCTGGAATAATCCAACCAACTCAGACTCTGTCCGCTTCCACTGACCGAAACACCCCCACCTCGGAATCTAGCTCCAGCCATTGCCGGGTTTCGATTCACCCACGCCGCCGCACTAGCAGCTGAAGGTCGGATTTGGAGCCCGGAGACGACAGTGGAAGCCACCAAGATCGAGGCAACGCGCAAGCAGGAACCCACACGGCCCAACACCCTGGGAACTCCTGGCGAGGTAATAGCCTATCAGGATCTGTTTGGATTGCGACTTTCGGAACCCATTTAGTGTATCGAGCGCACCCAGCAGCCTTGCAGTAGCCACACGAAACGAGCCGCTCAAGTTACATCAAGCCTTCTCCATCACCTTTATCACCTCCCTTTGGTCCTCCCCCAGTCCCAGCCCCAAGATATCCAATCCGGGACAGTGGCAATCGTTGCATGGATCGGGTGTTTACACAACCTTGCATATACATACACATTGCATACTCACGTACATGCTTCAGGGGTAAACTGCTTTCCTTCATCCTATCACACCGAACATTCGAGCCCCAGCCGCACTCATATTCATTCCCCGGACTCGCAATTCACATTACAAGTACTTGGTAGTGTCGCGCGATACGATTTTGATTTTAACCATTTTCTCTCTCTCTCTTTTTTTTTTTTTTTTTTTTTTTTTTTTTTGGTTCTCGAGACTCTTTACCGAAAGCAAAAATCCTCAAGTACATGCGAAATCTCTCGGTTCTAGCCTTGCTTGGGTGAAACTCAATTATCTACCGAGTATCACGCTAAGTAGCGTTTCGCCGTTAACTTCGCACTTGTCTCCAGCCCCGACGCCACGAGCCGACAACTACTTCGTACTTTGTCTTGCGTGGGCTATAGCTCCCGAGACTTATCGATCGCATCAATCCGTTTTTGACCCCGTCATCTCCGTCGGCGAAACAACAACTTCCCTTCTCGTCCTGTTACGTTACACGGAATCTAGAAGCCGCGACCAGCAGCGAAGAGGAAGCTTACTCTGTGTCTTCAATTGGTCATCTCTGCTGCATCCCGGAGAACTCAGTCCGCCTGGTGTAGCGCCAACCGTGTCATCCTGTTGATGATGGGGACAGACAAAGGCGGCACCGCCCCAGAAGGGGTAGCAGCGCCTGCGCTGCAGGTAATTGTATTGGTATGTTTTCCCCGTCGATTATTCTCCACAGCCATCGACGACATAGATGTATCACGCTTGGATTTCTCTTCTCCCTGCCCTTCTCAACCCTAACGGCCTGCCCTTGCTTTTTCGTTGCACTATCATTATTTATCTTAAGATAGATTCCTTCCATCATGCGCTATGCGCCTCCCTTGCTCCGTGTTCAATGATTCCCTCGGAGGCATCGGATAAGGCAGGATGCCGTAAGCATCAATTACACAAGCGTTAGAATGCGCCTGCTTCTCACAAAGCGGCTGCAACTTGCTGCTACCCTTGGGACTTCCTTAAACTTTAAGGGGCCTTTCTTGAACAATGCGAGATGGCGTCAATTCAATTGTTTCATTGTTGTGACTGCGCGAGTGCCAGCCCACGAGATGATTCATTTACTACTTCCGGCCCGACCATTTGCGCTCCCGGATCCCTCCCTGCCCGCCTAGTCAAGGCCCACTGAACTCCATATCGGACCCGCCGCGAGTCTTGCGATTCAGCGCGGCATGTTGCAAAATGCTTTCGTCCCTTTTGCGATCCGTCATTTCTCGTTATCGTTCAATCTCAAATCATTCCGAGTGCAGCGGCTAACCGGGATGGCAGGGATCGGGTGGCGGCCCCATCGAGCACAACACGACCGCTTTCCTCGTACGCTCTCTAGCATCCGGCTGGCATCGAGGCTCCATCATCGCTGTCGATGCCGGCGTCCATCTCGGAGCAATCGCGCGCATCCTCCAATCAACCCAACCGAAACGCTTAGGGACCGACGTACCCCTCCCTCACATCCTAACCACCGGGCCCTTCGCCGGCCTCGAAGTTCATAGCGCCTGTCCCAACACAAACGCTTCCCACATCGCTCAGTCTCTCATCGACACGTATCTCATCACCCATCCCCACCTAGACCATATCAGCGGCTTCGTTGTCAACACCGCCGGCTTCCCTGGCACGAGACCGAAACGATTAGCGGGGCTACCGAGCACGATATCCGCATTCAAGGCGCACATCTTCAACAATATTATCTGGCCCAACTTATCCGACGAAAACAATGGCGCCGGCTTGGTCACGTATATGCGTCTCGTCGAGGGTGGCAGCCCAGCATTGGGCGAGGGTGAGGAAAGGGGCTATCTCGAAATCAGCGACGGCCTCGCCGTGAAGACGTGGAGTGTCTCCCACGGCCACTGTATGGAGAAGCATAGCCATCGCGGGTCGCAAAGTAGTCAGGGAGGCGCCGCAGCACCTGCCTCTCGTTTCGGCAGCGCAGACGCCTCATCCGTTGCATCCCCTCGCCACCTCTCGTGGTCTCACTCCCTGGGTCCCAATTCCTTGTCGACGCTGCCCATGTCTCGCATAGGAAACCTTCTAAACCAACCTTCAGGTGCCGCTGCGGCCGCGCAAGGCGTCTCCGGCATCAGCAGCGACCCCAGCGCCAGGGTATGCGTCTACGACAGCAGCGCCTACTTCATCCGCGACGTCGTTACCGGCAAAGAAATCCTCATCTTCGGCGACGTCGAACCCGACTCCGTATCCCTCTCCCCCCGCAATCTCCGTGTCTGGCGCGAAGCCGCCCCCAAAGTCGCTGCCGGCACGCTTTCGGGCGTCTTCCTCGAGTGCAGCTACGACAACGGGCAGCCCTTAGATAGGCTTTTTGGGCACCTGAAGCCGGCTTTCATCATCGAGGAGCTGAAAGTTCTCGCCGCTGAGGTGGAGGAGGTCAAGCGCGCTACTATGCGGGAATCTAGGAAACGTAAACGGAGCGTTGCGTACCCACCCGCCGGTACCCACGAACGGGACTGCGAGGCGGATTCGGGCGATATCGCTGACGCCGGGCTAGCGGTGAGGAGGAGGATCGCCGAGGAGCCCATCAGTCCCAGGAGTATGAAACCCCTACAGGTCCCGGGTGCCGTGCCGTGCCATAACGACTTTAATCTCGATAATGGGAGCACCTCGACTGCGCCGGGGGCGCAGCGCATGGCGACTCCCAGCTCCGACGTGGATCACCGCGAAGCCTCCAGCCACACCAACAACAACGGTCATGCTGCGGCAGCCCCTGCTGCCGAGTCGTCGGGTTGCGCGCCGCTCACGGGCTTGCGCGTCGTTATCATCCATGTCAAGGACAAGCTTATTGACGGGTTTATCCCTGGTGAGCGGATATTGAGCGAGTTGCAGGAAGAGGAAGCGATTGAAAATCTTGGGTGCGAGTTTATCATGTCGAGCCCGGGACAGAGCCTCTTTTTCTGAATTGGGAGAGAGGTTCGGGACGAGGGACGAGCTACAGGGCGCCCACATTACATTTCTGTTCAGATACGAGAGGGGGACGATTTTGGTTGAAAAAAAATGGGTATTGGCCGGTGAAAGCTTGGTTTGTGTCTATGATGCAGCACGGCGTTCAGGGAGGCGGACATGTCGTGTTCGATGTTTTATTTTTTTTTTCATTATATCACGATATGTTCCTGCAGCGTTCAGGTTTTCTCTCTCGAAGTTGGGCGGGTTTTATGATGACCCTTTCTATTTCTAGTTATAGATACTAGTCTACTTGTATTACTAGGCGTCTATGGAGTTTCATAATCCATGCTTTCTATGAGTTGCTTTTTGTTTATAAAAATGAGTTTCTTGAGCGTCGGTTCGGTTTCGTCACTTCGTTCTCTCACGAGGAAGCATTTTTCACGTCAGCATCCCTCGCAAGCTTCTCATACCCCTCGCTACCCCCAATGTCCTTCTCAAAGTCAGGCCGCGTGATCTCAAAGGCCTCGTTTAACCTTCCGTACATGATGCCTCCGAGACGGCTGACGGGGCGAAGAACCTATTTTGGCGTTGTTAGCAAAGTGGTACTGTTTTCCCCCACCATTGGACCTAGCCCCCCCTTTTCGCGGAACTTACAGCTGGGTCGACAATACTCCTCTCCTCATTAATAGCATCCTCCCTAACCCAAAACCTCGTCCCCTCGATAATAGCCATAACGCTCGACGTCTGACCCGGTCTCGACTTGCTCTCAAACTCCCTCACACTCTCCAACCTTCCCTCAATGGAAAACACAGCCTCCTTGACTCTCGCGCAGCCCACATCCAAACCCTCATAAACGGGCGTCAACCCAGAAATAGCCCACTCGCTCGCCGACGGCGGCGCGTTCACAGAGCAAGCATTCGCAGCCTCTACGAACCCTTCCGAAATGATGTTGATGACGCACTCGCGCGACTCGACAAGGTTGCGAAGCGAGTCCTTAGCCGACTGGAGATCGCACACGAAGCTAACGGCGAAGAGCGGCGGGTCATGGTTGACGAGGCCGAAGTAGCTAAAGGGCGCGAGGTTCGTCTCGCCCGAGGGGGAGCGCGTGGATAGGAAGGCGATAGGGCGGGGGATGACGGAGCTGATGAGGAGCTTGTAGTTGAAGTTGGCGGGGCGGCCCGGTTCGTACGGGTCGATGGAGATGTGTTGGGGTTGTTTGGCTCCTTGCGTCTCGTTGGGGCCGGTGCCGAACTTCCAGGATGGGTCGACAGTTTTGGTTAGGTGGAACTTGGCCTTCGCGTCCCAGTCTTCGCGGGTGGCTTCGACTTTCTTGAAGTCGGGGTGGGGGTTGTGTTTCGTTACGGCGGCGGGGGCCATGGTGGGTTTTTTGCTGAGCGTGGTGAACCGGGAGGAGATGGTGAAGGGGTAGACGAGGGCGCGGATGAGGAAATCGGATCGACGCGACGGAGGCATAGGGGAATTTTTTGGAGAAATTCTGGAGGAATTACTTCCCTTTTTGAAGGTGCGGCCGTTCGGGAGGGTTCCGAATGGCGTCTTTTAGAGAGAGCTTTGGGAGCTCGGATATTCCGCGTTGGGTTTGTAAGTAATATATGACTAAACTGTTTGGGATTGGTCTACGATATAGCTCGGCAAGGCACCCGGGATGTTTTGGAGATAAGATCAACGATAGACTCGGGTAACACGCAAGGAGAGTTCGGAAAGATCAAGATGCAATTGAAAAGTGGATTGCGCGGAGGGGCACTTCCCTCGTTTGGTCCCACGTGTAAGTCACTATGGATCTGGATAAGAGGGGAAGTAGGGATCTGCAAGGGGGCCTAGTCGAATCCTTTTTTGCGCCGCCCAATTGTCCTCATGGGCACTTGGACTTGATCGCACAGTGACGACATTGCTCTCTTCAACGCTTGGAAGGACCTCCGGGTTCCGGGTTCCGACTTCCAGGTTGAATCTTGGAAGGGGCATGAGAAGGGACTGGGAAGGAGGGGCTATTCCGGTGGCGTCAAAGGGTGAAAATGATGCAACTTCAGCGTTGTATTTAATCCAGGTCCGAAGGAGAAGGTACCTACCAGGATGTCTTATCTTCACGTGCCTCCTTGCGATAAGCTAATTTTTTTGTGATGCAACAGCAGTCACCACAGAGACAACGATGAATTACTTCGGCCTCTTGACAAATTTTCGAGGCCATCCACTATGCATCTTTAGTGGAGAGGCCAAAACTCGGGGTCAATGTCCTTCCGGAATTTAACACAAAAGGCTCTCTCAAGGCGACTTCCCCTCACAAACCCGACGCCCAGCAAACCAGTCCGCAAACGACCACCACGCTTAGCGGTTAATGTTTCGAGCTATTCGCCGTCTCCGGTGAAGCTCGTCAAAGTAGACCCAAGCGCCTTCGGAAATAGACGTGTAACCGCCATTGAATTCGCGAAGCCGAGCGCCACATTTCCATATTTTCCCAGCAACACGGTCTTTGTCCTCGGTCTGCCGCGAAGCGAAGAAACCAAGTCTCCGAGAGTGTACGCGACGACCAAAAGTGCAATGACGAGCCACGTCGAGATCCTCACCACGCCCACGGCGGATACGCCCGGCGGCGCCCTATATATCCACTTTGACAAGCGTCGCTACCTCGTCGGTAGAGTCGCCGAAGGCGTCCAGAGGGCTTTCATCCAGCGCAAGCTCCACGCGTCATCCCTGGAGCAGATATTTGTCTCTGGAGAGATCAACTGGGAGACGGTCGGTGGCTTGCCAGGGTTGCTAATAACCGTGTCCGATGTCGTCGCCGCAGCCAAGCAGTCGGCGGCCGAACAGAACAAGGCGCGAAGGTCCAAGGGCTTAACGGAAAATGCGAGGGCTGCCACGGAGCGGTTGCATATTCACGGAGCGGAAAATTTGAGTTATACTTTGGCCACTGCGAGGAACTTTATCTTCCGAACTGGAATGCTGATCAAATCCTATGAAGTGTGCGAGGACCCAAGGTTAGAAGATGGCAACAGCACCGTGGATCCGGACTGGGAGGATGATTGTTTGAGGGTATGGAAGGTCCCGCTTTACAAGCAGTCGCCGACCAAGAGGAGAAGAAGAATGGTAACGAGCGAAGACGACGCTAGCTCCGAAGGTTCCACAGAGCTGCCCCTTCGCAGCAGGCGAAATTCTGAGGATTACCGAGCTCTGTCTGATCTCGTCGAGAGCATGTTTAACTCGACTTGGCGCATGGACGCCCTCGTGCCAGCGAAGCTTCATAGCGTCGTGCTTCCCGCCAAGATATTTGTCCGCGGGGAGCATGGAGATATCCACACATATGCCGGTCCTTTACCTGGGGAAACGAAGGACGTGCCCGATATCGATGTCCTCGTTAGGGAACCCTGGCCGGCCGCTAAAATCCACACTCTTCCGCCAACAAGTCACTCCTCCCAATCTATGTGCTATATCTTCAAGAACCATCCACGGCGTGGAAAGTTCAAGGCTAACGTGGCCAAGGAGCTCGGGGTGAAGCCCGTCGACAACAAGAAGCTCGTGAATGGAGAATCCGTTCCTGGCAAGGACGGAACGATAGTTACGCCCGACATGGTACTTGAGCCAACAGTAAAGGGAAATGGCTTCGTGGTCGTAGATATACCTGACATGGCCTACGTTCCGTCATTTTTGACCCGCCCAGAGTGGACCAATGCCGAACTCATGGATGGTGTTGGTGCCGTCTACTGGATACTGGGCCCGGGTATCATCTCAACACCCGAGGTACAAGAATTCATGAGGGAACGGCCAAATCTGAATCACGTTATTTTGTCCCCTGATACGTGCCCAGATATGATCGCTTTCGAGTCCCACGCCGCTCTATTAGCAAAACTCCAGCGAGTCGACGCAGACAGGTTCCCACCTCTTTGGTACAACAACTCGACCCCCAATCTCGGTACGAGCGTCGTGCCTTACCTCACTGGTCGGACTGGAAAGAGGGTTAAGACGATGCCGCAGCTTCAAGTTGAAGACGTGGGCATTGTCGACTTTTGCAACCTCGCCGAAGCCGCTACCAAAGTCAATGACGACGTCCTCAAACTAGCCACGAAGGCGCACGCCAAGGTTTCGGACTCAAAGTTCCAACTATGGGTGGCGGAGAACGAAAGGGACATTCCCAACAAAGATACGGAGATCACACCTCTCGGAACCGGCTCTGCTGCGCCTTCCAAGTACCGTAACGTGTCGTCCACCCTCATCAGGGTCCCGGGATACGGCAGCTATCTCCTCGACTGCGGGGAAAACACGCTGGGCCAGATGAGGAGAGCGTACGGATACGAGGAGACGGCACAAATCCTGTCCGACCTACGATGCATTTTCATCAGTCACATGCACGCCGACCACCACCTTGGCGTTGCCAGTGTCATCTCGGCCTGGCAGAAGGAGACGCAGGGGAGGTCCGTACTCTCCATCTCATGCACGGAGCAGATGCGTCGATTCATTCAAGAGTACGCCCAAGTTGAACCGATTAACCTCGGCAACCTCCGGTTTTACGGCGACGACCACTCGGACACCGACTACACGCGAGAGTTTGAACCCGGTGACCCGTCGGGCCTGGCTAAGCTTGAGCGCGTTACAGTTGTGCACTGCAAGTCATCCCACGCGGGTATCCTAACGTGGTCGTCCGGCCTCAAGATTGCCTACTCGGGTGACTGCCGCCCTAGCCACCGTTTCGCGCTCAGGGCTCAGGGCGCCACGCTCCTGATCCACGAGGCAACGTTTGAGGATGACAAGGCCGGTGATGCCAAGGCTAAGAAGCATAGTACGATGTCGGAGGCGTTGGGTGTCGCGGAGAAGATGCAGGCGAAGAGGGTCCTCTTGACACACTTCTCGCAGAGGTACGCGAAGCTTGCTACGAACGAGGATAAGGGTACGGTTAAGGAGGGCAGCAGTACTACGGCGGGGGTGGACGGGAAACCCGTCAATGATAGAGTGGTGTTACATGCGTTTGACCAGATGAGGGTCAAGTTGGGTGACTTTAGGAAGGCGGAGGCGTTTTTGCCGGCTCTTTTCAAGCTTTTGGAGGAGGAATCTTGAGACTTTTTTTTTTTTTTGATGTGCGTATCGGCACCTCTTGTACAGTACTACCTGGAACCTTTCTACTATTGTTGTATTAAGACAATCCCGAGAAAAGAATTTAGCCTTCCGTTCCGAGGGCTGGTTGGAATCGACTGAGGTTTCCTCTGATGGCCCTCTCACGTTCCGTGTAGCGTATGCTTCAGTGTGGTGTAAGTCAAGCTGCCCGTTCCTGCTCCTACGAGCTAGAGAGATTGAGGATATGAAACGAGCAAGCATGCAAGGACCCATCAATCCAAGGAGTCTAAATATTGAAGTATGACAAGTGTTCCCAGTCAACGAAGCCGTTGAGTTGGTGCTGCGTTTATGAGTACAACGAGGAGCACCGCTTCTTGAAGTACACTTGTATAACTGCAGTCAACTGCTTAGTCAGGCCAAAGTACGAAGTAGATGTGGTGGCTGTTGTGACTCGAGCTGGACTTTTTTGACTCTTAAAAAGTGCCCCGCACATTTGGCTTTTTATCAGGGCCTTATCATAAAAAATCCATGGAGGGGTAACTTTTTTTCTTTCCATATGCTATTTTCGGTTTCTCGCTTATCCTATCCTTCATTACACGAGAAACCAAGAAACAACGCCGCCCGACTTACAGCATACGAGAGAAACGATTTACGGAAAATATTTCTACGTTATTGTGGACTAGAGATAAAACCAACTGCGAATATCCGAAAACGAAGAGGGGACAAAATGGCCGACGTAGCAACACAGCCCACGCCGGAACCCACGCCGGCACCGGCTCAGGAACAACAGACGCAAGAGCAGCAACCCCAAGGCGGTAACCGTCCGAACGGCGATGACTTGGTACCAGATCTCGAAGGCTTCGCCATCTCGCGACGTGATCAAATCGACAGGTCCATGCAGACGTCAGAGCTCACGCAAAAGGACAAGGCGACGAGAGCCACTAGGCAACAGGTGCTAGACGACCGGACAGACGCCGTCCTGCGAGATCTTATCCGGCTAGAGTACGTTTCGGAGATTCACGGTGTAGTAAGCACGGGCAAGGAGGCAAACGTATACGGCACACTCCTACTGGACCGCCATGGCAGCTCGACCTACCGAGCGCTCAAGATTTACAAGACGAGGATCCTAGTCTTCAAGGATCGAGAGCGGTACATCGAGGGCGAGTTCAGGTTCCAAAAGGGAGGATCGTCGAAGGGCTACGCAATGGTGCAGCTGTGGGCCCAGAAGGAATTCAGAAACCTCTCGCGACTGCACCAGGCCAAGATACCCTGTCCCGAGCCAGTCGTGTTGCGCGGGCACACTATACTTATGGAGTTCCTGGGCCACCGAGGTATTTCGTATCCGAAGCTGAGCGATGCCGTGCTCGAGGGGGATGATGTGGATGAGCAGTGGAGCCGGTTGTACGTGCAGCTTCTCGGTTACATGAGGCGCATGTATCACATCTGCAGGCTAGTACACGCCGATCTCAGCGAGTACAATATTCTCTACAATGATGGCACCCTCTACGTCATTGACGTGTCGCAGAGCGTGGAACACGACCATCCAAAGGCGCTCGAATTCTTACGCATGGACATCAAGAATGTTGGGAACTTCTTCCGACGCCGCGGAGTTGCTACGCTGAGGGATCGGGCGGTGTTTGATTTTATTTTCGCAAAGGACGGTCCGCTTACGGAGCCCGAGCTGACTGAAGAGATTGAGAGGCTTTGCCGTGAGCAGCCCACGGCATCTAAGGAGGAGGGTGATTTTGGGAACGAGGATGTCGACACGGAGGTCTTCAGGAACCAGTATATCCCTAGGAATGTGCATGAGATTTCTGATCTAGGAGATACCATCGACCCCGACGACCCGCTGATCCAGCATCTTATTAAGACCAAGAATGATGGGGCGGAGGCCGACGGAGACGAAGCAGGCGCAAGTTCAGACGATGATTCCGAGGGTGGTGGTGTTTCTCTCGCTTCGGGAGAGGAGGATTCCGATGAGGATGACCGGGGCAAGATGAAGACGCCGAGGGGCCACAAGTTTGAGGACCGGGATGAGAAGAAGGCGAGGAAACAGGCGGTGAAGGAGGCGAATCGCGAGAAGAGGCTGAAGAAGATGCCGAAGCACGTCAAGAAGCAACTTATTTCTCGGTCGTCGAGGAAGTAGTTGTTCTTACAAGGGAAAAAAAAAAAAGGAAAAAAAAGTGACTCTTTGTGGATCAAATAGGTTCAGGCTCAGGGACAGGCCGGAGTTAGAGATGGTTCAGCATATCGTATGGTTTATGTTTCCATGTTTTTAACGAATTGACGTTTTGGTTTTCTAGAGATGGGAAATGGGAATGGAAAACGATTCAGCCTATGACCCCTTCCTCCTGCATCGCGAATTCGTCCGGCCAGCATCTTGGAATATCCTTAAGGGACATCAAAGAGGCCATACTGATGCCGACCCTTTCCCAAGTCCTAGTCAAGGTTCGACGCGGTCCACTAACCAACCCCATTTCGAATGCCCAAGTGAAACAAAGCATAGGCATCAACGGCGCAGAACGGGAAAGCAAGCCATCCGGGCCACCCGGCATCGCATGATTCAAAGTGGCAGAGCAATGGCGAAACACAGAGGCGATGTAGCACAACGAAGAAGACGACATGGGAAACGAACACGAGTCAAGCCCTAACTAACATGACCCGAAGCCAACGCATGCCTCGTTTCCAGCAAAGTGCAACATCGCTACTGCTAACATCTGGTGCAATCAGAAATGGAGCCGTTGTTGAAGTCAGATCCCACAAGGCACGACTTACTTTAACCAGGTCTTGGGAGCTTGCTGGCCCCAACATCGGGGACTGCTGTAGAGCCGCACTCTGGGCTGAATTTTCCTCCGCCGGATTTGTGGAAGAGGGAGAACTGATTGATCTTTCGTTGACCAGTATTATAAGGCTCTCTGGCCCTTCCACGAATCGGCTACTGGTCTGGAATACGTCGACACTCCCTGCGACATCCCGTTTGAAGCCAGGGAAGAGGCGGCAGGTCCGTAGATGGGCCGAGCCGAAGACGCTAATTAAAGGTGGAAGAATAGAAAAGACGCAATATCGGCCTAGCGCATCACGGGCCTGCCTGCTTGTTGATACTACGGAGGTGGCTACGTATGTAGTTGAAGGGAAGTTGCATCTTTCTTCCAGAAGGAAGCCCCGGACTAATCCTCCTTCGCCCGCCTTGCAGTCGGCTTTTCGCTTGTTTATGCTACCGCTTTCTATGCTGTGCGCATGTCCACCGTTTCAGCTCGCCAAGGCTTCGGAGGAAGTCGATATAGATGCCTAGGCAAAGAGGACGGCGATGGGGGAGCAGCGCAGTTGTCTCAACAAACTGCGATGTTGCGCGATGGCCTTCATTTTGTCAAGATGCTTGCATGTCTGTTTGCTCAACGCCGCAGCAACGTTGGATGGACAGACTTCAGGTTACTCATGTTCGCTTTTAAGTTGTGCAGGAAAAGTAGATTTTCTCAGGAAGAGATGGGCGGTTTGTCAATCACTTCTCGCCTTGAGTAGGATGTGTTGAAGTACAAAATGTCGCCGCCTCTCAGATCGATCTCCAAGATGGCCTCTCGACTCACTTTCGCCTTCAAATATCAAGCCCTCAGCTACCTCTGCCTTACCGATTCCACGTCTCCAGACTTCCATTTCCTTTTCCTTTTCTTTCTTCACTCGCTACGAGACTTGAGTACTACTCTCGTTGGTCGCCACGGCCCGAAATCCCCCCAACGCCCGCCTTCAGTATATCATCGAAACTTTTTGTTTCTCCAGTCACGATCCAGTCAAGTTGTTCCACCTGTCTCCTATGGACACGCCCGAGACTTGATCTGAGTTCACCATACATTCAAGAAGCCATGATTTCCCTCATTCTCCTTACCCTCTCGTTGGCCGGAGGCGTCTTCCCCCAGCCAGACGACTACGAAAATACCCCTCCGTTCTTCCAAGGCGAGAACTCCACGCCAACACCGTGGACAGCTCCCATAGCGACATACACGCTAGCCAGCTCACTCGGCTGCGAGCACCCAACGCCGGGCACCTGGCCGGTCGTCAGCACCTTGACATACACTGTCGGGGACGAGTATGGAAACCCCGGGGCCAGCTACAGCTACGCGACGACGGCGTCGTACTTCAACTCGGCTGGGTATCTTTCAGGCCCCGCCGGGTCCACGAGCGTTTCAGCTGCCAGCAACGCCAGCATCGCCAGCTCGACCACGACGACGGCGTCGGTGACTCAGACTGATTCCACTACGGGTGATGCGGCGCAACTTCGATCGGGCGTCTGTGTGGCTATGATTATAGCGGTGGGTGTTGCGGCCCTTTACTAGGCCCTCTGGGGTCTTTTCTGGAGTATCTCCTTTTGGGAGGGGGAGGACAACAGGCCTTCAGCATGGGTTACGACTACGAACGGAGGCGCTGTGTAATTTTGTTAGTGCTAATGCTTGGTGGCTTCTCGAACGGATGAGGTTCGATGTTGGTAGCGATCTGCGCTTGGGGTTGGAACGGACAAAATGACGACGGGGAGGGTAAGAAGAAGAGCAAAAAAAAGACAAGGAAGTTGGATCATTTTATCAATATTTGATCGTATAAGTTCAGCTCCACTTGCTTCACACGTGGATTTTGGCTGGACCAGAAGAGGACTTAGGAAAGAGTTAACAAAGCATTATTATTATTATTGTTATTATTATTATTCGATGCTGCATTGCCACATTTTGGCCAGTCCAAAGTCCACTTCCGGCTCCCCGCGACGTGGGCGGTGCGCGGCTTGCATTGATTGATGTTCACTCCGCAGACTAAGTTGAAAGTGGCGGTCGGTGATGTGAGGGAGCAGGCTTTCGGTGGCTGTGGATGCCTACGCTGGGTTCGCCCTCTTCCCTTTTCCCTTTTCCCTCTTCCCGCCTTTTACACTTGTTAGCGAAGCCGCATATACCCAAATCGGGCAAGGAAGTGCGGCAGGCCAGGCCAGGCCAGGCGAAGTCAAGCCAAAAACCCGGTGCGCAATAGTGCATCCGGTCCCGGCCAGGCAGTTTGCATTTCGGTGAGAGGCCCAGCAGCCTCTTCCGCTCATTGTTCATTGTTTGTCAGGACGCAGAAACCCCGACCGCTCTCTCAGAGTCGATCCACGAGAATCACAGTTCGGGCGCTTCCTCGGTTCATATGTCCTGATTCCCTCTGCGTCTCTCTCCCCCAATGAGTCCATGGAAACGGTGCGTGACTTGGACCGTCCAATACCAACGGATTTTCTGTCGTCATCATGGGTTCGAAATTCGTCGACATTCCATAGGCAGGAGACGCCTCGGCGAATCACGAGGACTCGCCACCCTCCCCGCCCACATTTCGCTGGCATCTTCCACACAGCTTGGACAAGAAAGCGGAGGGGTGGTGCCTGGTCGACCTATTCTTGTACGACAGCCTCGTTTCTAAGATCCTATCTGGCCAACGAGACGAAGGGGAAATGGACAAAGTGCTCCGAGGGGGTTTCATTTTAGGTCCCCCGCCACCACACACCCTCCTTCACATCCTGCTGTAGAAGCGCCCGTCTTGCGTCTTGCATCTGCTGGTTTGCCTCTTTTTTGCGTGCTTGGTTGGCCTGCTCTCAGGAGTGCGCGTCACTTCTGATGCACTGAGGGGCCACTAAGATGGACCGTTCCGGCGAAGCTCTTTCGACTAAGAGGTGTAATGCATAGACTTTGTCGTGTGTCAGGCGTCCTGCGCCAAATATAACCAAAAGAGACGTGGGGAGATTTCTTCCCATTCACGACCTGGATGGTCGGTCTTCGTGGCAATAGGTCCTTGGTCAGGCTCTGCCTTCTCATCTTGGACCTTGCTGAAACTGTTGCAGTTTTCTCTCGCTCCCCAAGAGTTAGAAATTCGCGACCCTTCCCTTTGAAAAGCGTTTGTCGGAGAGGGGAAAGAGGTGAGAAGGATGGCGGAGGAGATGTGTTGTGTTGGGAGTTTGGGGTCCTTTTTGGGACTCGGCCGGGCCTGGCTGTAAGCGCCACTCCGCCTTGCCTTCTTTTTCGGTTTGGGCTCTGGTTGGGCCTGTTGGCTCTAGTTACCGACTGCGGAACTACAAACGGAGTGATAGGTAGGCATCTTGTGATCTCATGGGCGCCTTTTGTCGTTTGAGAGAGAAGCGGCTAGGATACTTATATGCGGGAGGTTAAACGAACAAGGCGTCCCTTCACTTCCCCCTTTCCTTTCTCGACTTCATCTTGTAACATTGCCCGGTTTTCTTTGAATAGAGTATTTTGTCTATTTTTCGGATCTTCAAGTAAAAGTTCACCGAATACTATATATGCATCATATCTCTGCCTCACTCGACGATGTTAGTCCAAAGACCACAATCCGCCCTGGTGACCCGAGATCCTCGCCCCAGACCCCGGCCTCTCTGCTCCTCCCTCCTCAACGGTCTCGAGTGCTACGACGAAACCTGCCCCGCATCCCATGATCCCAAACTCATAAAGAGCAGGCGCTGCAGCTACGGCCACAGATGCTGGTATCTGGAGAGAGGAGAGTGTAGCAAGTTCCACACGGCGACAGAACGTTACCTAGCCGCGCGGAAGATGATGGAGATAGGGTTATCTGGCGGCTTTGTGCTGAACACGGCCCAGAAGGACGGCGTTACGGCCTTTGGCGATTGGTACGGTATCCGGAATACCGAAGTGATTGCGAGCTTCAACTGCTTGAGGGGAGGAGGACTAGCGGTGCCAGGTGAGATTGGCAATCCAACTCCATTTCTCCCCCTCCTCCCCAAGGCATAGACTCTCTTTTAAGAAGGCAACAAGCTAAATAAAACATCCTCGAACAAAAGGTCTACCACCGGCCTTTGTCCGCCCAACAACACCTGTTCGTTTCGACACAAGAGACATGCACCTCCGCAACATATCCCCCTGGCACGCACCAGAAGCCCCCAAATTCCAACCTCTCGCCCAGGCCCTCCGCGTCCGCCGCCCAGACATGAGCCTCCTATCGGGCTTCCACATCGTCACGACAGCCGGCTGCCTCCGCCGCCTCACCAACTTCCTCGACGGCGAAAACCACCGCGTCGGCGAGCGCACGCAGCGTCTCGACATCGAGGTGCGCGAGGACACCGTCTTCATAGGCCGGTGGGAGGACGACGCACGGAATCACATGCACACGGGGTACGGGAAGCAGTTTGAGGAGCTAGCCACGTCGTATGATGCGTTATTACCCGACCTGAGGGATACGTTGAGCAGCCACGTGGCCATGGCCTATGACATGGGCGATTTGAAGTTGGTCGTGCAGGCCGAGGTGGATGCTATTTGCTGCAAGTGCCATACGTCTTCGAAGGGGCCCTGGGGTGCTCCGGAGACGCCTTCGACGCTTCCGAAGCGGCGGTTGTCGAGTGGGCGGTTCGACGTGCTCTCCCTCGATACGGGGAACGGAGAAGGAGAAGAGGAGGAGCATTACGGGGCCGTGACGACCGCCAAGGAGGGCACAAGGATCCTGCACACGGGGAGACAGGTCGAACCATCCTGCTGCATCGAGATCAAGACCCGAACAGAAAAGGCCCTCCACAGACCCTCCTCACCAGATTTCATGGCCCAGCTCTACTTCCAGCGCACGTCCAAAGTCTTCCTCGCTCTCCACAGAAACGGCTGCTTCAGCCCCGAGGAGATGTGGCAGTGGGACGCTGCCAAGGCCGTGAGCAAGTGGGAGGCGGATAACCAAGTACTGCTGGCTAGGCTCGTGAAGCTATTGGAGGACGTGAGGTCAAGAGCTGTTGAGGTGGCCGAGAAGGCGGGGGGTCAGTGTAGGATGGCGCTTGTGCTGGGGCGTGACGCATCGCAGGAGGGGAGGAGGGATTGGAAGGCGACGTTGTATGAGAGGGAAGGGTCGGAATCGATGCTGCCCGAGGATCTGTGAGGGGATCCTGTCTAAACCCTTAAGATTTGGGTCTGTTGTTGTTTTTTGACTGGCTGGGGGTCTTTTGCTTTCTTTTCTGGGAACACGTTGATGTCGTTGTTTCCTACCATTTTCATTTGTTGGTATTGGCGGGTATGGTTTTGGGTTTCGGGCATCACACGAATTTGTATACATAGGCACACTGGTTGTGATCTTCTACACCGGGCGAGGTGATGATATACTGAGACCAAGCAGATAAATGAAATATCCTTTTTTTTTATTCTGAACTAGCCAGAACGAAACAATCCGGTCCAAATGCTTGCAAGAAGAGCGGCCCTGAATGTGGCCCCCGAGGTATCCTAAAGAAAGAAACTCCGTAATATACAGGCCATCAAAACGTATTCTTAGTAGAAAAGGAAATAAGAGAAAGGGAGAAAAGAGAAACTGTTTTAAACTCCAACCATGCATCGCCTCTCTATCATGCGGAGGCCGCAGGCACCTCAAGCACAAACTGGGGACCCAAATCACTTCCCGCCTCAGCAAAGGTCTCCAACCCAGCCACCGCCACCGGAACGGAAATGAGGAAACCAGATGCGTCTCGCTTGTAAGCTACTAGGCCGTTGGGGCCCTTCTGGTTGCCCACGAAGAGGATACTCTGGTCATCGCCACCACCGAGTGAAATCATGCGTGGGAGAACTCCGCCGGAGGGGACCTGCGACTTGAAGGTGAGGCAGCCCTTGCTGGAGGCGCGGAAGTGAGAGATGCTGTCAGTGTCGTTGCCGGTGAGCCGGTTCGACACATACAGGTCTCTCCCGTTGGCGGAGAGGACAACTTCGCCCGCGGCGGCGGTCGTGGCATTCTGGGGAGGGAATGCGTCACCAAAGGTCGAAATGGAGTGAAGATCGGAAAAGTCGATCGATTTCTCAGAGTAGGTGAGCTTGTAGGTTAGAAGCTTGTTGGTGCGTTCGCAAACGACGGTGTAGTGAGTGGCCGCACCGTCCTTGGAACCGCGGAAGACGCCATGGCGGGGACCACAACCGGACTCGACGACGAAATTATTAGCGATATCGAAGGCGTCGTCCTTGGAGTTGATGACGATGAGGCTATCCGTTCCGAGATCATTGACAACAAAGAACTGGCCAGTAGGATCGAGCACAGCCTGGTGTGGATGAGCACCAAGCTGACCAGGACCAAGTGCACCCTCGCTCTTAAGGGTCTTGATCAAGGTCGCGGACCCATCTGTCGCCGAAGTGTCCCAAATGTCAATGGTGCCGTTCCCGTACGCAGAGCCAACCATGCGCGTCTTCTCCTTGTTGAACTCGAGGTGGACGACACCAGAGGAACTAGCCACCTCGCTTAGCTGCTTCAGCTGGTTGGCCTGGGCATCGAAACTGAAGAGGCGCAGCTTGTCGGCGTTTTCGTTGACTGCGTAGAAGAGCTCGGGGCTCTTGAAGAGGAGCCAGCTTGGTCCGGTGCCGGGCTGCTCGTCTTTTCCGACCACGGAAAACTCGATGCCGTTGAATTGGGTTGCGAGGATCTGGCCGGGAGCACCGAGGAGGAGTGTCTTTGCGGAGGGAGTGTCTTGGCGGCGGTGGAGGCGGCTGGGGTGCGACGGCAGAGCCGAAGCAAGCCCAATAGAGAGGAGAATGGGAAGAACCTTCATATTTGCAATGCTGAAAGGACTGAATCTAGAATGTATGTGAATAGGAGAGTGAGAAGCGGAAGTGGAAGTGGATTTATATATGGAAATCAGTCAATTCTATTCAAAGGTTGGAATGTAAAATGCAGAACCGCCAACAATGGAGTGGATATGAAGCAGAAAAGCAATATCAAAAGCACAGCTTCTGATCAATTGATTTTTGAAGACGTTTGAAGACGTAAGAAATCTTGATGTCAGCATGAGGCAGAAGAAGGAAGGAGCGATGGATCAGATGTCTTGTGGTGACGAAGTATAAAGTTATTAGACAGATGAAGTGCAATTTATATAGTTGATGTCCACGTCTTGCCTCGAACAATTTAGGCTTCTCAACCCCAGATCCTACCTTGCCCCTGTGGCCACAGCTGGCCAACACCATTGGGGGACGGTTCCATGGGAATAAATCCAGCCTGGTCATCTCAAAGATGTCGGAATGGCACATTGAATGCCCCATTGGCGCAACCAAGTCGTGAGCTCGGGAGCCGATCTCACGCAGGGGTATTCTCAAGAAAGGTTGGATCAGCGCGAGCCCGACCAGGCTTGGGGGTCATCCACATCGGACCAGTCGCCGAGGCCAATGACGACCGTAAGGCCATTTTAGCTTGTCCGACGGTTTCAGACAAGGTGACCAACGGGTCTGTCGACCAACCGACCTGCTGAAAAGGGCTGGTCGTGCATTGCTCACCACAGGGCTATGCAAGCCGCAGGAGGGCTCGGGCAGCCCAGACCGTGGGGCGGGGAACGAAACTTGTTTGGCACAGCTCGTGGCGAGCGTCAACGATTGGATGAGACGGAGCGCAGCTTCAGCGTTCCGTGAGCAGTGCAGAAGCCTTGCCCGCTCAGCAATGGTACAGTGCCAGTGTTTTCACATTTTAAACCTGGCAGTGCAACAGTCGTGGAAGGACGCAGGGCTTGGCAGGAGCACGATGTGTCCTTCGGTGGAGGAATTGATCAAACAGCAGGATGGCATCTCTTCTCCCCCGTCTCATCTCATCGCTCAGGTATCTTACAGGCTTAGATGCAACCGATTCATTTGAATCCTATTCAAGCCATTCAATGAAACATAAAGAAACTGGCCTCTCGGAATTGGGCATTTTGCAACCGCAACGTTGCGCCGCCGTTGGGAGACCATCAATTCGACCCCACAACTCTATTTCAATATCCCAGGAACAACAGCGGCAACGTGATGTCAACTTAATCGAGGACACCTGGAGACACCTGGACGTCAATGGTCTTATTGCGGACCGGGCCGTGGGGAACATGAACAGTTCAATTGTTCGAGATCGGTTGAATTTCTCTAATTGTGTTGGAATCGTGCATAGTTCCCTCAACCCTGAAGAATCATGGCTACTACATAGGCACTCTCTTCTGGGCTGTAATTCATATTCTTCACCAAAGAAACGCCAGGATTGTCTTACGTTCGATTCCAGCGTTCAGACCTTGAGACTAGATAAGTAGCATTTGGCACCTCATTCATCCCCTATGCCCATCTACGAAGGAGAATATCCTGCCAATCAACATCAATAACACAGAGGTCTCGTTAGCCAATTCCACTCTAAGATGGATGTTCCGGGATATTTGAAGTTTCAAAGTCCCCTTTCTTATAACTAGCTACCTACATCCTTAGGGTTCGAGTGTAAGAAAGGTTAAGCTTGTGAGGTTGACATGATATCCAACCAACGACGGAAGGAGCCCACAAAGCTCCTTCCCTCCTCCCTAGTCGAACACAAGCGCTCTAGCTTTATAGGCAACGATCTAGCAGAAACTTCCAACCGAGTAGCTCAAGCAACATCGTCTGCGACCAATGGCCAAGTGGCCTTGGAGCGCTCAGAAGGCCAGAAAAAACTATTTTTCGTAGCAACGCGGGAAGCGAGGGTTCGAATCCTACGTGGTACCGCGGAGCGAGCTTTTTTGCCTCTCTCTCCCTCCCCCTTTCCTTCTTCTCCTTTTTCCCTTTCTCTGTATTTGTATTTATTTATTTCCGTTTTCCTCGTATTCCTAGCCGATAGTATCCTGAGAGTGTGGAATTAGACATTCTCCTCCCCGACTTTTAGAGAATCTGGGTTTATACTTGGAATGGTATACCAAACTGAAGTATTTAACAACAACCTCTGCTCTTGTTCCCATTTTATACATCCGAGAGAATCTTGAGACTGATCTTCCGTGGGTCTTAAAGCTGCTCCGCCCTCTTGCCTTCTGGAAGTACGAGAACAGAAAGCTCTGCCAGACCCTCCTTTAAAGTAGAGAAGGCTCAACGCATGTTGTCGCTGTCAATCTCCTGGACAACGTTATATCCTTAGCTTGCGGGTTATGAAAGATACCTCCCATATGCCTTTGGGTAAACAAGTCCCTTGGGTTCAGCACCCGAGCGGTCCTAGAATTGACACCATCGGAATATGGATGGGACCCAACCTGGGACTTTGAAGGAAAGTGCTCAACAGAGTATAGTTATGACACATGGCACTAAGTGCAGGATGGCATTATCTCGTAGCGTGGATGATTCGTCTTGGTGTTGCGGCTGTAATGCAGTCCGGACATGCTGCGTGCCAGGATGAGTGATGATTCAAGGCGAGGCTCCTTTGGTTGCCAAAGGTCCGCGGTGTGCTACAAGGTGTTGCAAGAGCGGCGAGTCGCGCCGGGGACATCTTTGTGAGGGAGTGGATGTGGGTATTTCGGGCTGAGCGGCCAACATTCCAGTGTGCCTTTGTCCAGTACCATCCTCCATAAATGGCAACACCGGAATTACATAATCAGCTATGTCTCAATCACCACCACAACACAACAGTGAACCTTCACCATAACTCTGTGACATCAAGCTTAGGAAGAGCTGCCATTCATAGTCAAATTTAGTCCGTTTCATCCATTTCAAACCTGCTCTGAGATCAATTTATCACTACTTCCGCAAAATGGATAGGTCACAGATGGCATATACAAGTCTCCTGGGTATTACATCCCCTTCTATAAATCATTGTCCCTCCGGGTCAACTAACTCGGAAAATTATAGACCAGCACAACAGACTGATCGCCGAGGTGCTCACTCGGTTCCGTGCACTCTGCCACTTCGCTACAGTTCAGGCAGATGCAGAAGGAAAGGATCCTGACCCGACAGCTATGGGTGTCTCTCGTCTGTCGATGCAACTCGAATTCGAAGGTCTAGTATGTCACGCTCGCTTCACCTCGCCCAGAGCCCAGGAGTTCGGAATGCCCCAATACTGGATTGATCGCTAACCCTGTGTATCAAAGAACACGGCCCTTAAAGATCTCTTGGCTCTGAGTCGTCGCATTAAGGAGCTCTGGATTTTTGGGCCTCTCGCCTCCGATCAAGACTCTACGCGTCAGCAGGCCGGTGACCTTGAGCGAGATGTGTTACAGGTTGCTAAGCTCGTCAACGGCTTGGAGGAGAGCACGATGAATGAATTGGCAAGAAAGTACGGCGGTACTTGGAAAGACAAGCCAAAGGAGGCTGGTCAGGGTCGTGGCCAGATCTGATGTTTGGACCAAGATCACCCTTATTTTTTTTTCGCCCCATCCCTCGCTCTGGGATGACGGGTTCTATCCACGTCCCAATTCTCGAAGGCGGCAAATTTGGATTTCCCCAAGTTTCCACGTCCTTCATACAAGCGAACCCTCTTCCGGTGGATAGCAGACTTGGTCGTCAGAACGAAACGCGGCGGTCTGTCTCCCACCCCCGAAAACCGCGAGGATTCCTTACCAACGGCATTATAAGAATGGACAAACGCCATCGGTGTCTGTGACACTGTTCACCCTAATTGACGAATCTTGAAATATCCCGCGGGTCTACAAAGGAGGCGAGCACTGCGCCCAAGGACTGTGTTTAGCAGGTATACCGAACAAACCTGAACCCCGAATACGGCACTCGTTACCTTGCTAGGCGTGGTTCTTGAAGGGGAACTGATCAAGGGGGCGTTTCCGAGTGCCCAGAGTAGGATTCCTGCATCATCGCCAGAGCCACACTGGCGCCCAGAATGCTTCTCGCTTCATATTAGCGGTTTGTTGTGGCGTTATCCGCCTCTTTCTTTGTACCATTCTGGATAACCACCTGGTCCAAGTTCAAATGGTCTTTGTGATGCATCCTAGACCCAGAGGCTCTACCCGTTGCATTCGATGCTGAGGCTTAGTCGGTGATCTAGCTTCGGCAAGGATCTTGCCATGCAACGTGGCAGAAATGCGGGAATATTAATAGCAGATATCTTGCTTCCAGATCCTGGTTGGTTGTGTGCAGCGTTGCATGGCCTCAAGTGGAATGTATTTTAGATACACAATTAACAACCGAAATCATGTATTGTTCATTCTAGTAACGCCACTGTTGGTATATCCAAGGCTTCCGGTTAGCATCTCTTCATGTGAGGTCCAGCCAGGTTGTCATGTGTATACCAGGCATAACTCCGAGTGTTGCATCTTAACGTCTTCACTTTGGGCTTAAAGCTCTCAACGAGGCCTTAATAGCATGTAGCATTCAGATATGGTTCTCGAGTGATTCTTCGAGGGGTGTGGTATGCGTCGTTTCGGGGGACAAGTCGACAGGTTCGTAGATCCGAGATGGGAGCTATTCTTGGGGACCAACCGGATCCATGGCCTGGCCTGGCTTCATTTTCCGTTTTCATTTTTGGGCTACTGCGGGAGTAGCCTCAACCCGTGGCCAAGGGTCTGGATCCCGCCGACTGTGGACACCCTGATGGCGGCATGAGTGAAGATACAACGTGGAGGTCGGCGTAGTGCAAACATGGCCTTTCGATCCCTCAAGAGCCTCACTTGCAGACATTATATACTAGAAACTATGGCTGTTTCCCCAGAATGGAGATAATAGGGGAAACGTTTCCGGTAGCGTCTATACCAGGCATTGGAGACGCCAAGCGATGTCCCACACATGGAGATTCATCCTTTTTTCATCTTGCTCTGGGCCTGGTCCTCCCAAAATATTGAAATCAAACGACGATGAATGGGTATGAGTCGAGTTCTAATGTCATCTCTTCCCAGGGTCGATTTTAAGGTTATGGGTGAAAATGCGCCTCAGAGGATGAGCCCTGCCTCGTTGGGCATCTCAGCTCGTTCTCGTCCCACTGGATTCAGGAATAAAGTAAGCGTTGCACTTTGTTGCGGCTGCGCACATTTTTTCATGTGCTGTCGGAGAATCCATTTGATGTCAGGCTCAGCTCGCAGGCCCCGTTGCAAGGTGCCCCACGTTGCTTCAATATGGTCGCGGACCTGCCGAGTTGGAAAAGAGGAAGACTAGCCCTAGTCCTCGACTTCGGAGCGGCGGGTGTTGATTTCTCGATGTTTTGAACTGACTGAGGGTCGTGGATATTTGAAGTTGTTTCATATTCAGGACTAATGCAGGAGCTGAGGTTCGGATGGACCTCCGAAAAACCCTCATGCTTTTTGATCGGGGGCCAGGAACTCGTTTACAGCGCAGAGGACATGGCGGACCGATTTGTAGATGGTTACAATTGTACTACAGGTACCGGACAGCAGGTGGACAGACTCGGGAATACAGACACCAATGAGACATTCGGGGGTAAACGATCCCGTGATGTATTCGACTCTGGGCGTGAATGTGAAGATGAAAATGGGGGAGGAGAAACGGCAGTTTGAGAGGATGCGGACACGAACCCGGTGGCCTGTGCTGTGAGAAGAAATGGTGCATATGGGCAAATGACCCTGCATCTGCAAGGTTGGCTTCAACAGAATTGACAGCTTTTTCTCGCGGAGAAGGGCATGGCATCTTGCGTAATATTTAGTTCCTGTTTGGCAGCGAGGGCAGAAATGGGAAAGAGCATCAGCATCAACCAGTTGGAGATCAATACAATGAGTTTCCTCCGTAAATTCCTGAAAACCATCCCAGAACGCAAGAATTGTGTTTCTGCCTCAAACCAAACATACGACGTAGCGCCTTCGGATGATTGCAGTATAAAACCCGGAACAAAGGAGATATCGTGCAAAGACCCAGGCGGGATGTCTGAGCATGTTCGGGACGCGGCGATCACGGGAGGGTTTCTCGAGGCTTCTCACGATACGGACCGCCGTTTGGCAACGTGAACCGTCGCGGAGTGGGCGTCTCACGTTTCTCGCGTAAATGCCGGCCGTGTTGACTGAGATGATGAGATTCCCCAAGGCCCCCTTCATCCTCAGCTCTGGTCTACATGACTTCGCACGCTAAACTCCTGCTGGAGCTAAATATTGTCTGGGCACTGTATTTATAGTGCATGTGGAACACGACCTTGGTGGTGCCGAATTGCGTCGTATTCAGAGCCTCTCATCAACGATACTTCGTCATCACTGGTGAACTTGGTGTCTTACGAAGTACCGAAGTGACAATCTTGTGGCCAATGACTTTCCCTAGTGACCAATACGAGGCCACCGGTATAAATACTTACGTAGTGAGTACTCAGTATAATCTCCATACTACGGAGTGGCTGTACGAAGTAAAATAGGTCAAAAGCCGCGATGTTGTGCCAGTCACTCCAATACTGAGTAGGAATGGGCGAGGGAAAAAAAATTGTGGGAGGCGGACGAAAATCCCTTCGTCACAATAATCTTGTGACGAAATAACCAACAGAGAATGAGTGCTTGGCTGGTCGGGCAACTTTCGTCTCAAGGATGCGAAGACAGATTGATCGAATGCAATGTGTGGAATGGGTAAATACGATATCCCCACACCCAATGATCACTGAAGTGACCAGGAATTTTGCCCAGAATCTGGTCGATCAGCCAGGCCATCTCGTGTTCTTTCGGCGGTCTCCAAGGGTGGCGGTAATTGGGTAATTGGGAGTTTATGCCATTCCATGCTGGGCGGCCAAAATAGTATTATTAACGGAAGAAAAACACCGTAAGGGACAAGTACTTCGTGCGTCTTAGCGGCGTGAGCCTCGCAGATGGCAACGGACTTCCCCTTTTCCTGACAGCGTCTAACAAGTCTAGCTCAGGGCCCTCATTAAGTCTAAAATGCTAACAGCATTGGTGGCAACGCCACAAACTTGGTGCTCCATTGTCCATGTCATGCGTTCGCTCTGCATACAAAGGACAAGACCCGTCGAAACTGGCGCTCGTGATAGGTTGCTTTCTTAGACAACATGCAGAAAACCATGGACAGAGACGGTGCGGAGGACCCGTTACGGCTGTCCGGAGTAGTATTTTCTCGTCTCTTACCTTCCATCGAGTGTCCAGATACTTGAGATGTGTTGTTTTCTTGTCTTGGCGCTTTGGTTTTGCAGGCATCTCTCTCTTTTTGCTGCCCTGTGCATGAGCGTGAGCTGGTCTAGGTTAATATTACGGAGTAGTGAGTGTACTTCGTCATGTACTTTTCGTCGTGGTTGCTCGGGAAGACAAGGTTCAATTTAAATGTTTATCGATCGTATCCCGGGTACGTACCAATGCACCAATGCCAACGGGCTGACCCCAGCCAGACCAGGCCGTCCCAGTCCGTCTCCGTTTGGCTTGTCCGTGTATCTCGATCCCTTTTTTTCTCTTTGGCTCAGCCCTGACCTGACTCCTCGCCAACTCGCCAATCCTTTCAACCAACTCTGTCCATCCAGACAATCGTTGCTTCATTGTTTACCTTCGTTTCGTCTCTTCCTTTCCCCTCGTTCACCACACTCGCTTATACACCGTAATCCTTCGGGCGATTTACCGCCTCCGCCATCTTTTTTGCACCTTCATCCGTCTTGGGCGCCCCCTGTCTTCACCGTCCGAGAAGAGAATTGCCCTTCGATCGATCCTACCACGCTCTCAAATACCGACAACGACTCTGACGATATCCTTAACCGTCTAATTTTTCCTCGACTCATATAACCTCAGGGTCGACGAACCATCTTTCCCTGGCATCGATCTTTTCGAACGCGGGAACCGAAATCTTCCCCTTTCAACTTCAGGCCGTATCCCAGGCCTTCACGCACACTCCCTCCCTCTCCTCAACCGACCTGTTACGAAACCGAAATCACAATGAGACCGACCAGGGCTCTCGCTCAGGTGGCTTTCTGCCTCTCCACCATGACCTCGTTGGCTGCGGCTTGGCCAACCTGGTTAGACACTGCCGCCCACGCTATTGTTGCTAGACAAGACGCGGCGGAGACATCTGATGGTAAGATACTTGTTCAAAGTTTGCAGGAGCCCCTTCACCGCATTCGAGCACTATGCTAACGAAACCACTTCGATCGAACTAGCCAAAACCACAAAAGCATCTAGGCCCACCGGCAACCTAAACACCGCTGCCACCCTCGACCCCGATGCGCCGCGAACGACCTCGGGAGCCAAGGGAGGCAGCAGCGGCGACGGGAAGAACAGCACCAAGACCCGCGAGGAGTTCGATGCCACGGCCCCTCCAGGAGGCGCCGTCATGGTTACACCCGACCCGAGGCTAGGCGCCCCCCTCATCAAGGCTGGTGATACCGTCACCTTCACGTGGAACTATACCAACGTCCTCGCCGACCCGACCGCCGTCGACGTGCTGCTCAGCTGCTCCCGTGTCTCCGCCACCTGGACCTTGACCGCGAACATGTCCTACCAGGACCCCGCCACGTATGTTTGGGATTCGAATGTTCAGGCCACCGACCCCTCCCAGCCGCTGCTCACCGAAGAGTTCACCATGATCATTAAGGATTCGGATGCTTCTATTTCGGACTCGGCCCAACCCGGATACCTCTCCAGGACCGACGTTAGGCTCGAAATTTACACTCCGAAGGACTACACCCCTTTGAGCGAATGGAACTGTGCTACCTGCAGTTTTGCCGCGTCCGATCTCGACCAGAAGGCCTTGATGTTTGCTACGTCCATGTGCCTGATAACCATCGCCAGCTTCACCTGGTTCGTGACAGGCCTTAACCTCTGATCATCCACTTTTTTATTTCACTCTTTTTTTTTTTTTTTTGCTGTTGCTTCTGCCACATCTTCACTGGCAATCATAACTTTCCCAACCCATGGATTATGTGGCTGCAACTCAAACCTCACAATCATCACGTTGCTTCGAGAATGATCGGTATCTTTTTTATTTATCCCTCTTAATCTTTCTGCCCTCCTGGGGAGCCGACGAGCTGCTAGTTTAGGAGTGAAACCTGGGAGGGCAGATTTCTCTTGTCTTATTTTCGCGCAATTTTGGAGAAACAAAAACAATCATCGTCTTTTGGAAATGTCGTGGGAACTCAGCACATGGGAGGCGTTCGTTATTAGACTGATTTACTCATTTTATTTATTTATTTTACGGCAAAGGGTATTTATTTTGGGGGGGAGGGGGGAAGGAGATATTCATCCTTTTTTTATTGAAGAACTTTATTTGTATGTAATTTCACTCTTGATGTCTTGACGAGAGGCGTAAGATATAGTTTCAATATACGCTGGCTTGGAAGGAGAACTGCTCTTGATTATGGGGTGTCTAAGTCTGTTTCGTGATGCATCAATGTGACGATGTTATGCAGTTTGCCTTGCTGCAAGGACTCCCTTTTGGCTCAATAGGCCTGCTGCTTCTCTTCTAACCGACCGGCCCCAAAGGCACTGGTAGTCCAGGTTCCATTGCTGGAAGCAAAGTTGCAAAATGCTGGGTATAGCAAACAGTGCTGCCGGGGGAGAGAAGCGTCCATCCCTGAAAATTCTTCAGTAAATTCCGCTGGTATTTCTCAGCCCATGCGTAGTCGGAAACCCGCTCCCTTTGCCTCACCCTCCCGCGAGGCAAAGAGATGCGAGACGTCGACCTCGCCGAGCTCAACCGCGGCTCCTCGGACTGGAGCATGCGGCTCCCTCCGAGGTCGCCTCTCTTGGTTCGCCTTGCTGGGGAACGTAGGAAACAGGACCTCGGCCTTGGGCTTAGGCTTTTCCTGAAAGTACGGATGCTCCAACATCTCGGCCGCCGTCGGCCTTGCATCGGGATTCAACGAGAGCAGGTCCCTCAGAAGCGCGCATCCGGCGCTCGTAAGATCGGGGAACCTTGGTCGGATACGGTCCTCGGTGGCGCTTTGCTTCTTCGTCTTTCGGGGAAGCTTGAGCGACTTGGCATTGGGTAGGCGTCTGAATCCGGGCCAGGTATCATCGGTGGGGACGCCCACGACCTCGAAGATCTTGGAAATCTGCTCGGCTTCGGTATAAGCGCGGAAGAGGGCCTCACGCTCGAGCAGCTCGGCGAAAATGCAGCCGACGCTCCACATGTCGATGGCGGCTGTGTAAGTCTTCGCGCCGAGGAGGAGCTCCGGGGCGCGGTACCAGAGGGTAACGACGAGGGTGGTGAGGTTTGCGGGAGGGGGGTCGCTGGTGCGGCGGGCCATGCCGAAGTCGGCGATCTTGAGCTGGCCCTTGTTGTTGAGGAGGAGGTTGGCAGTCTTGAGGTCGCGGTGGAGGATATAGTTTTCGTGGAGGTAGGAGAGGCCCGAGGTGAGTTGGAGAACGAGTTGTTTGATTTCGGAGGGGAGGAAGGGTTCGGTCATGTCTTCGAGGACGCTGCGGAGGTCATGTTCGACGAATTCGAGAACTAGAGAAACGCTGGGGCGGGAGCAGAGTTAGTAGTTGCTTGTGTATAGGTATCAATGGTGGATGGTAGGTGGGGTCTAGCAAACTTTGGAGGATCAGAGCTGTCAACAACAGTCTCAAGGAGCTTCACCACATTTCGGTGATCGCACATACGCAGGAGTTTGATCTCACGCAAGGCCGTAACGGGCATGCCGTTGCGATCGGCCTCGTCAAGCTTCAGGCGCTTGAGGGCCACGATTCGGCCCGTCGCGACGTCCTTCGCCCGCGAAACGTGCCCATACGTGCCCTCTTCAATATCGTTCAGCTTCTTGTAGTTCTTCGCCGATCGACACGGCGCCCATCCTCGTAGGCTCGCCTTCATCCGGTCTCGAGCGGTCCTATCGGGTGTGACCTTCCGCCGCTTGCTTGGCCGCTCATCATCGTCGTCGGCCTGGTGCGTCTCCTTGGTGGCTCCTGCCTCTTTTGCTTTGCGGTCTTCGAGTCGTCGAGCCTTTTCTGCTTTGAGGCGCTTCTTTTCCTCCTTTTGCCTTTTCTGCTTTGCTTCTAAGGCAGCATCCTCTTCAGTGTCTGCCCATCGAGACTTGGGTTTGCTAGGCATGGTTTTGGCTTGGGTTTGGCTGTGGTTGTGTGTTGATGAGGAAGAAGTGATTTTTGCGTGGAGAGGTCGATTGGTGTAGGAGAAGGGAGAACGAAGAAGAAGAAAAGAGGAATTGGCTTGTTGGTCTATGATAATTGTACGTGAGCCCCATAGGTAGGGCCTACCTGGTGCTGGCTTCTAGTTTGAGAGAGGGTGAAGCTTTGGTCGTAACTGCCGTTTGAGAAGGTCGGTGACTTCATCAGTCTGGTTGTTAGCAGAGCTTGGGGAGTAAAGAGCTGCTCCCACATTCAAGCAGCAGCCAGCATATGGTTCACAGTGCAGTCGGGTTCATTTTCACCTTAGGACTTAGACTTCCCTTACTTCTCAATCTACCACCATTCATGGATGATATTCCTTTTCGACTGTTAAGTGTTATAAAACTCACATCAGGGCCAAGGAGAAGCTTAATCAACTTTTTATTCCCCTTTCCTATATTTATAAATTGAAATGAGAAGGCTTATGCTGCTTCTTTATCTTCGTGGCCTAAGAAGGACAAGCTTAATTGTAGAGAGGCAAGCCTTAGCTAGAATGCTACGAGAGCAATCCAGAAAACAGGTGCAAGATCAGAACATCATAGATTATAAGAGATATCATCTTTTCCTTGGCCTTCTCTCTGAGCCTGGAAGGCACGATTGGTGAAAGAGCCATTTGGGCGATGTACAATCAATCTTGCACTCTGTACAAAGTAAAACTCCACCGATTTGGGAAGCTCCCACCACAGTGACAATATACAAAAAGCACAGTGCAAAGCATAAGGCTTGGGAAGGAAGGATACGTAACACACTCAGGAGATTCATGTGTAGAGTTGGTTTTAAACATCAACATCCCCAACTTCCAACTGCTCCACCCGACCGACTGACTGACGCCTGTGGTGGATAGTTATCTAGGCGCTCCTCGGATAGGGCCCACGTCTTGTTCGATTTTAGCTGATTATCATCGGTTTCCTGGAGTTTGCCTCACCCTTGACCCCTCGGCAGCACGGCGCATCGACGAGCCAAGCTATCCGCGGCCCTGACTTCACTTCCGAGCCGATTCCCACCCGCGCGATCATAGCATCTCGAAATTTCCTTGCTTCCAATATCATCCTCAGACAAGCTCCGAAATGCGATCGTTAATATGGACAGTGGTCTTGGGCATGGTCCTCTGGACCGTCCAGGCCTTCGAAGTTGTGATGGTAGGCTGCGCCCGACTTTTCCGGTCTGCCAAGCCCAAGCCTCGATCTCGATAGCTGACACCTTTGCGTTTCCGCCACGTTAGGACCAATCTGACGACAACAGTCGAAGATGTACTGGAATGTACAGCAAAAACTCCTGGGGCGGCCCGGTTGACCCATATATTCAAGTGGTTTTCGTGAATGATAGCAGTATCAACCCGGATACCGACCCGATTGTCAGCCTTCTCATATTCGAGTGGAAAGATATCGATCTTATTGGAGTCAAGGATCCTAATAGACCCGACGAGGTAATCCCTGCCCTATCTGCGATCGGTTAAACAACTCTTGCGCACCACTCTGGTCTAATACATCCATTTTAGAACATCCCCGAGCTTTGCGGCAACTCCCAGATTCAGGCCGGCCTTTGCCAGGAGAGCCAGAAGGGCGAATTTGTAGTTGCTCCCCCGAACGAACTCGCCGAAAAGTCGAAGAACCTCGTCATGACGCAAGCTGTACACCTGAAAGACCCACATGTCAAGGTCTACCCTATCAAGAAGACGGGATACTATTGCATCCTTACCGAGGCCTTCACAGGGGATGAGTACAAGGCTGTGGCTGTCTTCCGCAACGCCTACGGAGAGCTGCCTGCCACCCAGGTCCCCAAGCTTCCTTTCTATGGTGGAATGACTATCCTCTATGCCCTAATTACTGTGTAGGTCCCCTGAGAGTCAAGGCTGCTTGGGTCATACAGAGACTAACATGAATTCTAGCTTCTGGGCTTTCCTCTACTATCAGCATAGACATGATATCTGTTCGTTTTACCCTATCTAGCCTGATTTCTGTTACGTTCTGCTAACCCTCCCTTCCTAGTGGCGGTACAGAACTACATCACCGCGATTCTCGTCTTCCTTGTGGTCGAGATGCTCATGACCTGGGGCTTCTATGGTAAGCATTTCTAACATCACCTTCTCCGGGATGTTCTGAGAGCTAACTCGGCCGCTAGAATACATGAACAACAATGGTTCAAACCTTGGCGCAAAAGTCCTACTTGTTGTAGTGGCCGTCTTGAACGCGGCGAGAAACTCCTTCTCGTTCTTTCTGCTCCTCATTGTCTGTATGGGCTATGGTGTTGTCAAGCCGACTCTTGGTCGGACAATGATTTACGTGCGATGGCTTGCCGTTGCGCACTTCGTCTTTGGTATCATCTACGCCATCACGAGTTTGTATATTGCGCCTGACACTGCTGGTAAGACATCTCCCCTACCGACGCCTTCGATCTTAGCAGCTGACCTTCACACACAGGCCCCTTCGTTTTGCTCGTCGTACTGCCCCTGGCTGCTACCCTTACTGGCTTCTACGTTTGGACTCTCAACTCTCTCAAGTTCACTCTCAAGGATCTCCAGGACCGCAAGCAACATGCCAAGGCCTCCATGTACAAGAAGCTGTGGTGGTGCATCCTCCTCAGCATTCTCGTCATCTTCGGCTTCTTCTTCCTCAACTCCCTCTCCTTCGCCTCCGTTAACGATCCCGACTATGTCCCCTTCCACTGGAAGACCCGCTGGTTCGTCCTTGACGGCTGGCTCAACCTGGTCTACTTTGCCGACGTCGCCTTCATCGCATACGTCTGGCGACCGACGGCGAACAACCGACGCTTCGCCATGAGTGACGAGATTGCTCAGGACGACGACGGCAACTTTGAGATTGGCGACATTGGCGTCCCCGACGATTCTGATGACGAGGAGGAGAATATCGGCAAGCCTATCAACGGTCAGACGACCGTTCCTGCTACTACCCAGGGAGCCGCTGCCGGCGCATCGTCTACCCCGGCGCCCCAATCGTCTTCTTCTCAGGCGCAGCAACAGCAGAGCAGAGCTGCACCCAGAGACTCCCTTGATGGAGAGACTATCTTCGCTGTTGGTGACGAGGATAAATTCTCTGACGACGAGGATAGCGATGAGGAGAATGCCAAGCTTGTTAAGCCCAAGGACAAGACCCGGTAAACGAGATAACGGTTGTTTGAAGTGTTAGGGGGTGACTCTTCCTAGAATATTGGGACCACTGACGGGCTAGAGTTCTTGCTCGGGTATGGGACAGGGGCTTGAGAGAAGAAGGGCGGGTGATGGGGGGTTTAATCGCGTGTAAGAATAATGGGTATACCTACCAAACAGGCGACTCTGGAAACCTGTTCTGGCTTTTTGGAAGATTTGTTGTTTTGGTTCACTCTTTGGCCTGGACACCGACGGTTTGGAACGGAGTGGCTTTTCTTCTTTTTTATTTTTATGAAAGGATCATAACGAATTGGGGGTATTCCCGGTCTGAATAGAATATGCATTCATACATGTTAAAACTACAGTGGGTTCGAAGAAGACCAAACCGGGAAGGGGAAAAATAAACGATACCCCTATTACGTCCATGTGTCGCAAATACGTCACAATCGAGGGGAATCTGTTTCTTCCTCTCTTTCAGACATCGCTATTGAGTCTCCAAATAGTTCCCAAGTACCAAAACGGTCCCTCCTTTTTTTCCGCACCCTTTTCATTTTACCCATTCCATTTCTAAGCACCAGCAATATCCCCACCAAATCCAACGGGCGCCCTCCGACCACCGTTCTCCGGCAGGATGGCAAGAGCCTTATACAGCTTCCCCATTCCATTCGGTCCCCTATCCACGAGCCTCTTATACGACTTCTCGATATCACGAGCACGTTCAGGATCCGCAGCACGCATAAGCTGCTCAGCCCTCTCGCGAATAGCCATACGCGTCAAAAACTCGGCCTGGTCAACGGGGCCATGAACCTCGACGCCCTCACTCGCACGAATGGCCGAGTCAGCAACGGCGGTAAAGTCCACATCAACGCTAAGATCGACGAGCCCTGGTTCAGAGAAGGGGCTCACGTGGAGATGTTTCCGGATGCCGCGGAGGGAGTTAACGGGGATGGTGTCAGAGGGGCCGTAGTCGAGGATGAGGGCGGCGCCGGAGGGTTCGGGCTTAGGATGTTTGGGGGAGCCGCCTATGCGGGCGGCGAAATCGGCGGCGTAGAGGCCGGCGTCGGGGCAGATTTCTACCACCGCGTTGGGGATGGACTTGAGGTTGCGGAAGCGCGGGTACAGGTCTGGGAGGTGGCGGGAGTGGCGCGTGGCGTGTTTGGCGAGTGACATTTGGAATTCGGGTTCGGGGTTTTCTTGGTCGATTTTGGGTTGGCCGGGGACTGGGGAGACGACCATTTCTCGCCATTGGATGTTGGGTTTGCCGGCGGCGGTTGGTGGAGAGGCGGCAGTGGGAGAAGTGCGTGGAGGACCTGATGATGCATTGGAAGCATCCTGGTTGGGGGGTAGCTCGACGGCCTGGAAGGCGTGAATCGGTAAGGCATCAAAGAACTCATGAGCCACGATGAATGGCATCTTCTTTGGGTCTGGGACCTGTTCGTCAGTATCGCAAAGGTTCCAAATGTGACAGGAGAGAACCATACCTTTTGGGATAGACTCAATCGTCTGCGTCCAAACAATTGGTATCTCGGTATGCTTGCAGACGCTGTGATACCCAACCTTGGACTCAGATACTTGCGCATCAGGCCCACAAAGAAGGTTCTTCTGAACATTGCGTAGGTGGGCGCTAGCCTCGACCATGTAGATGGCATCTATAGCAGGGGCCATAGGATACTTCTTGATGGTCTAGTTCAAAATGGTTAGATAAAATCCGCGTACTCAAAAAAATCATCATAAAAAGCAGTATAAGCCAGCCGAAGAAGAGGTTTAAACAAATCTTCCACTCACTCGAAGGATATCATCCATCAAAGTTCCACGTCCAGGTCCAACCTCAATAAGCTCAACCCCCCGACTCGGCCTCCCCTGTGACAACCACTCCGCAACGAACCAAATCCCAATAAGCTCGCCGAAAATCTGCGATATCTCAGGCGACGTAACGAAGTCCCCCTTGAGCCCGAACTGATCATGGCCCTCCTTGAGATCACCTCTAGTGTAGTAGCCTCCCAAATCGGAAGTCAGACACATGCGCATATATCTCGCAAGAGGCATTGGCTCCGTCGCCTCAATGGCGGTCGCGATCTTCTCAGCGAGCGGCGTGGACCATTTCCGCTCACCTTCGGAGCGCCTCACCGCCGTGTGAGACAGCCACCGATGAGAAGAGTGTAACGGGAGGCTTGTTGTCTGTCTCAGAAGCGTCGGCGCGTCTCGTGCCCGGCGGGAAACCGCACGGAGCGCCAAAGGCGACAGCTTCATCTCAGGCTGGATTGTTGGGAACCCCAGAAAATATAGAGTGGAGTCAAGCTCTCATTTTCCCCAAAAGAGGAAGAAGGGATGGACTGGGAGGGATGCGACGGCTGCTCGGTGTGGGACAGAGAAACCGCTTGATGCCCGTGCTATAATCACTGGCTCTTCATTGGCTCCACCAGCTTGAATGACTGCAGATACTGCATAAAGTTTTCGACATATGCATATACCTTATATTGCATATTTGTCGTTCAGTTTCACCACTGTGAATATCTTCTTCAATTCAATCGTCGAAGTCGTTCCCAGCTTCACCTGCCTCGTGATATCTGTCGTATTGATCCTTTCATAGTATTACAGAGAATCTCGTATAGAGAGTTTTCAAATGATATCTTTCAGAAATGCGGAAAGAATCGTCGAGTCCTGTTTTCCAGCTATCCTGAAACACAGCTCCATTAATTTTGAGATATGCCCCCTACTTGCATAGTCCCTGTTCGCGTGCCCGTCTAAATCGGTGGCGTCGCTAACTTTCAACGACCTTAAACACTCTGCTCTGCTCGACAACACACATCACTCCCCAGGTCCAACCCAGCAGTTCCACATCATCAAGATGGGTAAAGGTACGTCGCAAACACTCCTACTCCTAAAGTATTGCTCCCAAACCTTCCAAAAGTTCCAATACTAACCTCTTTTCCACACACCCCAGGAACCGACAAACTCTACATCACCCACTCAGAATGGTCCTCCTCCGACGCCTACTCCGCCAGCACCGGCTCCTCAGCAGGCGCTAAATCCCGCTCCGGCACCTCCTCCTCCACCTTCCGCCGCCTCCCCTTCAACTTCTGCGCCGCGAGCCTCCAACCCTTCAAGAACCCCGTCTGCACCCCCGACGGCACCATCTTCGACGTCGAGGTCATCGGCGCGTGGCTCGAGAAACGCGGCACGAACCCCGTGACGGGCGAACCACTCAAGAAGAAGGACCTCATCAAGCTCAACTTTACGCGCAATGCCGACGTGGATTCGCGGGGTGCGGGGCTTAGTGACGGGTTGGGGGATTTGGTTGATCCGGTGACGTATAAGGTGTTTACGGATAATACGCACATTGTGGCGATCAGGCATGGGTCGTATGCGAATGTCTTTGCGTGGGATACGGTGGAGAGGATGAATATCAAGGCGAAGATGTGGAGGGATTTGTTGGATGATGAGCCGTTTACGAGGGCAGATATTATTACGTTGCAGGATCCGCAATTTACGCATAGCCGTGACTTGAGCAAGTTTAAACACCTTAGCGATGGCGGAGAGGCCATCTTGACCAAGGAGCAGGAGGAGGAGAGGAAAAGCGGAGGTGTGAACGTGGATGCGCTAGGGAGGATTGGGGACAAGGTGCTCAGGGCAAAGGCTGCGGTCGAGAAGGCGAGAAAGGAGCGCGAGGCGGGCAAGGACGTGAACAAGTCCACAGCCCTAACGAAATCCCCCGGCACTTCGCGACAGTCGACCACCACCGCCGCGTCCGGCGCGAAGGTGATACCCGCCAAAGCAGCCATATACACAACGGGGAAAGCGGCGGCGAGTTTTACCAGCACGGGCCTAACGCCCGAAACGAGCGGGGCACGCGCTATCCTGACTGACGAGGAGTTCATGCTCAAACCGCGCAGGGTCAAGATCAAGGGGTACGCGAGGATAGAGACGAACCTCGGCGACATCAACGTCGAGCTACACACCGACACGGCACCTAAGGCCGTGTGGAACTTTGTCCGCCTGGCACAAAAGGGCTACTACAACGGCGTCGCCTTCCACCGGAACATACCCAACTTTATGATCCAGGGAGGCGACCCGACGGGCACCGGCCGCGGGGGCTCTAGCATATGGGAGAAGAACTTCGACGACGAGTTCGATGGGCCCTACACCCATAGCGCGAGGGGCATCCTCAGCATGGCGAATAAGGGAAAGAATACCAATTCGAGCCAGTTCTTCATCACCTATAAGCCGACGCCGCACCTCGATAGGAAACATACCGTCTTCGGTCGCGTCGTCGATGGCATGGACGTCCTCTCCAAGATGGAAGACGTGCCTACCGATGGCTCTAATCGCCCGCTAAATAAGATTGTTATGAAGAACGTGGTCGTGTACCTCGATCCGTTCGAGGAGTTCCTAAAGCAACGGGGTGAGCAGGAGAAGCTTGAGCAGAAAAAGGAGGCCATCAGAAGGTCTGGTGGCACGGAAGACGACAGGACAACGTGGACGGGGAAGAGGCTACGAGGGGCCGGGTCCCAGGGCGCCGGAGACTCGGCGCCCGATGTGGGCAAGTATCTGAAAGCGTCAACTGGAGGTTCTGCGGCGCAGGATTCCTTAGAGGTCGAGGAAGAGATCGACGCATGGGATGCGCCGGCTAAGAAAAAGGTGAAAGCCGGAGGGTTTGGAAATTTTGATAACTGGTGAAGGCAATACCCGGACCATAAATAAATGCTCTCATGATATACAGATACAGAAGGCGTAACTCGGAGTGGGTTTTCTTTTCCAAAATAGAGACTATTTTGCTTTCATGACTCTCTATCCTCTCTCTAATAGCCAAAAATGTCGTCGATGCAGTAAACGTCATTTTCTGGCTTTCACATAACCAGACGTTTTTTTTCTTTTCCCTTAGAGATGACCTATATATACACACAACGCCTCTCTCAATCCCATATCCCTACGTTTAGGAAAGATACACAAGAATTCATAAACAAGAAAGTGAAGAGAAGAAGAAGAAGAAGAAGAGAGAAAGAGAAATGGAAAGAAAAGGAAAAGAAGAAAAAAAAAGAAAAAGAAAAAAGGAAGAAAAGAGGAAGAAGAAAAAGAAGAAGAAAACGAAAGACAATCCCGTTTACAGTCGTACGGGAGTCGGCTCGCCGGACACGTCGGGTATGCCGTCGATGGGTGCCGAGGAAAGTCGGTCGGGATACAATTCTCTCGCCGCCACGGCATCCGCCACGCTCTTCGCTTGCATGAGGCCGGTTTCCATGTAAACAGCCATAAGCCTCTCAATGACGTACTGCTTAACCTTGGGTGTGCAGGTGGAGGACACACCAACGAGATAGAGCGGCCAGACGATGGGGCTGCGGGATGAGGTGAGGGACATGAAGAGAGAATCGGTATCGGCTAGTTCATCAGAAGGGCCAAGAAGGTCGAGTATGGTGGGAGTGAAATGTCGCGAGCGGCTGGGGAAGGCATCGGGGGACGGAGAGAAGGGGGAGGGTGAAGGCGAAGGCCCCGCAGAAAATGCCGAGGGGGGCGATGAGACGACACGATACGGAGCGTCATTGGCGACGGTGATTGATATGGGCCCAAAATAGGTTGACTCCGGATCAGATCCAGACGATTTGACATCGCGGGAGCTGACTACTCCAAAGTGCTGAGGTATGCTGGCAAGAGTCGCATCTCGGAGTTGATGCAAAAGCCGGCGTGACCGGGCAAATTGGACCTTGTGCTCCATTGGCACCATGCTAAACTTCCGTCCTCCGAAGAATCTGGACAGTTCAGAGAGAATTGTCTCGTGCACGAGCATTCTCATCGAGCGCAAGCCGTTCCATGTCGTTGCGCTCTCAGTAGACGAGTAGACGTGGCAAACAGGGGTAAAGGCGATGGGGTTGGGTGTGGAGAGCTCCACAATGTTGTACTGAGAAGAATCCGGGAGGCAGGCCACCAGTGCAATGTATTCGTCGTCTAAAGCGAGAAGAGCTTGGATAATACTTTGGGTGCTACTCAGTCGGCCGCATTTTATATCGTGTCGTAATTGGAGCATGTTGTACATGGGAGATGCCATCGCAAACTTTGAATTCAAAGGCACCAGGGCGGCCTCGAGCTCGTCCCTAAGCTCGATCAAGCTATCGGGTATAGGTACATCTCGATGCAGGCAACTGAGGGTGATGGATCGGCAGAGCATTAGAAACATGCGAATGCCTACCTTGGTCTTGAACTGATCTGGGCCGCGAAGCTTAGCTAGAGCGGCAGCTCCTTGCATGTGGCCTTGCCATGCGTGCATAGTCTCGGATGCGGAACCCGTAAGCATCTCATAGGTCCCAAGAATGAGTACAGCGAGAAGCGTGCTATCCTTCGTGGCTTCTTCGGGATCTTCGAGTGCGTCGCTAATGAGTCGCAGCGCAGCAACGTAGCTCTGCCGGGCCCAATCCAGTCGTTCGGGAGACCTCGTCAGTGACGACATGGCCGCTAAGCCAACTGCCGTCATGCTCGCGAGGACTGCGTCAACCCGCCGATCCTGCACGCCACGCGACGGCTGCCATACTTCGTAGATGAAATCGTAATTATGGTAGTCCGTAGTCTCCTCAGTGGTGACATATCTGGAGAAGAAGAAGGCGACGCCTTGCTCCTGGAACGACGGAGACAGTGTGTAATCGAGAGCGGACGGCGGCGGTGAAGGCCAAGTATCTTCTTCTGGTGAGGGAAGGAAGAGATCCTCATCGTCACTTGACTCGGCTTCAGTACGGCGATTAAAGTAATCAGCAGGGCCGGCAGTCGAGGGGGTTAATATCGACAACGTTTTGAAGGAGGGCTCCAGCGTCGCATCCGTGGGAGACAACCTGTCCCGGCGCTGTTGAATGAAGCCGATGCTGGGACTCGCAACACTAGGTGAGTCGGTCCTGGGAGAGTCTGAGACGGCACTGGCAAGGCTAGGGGAGACCGAACCTCTGGCGGACCGAGCCCGGCGCTCCTGTCGTTGTGCAGCCTTCTTCTTCTTGGTACCACTAGTCGGAGAGGTAGACTTTGGCCTGGGAGCTCGCGACTTCGATTTGGTGGCCTTCCATATAACATGCTCGCTTTCATCGCGGAACATTAGGTCGACGATGTTCCTGTAGCCAGGACACACCCGGTTGTGCTTTTCGCACATGCGGCATCCTGGCATTCGTTGGTCGCACTGCCATCGAGTAAAGGCGTTAGAGGCGGCCACTGGCAGATACTACGGCGTCACCTAGACAAAGGAAGAAAGAGAAATGTGCGGAGGTGGTCGTATTGTCATTTCTGAAAACATGGATGCACATAAGCAAGAAAAGGGAACGCAAGAAGAGACGAAATAAAAGCTTGATAGAAGAACCAAAAGACGACGCGTTCGGGTCGCGATGCGAGCGATACGAGGGAGCAACGACAATATACGAGGGCGCGATAGGAAAAAAAGAAAGAGATTATTTTTTTAAATAAAAAAAAAAAAAAAAAAAAAAAAAAAAAAAAGAAAGAAAGAAAAAAGAAAAAGAAAAGTAGAACGAGAAGAAAGCTCTTCAGGTAAATTGAAGGGCGGAGACGGCATGAGAGCGTCTGCTCAGAGCCAGAAGATGAAATAACTCGAGACTTACTGCTATCTTCCTCTCGCGACAGTTCTGGCAACCCTTGGAAGGCTTGCCACAATACACCATTTTCTGTATTTGGGCACAGCACCAGGTAATACGGGGACCCTCCGAGCGGGCAGGGACTGGGGATTCGGGAGAGTCGATCTGGAAGTGGACAGAGCGGTGGGGTGAGAGGGAAAGCTTGTTAAAAGAGGAAAGCTGGAGAAGGAAATATATCCGTTTATGGACAAGGCTCGAGGGGGCGAAAAGAGTGTTCGGATCCGAGTGGCCTGCCCGGAATAGGGTCAGGTACTAATGACAATATGGGCTCCAGTCTGATCGAGTCGAATTGGTCTCGGAGCTGGGAAAAAAAGAATTGGGGGTTCCCAGTCAGGGAGAAGAAGCATGCATGCCTGAAGAGAATCGATGGGACTGACTGGGAGACTGAGGAACAGGCGGAAAGGTTAGGACTCCAAGTACTAATATTATTGCGGCGGGTAGAAGGGACGTGATGAGAATGGCGTTGTGTCGTGTCAAGCCTGCGGTGATGGATGGCGGCAGTGAACTATTTCGACATCAAATCAATAAATGTGAGCCGAAGTACTCCCAGACCATCGCAGGTGTGCAAAGGTAGCGTGCATAGGTAGCGGGTAGCAGACGGTAGGGAATGGGGAGTACTTCGCAGGCAATGGGCGGGCAGTGGACAAGGGGGGCTATGTTAAAGAATTGCCGCTTGATACGAAGTAGGCATCATTAACAATCAAACGAGCGTCCAGCATGAGCGTGGGGAAAGACGGGCTGCGGCCATGAGGAAAAAGGAGACACCACCAAGGATCAATGTGGCAGGTGGTGAGTCGGTCGTGCGACATGAGAAGCCGAAGCCAAATGGCGGAAACCAGCCACAGGAGGAGCACGATTTGGAGCAGGAGATGAGGTTGATGTGGATGGGCATGGGGCAAGATCCAATAGGGCAAACATGCTGGGGGTGTCTTGGGGGTCTGGGAGTGGTCGTTATTCAGGGGTGCATACTTTGTGGAGCCCGAGGAGCCAAGAGAGACAGCAGAAGATGTGCAGGCTCGCGTTTTGACCAATAGAAGAGGCGGAAAGCGGGGGATCTCGCCGTTCAAGTCGTGAGGATTGCTGGGCTTGGCGGATAGGATAGGGGGATGGGGGATCGAGACACGGGCAGCGAGTGAATGATGGGAGGGCGGTTCGCGACCTCGACGCGAATCCCTAGAGATGACAGGAAAAGCAGTCGAGACGAAACGATACCGATGAGTCCAGGACCGTGGTTATTGGGTTGTCGCCGCGACTAATCGAGATGATTGGTGCTGGACTAGATATGCTTAATCCAAGCGAGGATTCTTCGTTTCCTTCGCGGGATATGCGGCAGGCATCAGGCGATGAGATCGTTCCGAGGTTTAGTGTGGTCCTTGTTCGCGATTTCCGAAGCGAGAGCCTTGGACTTGCTCGATGCTAGCAAAGTGAGGCAAGCACAACCCATCATATGCTTGTGCGAAGTCTTGTGCTCCAACGCCTCGAGTAACAGAGTGGAAGGAACAAACGGGAGGCAACCAAGATGCTCGAGCTTGGGCCGCACTTTCCCAAGCCCACGAAAATGCACCTTACTTCTCCTGGCGAAGGAAGGAGCATTCAAAGCCCGCTTCAGGGTTTCAATCTCCAAGCGGTAATTAGCGGACGCAACACTAAAGGACGAAAAAGAGACAAAAATAGAACAGACGCGGAATTAACAACGGCTCCCATTTCGGGTTCTCCACCTCGGTCGAGTGCACCATCGGGTTGCTCTTGAAACTCATTACCCCCACGACAGGAGAGGTCCAGTTGTCTTCCGAAGTATTAACCTCTTAATTAGTGCTGGACCCCTATAGGGCTGAGGGCTGAAGCACAGCCATCGTCATGTCCATCACGGTCGCCGATTAGGTCAAGTTTGGATCTTGGATCTGAGTTCTGAAGTGGGGACAGCAGCAGCACAGAGATCTCCAGCTCGTTCATCGAGACAAAAAGGACTGGAGTCTTGCAAGCCACATGTAAGGAGATGCGTCGACTAGAACATTACATGCCAGATTTCTCTTAGTCGGGACAGCCCTACTGCCGGGGATTCCTAATCCGGCCGATAGGGAAGTGAAATGATCAATATTGAGAGCACGCTTCGGACGAGCGTGACGAGCGTGACTACCATCAATCTACACCTTTGTACTAGTCCGAAGTAAGTGCTCGCGAGTTCAAAATTGGCCATTGATTGATATTGGTCAAGACCAAACATGGTTGTCTTGATCCGTTGGAATATTGAACCCAAGTACTTCATAATGTGTGGCAATGCTACCACCACTGCATCAGAGCTGCATGTACGACCATGCAGTCAGACCTTGGATACTGAACCCTCTGCACAAGTGAATGATCAGCAACGGGGATTGGCGGAGATTGGGCTGGGACTGACCAGCCACGCCCAAGCCTTGAGGCCGTTCTGCGCAGTTTTTGATCCAGATTGCTGGCAACGCAACGGAACCTCGGTTGCAAACCCAACCCGACTCACCCCGTGAACTTGGTTGGTCTTATGCACTACTTCATACTGCTGCTTCTCCATGGCCCGATGATAAGATCCTAGAGTAGTCTTAGCAATGCGTTTGTTACATGCAGGCAGTTGCTGGGCACGAGATCCTCTTTCGTAGGCGAGCAGCTCTTGCTGACCACAATCCCCAATGTTGCCCAGTGCAGCCGGGCATGGACCAAGCCCCCCTTCTAGAAGCTCATCCCATGCATCGCCAACGTCTTCCCGAGCCTGCCCAGGCCAAAAAATAGCTCAGCCACCCGCCATCCCAAGATGGGAAAACCATTGATTCAAACAGCAAAACAGCGGCCAAGCCTCAATTTCACATATTGATCCGCCTCGGATCAAATGCATCCACAAAGCAAAAGAAACGAAAAAGGGAAAAGAAGTGGCTGATGAAGGCCGTGTCGCAAGGCGCGAAAACCTCACCCATGTGTCACCGTGACCACGACTTTGTCTCATCTATTTGTTCTCTTCTTGAAAGTAGTGACACATCAAATGACGGGCTTCGTTGCTTCTTCCCCCCACCTCCTCAAGCTGCCAAAAGAAGGAATCGGCCCGGCCCTCACATCCCCGCGTCGATAGTGCAGAGTGTCATCCCCATTCTGCCATCACCTCATAGCTCTTTCGCCGTCCTTTCAGTTTATCTCGAATCGAGTCAAAAGAGGAGAGGTCGATACTTTGTTGTTCGAAGTTCATCCACCAAATGAACAAGAGAACCTAAACAGAACTTAGAGAGACTGCCCGCCCAGTGCCTACAACTGAGCCATGTTGCACGCGAGATCGACAACTCCCTGGCGTGATAATGCCCTGTATTCAGAGTTTACTTCGTAGTTTTCAAGACAGCTACCTATAGGGTCCAAAAACCGCGCAATCGTGATAGACACACCGACTATTGTCTCCTTGGCTCCTTGAGCTGAGTTCGTTCCGTCGGTGTAAATCTCACCCCCGGCCGGCGGGCTCTCACCTTCTCTCGGGCCCGACTTGCAGAGAGAAGCTAGGATGATACACCAAGTTCCAGCTCACTGAGGCGCAGCAGCTAGCTGAGCTACGCCCGAGCACTAGATCGTCGGATATCGGAGGCGCCCGTCTATTTCTTGCTTTTCTAGAAATTCCGTCGCCTATTCTTCATTTCATGGTGAGACAAAGGAAAAGATGGCTAGCAAAATAGAGTCGATCAATTACGAACTAGGTATATCTGAATGTAAGAAAAGATTGCCAACCGCCCAGGCTAGCATCGGAGATATCCAAATCCATCATTGCATGACAATCACAAGCCCAACTTCAATACCGAAAAAAGGGTTCAGAAAAGGTGAAAGATAGCCAAACAAGCAATCAATCCGCCCATCGCAGTTCCGACCCTTCCAGCACCAGCAATCGCCGGTCCGGAGGGCTTCGCAACAGTTCCGATAACGCCGCTTCCCGTGGGACTCACACCACCTATGCGACTGACCGTTGATACCGTCCCATTACCCTTGCCGGAGCCCAAAGAAGCACCCCCAACCGCGGCATCGACGATGACCAAGTCGCTGGCGCCAACAACAACGGGCGTGTTTCCAAGAGCCACAGTAGGCCAGGGCTCCTCAACCTCAACCGTATGCTGCGTCGGCGGCTTCCTCGTCGTAGGCTCAACAAACGAGTTGACAATCGGCGTCTCGCAAGCCGAAAGAACAACTAGGTCCGTAATAACATGTACGTAAGCGACGGGGTTAGACGCGCCTGGCCTGGGAGAAGCCACCTTGGCGGAGGGGGCAGCAGACGGTGGCTCGGCGGGTAAGGTGACCTTTGCGCCGGCGGGGCATACGGTCGTGAAGGCGCTGATGGTGCGGGTGACGATGATTTGCTGTTCCCAGCTGGCGGGGCAGTTGATGACTCCAGCGGCGCAGCTGGTGATGGTGTAGACGGTTGTAGAGTAGACGGTCGAGGTGACGAGACTGGAGTTGTTCGCGCTCGTGATGATCTCGGGGGAGTCGGATTCGACGACGCTGGAAGGCTGAAGGTCGATTATCGAGGCAACCGCGGTGGTGAAGCCAGTAGCTCCAGAAAGTGTCGCCGTGAAGTTCGAGCCGCCAGGGATTTTAACGACGCTAGAAGGTTGATGATCGATGATCGCCTCGACCGCGGTAGTGAGGCCAGTAGAACCAGAAATTGTCGCCGCAAAGGAAGAGCCGCCACAAGAGATTGTGTGGATAAAGGCAGTGCTGAAGGATGATGGCAATGCCTGCGAAGGAGTGGGAAAGATGTCCGATTCCAGACCAGAAGCCGGCAGCGGTAGGAGGACGTCGAGGTTCTTTTCGTCGGGGATGGCGTCGCTCGTCTGGGCTGGGGCACCGCCGAGGAGACATTGCGTCCAAGTGGGCGAGTTGACGAGGGTCGTGGACACGGTGGGGACGGCGCCGATGCGGGTGAAGTCGACGACGACGTCGAAACGGGCGAAGGCACCGACGTTAAGATCGAACCATTCTCGGGCTTGCTATAGTTTTGCGTACAAATGACATGTTAGAGGGATTTTTATTTATTTATTTATTTTATTTTTTTTGATTTCTTGGGGTGAGAGAAGAGAACAAAGCAGAAGGCAAACATACGAGAGCGCAGTTGGGGGTGGAGTCAAGAACGGTGACGAATTCAACAATGTTGGCGTAGATGCCAACGACGGCACCGGCGCCGAGTCCGATCAGGTCGATATCGGCTTCGATTCCGCACTGCACGCGGAGACGGAGACTAGCCTTGAAAGTGCCCGAGCCGGTCTTTACCTCAACCGGGATAGACTTGGTACCGATTCCATCACTATGGAGTAGGGGTTTCTCATAAGCAACAGTAGTCATAGCGAATTTTCACATAAATCTGGGAGATCACTTACAAGACATGATCGACAATGTCCCCGGAGAAGACATCCGTCTCCAAAAACGATCCTGGCGCAACCTTGACGTAGAAACCGCCGGTCAAGTCAACCTCAGCCGCAAGGCTAAACACCAAGTCGAGGTGGAAGACAAGTCCGATATCGAGGCCGGGCAGACTAAGACCAACGGGGGTGCTCGAGCTGAAGAGATCAATGGCATAGGTAGCAGCAGCGCTTGACTTGATGCCGAGGTCGACGTAAGCCTCGACCTCGTCAAACTCGAGGCGCACAACAGGGTCGAAAATATTTTCAGTTGTAAGCCTCGCGGTGACGCTACCTTTGGTCCAGCACTCCTGGCAGATAACCTCGAGGTTGACGTGCTTCGGTTCCAGCTCGTCGACCTCGGTCCACGAGCTGTTTTCGGCCGTTAAATGTCAGTCTGTGTGTGGTGTAGCGGGGTTCGCATCATGTATATTGAATCTGGGGAAATATCCACAAGGCGCTGATCCTCATCTTAGGAGAAGGAAATAGAGGAAGAAGAAGAAATAATCACGTAATAGAAGAATAACAACCTACCCGCCGAACAAGACCTCATTGTTCCACTGCCTATCAAGAGAAAAGTCCGCGGATAATCTCTTCTCAAGATGTCCGTTGCGCAATGCCTCCATGGGATCCCGTGGGGCGAGCTCGTTGAGGACCCTTACGTCGATCGCCGTAGGGCTGGCCGCGCACAGCGAGCCGGCCACGAGGGCCGTGGCGAGGGCCCGAAAAGCATTGATAAACATTATGAATGAGCGACGGCGTTTTCTTTACGAAAACAATCAATCAAAAACGAGAGTGGATCAAGGAGTGGATGCAGCGAAAAGACACGCTGCCGATTATGGTCGCGACCACTTGAATACAAAAAGAACGACTGAAGTGAGTTGTCGAGACGGTTGCCAGACAAGAAGGGATCGCGTCTACAGCATCAGAGCCGGATGGAGCATCCTCTCTATAAATCATATCCCTTCTCCAAGCCCTACGGTTTGCCTTCTTGAGCAATGAACTAATCTGGAGTGTTCGTTGATTCCATTTGCTACGTTCGCATTGAAGCGCAATGTAAAGATCGCGACAAATCAGAACGCAATGCGCGAAGGTTACACTCCTGCTACCCAGCCGGTCCGCTCGGCCGTTTAGAACCTTCACCGGACACGAGAAGCCCACATCGCGCGAGGCTCGAGTGGGTTTGCGCAGTTGGGGGTCTTTTTGTATACACATTGAGCGCCTAGAGACTAAGATCTGATCACATGCGCTTTCCTCAGCTTCCTTCTTGGGTGTGCCTTAATCTGAAACTCCGTCGATCCCCAATCCTCAGCAGGTCCACGAAGAAGGACGGACGAACCTTTGTGGTGGGACGGGGATGGGATGGGAACGAGGCCAAGAAATATTATGGTTGGCCGTCGATGCTGGGGGACAAGGGGCCACGGAGATGTTTCTTGAAGTGGTGATTGGTTTTTCCGGTGATGCTATCAGGGGCTCATCTGCCGAGGCGACGAACCAATCGATGCGCAGAATGTCCACTTTCATCTTGTGAAAGGTTGAAATTGACTAGTGATCTGGGATTCGAAGGAGGTTTTCTCGGACAAGAAATGGAAAAACGGCATTGATTGGCATAAATGGTTGCGAAGTAAATTTAAAAAGAGTGCTTGAGTATTATCAAGTATTATATCTGAGGTAAAAATGGGGGCATCGCAACTGTCTTTTGAGCCATCGCGCCAGCAAATGGCGCTACTTCGTAGACTTTGGGATATTATACAAAGAACAACCTTAGAGAAAGAAAGATAAAGAAAATACGAGAAATGGGGGGAAAGGAGCGAGAGTTCGGAGATGGAAATTACCACGAGTGGTCTATAATGCAAACTAAGAGACGGGCCGGTCGTGGTGGTATGGGCAGGTTAGCCTAAAGGGGGCATAACGCCTCGAGCGCAGCGATTGCCCTAACTTTTTCATCAAAGCCATGCGTCCAAAAGAGTCCAAACAGCCGCGCGACTTCGATTGAGCGCCGGTCCTCTTCCGAAATGTCTCCGATCTCACCGTAAAAAGTCTCCCAGAAACGCTGCCGGATGCTGTAATGACTAGCATGGAGGTGCCAACTAGTCAGGGTCTGAACGCCAAGCACAGTCTCGAGGCCGGCGATAGAAACCCCAAATGGCGCAATGATGGCATCAGCCCAATCGACGATTCCTGTGACCCGGCCTGTGGCCTCATCCACATGGATGTTGTTCTCCAAGAGGTCGTCATGTTGGACAACCACGGGGTAGCCGGGCCTGAAGAGAAGCGGGAGTCCCTGCCGGACCTCGTCTACCTTAGCAAGCAACCGTTCAGACAGAGGCAAACGCTGAGAAACTTGGTCAAGAAACTCGTAATACTCTTCGAGCAAGCCGGGAGGCTGCTCAACGGCTGGCCTATTGTTCCACGCCGAAGCAAAGAACCTAGAGTCTCTAGTTAACGAGAAGCCTCAAGTAGGGGGTTCGTTCAGATGTTCATCCGTAGACGGACCTTGCAAAGTCCTCCACAATGCGATACAAACGCTGCTCCATCCCGACACCAGGGGCGAGGAACTGACGACGGACTCGGCAATACGCGGGCCCTGGTGCCAGACCCAGGACGTAGACATGGACATCCCCTGGCATGGTGCCATGGTGCTTGCAATCAGGGACGAAATCCCCGTAAGACTTTCTTGCAAGCTCAACACGTTCCATATCTAACGGCCTAGACCGAAATTGGATCACTTTAGACGCTTGCTTGGGGTCTCTTGGCGCAGCGGTAGAGCTGCCCCCACCCTGTACGGGGGTTGGGGAGACGGGACATTTTAGAATATCGGCTGCGAGCTGATCACAGCCGTTTTTTGTTGTAGGTCCATGCTTCTCGAAAAACTGGGATATCTGGAAAGCGGACAGTTTGTCAAAGCTGTCTGGCCCTGCTGCGTGCTTGGAGATATCAATATCCATAACGAGGGGTTATGAGTACTTGGATGATAACAATGTTGCTTGTCTGGAACCTGGACATGATTGATGCTTCCTTCAGGGGCAGCCGGAGAACATTGAAACTGGTCCCTCATGGCCCTGAAGATATCAATTCCCCAAATCGGTTCTGCCAATGAGCCTCTATTGCAAACCGGATCTTCTCACGCAAGCGCGAGAATTGCTCTCCTTCGAAAGACATAATCTCCGGGCTATACTTGGTCTGTTTCGTCGTTCGCATCAAACACCTTGGGGAGAGAAGTCATCGTTCATCCATTTCAATCATGCTAGTACAAATGACAGAAGAAGGAAATACAACGCCAGAACATCTCCCAAAGCCGTTGGCAGATCCACCACGAAACCAACTGAAGAAATACATGAATCAAGCGATGAACCTAACATTCCAACCGAGATAGACCAACCAAATATATGAAAACCAACCATCAGAAACCGCCGCCAATCCCCAGAGTAAGCAATTTCGGCTGCGAATGGAACAACGACCCAGACTGATCAATCCCACCCGACGGCCCAACATCATCATATGGAAAAGCATATCCCCTCCCCGCAATGCTCGTCTCATGGCAAATCCTCGAATAATGGTTCGTCACAACCTCCCTATAATACCCATCGACTTTCTCCCCCTCCGGCTGCCTATCGTTTGCCAGGAGCGTCGACCGGTTAAAAGCAGCAGCCAACCTAGCGCCCACATTCCCGCGAAGCTCCGTCCACTCGGGCCCGCGCGCAAACGGACCGCCATCGCAGTTGAAAATATCCGCCGCCGTCGGTTTCACGAACCCGGCGCCAACCCCGCCGTCAAAAGTAAGCAGTCCGTCGTCCGTCACGCGACCGTGGACGTCGCCCCAGTTGCCGTTTTGTGTGTTCACCGTCAGAGTAGCATTCGCGCGGCGGTACTTCTCCCACACGGCGTCGACGTGGGCCGCGTAATAGTCCTTGAAGAGGGAACCGCCCGATGAGATGGTGCCGGAGTTGGGGCTGAGCGCGCGGAGGTTCGAGACGCCGTCGGGCTTGCGCACGACGAGCTTAGACCAGCCAGCGTGATCGCGGGCATCTTGGTCGAGGAGCTTGGCGCAGACGGTGTCGAGGGCGTTCGGGGGCATGCCTTCGACGACCATTTTCTCTCCAGTCTTGGTTTCGAGGGTGAGCGAGACGGGGATGCTGACGAAGTCGACGTAGGAAACGTTGACGTAGAGCTGGAAGTCGTTGTAAGTGAACTCGGCGAAACCCCAGCTCAGATTATAGTTGGGGTCCGTGGGGTTGTGGACAGACGGCTCGACGATGGCCGGGCCTGGGTTGATGAGGAAGGTGAGTGGGCCGTCTTCGCAGTACCAGATGCGCGCGCTTGCGAGGCGCGGAACGGTGACGGTCCTTATGCTGCCCGGCGCGCCGAGCGAGATGGCGCAGTTGATGGGTAAGGGGCTCAGGATCTTGCCGGGAGACTCTGGGTAGTAGGGAGCCACCCCGTCGGACTGGAGGAAGAAGGGCGCATTCCCCTTGTCGAAGGCAAACCCCGTAATGTGAGCATAGAGGTTGGACGAGTGGGTGTTGTTTTTGAGAACGATGTTGATCGTCGGGTCCGTGCCGGATGGAGCCATGCTTTTGAAGACCTGCGGCGCAGGGGACGCCGAAGGACTAGCTGCGAGAAGGGTCCTTTGTTCTTGCAATGGCTGTTTTGCCTGAGGCGTCTGGGTTGGAGCACTTTTGGAGGTGTCCCGGGCAAGAGCTTTGCTCACTTTGCCACGAAGGCGGCTGATGACACTCTTGAACTTCATTGAAATGAGAAGGAGCCTTTATATCTTCTCTAAACTTCGGGTTTGGGGCTGTGGGAATCGGCCGGAGCTTGCTGAGCAAGGGTGTAAGTGCTAGTGAGGATTGAAGATATAACTACATATGGGGAAGCCGAAGAGGATGAAAGTAAATGAGAGTTCTTGGGAGTTACATCATATACTTAATAGATTTCGAGAGCTGTAGAAACCTATTTCATTTTTTTTCTCCATCAACGATGGTGGTCTTCGCGTCTCAAACTGCGACATCCTGCCCGGGTGACCTCTGGTGACCCTGCTGCAACCCTTATGTCTCGAAAAACAAAGTCTAGCGTTTGGAGATGGGAGAGAGGTATTACCCCGCTGGAGTGGGAAACGAACAAGGCAATGGTGGTTGCATGGCCAATTGTACATGGTGGATGAAGGAGAGGTAAAAGAGTCTAACTTTGGGGAAAGATCATGTTCTCTGGACGCTAACCAAAGGGCTCCAATAATAGACGACGCCTCTGCCTGATGGTGGATTCAATAGTCCAACGGACCATTGAGACATCTGTATTAATATGGACAGGGCTGCATCATTTCAGCTCGCCCGATCGGATCCAGGAATCTCGACATTGATCTAAACTGGAATCCCCATGTCGCTTTCAAAGGAAACTACGTGGAGTTTAAAGATAACCTTCTTCATGATGGCACTGGCGCTAACCCTGATCAAGACTGACATGAACATTCCTAGCCAGGCTCTATCGTCGAGTAAAAGAGCCCAGCTGTCAATGTGCTATCAATCGTTTGCTATTATAGCACGACCACCCTCCCAGGAGACAACTCCATCAGGCCATGCCACGCTGGTGGGCAAAATCGTGGTTCACCGCTCCTATTTCTTGATTGGTGTATTGCCAGCTTCTCTGTACCTGTTATTTTTGGGCTTATGCAATATCGTCTCACCTATACCTATTTATCCTACAAGGAGGGCAGTCTTTTTACTACGTATTTATCTATTCGAACAGCGCAGTCTCGTGCCGTTGTGCAGGTTGCTCTTCAACATCTCGGCTCAATTCTGCCGCGAAGGTGCATGGTGACGTCTGAGTCGATGATATGAACAGCCACGAGACCTTGGGTAGCTTCAGGATGTTTTGAAACATCAAGCTCTGATCCACTTGATATGGAAAAAGATTGCCAAGAATAAGGTGCTGCCACGTAAAGGTAAACTGGTTGGTCCAGACAGGGGAATCACTACGGAGTACATTGGGCTCATCGCCCAATGTGAAGTCTACGCATATCTCGCCGCAGTCTGCCGCCGTATGCCTTGACACTTCCTGGAAGAGCTTATTATTACAATGCCATGAACAATATCATATGCTTAGGTATACTTCATGTCGATGGTATTAGCGGAAGAAATAAAAAAAAAAAAAAGACAACAGATTAGTTGAATACCCCGAAATGTAACTCCCATGCCTGGTGTCCGCCCTTGCAACAATCCCGGAATATGAGTCTCCTAAACGCATAACAAAAGCCAGCCTAACCTAGCCCATCATGATTCTGTCGTAATAGCCTATGAATAGTATCGTTACCCACCGAGCGTATTCGTCCCTCGCTTCGGATGGTCCGTCGTGTCCCTTTGTCAAGTTCGCCTCAAGCGCCGATTCCCCAAGTCTCCTTGTCCCATATACCATATAGCGCAAGCTGTCTTACTCTTGCGGAACCCGCCTCCGGCCGAAGAGTCTCCTGAATATGCCGCCGATCCACTCGACAAAGAATGTTCGGATAATCGTCGCAAACCAACTCTTCTTGTTGTCGCCCTTAAGCGGGGGAAGCCCGTCGCTGGTCGGTAGAGTATCCGCCGCTCCTACACGCCGCCTTAGCAACATTCCTGAACTTAGACCTGCAGAAGTTGAAGACGCACGCGCATTTGTGTTATTCTCGGGACCGTCTTGCTCGGCGGTACCAGCAGAAGCAGCAGCGTCGGTAGCCGGAGCCTAAATTGGGCCGTTAGGCTTTGGTTAGTATCTTTCATCCTTGACATACACATCGATCGCCCTAAAAATAAGGTTTACAGGGTCCAACCTACCCCCGGAGCGCTATTCTTGAGGAGGTCGTCTGTAGAACCGTGGTTCGCATGTATATATTCACCGTCGGATACTGGCTCGTGTTCTGTCGGCTCTGTCGTAGCCGTGCCATTTTGATGCCCGTTCGCGATGACATCACTCCTGTCCGTCAACTTTTTCACCTCGACCAAACTGGGAGCTTTCAATACATTGTTCTGGTTCCCAGCCGAGTCGGTAACTGAGTGATTTCGGAGGCTGTGAGTTAGTATTTGGTCAAATCAACAATCCGGCCCAAGAAGAGGCACGGCGACAGCTGTTGAAGGTGTAATAATGGCGTACCGGTCGGAGCATCCTCGTTTAGCGCCCACCAGTTCCCGGTGCCCACGCGAAACTTGTACTGAATCTCGGAACCGGGCTCAACCTTGCACGTGTGGGAAAAAGCGTGCTCGCCGTCCGAACCGATCGTGTACGACATTTCCTGGGCCGTCCATGGTGGTTCTGTAAAAGTGCCCGCAACGAAGAGGGGTGGTTGCGTGCCGGGTTTCCTGTAGCTGAGCGTGATGGGGACCTTGCCCGTCATCTCCAGATTACTGCCGAATTTCGGTTACTCTTCAAAGCACTCCCCGAAGAAAGAAGAAGGCGAGGAATTAGAAAGTTGGGCAGGAAAAAGGGAGAAAATAAACAGAAGAAAAAGGTTCGAGATGGCCAGGCCGAAAAGGGTTTCGCTGGTTCGACAAATCAATGTACAGAGTGGGAGTGGATCAGATGATGTATCGACGACAATTGGAGGCGATGGAACAATGAGAGACAATGGAACTTGGAGCCTGAACCAGGACAATGCACTTTGCACTTTGCACTTGGCGAAATCAGAATGGATCAATGGATACAATGGATAGATTGACTTGGAACGTATCACTGATAAGGGCGGGGTGGGACAATGACGGGATAATATGCTTGGATGAGAGAAACAGCACAGATTTGATGATGGAGAGTAATGAGCAGATGGCACTGTCAACGCAAGGAGATGTCAGGAACAACCTGCAGACCGAGTAGCTAAAAGGCGACAATGGAAGGGTCGAATGCATTGTATAAGACGAGACCAGGAAGAACATGCGGAACATGCAGGACGTTGAACAATAGCTTTAAGAGCTTTGTCTCGGCACGATACGTACTCTTGGAAGTACTGTCCAGAGAAGCAGTGCTGTCCTAAAACCCGAAGGATAGGACCCTGAGAGGGTTTAAGTCGGACGATATTGGATATTGAGGATTAGCTCCATCGCTAGGGCTCGAGTGGTACAAACTTGAAGAAGTCCCTTGCGACAAGGAGCAAGCAAAGGCAAAATCAAGAACGGCGTCAGCGATGAGGAGTAGCGATGAGATGACGCGGAGATCAAGCGTTAGAGGAAGGGTAGCTAGTAGTGTCCAGGTGGCGCTGGACCTAGTCTGGCAATTGCTCGTCATGAAGCTAGCCATCCCCAAGCTCCAAGGACACTAATTTAGATTGATGTAAAACATTGCGGTTCATTCCCTCAACGTGGTTTTAGATCTTAGTTGAGATGGGCCATCAGGCAAACCTGGTCTAGTTGATGGATTTGGCGAGCCAAGGTCGAGGAACTTCAAGCTCTCGAAGTACACGAAAGAACAAGCGGGAATCGGCCGGCTGGGTCCAACTGGCAATTCGTTGCACACCGAGGGGCACTGAAACTATGGATATAAGGATGCAGCAACATTTGTTGCATACCGAGGAAGCACACCGAAAATCATGATTATGTAATAAACAGACCCCACCCTTTACTTCTATCGCCTTCCTGGCTCCACAAAGACTAACATGGCAGGAGTGAATGAGGCATTCTGGGCTTTCTGGGTTAAGAATTCATTTTGGGAGAGGCAAAAAGGTGAATCATTGAACATGATAATCGAGTAATATCAACCCACAACACTGTCATTTTTATCTTCTTCTTTCTTCCTCAACAACCACCAAATCCAAAATTTCCTCCTGGGAGTTTGGACGATTCCCAACCTGACTGTGCCCCGCACACACAACATCAGCATACATTTGCCCTACGCATTTCCCATCTTTGTCCTAAGTTTCTAGACCCAACAACAGTAAGGTCAAGTTCATCTCAATCTAGAATCAGAGCTCCGCGCCTGATCTTGTCTAGAGTAGCCATGTCGGTACCTCCCGAGATCATCCGCGTCAAGCGGAAAAGGGACGATGATAGTATCCCTGTCGCCTTCCTCCGTACGTATCTTCTCATTTCCTTCCACTGTCCCATTTGGCACCCATCTGCATTGCCAACAGCCACGATATTGTCTATTCTTTGCTCTGCAGGTGCCACGAGGCCAACCCCTCGTGCCCAGGCTTGGCCCTCCATCTCTTCACATTGGCATTTATCAGGAAGGGCCGCTTAAATAGGCATTGCCTTTATGTATATTTATATATAGAATATTATTGCGACAAATACTAACTTTAACATACTCTAGAGCTTGATGAGGCAACCAAGAGGCACTGTAGTGGCAATTGGGTCTACCAGAGACGGGTCGTACAGGCAACTTACGACATCCGGCCAGTAATCCATTCCACTAAGCCTGAGGATGTTACTGGAATCGAGAAACAGGATTCCTCTATGGAAGGGGTTCCTGAGGGAGCTGCAGAGCAACGCCAGTTTTTCATGTCCAAGTCGTCGTTCCTTTCAGTCCAAGCAGTGGGGCAGATTTCTGCCAGGAAGAGACGCCAGGGAACAGCGGTGTTTGTTGAACGAGAACCAAAGAAAACCCGCCCAACTTCACTACCAAGCGGTGATGCCCTCATTGGCACAGGTACTACTAGTGGTTCACTACAGCAACCCCTTCCCACAAAGGCAACTGCCTCAATCCTCCCCCAAGAAACTCAACATGTGTTTGCATCAATTCAGCCACAGGCCAGCCAGGAGGAAATGGGTCCAGCCAAGGGAGGCCTCGAGTCTGCCGCAGCCGAGGAGCCAAGGAAATTCAAGCGAGCGGGAAGAATGGTCCGGGATCACCCTCGACCTGCAGGAGGAAGTATAGCCGCTGCGGCACCACTTCCAGAGTACCATGACAATATGGAAAAACTTGCGTCTGAGATGGGGGCATGGACCATGGATGAGATTCAGAGGAACCTCGACAAGTTGGAGGGTAAGAGCAGCCGCGCTCAGCCATCTACCCCCTTGCAGGAGCAGCGTCAAGGGCTGGTCGAAAAGAAAGCTGTTTCGCGCTCAACCCTGAGCTTGAGACCTAAGGTGCCTGCTCAGCGGTACGCGGAGCGCCATCCGGAAGCGATGGCTCCAGTAGGCCCCCCAACCGCTTCCGATGGTGCTGCTGTTGGCAAGAAGATCGACGCCTCCTTGGATACGGAGATGGACGTGGATGGTGATTGGATAGAAGAAATTTACCAACGCGTCCCCGCCTCCAAATTGGACGCCACTGTACCCCGTAGCAATGTTGGCGTCATTGTCTTCGAGGATGAGAAGGAGCAGCAGTTCTTCTACGGATCGGGCGAGGGAGACTCGGACGCCGAGATGTGGCAGGACGAAGAGGATGAGAACGGTACGTTAGCGCTTAAGGGGGGGGGGAAGGAAGAGGGGGAGGGGGGGGAGATACCCACCCACCATCCCTGTCAAGAGCAAACGGGATCCCAACAGACGAGCAAATCAAACAACATGGGGTATAATATTGCACACACATTTACTGACATTCCGTCTCTATAGCTGAGGATTACTATGGTGCCGATTACCCCGAGGACGAAGTCGATCCCGATGATGAGTTCGATCGAAATCCGTACAGGTTCCGAACCGGAAACGCCTCTGACGACGAGGAGTTCGACCTTCACGACTACAACGAGGAAGACGACGAATTTAATGAGTTCGCCGATGATGAGAACGATACTGACGCGCACATCATGGCAGGCGAGGATCCCGCGGTTGCGGCTCGCAAGATTCGGCATTTTTTGAAAAGGCACGGGGACGGTCACCTCTACTGACCTCCTCCCCTCCAGCCTGCATCCCAATCCCTACCTGGGTTTTTCTGGAGGATGGAAGGAGGGGGGTGTGCTAGAAGAACGGGTCTTATGAAGAAGGGGAAAACAAAACCGAGGAATCAAGCTGATTGGGGCCTCGTATTGGGAGGGAAGCAACTCGCATTGGGGTGGTAGACTCTTCTAGACTACTGGAAAGATGATTTGACGGGAGACGCGGGTTACTCGTTATAGATCAAGACAGACACAAAACTGACAGTCCATGGAAGCAAAGGCTCCGCCAGGATCCGACAGTCTGGTTCGGCCGTGTCTTTGTTGCCTATGAATTCATGCAGTGTCTACAGAGAAAGAACCAACACAGATATGGGTTTGCCCGAATCAAAAGCCCGTATTCGATGTGCACGGCCAAGCGCCCGTATCCCCCCGCCCCGGATGAGAGGATGAGTGGATCGCTTTGAGCGGTTGTTATTTCCCGTCGAAAGGCGCAAGCGGTTTTTTTTTGTTTTCCCGCCCTTCCTTCGCTGCGTCCCTCCCTCTCGTCTCTCTGACTCGTTCCCCCCGAGTCGTGTTCCCCAGCCATCCCACACCCCCTTCCTCTTCCTTCTCTCTCTCCCTGAATTAGAAAAAATGACGATCACTCCACATTGTAATAAATCACTTCTCGCATTCCTTCTTATCCCTCGCACACCATTCTATGCAGCCCGTGCAGCTTTGGCGGATATGAGTGGATAAAAACAGGTTCAGTCTCGAGTACATGAAGATGAAATGTACTTGTATGTGTACATTTTTTTTTCTCTCACGCGGAAGATTCAGGAGGTTGGACGAGGAAAATGGATTATTATAGCCAAGCGCGGTCTTGGGTGCGGTCTTGGGTGAGCGAGTCACAACGACGTTCCTGGCTCGAATCACAATGGCCTTGTTGAAGGAAATGTGCACACGCAAGTCAAGAGATGTAATCTGGGGCAAAAAAAATCATTTATTATTAACTGTGATTTGATATTGACATCCATCCCATTTGAGTCGATAACCTTAATCTCATCGAGCGAGTCTCAGGCTGACCTCCAGACACTGGCCGCATACATCTGCAGGTAGGGAACGTCAAATACAATGTCATGCTCCCCTGGTCCTGGATGCCGTAGGAAAAGAAGTCTAAACGGCAATATCAATGGGCCATTTGCGGCATGAAACAATGCTGGGTTTGTGTCGTCTCGAGTGATCCTGATCTCTTGCCGCTTCTCAAGCTGCAGTGATACAGAAGAAGCTCCTGGTGTCGTCATCGCTCCCGGTCGAAGGCTCGGTGGACCTTCTTCCCACGTTTGCACAATGATCTCGTGTCGCCTCTGATCGAATTTCGCTACAATCGCGATTTTGACCTCATGGTTTGAGGCCGAAAACCACCACTTCATGTCAGCCTCCAGCAGCCTTAATGATGCCGTGTGTCCAGGTTCGATGACGAGTGTCGGCCAGGCATCAGGCCTGGAACGAGCCGGGTTCGGCCCTCCAGTGGAATCGCCTTCTCCGCAATCCCCACCAAGATGGCCTTCTGTTCGATATGTCGTTCTCCCTATCGTTTCCCAAGCGTCGTGTAAATCCATGTGGTCCATTTGATGAGAGGCTTCGTAATAAAGCTCAAGATGTAACTTTTCATGGACACGGGCCGCGGGCGAGACGGTGAGGATGTGGCGGCCGGCGTAATAACGTCGAAAGCGGAACCGTCGCCTGCGTCTCTCGCGTGCTTCTAGTAGATCTTCAAAATCCCGAGGAGTAACATCTGAATCCCTTAGTATCAAAAGTTAAGTTGTACTCTATGTATAGGTCAACGTACTCGTGAAAATAAGAACGTCACCAGAAGCACTGTTGATTCGTTGGAAGACATCTTGGACATTCTTGAATCGCACTGAAGTCGTCTCATCCTGTACTGACTGCGATGGTGACCATACTGAAGTAGGCATGGTTGACATCGACCGTGATCTCCGTCATGTAGATGCTGAACATCATGGGCAACGATGGCATCGTGAGAGTTGGTTAGAAATGAGGGAGAGAAAGGGGGAGCATAGAAGAATAGATTGGAGAGGGAGAAGTGAAAGGGCTTGGGCTGGGAGGGAAACCTTGGCGTTTATATATCTTCAATCTGATGAAGCTCGCTGACTCAAATCGTAGAGTTGGCAATGAATAGAGAATGCTAGAATAGAGCCGCTGAATAGAGCAAGTCCAAGTCAGAATGGAGCCAGTGAGTCAGTCGGAATAGAGCAAGAAGATTGGAACACTTGGACAGAGCACTGAGGAAGTCATGGTGGAGTGGGTAGATGAAGTAGATTAGAGCCAGATTGGGTTGAGAGTAGATAGAGCAAGCAACTCGGGATGGACCATTGAGGAAGTTGTGAAGTTATCACGGACTTGGGAGCGGGCACCCTTGATGTCAGATGTCAGATGTCAGAACAGTCTGGAGAGGATCGGGAAGGTGAGGTTCAAGCGTTGGAGTCTGAATGTTAGAATATATCAAGCAAGTCAAAATATATACGAAGCAAGTGAAGCAAGAACTGCAAGCACGAATTGCGTGTTGCATCATTGACTGGTTCATTTAAGTTTGACAGATCTAACAAGTGCTCCCCGTACGAAGTATAATGAGAAACCTCAGCTGAGCAGTGACTGCTTGGGGACATTACGGACGCGGACGCGGACGGAGACTATGACTTTTATTTCCCGATCGACGGAATAGATGAAGGTGTGAATAGGTTAGAGAGGAAGGGGGCACATCTATTGACAGTGTTGGTGCATCTTCCCCCCTCAAAACATGAAAAAGGCTGTTAGTTCGAAGGCACCTCTGGGCACAGGTTGCCGGGCATAGAGAACGTTTCATTTCGTTCTCTTCTATTTATTTATATTTATATTCGTTTATATTAGTTTCTCGCTTCTTGTTCATTTTCAGATATTATAAACCACATGTTAGCCGTAGCATTTCCAATATATAGTTGAGTTCTGTGTCGAGGTGTTCCTGAAATCTTTCAGACAGCAAGAGAGAGAAGCAAAGAGGGAGAAGAGGGAAGGAAACATCCTTTCCTCTATTGATTTCTATTGTAAGCCCGCATTTAGTTATTGTGCTGACCGTAGTCCATATCCGCTCCCATTTTCTTCGGCTTTCGTCGAGAAGAAGAAAGGGAGAAAAAGCAACCAACGTTTCTACGACCAGGGGAATACGCCATGGATAAATCCGCCGAAAATACCAAGGAAGAAAAAAGCAAACTGCAAAAAAAGGAAAGAAGGAAAAGCAGAGAAAGGGGAGAAAACGCGAAGAAATGCAACGAAATGCGGATTCAGTAGTAGTTCCCATCAAGTTCTTGTCTTGTCCGTCCTGAGTGTTTCCCCCCTTTCAGCATCCAAGACAACATTGAAACTAGAAACAAGAAACTATCAATTCATGTCAGAAAAGACCAATTAGGCTAGCAAAGCCTAACATGTCTCTGGCTGCGTCCCGTTAAAACAAAACTCCGATTTGCTTTCTCCACCCCTCAGTCCCTGCTTTCATGCCCTTTCCGTATTACTCGGAGCACAAGAACCCCCATGTTGACAAGTGAGATAATTAGAATGACTAGAAGATTTGTTCGCTGTTTCACAGCAGAAAACAATGGAGAAAACAAGCAAGTACAAGGACCATGTGATATATCGAGAAGGCAACCTTCAGGAGAGAATAAGTCTTGATTTGAATTATCATGTCTTTGACTAAGACATATTTCCCGTTTTGATATGGCAGCGCCCCTTTCCGTGTTCCAGCTGTCCCACTCTCGGTCAGTCTCAGTCAGAGGCACCCGTCCTTCTTGGTATTGTGTGAAGGAGAAAAAAAGAAACGAAGAAGAAAAAGACAAAATTGAGAGAAGGAAGAAACCAAAAAAAAAAAAAGCAGAACATATGGTGATACGCCGATCGTTTCCCTTTGAACCCTTATCCACGCGCCTGTTACTAGCCTGGCCGACCCAAAAGCAGAACTGAGCCCGCCCCAACCAAACAAAGGAAAGAAACGAAAAAAGAGGGAAACGCAGAAACAAGGAGGTCTGTCGTAGAAGACGTCGTAGTCGGTAAATGTTTTCGTGTAGTGTTTCTGGAACAGAAGAATCTATAGAAATCTGGGTTGGACAAGAAGACAGATTCGGTCCTCTGCGATCCTACGTGACCTCGAAGGGCAATCTTCGAGCGACGAGTGAAGTTCGTAGGGTAGAAAGTGCTTGCTCAGGTGAAAGCTTGCCGCCTTTGTTGCCGTAACTTCGCCGCCGCGAGTTGCTGTTGATATCGCTTGCCTAGACTCGAGAATTAGTTACATTTTCATATTTATAAACTCAAAATGAGAAGAAGACGAAGGGGTTGCCAACTTACCCCTGTTCCAAACGCGGGTTTTGTCCTTGTAGTCCACCCAAGGATAATCTATCGCTCGCTCAGGATACCGGTCCAGAAGCCCAATCTTCTTCGGCTGCTCCCTGACCTTCGAGACCTGCACGACCTGCTCGCCGTTCTCATCGAAGACCAGATCCCCATTAACATCGATGACGGGCATGGCCAGGTTCTCTCGGTAAAAGCTGCCCTGCAGACCAGGCGTGGTCCGTCCAGCCTCCTGAGGGAACTGGCGAATGTACGCCGGGGTGACATCCTGCCAGTTCATCTTTCGGTCGACACGAAGGTAGAGAACGAAATCGATCTGCTCCTGCGTGTACTTGCGGTTTGTGCGAGGCAGACCCGTCGGGTTCGTTGGCGGCTTCCGCGTCTTCTTGTGCCCGTGGATGGGATCTGTGAGGGGAGGCATATGCCTGTGTGGCGCTACGGGAATGGTAGGAGGGGGCGGGAGCTGGGGCCGTTGGTGATGACCCTGATGGGTGGGAGGCCAGTTCCAAGATGCTGAGGAGGGTGCTGGGGCTGAAGTAGAGTGTGAGGGGATACCGCCGGCAAACCGGACGATATCATTAAAGCACGGTAACCTCACGACTTCTGGATAGGATTCCGTTAGCAAAAATCATGTTGAGATCTTCCCTCTTTCTTTTATTTCTCGGGGAATCTGCACCAGAGGCTGCTAAACAGGCTCTCCAACCTCTGCTAATCTACGACTTTGGATGGAAATCAAGCCGTGTAAACGTACCTGGACGTGTTTCGGTGCCATTGTCCGAGGGTGTCGATAGACGACTGTGGCGAGGAGAAGACAAAGCCCCGGCGGAGCCCGCCCATGATTCTACGTCTGATTCTCCCCCATCGTTGATCAAGAAAGGGACGTGTGGCAGCTTTTCCTTCGCCTGCGGCGAGAGGGAGACGATGGACGAGAGGGGCGAGCAGGAAGGGGATGGAGTTCCCGTAGAAGAAACTCGGCCCGCCCAACCTACGGTCGTCGACTGAGCGTCGGGCCTTAGCATTGACATTGCCAATGTCCCAACGAGGAACCCGCGCTTTTTAAGATGTCTGCTGAAAAGACGTCGATGGAGACGGTGTCGGCGGTGATGCTACTGACAACGCCTGGAGATTGCGAGTCCCAGTTAGGTTTGGGACCTCTTTTAATTTGGTTGTCTCTCTGGCGAATGGCTCGAGTCCCCTGTCTTAAGGTAGAAAGGGGAGATGGTGATACTTGATCTCAGATTTCCCCTGGGGGTATTAAGGTTAAACAAAGGGCTGACTTGATGTTTGGGTGATGTCCCATAAAGCGTGTGTAGCCAGATGGGGAGGAGTGTAGATTTATACAAGACAGGGTAGGCGGTCGGTCTCTTGAGAGGTGGGAATCTGCGCGGGTGTATACTTCATATATGTCGTTTGACGAGCGGCTAACTTGGCTCTAGCGTCTGTTGGATGCGACGATCTAAAGATCAGATTGCTCCATTGATATGCGCCGGGGCTAAACCAAGGACAGTGGAAGAAGAAGAAAAGAAGGGGAAGGGGAGAATAAGCAACGGGAAAATAGATAGTATGCAACAGACTGTGAGTGTGCGAGCGCGAGTGTGTGTGTACGGGTGTGTCTGTGGTGTGTGTATGTGCGCGAGAGGAGTGTGTATGAGTGTCTGTGGCGTGTAGTTATGGTACTGTACAGCACGGGAGTCGGATAATAGCTGAAGTACTTCACAGTCAGGAATCGGGGGGGCGTGGAAGTTGAGCCAACATGGGGGGGAGGGGATTGTAGGCGCACCCCCAGGACCAGGAGGAGTCTCTCCTCTGGAGTGTACTCCCAGGACGATAGCCGGGCCTGTTGGTCCACACGGGGAAGAAGTGGAGGGCCTAATAATAAGGCTGTATGTTTTAGATGATGTCTAGGTCCTTCTCAGACTGACAACCTTTACAGTTAGTGAGCATCACACTCCGGTCCGCGGCAGGGTCCTTCAGAGGGTTCGAGGGTCCCTATCGCCCAGAAACAGAGTGGAGAAGCCGAAAAAGACCACGGCAGAGCGACAGGAGAGTATCTTTATCGGCGCTGGACAAGCTGGAGAGTACTTTTTCGTGCGTCAAGGGGTGGGGGAGTGACAGCAGAGACAGCCGAATGCGAGAGTCTGATCAGAGACATCGAGAAACAAGTTCTCCAGGCAAGACATGGAAAGTGAGCAGAGCAGGAGAGAGAGCGAGAGGAGGGGAAAGCGACTTGATTAAGGCATCATGGGGGGGAGTAGCATCAATGGCAGAAACAAGGACGGGGCCGAGGAAGGGAAAAGAAAATTTACGGCAAGTACTACAACAACCAACATCCTTCACCCGGAAATCGACTGCGATACGATGTACTGTACAGTCCCCTCAGCGGGCTGGGAAGGCGTGTCAACAAAAAAAAAAAAAAAAAAAAAACTGCAGCTGCGGTATAATATTATCCTTGCTATGGGTCCTGTGAAGAAAAAAGAACGAATCTGGCTCGCTCACACGATTCCTGCCTGTAGCTGAGCGCCATATCCGCTTCATCGGGGCCGAAGGGTACATTGAAAGTCGATTGGGGAAGAAAATAGGAGGATTCCGGTCAGGAAAATAACACAAGTACATGGGGGGCTGCTTCGTAAGTAGACAAGAATGGAACGGATGGCATGGCTGTTGGTTCTTCTGCAATATCTCGTCAAGCATGGTCGGTCTGATTCGATCCGTTTTAGGACAGTTGCAGCACTCTCGCATCTCGTTACCATCCCCTCGGGTCAATATTCATACTGTGAATAAAAAGGATGAGAGAGGGGAAACCGTGAGGGAAAAGTGGAAGAAATGAGGGCGCGGATAGGAGGAAAGCCGAAGCTGGGAGTTGGCATCCAGGCCGTTCGTACGGCGGGCGAGTGGCGTCGATGAGGCGCCACGGCCGATGAGAACGGTCTCGAAGAGCACGAAGAGCACGGGCAGGAAATATGAGGTAGAAAGAGAAGGAGAAGAAGGAGAAGGAGAAGGAGAAGAGGCAGAGCAAGTGGCCTGGCCGCGGCGTGGAACTGTCTTGTCTGCCAGGCCAGGATCGGATGGCCAGCCAGGCTATTCTCTCTCTCCTTTGATGCAAGGGAGACGATATCCACTCCCAGTTGGTTGCTTTTCCACAGTGATGCGCGAGGATGGGGCGCAGAGAGATGATGAGACTCCAGTGGGGATGGCATTAGTGCTGTAGGATCATTTGTAGCGTCCAGTAGTGTCGGGGATTGGGATTTGGTACTACTGTACCTCCAGCGCAGCCTTTTCTGCGCATTCCCCATTGATTTCCTCGTCGTGGAATGAAGCGTCACCTCTCTGCTTTTTTCCGGTGACTCTTCGCATTCGACTCCAATCTTACCTCGCAGCCCACGCTCCACCCCTGTTGGCCGGCCAAGCTCAGTCGAAGAAAAAGACCGAGCCCTTGGCGTGGATCAGATACGATCGATCCATCGTTGGCCTTGATTAGTGTCATGATATTGTCTTGCATTGTATTGGATTGGATGTAGGAGGCATTTCGCGTGAGCAAGCTGGCGAAGAACAGGGCTACTGCAGTTACACAGAAGAGCAAGGATATCGAGGCTGATCAAGCACAACAAGCCAGCCTGCCTGCCTGCTCGCATAGGAGTATCAATACTTCATCGAGTGAAGGTCCGAGATGAACGCAACACAGAAATCCCAGAAAAGCCACCCCCTCAAAACGACGCGCAGACGAATATCAGAAATGAGAATGGAGGAAAAGACCAAGGGAGGAGGCAACATGCAACACGCAACACACAACACGCAATAGAACGAGATGGCAACACAGGAAGGAGCGAGGAGCGTTGCGGGTTGGGTAGGACAGCAGAACACAGTGCTGTGAACACTGTCCAAGCAATGAGGTGGGGAGCGACTTCTATGGGGATCGATGTGACTCGAGCTCCTCTTTGCAACGCAAAGCAAACGTGCACCTTCTTTCACCACGCGGTACGTACCGTTGTCGTATGGACACAGGTACCCACAAGTATACGAGGTACATAGGGACCCATGTATCCACTGGCCGTGGGCATTGTACAAATGTACCTCTGCCTCTCCCACCACACACAATGCTTCGTTACTTCGTACATATCCTCCCTCCGCTGCGTCCAACATCGTAGCACGACAGTACGACGCCATCATCAACGACCAAGGGTTGCGAAGCCACGACGGACAAACATGGCTCACAGGCCAGATTTTTTTGGTTCCGCAGGCGTCAGGAAGAATGCCTTGGTGTTTTTCTTATTGGGTGGGACGCAGCACGAGAAATCAGGGCTCGACTGCATCTCCCGAGGCCAGTCACACTCCGACCCGACAGTCTGGTTCAGGATAATATGAAGCTGATTTAGTTTAATAACGGCCAGAGAGGGCGGCACGAGGATGGATGCTGTTGGTCAAGCGCTCGATCCACCACCGCAAAGCAGGAGTAGAGACTGGGAAGGGTATTGGGGCGTTCCCCCCTTCTCCCTCGAGCGCTTCCGGTCTTCCGCTTCTCCTCTTCTTGCTCGTCTATTTCTAGAGTCAAGGCAAGGGCGATTATGCGCGGCTTCCCATTCTTCCATTCTTCTTCGAGTTTACCCACAACCTACGTGGCCAGGCATGCGGCCGTTGAGAGAAGAGTCGAATCAAGTGATTAATCGCCAGGCGCCGGGCTCCCTTTACCGCCCCCTTGTCTTCACAGCGGTGGTGGTGAGCGTGGCTGGCCTGGCCAAGCTGGCAGAGTCCAGGAAGCACGAGAACAAGTGGTAGTAGTACTTGTGGCCTAGACTGTTGGGTTGATGCCTGTAGCCATTCGGCAATATGGCAGATATTGTTAGATTGTCTCGAGTCTGGGGCCATGTCGGGCCTGATCGGTTGACTGATTTCCATATTTTCGAACCCAACTCGTCTCGTCTTGTCTCATTTCGAGGTTTGACCGAGTCCCGCCGCTGTACCTCAAGAGGAAGCCGTCATACGCCACGAAATAGTGCAATAGTGCAAACACACTACGCTATTATAATGGCTTGATAGCTTAGGTTCCGCTGCGGGGCAGAGACACAGAGACACAACCTGAGAATGACAACCCGAGCTGTGCCTTAGGGCATGGTTATGATGTAAGTGTAGCTAACGGCTGCTGGACATCCGGTCATCGCTGAGATGAATCAAGGGCTCTCGGTGGATGTCGGTGACAATTTTACCGTAGTTATGATTGACGGCACCGGCTCGGCTGGACAATAACGGACAAAACCCCCCCCCCCCCCCCCCCCCCCCCCCCCCCCGGGCGTAAAGTGCTCATCATCGGGCCTGGGGCTTCCCGTACCATATTCGTACTTCCCAGAACCAACAACTGGTCCATGCTTCAGGAGAAAGCCTAGACAATGTATTGGTCAATTGATACCTTCGGACCTTATTGATAGTAATAATAGCAGTCAGCCTACCCGAAACTAGGTGCCCACTCTGGATTTCCTAGTGGATAATAGTACCTGTATACGCACTCAAGTGATGCATCGTGGTCTACTTGTATACTGTGCAGGCGACCTACTTTCAGGCCGTCCATCTATTCATTCCAGACGTGCCCAATCTCCTTCCGCATATTCGTCCAATTTACTATGGGGGTGGTGCTGTACCTTAAAATAAGCCGAAGCTCTCTCGTCGCAGCAGAGCTGCTTAGCCGCCGCCGCTTTCACCCTCTAGCTTGCATCGTCGAGTTGCACAAATAAATTAGTATTGTATAGTGCCCCCCGTTATTCTGGAGAAGATCAATGGTCGATGAAAAGACGGGTCCTGGAGAGAATCCCCGCTCCTCCATTTCAACCATGCACCCAGTCCCCCAGTCCTAATCTCCGCAATTCAATAGTATTCAAGGTAATACTTAGCACATTCCAGTTGAATTTACGGAGTAAGACTGAGAAAAAGAAGGAAACTAAATCGCTGAACCCTGTCCGCATTTAATGCTGCGTGCGGCTGGTTGAGCTCTGGCCTCTTTGTGCTACCACAAGTCCTCGATCTGTTAAGGGAGCAAAGTACTTCGTCGGTGAGAGTTCGAGGGAACATGTCAACCCTGCGAAGGATACAATTTGATGGGGTCCGAGGTAATAATACAGGTTGGGGATGAGGATTGGCAGGTCGGCGTATGGAGTGTATTTCTTGCACCCGTATGGCCTGGCCTGGCCTGGACATGCATCATTATTACCTTTAAAGTACACTACTTCATACGAAGTACAGCTCAACGCTCTGCCTCTTCTAGTAATTCGTACTCCACGATCCTGCTTTTCACCACCGAGTCTCGAACCACGCCACCATTGATGATGTATCTAAGTACCTTTCCTCTCCTTGCTCTGGAGCTACTGGAAGCATCATTGATTTGATGTACGATGTACGAAGTACACCACTGACGAAGTATCAAGCGCGCTTCTTCCGACTGCAGGTTGCAGGGCCAAAACAAGATGCTGACTCGATTCTTGCAAAGGCCGGAAGTGTCGCGAGTCGACGGACTACCCACCGTTTTTGTCATGGAAGCCCTCGATTTGTTCCCTCCACCCTGTCAAAAAGAGGCGCCGTCATGCGGCACAGCTGAGCAGCTTGATAGGTTGGGGACTTGGGGTGCGTGTCGTACCGGGTTCTTCAGGGTCGAGGCCGGGGTTTGGAGAAGACCGGGTTGGGTACTCACATCAATCATCGATCCAATCTCGACCAAGTAAGTAAGGTGCGAATCCGCTAGTCCAAGTTGTGCTCACTCTCATGCAGTAGTTCAGTCGGGGGATTCAGGAAGGGGAAGGTGTGGCAGGGAACGACAGGACCGGTACGCACGGGAGTTACTCCCGCTCAGGGTCACGGTCCATTGATCTTGGATAGTAGCGCAACTACGGGGTACGAAAGCGAGCAGTGGGCTTAGTGCGCTGTCTTCCTGCTCAAATCATATCCCTCCCTTGTCAAGTTGTCCTTATCCGTGGACGGAGCACGAAGTACTTCGTACTTTGTAATTTATCCGTCGTCCGCCCGCTTCTGTTGCTGCTTCTGCTTCTGTGGTGATACGACTCTCGCGAACTTGCTGGCAGTCATGAGCTGGTGGTGGTGCTGGTCGCTGCTGCATTTGTCGTTAGTCCCACGCAAAGCCCTTGTCCTTGAGTTACCGGACCGACATGTACTTTTAGGCACGTGGATGGAATTTTAGGTGTCCTCGGGGCCAGGTAACACGAGTCCATCTCTCCCAGAACCAAACACAGAGGTCAACTACGCGCCCAAGGCAGTTTCAACATCATTTTGGTCTGTAGGTGTCTGCATCTTGGATCTAGATTGTCGAATCTTGATTCGATCTGTCCGTATTCAGATCCTGCCATGGTCAACAGCGACATATATTGCGGTGTAGAGACACCAGGGCTTCATCATGACTGGCCTCCTCTTTGATCCACCCCATGGCCCGCCAGTGGGCTAGCTTGTGCCAAGCGATTTCCTGGCCTTGACAATGAAGCGCGCGTAAGCGATGGAGCCAGAAGTGGGTATGTGCTCAAATCTTCATACGAAGTAAACAATCAGCCATGGATCCATGGACGACGGATCTCAGGAGGTACTCCGACTTCCCTGAGGATTCTTTGTTTAGCGACCGCCGTTACATTCTTGCCAGCACACAGAGCGATTCTCGATTCCTTCGAGGAGGGCCCACGATGATCGCTTGATCAAAAAGGCCTCGAGTTGAGATGAAACCCACCTTGTCCGGGTTTGGCAAGCACCCACTCATCCACCTCCTTCGTAAGGACAGATTCCACCTTGGTCCCCCGGTGGCATTTGAGCAAATAGTCTTGTCCGATACGAGATGGCTGCAGATAGGTAGTGGCCAACTCCAGACACCAACACTTTGCTTCTGCAAATTACGCAACCCTCCACCGCACACCGGAGGGAGAAAAAGTCTCCTGACCCGTCAACTCCAACTACTTCGGACTCTTACACTTTTTTTTTTTTTTTCTTGCGCAGAAGCTGTCGTTGTTACGGGTTTCCTTACTGTTTTAGACATACGAACAGGCGGCTGAGACTAGTATGGATCAACTCCGAGCTATCTGACACTCCTCCACCCGTGCCTGGAGAAAATCCTACTGCCAACCGAACGAGAGCCGAGGGTGATGGGGTGCTTGTCTTGCCTTCTTTGCTTTTGGAATCTCCTTCGTCCGCAATGGGCGAAGGAAACTACAAACTATTTCGAGAACTAACTAATCGCCGAGAACATACCCGTTGATGTACGCACCAACGAAGTACAAATAACTTAGATACTAGAATGGCGATACTCTGGACCGTCTCGAAACGGAGCATTAATGCAATCCTCTTGAGAAGGAAGTACCAAATATCCCATCCCTATCATGCAGATGGCCCTTTCTTGCTGTTTCTTTTTTTCCTTTTTTTCCCAGTTGTGCGACTTTGCTTTTCTTCCAACACAGCACCCCCGGTTCACTTCTATTCATCTCTGTGAACCAACACCTCAAGTGCCATTCGACAATCACGAGGCAAGGGGCGACCCTAGTTCTTGACAATCGTCATCCATACCGATTGCCTAGGGTGCCGGGTTGTTTGTTTGTCCGCATTGTAATTTACCCTTTCCCACCAATTTGATCCAAGGCTGCCTCCTCGTGGCTCTGGCGGCCCCTTCTCTGATTCTCACATGTTCCTAACATGGCCGGCCCCAAGGTCGGGATGGGACGAGCTTGATCTGTAAAGGCAGGAACTTACTGGTACTTCCCTCGCCATCATATCATATACAGAGTGAAAATGCCAGGTGGCTCGCCAAGTTTGGCTGAATGGAATCCTTCATCTACATACATACTACGCCTCATTCATCCACCAACGGATGCATGCGCCGCACCCCGACCAGAGTGGAGACCAGTTACTTGAGCCGGGTCTATTCTAAACTAGTCTTCTGCCTCATTACCTCTTGGGCCATGTTGTGCGGAGTTGGAAACAAGCCAAGCTTCAGTTGTCTAGATACAAGGCAGCGGTCCATCTGCTAATGAAGTACGCTGAGCCACCGGCTCTCGTCTCTAGAACAGCCTGCTTCACTTCTCTACTACTATCACACCTTTCTGACGTCCAGATATCCAAGCAGGACATGCCTCCACCCTACCATGGCATGATGTAAGTCTAAGTGGTTGCTTGTCTTCATCCCACGCCCCATTGCCCTGCGTGAGGCCCGTTAGTACTTCTTCGTACGGGCAGCGGACTCTCCAAAGCGGAGGCGATACACGTCCTGGGTCTTGGAGAGCAGAAGCAAGCAGCCAAACTAGAAAAGGGATCATGAGATGTGCGACTAGTATTGCTTGCATTCAGCCAGATTCTCTCGGCCATACGATAGGGTCGTAGCGTCCCTCCCTTCCGAGATGGCTTGGTGGAGAAAGAACCAACTGCATCTTGTTGCAGAAGATCATGCTTTTCGATGGACTCGAGTAGTAAAGGGGAATCCATCGGTCCTGCGGTAATCCTGTCATCACCCGGCAGCAGTTTACACGAAGAAGCAAGGAAGGCTAGTGCGATTCTCGTTTATGAACGATTCGCACCGACGTGTGGAGTGTAACTGAGGATGAAGCGAACTATTCATCCGTTTCCGGGGAATTTTTCGCGCAAGAAAAAAGCACTTTATCTGTACCAAGCCCGTCATCATCAAAAAGCTGGACCTTTTTAAGATTTTCTGCTGGCCCCTGTCGAATCTATTGTCTGCAAGTCTTAGTGGCCCATCTTGCTATCGATCCCCATCTCTCATTCCTTTTTCCTCTTCTCTGCAACGAGCACTGCCCTGATGATTTCTCGGGCTTTCCTCAGGAACTTTTCTCTCGGTTCCCCTCTCATATCCGTTTCCCCGTACTGCTTTGTACGTCTGGAGTACCTTATCGACATGCAGGATCAAACCTTGATTGTGTGGTGCTGAGGCTGGTGCTTGCTTTTTTCCCTCGTCTTCTCTTTCTCGTTCCTTGATCGACTCGAGTGTTTTACAGCTCGTTGAGGATATGTTTCCACTTCCACGTACAAGATTGGTTTACTAACAACAGACACTGGCACTAGACCTGGGACAACATCCACACCATCGACACATCTCGACTTGGATGGACACGGAAGGGGTCTCTCCAGGTCTCGGTTGAATTAGACATTGTGTTTATTCATTTAAGACTTGTGCACAGAATGGCAGGTGACAAGGGAACTCTTTCAAACTGAGGATACAACATGCAGGGGCATTTTCCTTCCTCGCTCGGACAACGGGTGTTGGTGCCGACCTTGTCTAGGCATCAGGAAGAGAGGCGGGGGTCTCTACGGGCCGCGTGGGTGGCAAAGGAACGATAATGACACGCAAACATGCATCTCTTGCACTTGCCGAGTATTACAAGTATTATAATCTACAATATTTGTCCAAATGGACAAATGGAGCCCAGGAGGTAGGGGGTGACTCGACGAGAAAAGGGGGGGCCTGTTGGGAGGATGGTCATGCACAATCAGTCCCACCGGGACCCGAGAGAGTGGTTCTGGCGCTTGGGCTTGCGATATTATTGCTCATAGCCACAAACTACTGAAATAACTGCATAAACCACGGGACAATCAGAGAGAAGAAGAAGAAGAAGAGATCCTTGTTTTCGTGGCTGTCCAGGACTCTGTGTAGCTCTTTACAATCGCGAGGTATGGAGGGCGGCTATATCGTCTGGAAGACCACTCGCGGCGTCTCCACTGGGAACTGGATCACCGAAGATGAAGGCCTCGTCGCCGGTAAAGTACCTAAAGGACGTGGAGAACAGTTGTTAGTTCGAGGGGAAGGTGTCACGGAAAGTGTACTCATGAGTTTCTTGAACAGGGAGGAGGGAGATGCGGTGAATGCAATGTGACGGGCTTGGGTACATTCTGAATGAAAACACATACCACCCCCGTTCTGGCCCACCACTTAGGAAGCTGCAGTCGCTGTTTGCTTGACAAATCCAATTTCCAACAAGCCTTGTTGGCTTTTGGGCCGTATCTGTGCTGCCCGTGGTACTCGAAGTGACGGGGACAGGCTTGGCTGTGTCGGCAGCCTGGTCGTCAGCCCCGTCTGGGGACTGTACAGAAACATCCAGATCCGCGAGAGTTGATGAATAATTAGAGCTAAGAGTAGTTGGCCGCTTGAAGATGCTTAATCCGCAAGTAAAAGTATCAAAGTCCTGAACGTCTACCCTGTCGGGGATTTGTCCAGTAAGAACCCTCCCTAATGCTATTATCACCGCAGCGTGAGAGCATAGAATGACGGACCGGACACCTTCCGCATCACACCGCTCGATTATCTTCTCAACAGCTGACCGAACGCGATCATACAGGCCCTCGATACTCTCTCCCTTCTTCTCCGCAACGACCCCGGACTCGAACGAATCGTCAAGCACTGGAAACAGTGTCTTCAAGAAAGACATCTGGGCGGGCTTTGGTTGGTCAAAGTGAGCCTGCCCGTAGAATTCTCCTAGGCCTGTTTCGCTACGGATCACCAGTGGAGTAAGCAGTGCTCCGCTCTCTTCCTGAGACTTGGCCGCCTGCTCGTTCCGAAGCGAGATATATGGTGAGATAGTCTGGAGACATCGGTAGTAAGGGCTGGAGTACACGGCATCGATTGGGGGCTCAAGGGACATAAGGTGAGCTCCTAACTGCCGAGCTTGGTCGACGCCGTGAGCTGTCAAAGGCGTGTCTGCGGCGATTTTAGTGGGCGACAGGACCGTCGTTGTGGCTACTCCCGAAACAGGATCAACGAAGTAACTACACCGAAACTAGAGGGGGAAATAGAGCTTAGTGTCCATGATGCCATATCCTCCTTTGTCTCGCGGCTGGTAGGACTCCCGCCTGATCCACCCTTTCCAACGGCTAAGGAGAGAAACGGCGGTGTGGTATTCTTACCCCATGGCGGACGACGTAGATGGTCTCAAGAGACATCTTAAAACGCCAGGAAGAAACCCAGTTTTCTAAGAATAGCTTCCTAAATAGCCGTTAATAGTTGGAAATTTAAAATAGAAACGATTTAACAGCGGTGTTTTACTCACAAAGTGAGGAAGATTGCTCTTCTATCCCAGTCTTCTGGGCTCTTCAGAGTCACACCGGGTGCACTACGACGGACCCAAACGGGGCCTTGTCTCGACACAGGGAACGGGACAGAGTCTCGGTAGAGGGAATGGTCTATCTCAAATTTCAAAGCGAATGCTTCGTAGACATGTCTGAACTACACCTTCGCGTTAGGAAGCTTGATTTCAGACATCCAGGTATCTAGGACCTGCCCTGTAAAATAGCCCGCCACAACGTTCAAGGAGGAAGGCTCTTACATTCAAAAACCCGAACGCTCGAAAGAATACGAAGAGCAATAAATCGACTGCAGAGCTCCAAACAGAGATTCGAACGCGAGCAATGGCGCCGGATATTAGTGTTCTTGTGATGGGATGCCGAGGCATCAGGTCGGGGTTGGCAGCACGATGCCAATAAAGGGGTTAATCCTTAAACCGGGTATGTTACACACATTTAAGCATCTCGGTGTGTTTATTCAATTAGCAGAACAAACCACCTAGCCTCGGTGAACGTCAATTGAAACCTCGGTGTGTGTCCAATCCACCCCTCAGTTTCGAGAAAGGCTGAGGACCTCTTGACACGCTCCTTCCTGGCTCCAAGTTGTTGCAACTCCCAACATTTCCTCCACTCAATTAACACCCATTACCCCCCGTTGTATTTTTGCAGAGGGGAGAATGGACAAAGCTCAGTTCTCCTCATGCTTCTAGGAGCCCTCTATTTTTGTAAATCCGCACGCCCAACAGACTCAGCGGTGAGCTAGCCACTATGTCTGTCCTCCAGACCGAGGAGTATGTGATCTCCCATGGTTTCTCCTCTCAATGTTCTTGGGATATCTCCAACATCCCACGTTAACAACAAACCTCTATAGCCTGGTCTCGTACCAGTTACGAAGCAGTTACCTAGATGATATTGCCGACGGCGTAGGCGAACGTCTCCTCACACTGAACGACGGATTCCTCAATTCCGCCGCATACAAGGCCGCCGGATGGCGAACAAACCATGCCCTTTCGAAGCGAACCCATTCCCCTCCTATACCTACCGCAATCGCGTCCGAGTATTTCCAGGCGCCGCGCTTCGCCCGCCACACCCTCGAAGACGAAGCCGACGATGCTGGGATGCTTACCGTTGGCGGGGACAGCACTCTTGGGCCCGGGATGGCGATCAAGCGAAGACGGCGGCGGGAGCAGATGGAAGAAGATGATAGCAGCGACCTCAGCGACGAGAGCGATGACGAGTCCGATACGCGGCCTGCACAACAAATAAAATTTGCCAAGATGCCGGTCAGGGGGAGGGCGGGTTCATCCCCGCTACAATCTTCGAATCTAAGGCAGATGACGACCGCGTCGTCGCCGCATGCTACCGGCCATGGACTTAGACGGGGATCGCAGTCGGCTCTCGATACGGTTAAGGAGCGGGTGAGGCGAGATACTGTTACCAGCAGCGAAATATCTTCTGAAAATGAATTTGATGCGTCTGGATTCCACCGGCAGCGCGAGCAGGCCCGCTTGGCTGCCCGTATGGCTGCTGCTAAAGCTAGTCGGTCTCGGGCCAAGTCCAACGATGACATCGTTCCGGGGCTTCCACGTCACGACAGCTTACCGTTACCTGAAGAGGAAGAAGAGGAATCCGACGCCTCTGATATATCAGATGCCGCTTTTGCGGAGAGTATCGACTCCGCCTCCATCCTAGACGCCGTCGACAACCCCATTCACGGCTCTCCTACAATCCAGGTCGTTGGGACACCCCCTCGAGCATTTACAAGACAATCAACCATACGGAGGTCGCACGCTCCACAGCCCAGAGTGCTCGAGGCACTCCCTCCGCCTCGGCCAATGAGTACAATTCGGCCGATAAGCATGGTGCAACCGGTCAGCATGCTATCAGAGCTACTGGGGTCGAAGAAGTCTAAGTCAAAACCTACGATGCCTTTCCAAACTTTCGCATCCCTCTCTGGAGAAGGCGATAATAGGAGGCCCATGCTTCTTCGGATATACGTCCCTTTCTCTGAGGATCCCGACGAGCCCTTCGAGGTGCTCATTCGTCGTGACGTCAGTGATGATGCGGGTGGTAACTTCCGCGTCGTCACCGTGGGCGATGCCATCGGCCTCAGTCTTTTACGGTATATTCAAGAGAAGAGGCAACCGCCCCTACCGACGGAGAAACTCAACGTCAATTGGTATAGCTTACGAATTGTCGAGGAAGGCGGCGAGATCGATGACGATTTCCCGCCACTAGAGAGGAAGAAGCCGCTTGCGTCGTTCACCACCGTTAACAACCGCGCCGCGGCATCAAATTTCCAACAAGGCGCGGCAACTAGAGGTGGCGGCAGAAACAGGGCAAATTCCAACAAGGCCCATGATGAGTTTGCCTTGGTTCAGGCGTCGGCATCGGAATACGAGGAAAATAAGAAGATCACGCCGGAATATGAACCCGATGAAGAAGAAATAGATGGAGACGGTGGTGGCGATGACGACAAAGATGCTACGCCGAAGAACACCACACCCCAACCCGACCTGGCCGCCTCCCGCGCTCCATACCAACCCAGGCAGAACCCTGTTCTAACGACTGCGTACCGGCCTGGGGCACTTCTGGACCAACCCCAGGTGGTTACGTCGGTGCCACACGCGAGGGGACAGCAGAAATTGTTACGGGTCAATATACTATCGTCAGATACGGCCCCGGGCCAGTTGGTTACATTGGACGTGACTACCGATACCTATTTAGCCGAAGTACTAGATCTCGTATGCAAGAAGCGGCAACTGGACAAGGTCAACCACGTTCTCAAGATCCCGAACTCAGGGGCGGTGGTCATGGTGGATCGGCCTGTGGCGTCCCTTGGAGCGGTGTCAGAACTAGAACTACACCGCCGGCGTTTCGCCACGGACGGCCCCCTCACAGTAACGGGATCGCCTAGCAGCGCGTCGCCGAAGCTTCCATTCACGGAGGGCGGCCAGCAGAAACGATGGAAGAAGGACAAGTTCATGGGGGTGCACCCGCTAGCGCGGGAGGCGCTGAAGCAGGACGAGCTAAACAACGCCAACTACAAGAAGTATACGGTTTGGCGGAAGCAGCCCATGCGGATCGTGGGGATGAGCGAGAGGATTTTCATCATCGACGGCGAATACATCCACATCATGGCGGCTTCAGGGGCCAAGGGTGTCGATGGGGGCAGGAAGGCCACGACGGTGCATTTTAGCAATGTCGTGGGTTGCAAGGTTATGAGGAAGCATCCGACTACATTCAAGGTACGTCATTTCCACGTCGCATAGTTTCTTTTTTATTTTGTTTTTCCCTCCCCTGCGATGCCGTGTGATCCGGTAAAGCTTTTTTTCTGCTTGCGAGTCTTCCGGTGTTAGAAGAGAAGGAGGAAAATGAATGATTGTCGTCGCATGGGTAAAAAGGGAGTCGAATGCTAACGGGGTTTCCCCTTGTTCGAATTACAGTTAGTCGTGTACAAAGCTACCGAGAGCAAAAGATATGACTTCGAGGCCAAGACGGCGGACGAGGCCAATGAGATCGTCAAGGAGTTGAAGAAAGGGATCTCGCCGTATCGAGACGTTTAAGGAGTTCGGGCGCCGAGAGGGGACTAGGGGCAGTTGCGAGAGCATCATTTATGAAGGGAGTTTGCGGAGGGTTCGGCATCAAGGCGGGAGTTTTGGGGAGTTTGTCTCTACATTCCACCAAGGCTCATCCTTTTTTTTTTTTTTTTTTTTTTTTTTTTTTTTCTTCTTTTCATTTGGAAGTGCCTGATATGCGGACACTAGACCCCGTATGTGGCGTCGTTCAAGCTTAGCTAGAAAAATATTAAGAAAAAACGCTTGCGCGTCTTTCCTCTTGTTGGCGTCGGACATGTAGTAAGCTCTGTGTATCGGGTGAACCTTTTTTGGCGATGGATCGACATTGGGATCGATCCTGAGGAACGGGAAGTATGTTCGCCTTGCATCAAGCGGAGAAGTAAACAGGGAACCAAAGGTAATAAACAAGACTGCAGTCAGGGTGGACAGGGTCAATGTGTTTGGGGCCTAGGCGTGAACCTACAAAGGCTCTATCTAGAATGTATACTTACACTATAGAATTGGGTTGAGTTGGTGGATGGTTGTTGTCGTCGTTGCTATACTTAGAAGCTTGAGGCCTGCGTTCACCGTGGCCAGTCTAGCTACGAGGTATTCAACTAGGATTCGCAAGCAATTCCCATGTTTCAACACATCGCAAAGGCAGAGCAAAAAAAGGCAATCAAAAGGTAAAAAGGGCGTACGTTTCCGCATGTGGGACCTTTGGACAAGGTTAGACGAGAGTGGGAGTAAAAGAATGCTTTGACCAGAAAGATCACCGAGAGCGACGAGGAGAGGGGCCTAGAGGCCAGGCTGGGAAACATCATGCAATGTTGGCGGGGAAATGGACACAAGGTTTTGACGGGGTTTCGACAGAGGCTTTGTAGAACGTTGCATGTTTTGAGCTGAACATCGATGAAAGGGCCCAGGCCGACGACGAGATCAGATTGATGTATACTGTGCATGTAAAGAACCCGTTAATCGATTGCCTTGGTAGAGTGTACAATTCAACGAAAATAGTTGGTCAAAGAGGGAGTGTAGACATTCGATTCGGATGGTGTAATTCTAGAAGTATGTAAGAGGAGAGTAGCCCCGGAGGGCTTGCTTAGGACCGGTTTTTTACTTCGTACGCGCAAGCAGGGGACAGGCTATGCATTGAGATCGGCAAGGAGATACAAAGCCGCATGTTGGGGTCGCAGAGCTGAGAGAATTCAATCTACTTCTCCGAGGCGGTGGGCGGGCGTTGGGAATCGCCGTTGAAGATTGGTGGCCCGGCTGCGACCAGCTCAATGGCATGGTGGTTTACATTCATTCGATGGAACTTGGGAAACAGGCACAGCTCGCATTTGGGAATTTGAAATGGCGGAATGGGACGAGGGCAAACGGGATGGAGAAAGCGGGCCTGTGGCCTGGCTAGCCTCAGAGTAAGAGCTGAGCATTGCGAGGCTCTGCTATGTCGTCTGTTCTCCCATGGCCCCATTACTTCGTAGTTCCCAGCTATTAATAGTTCGAGCCCAGCCCAAGCCTGGGACTTGATCGGATCCATGGATTCCTGCGTTCCCACCACGCTCACGACAGAGGAAAGGCAAGGAAGGATGAAGGCCAGTTTGCGCGAAGTCGCACCTGCAAATGTCGAACTGGGGTCTGTCAGCTCGGGCCTGGTGCACGAGCATCCAAGAGAGAGAGCGACTGCGGGACCGGGGGACGTTTAGCTCTCTCCGTCTCTCTCTTCTCGCAAGGAAAAGAGAGAGCGAGAACTGTAAACCTTACCATCGTCATACCCCAAGTTCAACATCCTAGCAACTGTGACCAAAATGCAGTGTAAACCGTGGAGTGTGTAGTGTAGGGGATAAATTGGGGGAGATACACAGGTACAGTTGTAGAGTACAGGTCGACGACGCCGTCATTGACGGGTTTACGCAACCACCATGACGCAATTGGAGCCAAGGTCTTGCAGGTGCCAGCCAACTCTTGCCATTCTACGAGGGACAGCCCGGAGGTGCCTTGGTCACAGTGGGGAACTTCCCCGTCTTTCGCCCTCATCTCCTACGAAGCATACGAAGTAGTTGATGCCATTGATTTCCTCCAACCAACACACCAGGAGTAGCCTGATCTCTCAATCTATCAATTATTACCGTGAGGGTCCGAACTGAATCTGCAGAGACAGAACAGCGTGTGCTCACTGATGTTAGGACCAGTTGAAGAGTTCCTGGCATGCGCCACGGTGGAACCTGCCGGGTGTCCGCATCCGCATATTGATCCGTGGACCGGAGAACGGAAAGTTTACGAAGTAGCAGTACAAAGTCTTGGCACCCGGGGCAGCGGGACGTGGATCGGGTACCCATCAGCCATCAGCCATCAGCCATCAGCCATCAGCATCAACCCTTTCCGAGCCTTGGTTCCCTTGTAAATCCGCCGGAATGCTGCCCCATTTCTTCATTCCCATATTACCGACGAGAATGCAAAGACTCGTATGTTGGCTACGTACCCGAGGGTGGCGTACGGTGTCTGGCATATTCCGCTTCTCACTCTATGGCTGGCGTACCTGTACACTCCAAACCTGCCTGCTGCTCTTCGGTGCTTCTCCCATAATTTGCCCGCGACGGAACCATGGTTGAGTTAGTTATATTGGACTCTTTTCTTCTCTGGCTCTTTCGGTATTTTTCCAACTCCATTCTTCACTGGTACATGCACTGCATCACTTCTAAGACCCATTAACTAAAAACAAGCTTTCTGTCTAAGAGCTATGTTCGTCTTGCCCCAACTACTAGTCCTCGCACCTCGCCTCGTAGGCCACCAAAAACGATTGATTTTGACGCAGGTTCCCGGACAAGCCGTACCCTCCCTGCCTAACTTCGATGGAATGGTACATAACTCTAATGCGTGCATGAGGCGGCGGAATATGTACATTCGTATCTGCAAGGCTCTTCATATTTTTGTTTTTCTTTTTCTGTGTCTTATTCCGCCCCCGCCGATTTGTAGCACCACATTACAACAAGAAACAGTGGGTTTATGCTGGAACAAGGGCCAGGGATCGGGTCCAAACATGGTGGGACTAGGAAGCTAGAAGCCGTTATTACGAGCTCCGTCTAGTCTGGCCCGCCCTGGTGCCTCAAATCCATTCCTGAGCTCGCTGTGCCAGTCCCTAGTCTGGGGTCAGATCCTTTTTCCCCCAACTAAACAGTGGCTACTCTTCATATACTCCGTAGTCCAGGTACAGGGCGAAGCCATACTTTTCCGGCCGTGTTTGAACACACGCAATTGGGGCGGCGTAGATGCTCCAGACCCGTTCGGAGCTGTCTGCGTAAGATGTGTTTCTAAGCCCTGGGCAGTGGAGTTTGCATTGATCATACTTTCCTACACCTCTTTCGATGAATGCAACAACGCGCCCACTGCCTGGGCCAACTGACATTCCGGTACCTAAGTATTGGAGATTCCGATGCTATCCTGACGTGCTGCGAAGTCTAGCAAGAAAAGCGCCCCCCCCCCCCCCAAAAAAAAAAAAAAAAAAAAAAAAAAAAAAAAAAATGAATGAGTCCATCTTAACATCCTAGAGTCGTGGAGAGAGAGGCTCGTCTGTCGCAACCGAGGATGAACCGCAGATGGGAATAGGAAGAGGAATACCTGAACGTTTAAGGGAACTGGTTCACTTTCGTAATGGTACAAGCGAGACTTGCGACGAAGTCGTGGCTTGTAATTGTGTGGCCCCAACTTAAACCTGCAATTAGCTGCGGTACGTACCCACCCCGGGAAACCCGGCGTGACGTAGCCGGACTGTCATCAACGACCAACGCACCAGAACGATGAACCAGAGACAAAAGCACGGCAGCTGGCATGTACAAGTAGCTCGGAGACGGAAAGGCTCAAAGACTCTCAGAGTCCTTGCAAAGGACTCGAGGACTCAAAAAGCTGTTCAGGATGGCGCGTCAAGTTATTTATAGGAAAGTATAACTACGTATTAGTGGTCTGATACATTCGCAAGCTATTGAACCATGATGCCGACACTCCTCTCATTTCTCTACAAGTATGGTATTTGGAGCCTCTTCCAGGACCGGAGAGACCACGGGTAGATTGGTGTGATACAATGTACTGTCCCAAGTACGATCCCATGGTCGGCCGCCATGAAACTTGGAGCCATCCTGTTAACCGTCATTGATATATCCATAGCAACGTGGAGTTCCAGAGACTTGATACAGTATACCCAAGAGTACTGTATACAGAACTCGATCTCACTCCTCCCACCCCCTAACAGACAAGTTTAGAACAAAGCTTCAACGAATGTTCCATTCCCCTACGAAAAGAAACACAAGGGTTTTCCATGCCCCCCTTCTCCCGCTCCAATTGAAACCCCCACTCCCTTCCATACCCAACATAAGGTAGAGTAAAAAGCTTAGTTTCAGATGGCAGGACGCCGCATGGTTGGTCGGGAGACTTGACGCCATCATCCATCTTCAGCCCTCCCCCCGGAGGCGTAGCGACGGAGAGTCTCTCGGTTCCCACCTCCCCCGATCAGTCCCTCCTATATAAGACCATCCACGCCCCCAAGAGCCAACCCTTCCCAACTCTACCCTCTCTCTTCTTCAACTCCAAAAAAAACACTGTAGTACAATTCCCACCACGAAAACCATTTTTGCTTTCACTTCTTGTCCATCGTTTGACTATAAACAACTCTTTTCCCCCCACGCACGAGACCACCAACGTACAACCACCCGCCAAAATGAGGTTCACCAGTGTCGCTTGCTTGACTCTCGCCGGTTTTGCCGCCGTATGTTCGTCCCCGGGCCATCCGTAGCTATATCCCAGAGGGCCTGGGTTGCTCTTCGTCTTGCAGGAACCATGAGACAACTAACAAAAGCACTTCCATTCAAACAGGCCCAGGACATCTCTTCCATCATTAGCAGCATCGAGAGCGCCGCCACCAGCGTGATCCAGTCCGTCACCAGCGTCATCGGAACCGCGACCGAAACTACCCTTACTGGAACCGGAACCGAAACCACCCTGACCGAAACCGGAACCGAAACTACCCCCACTGGAACCGTCGTCACCGAGACCCCAACCGGCACCACCACTATCAAGACCAGCCCCACTGGCACCGCTGGAGGAGCCGCGACCACCACTACCCGCAGAACCACCACGACCACCTCCAACCCTGGTTCTTACCAGACCGCTGCTGTCGGTCTTGGTGCTCTGTTCGGTGGTGCTGCCATCATGGTTAACCTCTAAAGAAGGGAAGGGATGCTGTGAGCTTTTCCTGTCACAATAGAACTTTGGACATTCCCTTTTTCTTTTCTTTTTTCTGTCCTTTGGTTGTTTGGAATGCAGGGAGGTGATTCCCCCACAAACGCAAAAAAGGGATACACGTTGCCATGCGGGAGGTGTAATACTGGGTAATCGGTGCTTGGGTCGGAACACAAGTCGGCATAATAGTTGAAAATCAAATTAAAGCTGTTCATCAAGTTCTGCTTTTCCCTCGGTTTTCATCGAAACCTCTTCTGTCAATTCGGTGCTCTCGAGCCAAGCAGAACCTTTTCCAGGTTGCTCGGAAATCAAAGTGAGGATATTTCGTATATATATAACGAGTTCATTCCATAACCAAGGCAAACACGTTGAATTCTTCTCGATCTATGCGCTTCGTGGCGGAGGGGCTCGTCACTCCTTCCGCCGGGTATCATTCCATAACCTGTCAATCGTCTGAAAAATAGCCGTAACGTCCTTCATGACGTCCTCGTCGACCTGCCCTCCTAGTTTTTGCTGGATTTTGTCGGGGTGCCACCGTACTCGCTCATCTTTGAGATTCTGGGCGAATTCCCTCTCGTCGGTACTCTCTTGTTTCAGACACCCGAGGAAGAATGACTTGACGGCGTCTTCGCTTACGTCTTTCCTTGATGTTGACTTTACCGGCCAGGGTATGCGGTCAACGGTGCCATCCCATGCCGTCCATCGCTCCAGGTAATCTTGCCATCTCTCGGCCCAAAGCCTCTGGTTCCTCCTCTCCTCGCCCATTAACAGGCTCCTCTCAATCTCCTTTGCCACTCTCCGCCTCTCCTTCTCTTGTTTCTCTCTCGCCTGCCTCGCCTCTTCCCTCTTTTTTCTCTCCTCCAAGAGGCCCTCGTGCGTCTTCTCCCACATTTTCTGCCGCACATATGCAGCATACTCCTCATCCGTCATGCGCTCCAGTTCACCCTGGGGCCCAACCCTCTCATTGGGGTAAACATGAACCGGCTGGCCATAGACGCCTTCCCAATATGCCGCTCCCTCGTCGTCTGCCATAGCATCGAAAAGACTCTCTCGAAAGGCTGCCTCCGGATCGAGGGGTGGCTCCTCATGTGGGTTAGGAGGGGTTGGGGATCGACTCCGCCTTCGGCGCCGTCGGCGTCGACGACCTTCGTCATCTCTGTCATGACGGGAGGATCGGTCGCGAGAGGATCTTCGCCTGGAAGAGGATCTATGTCTGTGGGATCTATGGCTTTTGTGGTCTTTCAGTCTCAAGCGCTTCCTTCTACGTGAGCGATCCTCATCATGCTGTTCAGCAGCTGAGTCTTTGTCGCCTCCCTCGGGGCCGGCGGAAGGGGCATCGCTTGTATCCCGGATTTCCTTGGGAGGCTCCTGGTTAATAGACGCAAGGATGTGTCTCCGCCTCGGCGAGTGACTCCGTCCATGTTCATCCATACTGCAAGTCTCCGAACATTAGTGCGGTCGGGTGAGTGTTGAAACTCGACGCGATGGTCGTCCCCCGATCGCGAGCCTGGGCTCCTGCCGCTATTCGTTTCTGGTCTCCTGTATGGCAATAAGAGGAAAAAGAAGCCAAAGAGCAGTAAAAAGTCTCGAGTATCCAAGAAGTTGGGTTTGTTGTCGTGTGTAGTCGGATTCGAAGGAGGCAAACATGACGTGACGTTGATAATTCGCCCACGGACCAATCAAGTAGGGTCGCCCGAATGAGTGGTGGGCAACGAGAACTCCAAGCTTCAGCGTCGACCGGTCCCAAGCAACTCCATAAACGGTTCTCGGATCTCTAAACACGGCGTCACGATCAGGAAGTTGACGGACCGCAGCGTTCAATCCCCGCCACTATCGCGGATAAGAAAAGCCCAGTGCGTTGAGAATGCCTCGAGATAAAAGTAGTATGACCTCACAAAGGATGGAAAGTTGAGAATTGATATTAGCCGATGATAATCCTTGAGTAGGTACGATTAGCTTGAAACGAACACTAGAGCAAACTAAAGCCAAATCTAGTTTAGTGTCACTGGACCCTGGTCGAGATCGCCTTTGCAAGGGTGTCCTCTCGAGCCGCATTGGCACCAATTCGTATTTGGACCTTGAGATCAATCTTGATATTTGAGCCTTGTCTGTCCTATTTTTTTTTTTTCCTGGGAGCAGACTCCAGAGGAGTGAGAATGGTCGTCGGCGGAACATTCATTCCTTTGCAGACGTACAATCGCTTCCACCTGATCTAGGCATTCCGGTTTTGTTTTCTTCTTATTTCCCTCTTGCCAAGTCGCTCGCTGGCTCACGCAGATCCTGCCGTGGAACTACGAACCGCCCCTATTCGCAACTTGCTTCGAGCTCGCGGTAGGGGAGCCAGCCAACTCAGGATGGGGGGTTTAATACTGCTCCTCACGCTCTGCGTAAGTAGTTTTCCGAAGTCTATATCCTTGCCTGGATCGAGCTATAGCTAACCGTCGTGGTGATAGGTGGTGATGGCGATCGCGTAAGAAGCAACTCCGATTCCGATAGCTCGACGTTGCGAAACTAACACAACCCTCGAATAGCTCATTCCTTGCCGGCGCGGTACCACTATCCATGTCGCTCACCCAGTCACAACTTCGATTCGTCTCGAACATTGGCGTGGGAATACTAGTAGGGACATCAATGATAGTGATTATACCAGAAGGCATCGGCGCCCTCATGCCTCATCCGGGAGCGAGCCACTCCCACAAGGTGAGGTCCGTTGACTCAATATCAGCCATTGCTGCGAGATCTCCTCTTGAAATCGCGATCAGTGGAGATATACCGACAGTAAATTCACACTCGAGACCGCGAGAATCGCTTTCGAGCCGCTCCGAGGACGACGACTTTGATGACCGATTCGACCACTCCCACGATCCCGATCCCGATCCCGAACCCGCGCCCGAGCCTGCGCCCGATCATAGCCATGATGATACCTCGAGTCCGCCGCCGCCTGGACCTCCAATTCGCGAGGAAGTCCATTTCGAGCTCCCGACGTTCGCAATTGGCTTTTCCATGATCCTCGGCTTCATTCTCATGTTCTTGATCGATAGGCTACCCAAACACGCTGCGGGCAACCAACCCGCATCTCTAGCGAGGGACATCCGCCTCGATACACTGTCAATCTCGCCCTCGGGATCGCATAACGATGAATCAGGTCCATTCATTGGGATCATGGGGCCATCCCATGAGCATTCAAAGAGTATGGCGACTACAACTGGTCTGGTGATCCATGCGGCTGCCGACGGTATCGCCATGGGAGCATCGTCTAGCACATCGAATACTCGCCTTGGCTTTATTATATTCATTGCCATCATGGTTCATAAGGCGCCTGCTGCGTTTGGCCTTACATCGGTGTTACTGCGACAGGGTCTCTCTAAGCGGGCGGCTAGGGCTCACCTGCTTGTCTTCAGTCTCGCAGCGCCCGCAGGTGCCATCGCAACATGGTTCCTTATCACTATACTGGGGGGTTCTAACCTAGAGGGCGAGAACGGACAGTGGTGGACGGGTATGCTGCTACTTTTCTCCGCCGGCACATTCCTGTGAGTCCCAGCTGACCCCTCCTTTTCCTGGTTGTTGCCCACCGAACACGGGTTGTTGGCTAACTTTTTACAGATACGTCGCGATCCACGCCATGCAGGATGAAGGCCACTCTCATGATGAGCAGCCTGTCATGAACGGTTACGGTAACACTCCTCAACCTAAGGGACCCGAACTGCGCGACACACTTGCCATAGTGGGTGGCATGTTGCTACCTCTTTTGACTCACATCGGCCATCACCATTGATGTATTGAAACGGTCTATTTCTCGCTATCTTTTTATTTTCCCCCGGGCCTTACCTCGTGGGATAGTGTATTCTAGCCGGCGTTGGGGCGTTTTTCGCATCGGGAGGCTATATATATACCCACCACTATGCATGATTCCGTTCCCTTGTAATAGAGATATCTTGAATTTAAAAGCGATTTCCGGGAAGAGGATGATGGGCGTGAGGTGACTGGGCCGGCGAAGCCCCTACGCCGCAGCAATAAGGTGGTATTTCCAAAATAGTATGGCGATATGTAAATATGCGAATCATTTACACATTGGTTTTCCATGAATCGTAGTGATGGTGGTACAACTGTTGCCATGTCATGTTAAACAAGTCTTCTCACCGGTAATACATTTGATCCGTGCTGTCTTCGGTCAACTTCACTCGATTCAAGTATGATGAACGCATGTCTTTTTGGCTGATATAGTCAACTTTATTTCCAACTACATCAAGGAAATGGAATCCACAACCAAACCTCATAAAATCTAAGCTGCAAGGGGACTCGACCTCATTTACATGAGTCGAAAACCGTTGGAGTCATGTCTCTAGGAGCAAGTAGCAGATAAATTACGAAGGTATTGGTGTCTCGATCGCATGGCCCGCGCTCCCCTCGTCGAGACAAAAGGAGCGTCGATATTCCAGAACCATTACCAGAGCAGTTCTGGACCTTACGTATTATCCAGCCTCTATCTACTCTTAACATCCATCGTCGCGAAGTTAGCAATCGCATTGATGGACGGGCCAAGACCGTCACTGGTATCCCACTGGCAAGTCCACGCAGATGATCTGCGCCAAAACCCAGCACTTCTTCACCCCTTTAACTTTACCCTGAACATCGGTCACTGTTGAACCCCATATATATGTTTTTTTATTTTCCGTATGCACACGGCGATCAAGATTATGCGAGCATACGAAGTAAGGGAGGGAAGAGGGGAGCGGATTTCGTTTACGGGGTGCAGGAGTTTGGCCTATTCCGAAACACTCCCTGCAGATGACTTGGCCGCACGATGGCTGCACGTCACCCCTCGGTCCCGTTTCTAATAGTGGTTATCACGAGGGAGGCAGCTCGTATTTCAAGAATGCGACTTACGCGCGTTGGGATAGGACGGGGATAAAGAATGAACATTTCGAAATTGAAGGTCTGGGAACAGTCTTTGGAGGATTAGAACAATTCGATGCTACTTCGCAGGTGCGTGCAGTGTCGAACCATGTAAATGCACACCGGATTCAGTCGAGAGGGTAAGATCCATAAGACATCATGACCCTTCATTGGAATCGATGGACTCCCCTTCCATCTCAGCGTTTCGCCGTCAAACATGCTGTTTCTATTTTATATCTCGAAAGTCTCACTACGATGAGTTATTCTTAGCATACGTCGGTATTGGTTTTGGATTTGACCGGGGTCGGGGTGGAGATAGGCGGTGGTGAATTTGAACGGTGTCTAATATTATCATATGGAACGCAGCAACTTTAAGATTCTCGCAATGATGCTTCAGCAAGGAAGCTGTTCTTCGAGTGAACTAGCTAGTCTTCGGTCTGAGGCGACGCATTTGTGTGGGGATGAGAGGCACGTTGATCAATCTCACATCCGCCTTCACCATTCTCAACGGCGCTGGCTGGAGAAGAACGGTTAGGGTTTCCGGATCCGGCCAAAAGTTAGGGACGAGTCTGGGGACGCCAAGTAGGTCTCGGTATCATAATGCACATGAAGCCTCCCCTCTTGCGTCCAGCTAGATGTGGGTAGGGCGAACCGAAGGATGGACGTTGTCGTCGCTGCAGCTTCCTCGGCCTTCCCTGCTTGTCTACCTGCTGCGCCGTCGGGTAGGGAGGTTGACGAATGCAGCGGCCCACTGTGGCGAGTCATGATGGAAATGGTTCCATTCCAGAGAAGCCATCTCATAGGTGACGGCGGCGTTCGATGCGTCGAATAACCTACGATCGTGACTTCATCCGCATTCTGCATGCACTAATGCAATTTCCAATGTAAGAGAAAGGAAGGTCCACCAACGTGGAGACCTGAGAGCCACAAACACAGATTATCGGTAATAGCCGTTCTTAACAAAGACAGGTGGGAACACTGGATGTCTTGGTGAGCCAGTCAGTAGTACATCTAACTGCCGCAAAATCTCGGTGGAGGGCAAGGTAGATGAAGAATCAAGTTAGAACTGCCAAATGACCCTTGCGGACACAACACGAACACTCTGCCGCAGTTGTGGATGGACATTGCGCCTGTGCAGGGCTCCGTGGGAGTTATGCTTACCCTATCAGTCTTAGACCTTGCTTCGCTGCCCTGTTCATCGGTCGTGCACTCGGAGCCCTGCACGGAAGAGCGATTGCCTCATCGGCTTATCCCATGCAGGACTGAGAGACGAAAGCGAAGATGCTGAGATGCGAGTACGAGTGACTTGCTGGCTGTACTTGTACCCTAGGTACATCGCGCCTGGATCGAGTGGATGGAATGCGCTTGCCCTTCGAAGGTGGACTGTTGATTGTTGGATTATTCCTTCGGAAAGCACGAAGTTCGTTCTTTGGGTTATTCTCGTAATTTCCATGACTCGATATAATCGATTGATTTCCCCCTTCTTTTGGTCGAGAAGCTTGAGCAAATTTACTTCGTACAATTGTAAGTAAATATGATCGAGACCATCAGACACGGTTCCAAGAGAGAGGGAGCGCCCAAATCTTCCCAAGCCGAACCGGCCCAGCCTCCGACACTATTAACCTTGGAATTGATCTTCGCCACCTCCCTTTTTTGCCTTCTGTTTTACCCAGCGGCTTCCTGCCACACCCCTCCACTCTCGCGAAAATCCCAATGTTCAATGCTCAGTGCTCAATTCAATCATTGATGTTTTCTCTTCTCACCACCAACAGGCTGTGCTCAATACGGTACACATGAATGATCAAATTACATTGATTGCCTTGCACCTTCCTCCTTGGTACACAATATCAGGAAATTCAGCCAACTTGTACCTCAGTATACTTCATACAAGTGAGTGAGAGAGGGAAAGTGCATTCATTCACTTGACCCAGACCCAAACTCATACTGGAGTCGTCGTCCCTGGACCCATTTTGCCCATTTGGTCCAAGTCGGTCCAGTCCAACTTGTACATTTCAGCCCAGCGGCACTCTCCACTTGGAAACCCCCCTTCCTTAGCCACTCTCTCAGTTTCAACCGGTCCGTCCCCAGCCAAACCTGCCCATCCATTGCCCATTGTCCACCCACATCCCACTTCGTGGCCTCCTTAAATGGCTATGCCGCAGCTACAACGCACAAGAATCCGAATGCTCTAGCGGGCCTTTGCGTCATTGCCATAACGAAATCCCTAACGGCCTATTCCCTTTAATTAGCGCCGGTCCGACCAGTCGACTTTCCTCTCGAAACCCGACCGCCTCACGCCGACCATCTTGATCCTTAGTTGCTCTTCCCGCCGCCCTGTTAACCGCCGCCCGCCCTCCCTTCCTTCGGGAATCCCCTCGACGGCCTGCACTGCGAAATAGACCTCGAATATTACTGCTTTGGAATTTCGTCATTCCTTCCCTCAAATTATTTTGCGAGTTCTCCTCGTCGATATATTTGTTTGCCTGCTGGCTTGGCCGCTCTTTCTTCAGCTGGTTCGATTGACGACTCGCCATCCTGCCCACTCCGAAATCTGCATCAGGCCTGTAAGGAAAATTCCGTTTTGCGCAGGCTTCTCGTTTCACATAGTTCGACAACATTCGTCGTCTTTTTTTCTCTCCTCATTTCTTTTTTTTCTTTCTTTTCCCCGCCGTCGCAACCTCTTCCGTTTAATGGGACTGAAGTAGCCCCTTTAATGTTCTGCTCCGACTTGAATGTGCTTTGTCTTCGTGCGAGACCCTGTCGCTAACGGGTTGGTCCGAAAGCAGCCATTCTATGGTCACTGTCACCGTCACCTGAGTCCTTCTCGCCTGCGGCGTCTTCTTTTATTCTCGATATATCTTGCGATACCTCTCTCGACCGGCCGGACTTGACATCATCTCGATTATAGATCTTCGTCCCGATCCTAGGCTCCGCTAGCCGCCTCTGCCACCTTGAGCGAGGCCTCGCTTTCCTCCCTTTATTCATCCTTTGTCCTCGATAACCATGGCTGGCTATCAGCGACCTATAAGTTTTTCCGAGCGCCGGGGAAGCGTTCTGGGTGAGGAGCTAAGTCTAAATACGACCAGCATGGTCTTAAATTCTCGATTAGACAAAGCTCCCCAAAGACAAATGCGAGGGCCTCCTACCCCGAGCATGACCACTCCCGCCCCCGACTTCGACCAACAACTTACGGGTTCTCCTCCTCCTCCTCCCACGCCCGCCGCCTCGCCCGGACCTTCGCATCAGCAGCCCGACTGGAGCGATGCTGCCGATGATGAAGACTTCTTCCTTGCCAAGGTCCGCCAGCATTTCCAGAACTGCTCCGGACCGCAGCGGACGCGTCTTCTGGCCGACCTATTGAATCTCTGTACCAGCCAGCAGCTGAGTTTTGTGCATCAGTTCGTCAGTCCCCTTCTAAAGAAGGACCCCTTTACGAGTCTTCCAGACGAGCTCTGTCTTCGGGTAAGTGATACATAAGCACCCACCCACTCAACACATATACTGCCCTGTCTTTCTCTCAACCTCATCTTTTTACATCGCCGTGGGGCCCTAACACATGCCGACATTACAGATACTTTCCTTCATAGACGACCCCAAAGTCCTTGCGAGAGCATCGCAGGTCTCGCGTCGATGGCGAGATTTGTTAAGTGACGACATGACATGGAAGAACCTCTGCGTAAAGCATGATTACGGTCGTAGGCTCTCCGATGTATACCACCCCACCATCTCCGCCCCATCCCCCACCCGCGTTACCATCAATTCTCTCCTCCTCGCCGACGCCGATCGATCAGCCAGCTGCTTCTCGAATTCGCTCAGCGCATCTTCCGCCACAGTCTCTGCCTCGCATAGCATGGATGCCTCTCACAGCATGGACGGTTCTCAGCTCTCCGCGAGGCCTAAACCCCGGTCCTACAAATCCCATTTCAAGCAAAGATATCTGGTGGAAGCTGCTTGGAGGTCCGGCGGAACGAGCGTCACCTGCAATATCACACAGGAAGGCGGCGTCGTAACAAGTCTGCACTTGTCTCCCAAGTATATCATCGTGGCTCTTGATAATGCGCGGATCCACGTATTTGATACCGATGGGAATTCTCAGCGGGTCCTCCAAGGCCATGTCATGGGAGTTTGGGCAATGGTTCCGTGGGAGGATACTTTGGTGAGCGGCGGCTGCGATCGTGATGTGAGGGTTTGGGACTTGGTTACGGGGTAAGTGTTTGGTTGTTCCGCGAGGGCGCATGCCTCGCATCTAGTAGAGTTGACATGTCCACTAACCGCCACTCCTTTTTAGTGCTTGCCTCTTTACACTTCGCGGCCACACGTCCACAGTCAGGTGTCTCAAGATGTCGGATGCGAATACGGCGATCTCGGGTTCTCGCGATACGACGCTACGAGTATGGGATATCAGGACTGGACTGTGTCGAAATGTTCTGGTCGGCCATCAAGCTAGCGTTCGATGTTTGGAGATCAAGGGAGATATCGTCGTCTCTGGAAGCTACGATACCACCGCCAAGGTTTGGAGTATATCTGAGGGCCGGTGCCTACAGACTCTTCAAGGCCACTTCAGCCAAATTTACGCCATCGCATTCGACGGCCGCCGTGTTGTCACGGGAAGTCTTGACACGCAGGTCCGAATCTGGGATCCTAATACGGCGTAAGTCGGACCAGCACTCGTGGAGACACTATATCCGAATGTGTTCTTACTAATCCATGCTATAGTGAATGTATTGCAATCCTCCAAGGACATACCTCTCTTGTCGGCCAGCTTCAAATGCGGGGTGATACCCTCGTAACCGGAGGCTCAGATGGATCCGTCCGCGTCTGGTCGCTGGAGCGGATGACCCCGATCCATCGGCTCGCAGCCCACGATAACAGTGTGACTAGCTTGCAGTTCGACGATACACGAGTAGTTAGCGGTGGCAGTGATGGGCGAGTGAAGATCTGGGATCTCAAGACGGGCCACTTGGTCCGAGAACTTATTTCTCAAAGCGATGCAGTGTGGAGGGTCGCCTTTGAGGATGAGAAGTGTGTCGCACTCGCCCTAAGGCAGAATCGCACTGTTATGGAGGTAAGCTCTCTCGAAGCACCTGGCGAATTTTTTTCTCTTTTCTCGACAATCAGAACTAATCCTTGCTGTAGGTTTGGAGCTTCTCTCCGCCAGAAGAAATGCTCTATGACCGGCCGCTATCACTGCTCCCTCGCCCTCTCGAGGATGCACCCAATCGCCCGATGAGTGCTTTACCGTTTGATTTTCGAAGATCCCAGGATGGCCTAGCTGGTTCCAGTAGAGATTCCCAGGACGTCGACATGTGTGACGCGGGACCCTCTACAGCGCCACTCCAAGGCGGAAACAAGACTTTCTTCCACGACGACTAAGGTAGATGGTCATGTATATTTGCGGCTCCACTTGAGAAGGGAAGTTCTACCGCCCTTCGTTAATGGCATCCTTACAGGTTTATATACCCTGTTCGATTATATTATCTTTCCCCCCTGATTGGAACAAGGTGCACTGGGTGATGGGTCAACAAACGTGACCGTGTCTCTTCTTCGACAGCGCTTCACCTCGGCGCATCTTGTCGACGCACCTTAGGGACTTTACATACGGGAGGATTAGATTCCATGATACGCTCCTTGACCTCGGTCGGAGCCCGGGTTCCCCTACATACAAGCAAGGGGAAGGACGCGGCGTGGGGTGTTTTGCGCCATAATTTCATCCATTGGGGCTGGTGTATATATGTATTGATTGGGCGTTCGAAGCATTGAACCAGGGATAAAGCATTGGGATGGAGAGATTGGGGCGGCAACAGCAATATATATGTCTTAGCGTTCTCCCACAACTCTTTCGATGTACGTCCAGGCAGGTCATTCATTGCCTTATTACTAGAGAGTAGAGTCAGGATGAGGCGGTGCTTCCGATCAGTATAGCATTGATAATGTTTGTGGCCTCTCCCAGCATAGGAGAGTATTCTAGTGAGGATTCCCTGACTTAGAATCCCTTCGAAACCTTGAATGAGAGGATCCACCGTCGAGCAGAACCAGATCGGAGCATGCTTATCCAAAAACAAAGAAAATGTAAAGAGAAAAAAAACTTGTATTAGATAATGAATATAGATACATATAAGAGCCGCCGCTGTCCAAAATCCCGGCAGTATTTCAGCCTTACTGAACGGATTGTGATACGATGCCCCTGGAGAAATGCGACAACGCCCTGTCTCGATCACCGTTGTTGAGGTCAAGTCGGAGTGTCGGAGAAGCTAAACCGTTAGTTTCCGCCTAAAGCCAGGCTCACGAAGCTGTTGTGTTCACGTGACACTAATTCTACCACGTCTAATCCAGATTAGGACTAGTGTAACAGAGCATTGGAATGGAATGCCTGTCATCCTCAGCAAAATCCCCAACAGGACAAAAAATCGGAGCTCCCAGCCCGTCCAGGTGTTTTGTTTGTTCCTGTGTCCCATCCCTTTCCAAACTTCCACAGGTCTTTTCCAACGAGCTCCCAAATCGCCGGAGACGAAGATTTTTTTCAATCACTACTCGCGATATGTTTTCCAGAGCTCTAAGGACGAGGGCTGTGCCCTCTTGCCTCCGTTCCCGCGGTCCCACTACGTTTGCGGCGACGTCGCGGACGGTGACGACGGATGCAGCTCAATCTAGCCTGGAGCAGCCTCTCCCCAAGGTATGTTTCGATCAACCACTTTCCATCTCAATTGAGGTTTTCTTGTGTGGTATTTGTCTGCCTCGATGGCATTTACTTGATTGAGAGCTTTTTTTTACTATTTGCGTTGCCCCTTGGCCTTTATCATTGGATGGGGAGCTGATATATCCACTTCCGCGTACTAGTCCGACGATGAGCCTTTTAACATCCGCCTCAGCGACGAGTCCTTCGAGACCTACGAGCTCGATCCCCCGCGCTACAGCCTCGAGGTGACCAAGAAGGGACTTAAGCAGATGTACAGCGACATGGTTGTCATCAGGTAAATGCACCCGACACCACCGACTACCCTGCCTGCAACACGGGGGTCGGGATCTTCATAGTACTAACCGTATATACCTCTCAAAACAGGCAGATGGAAATGGCCTCGGATAGGCTATACAAGGAGAAGAAGATTCGGGGTTTCTGCCACTTGTCCACTGGCCAGGAGGCCGTGGCCGTCGGTATCGAGAATGCCATCACCAAAGAGGACTCCGTGATTACCGCCTACCGTTGCCACGGTTTCGCCTACATGCGAGGCGCGACCGTTAGCTCCGTCCTCGGCGAGCTTCTCGGCCGCCGACAGGGTATCGCCTACGGAAAGGGTGGCTCCATGCACATGTTCACCAAGGGCTTCTACGGCGGAAACGGTATCGTCGGAGCTCAGGTTCCCATTGGTGCCGGTCTTGCGTTTGCGCACAAGTACAACGATGACGGCAAGGCCACCATCATTCTCTACGGTGATGGTGCTAGCAACCAGGGTCAGGTGTTTGAGGCTTTCAACATGGCCAAGCTCTGGAAGCTCCCTGCCCTCTTTGGCTGCGAGAGTAAGTCCTGTCGGCCCCACTCTATAGTTTTTCCGTGGTTCCAATCTAACCCGCGCCTCTTCCTCTAGACAACAAATACGGTATGGGTACGTCGGCCGCCCGCTCGTCGGCGCTCACCGATTATTACAAGCGTGGCCAGTACATCCCCGGTCTCAAGGTTAACGGAATGGACGTCCTCGCCGTGAAGGCCGCCGTCCAGTACGGAAAGGAGTGGACCGCGGCCGGAAACGGACCCCTGGTTCTCGAGTACGTCACATACCGATACGGTGGCCACAGTATGTCCGATCCCGGCACCACCTACCGAACCCGCGAGGAGATTCAGCGCATGCGATCCACCAACGATCCCATCGCCGGATTGAAGCACAAGCTTCTCGACTGGGGCGTCCTCAGCGAGGAAGAGCTTAAGAACATCGACAAGGAGGCTAGGGCCCACGTTAACGCCGAGGTTGCTATCGCCGAGTCGATGGCTCCTCCTGAGGCTATTTCTCAGATCCTCTTTGAGGACATCTATGTCAAGGGTACTGAGCCTCCGTTCATCCGTGGCCGTACTGCGGAGGAGCTTCACTACTTTGACAACTAAACGGAGAGATGCAATCGGCTGCTTATTAGTCTCAGGGCTTTCAATACCTTGGGTCATGTATCAACCAACTAGCTAGCGAGAATTTCCTTGGCGTACAGACCTGAGGATTCATGTACCATAATTCCACCGCCTTTCGAGGAGTGGCAACAATACAGGGAGGGGGGAAGAGAAGAAGGGGCGGCGAGGCCAAAAGCGGCAGGCGCAGCGCAAGAAGAGAGCGGTGTTCAGCCGGGTAGCATGCGGGAAGATTTGACGTCGGCATGGCGATTTTTAGGCAAGATAGACCCTATAGATAGGGGTTCTTTTTTTTTTTTTTAGTATTATCAGTTCTTTATTTTGTATGGGGCGCTTTGCAACAGTGTTTGCATGCCCTTGGGATAGGGTATAATTCAAACGTGTCTTCATTTGGGCAATCTTACAAAACCTCTTGCTGCCTTGGTGCCGTAGCGGAATCAAGAAGTCTCCCTGTCTCAGAAAGGGTTCAACAGTGGTCTCTCAGAGAAAAGGATATGAAATAGTAAGCAAATCATTCTCAGACTCCCTCGATATTCTGCGTTGAGATCAGAATTGCTCCTATCATAGGTGTTTTGAGTTCCTGTCCCAAGCTCGAACTGGGGACCTCGTCTTTGGATTATTATCCTCCCAAAGTTCCCTGATGGCCCCATAACCTATCTTTCTCGTCCTGGCTAGTGTTTTTGGAAGGAAATTAGGCCGAATATGGCACCCTTTTTGGGAATGATACCAACACGATCGTGCCTTTTGAGTATATAAGGTCATCTATCCCACATCTGTAATCTTCGATTTATATTGGTGCACTGTACCTGTGTACCTCACTCAATACACTCTCTGTATCCCTAAGACATGCTAGCGAGCAATATCTTCCACGCTCTCTAGAAGCGCAGCATCAATTGATTGATGGATTTGCGCAAAAATCGAGGTCAAATATTGAGCTTAAATCCCAGAGCTTTCCGGTCTGAGCTTGGAGCCTCCAGGCAGGCAGCTCTCAAGCTATTAATTTAAACTAATTCTCGTGTGATGCCAGGCTGTTGGTAGTGGCACGTGCTGAACGCGATCTCGTTGAACCGACTGCGCCGCCAGTTGCCAACCCCACTAAGCCAATTTACGCGATTGTCTGCCTGGAAAGTTCACACACGCGTCAAGCTTCGCTAAGATCAAATCATCCCAATCCTTTTGGAAAATTGGAAACCAACCAGTGTTGCCTCTTTTCTTGGCCCTCGCCTATATCTACCTGCCTGCTGGAGCTCTCTTTGTTCCAAATTCCTTGCATTGTTGCTTTTCCTGTATTTTGTTTTCGGTCTCCCTCCCTCGCAATACGACGGGATATCTCTCCTGCGTGTGAACAGTCGTCACCCTGGCGTCGCGAGTCCTTGTTCGGATCGCAACGCTCTCGGCCGCAAGGTTATTCACCATGGCCCCGAAGCAGGCCACACTTGGGTATGTGAAGCCGGCCCAGACGACGATAGGGTGCGTAGGAAATTTTAGAAGGAGCGAAGACGAAGATGAGAAAGGCTCGAGATGGTTGGGAGTGGGGAATTCTCTTGGTGGACATCATTCGGGATCTCTGAAGGGGCGGAAGAGGGACATTGCCGAGTGGAATGAGTGCTAATAATTACGGGCGTGTAGGAGGTTCTTCGCGCAGGTGGACGGGACAAGACCGAGAGCGGCGCCGAGGCAGACTACGTTATCGTTCTCGACGAAATCTAATGGGCCAGCGGAGAAGAAGGAGGTGAAAGAAGAGATCGATGCTGGCGATGTGTCTCCGCAGAGCGGTATGTCCTCCGTTGCGTACAAGTGAGACCCGAAGATAGCCCCATTTGCTGACGTCTCTGGGAACTTCTCTCTAGATACTAAGAAGAGGTCCCGCGCGAAAAATGAAGAGCTAAATGCGTCTGAAACGGAGTCCGAGACGAAATCTATCAAAGAAGAGGCCGAGGCGCCACCTTCAAAGAGGGCCCGAAGGAATAGAAAGAGGATAGAAGACGACGAGGATGAGGTTATGACCGAGGCATCTGCGCCTTCTCCCAAGCCCAAGAAGGAGAGCCCTGTTAGAAAGCGAAGCCGAAGCCGGAGTCGAAGCCCTACAAGTCCAGTAAAGCCGAAATCTGCTAAGGCGGCAATTGGTAAGGCCAAGGCTTCTAAGATTAAGAAGGAGGAGGAGGAGAAGGAGAAGGATACGGAAGAACGCAGCATTGTTTCGTCATCCGAGGATGAGATGGAGGTGCTGGAGGAAGAGGAGGAAGAACGTCCAGAGATTACCGCGAAAGCGCGAAAGGAGGTACAGACAATAATTGCCTCCAAGGGCAAGGATCCTTATCCTGACTGGAAGGCCGGTGCGCCTGTTCCGTATGCCGCGCTTTGCAAGACCTTCTCGCTCATTGAGCTCACGACGAAGCGGTTGCAAATTATGGAACACTGCTCGCTCTTCCTCCGCCAGGTCCTTCGTCTCACACCCGATGACTTGCTACCGACTGTGCTTCTCATGATTAACAAGCTCGCCCCCGACTATGCGGGTATCGAGCTTGGCATTGGCGAGTCACTCATTATGAAAGCCATTGGGGAGAGTACAGGACGGAGTCTGCAAATCATCAAGCAGGACCAAAAGGAAATCGGCGACCTTGGTCTCGTGGCCGTGAAGAGCAGGTCGACCCAGCCGACCATGTTCAAGCCCAAGCCTCTAACCGTCAGGGGAGTGCATCAAGGACTCATGAGCATCGCTACTGTCAGTGGCAGCGGTGCGCAGCAGCGCAAGGTCGATCTCATCAAAAAGCTACTCTCGGCCTCTGATCAGAACTCCACCGGAAAGGTCGACATCACAAAGGATAAGGGAGGCCCAAGCGAGGCCAAGTTTCTCATTCGATTCCTGGAAGGAAAGCTTAGATTGGGTCTGGCCGAGCGCACAGTTATAGTGTCACTTGCGCAGGCTGTTGTCGCCCATGAAGCCGAGGTGAAAGGCAAACTGCCCAGCACGAGCGACATGGAGAAGGGCGAGAGCATTCTCAAGCAAGTGTACAGGTTCGTCGGCCCTCTTGATTCCAACCCCTCATGACCTTTGAAACTAATATAACGATAAACAGCGAGCTGCCGAGCTACGATGTTATCATTCCCGCCATGCTCGAACACGGCATCATGAAGCTACGGGATAACTGCAAGCTGAAACCGGGTGTGCCTTTGAAGCCCATGCTAGCTAAACCCACGAAGGCTATCACCGAAGTCCTAGATCGTTTCGAGGGCCAAACTTTCACTTGCGAATACAAGTATGATGGCGAGCGAGCCCAGATTCACTACTTGGCCAAGGATGCCCCCAAGGGTGAAGCCGAAGATCTCAAGAACGCGACTCATCTCAAAGCGGACGGCGTAGCCGCCATTTTCTCTCGCAACTCGGAAGACTTGTCCAGGAAATACCCCGATATCCTCGCCAAGCTTCATGCCTGGGTCAAGACCGACACGAAAAGCTTCGTGCTTGACTGCGAGACGGTCGCCTGGGACGTCAGCGAGAAGAAGGTGCTGCCGTTCCAGCAGCTCATGACGCGCAAGAAGAAGGACGTCAAGATCGAGGACGTCAAGGTCAAGGTCTGCGTGTTCGCTTTCGATTTGCTCTATCTCAACGGTAACCCCGTCGTGGAAAAGCCTCTGCGCGAGAGGCGAGAGCTGCTCACGCAGTCCTTTGTCCCGGTTGAGGGAGAGTTTGCGTTTGCAACGCACATGGACAGTCAGGAGCTCGAGGATATCCAGACTTTCCTTGATGAGAGTGTGAAGGCATCTTGTGAAGGTTTGATGGTGAAGATGCTGGACGGCGGTGAAAGCGGATACGAGCCCAGCAAGCGAAGTCGCAACTGGTTAAAGGTAAGAAGAAAGTCTTCAAAGTTTTCTTCCCAAGCCGTTACGCGTTCTTGATTCTCTAACCCCGCCTTATAGATCAAGAAGGACTACCTCTCAGGCGTAGGCGACTCTCTCGATCTCGTCGTTCTAGGAGCGTACTACGGCAAGGGCAAGCGCACATCAGTCTACGGTGCCTTCCTCCTCGCCTGCTACAACCCCTTCTCCGACACCTACGAAACAGTTTGCAACATCGGCACCGGCTTCTCCGAGCAGGTCCTCGAGGACCTCCACTCCCAACTCTCTGAAATCGTTATCGAGCGTCCCAAACCCTTCTATTCCCACTCCTCGGGAACGCAGCACCAGCCCGACGTCTGGTTCGAGCCCCGCTACGTCTGGGAGGTCAAAACGGCTGACCTAACCCTCAGCCCGCGCTACAAGGCCGGTTGCAGAGAGGGCGTCGACCCCTCGGGTGAGAAGGGTATTAGTTTGCGATTCCCGCGCTTCATCCGCGTGAGGGATGATAAGAAGGCTGTGGATGCTACGTCGAGTAGGCAAGTTGCTGAGATGTATAGGCGGCAGGAGAGTGTGACGAAGAATAAGGCGCCGGCTGTGGACGACGATTTTGAGTATTGAGGGGCGGAAGGGGGACGTAAAAAAAATTTGCATAGTCTTCACTCTGCCTGGGGCTGGCTTGGCTTCATCCTCGTGTATTATACTGTTTTGTTACGACGAATTCTCGTAATGATTCTTGTCAAGGAACTTTTGGGGAGTAGAATCCCATGACGCATTTGTATTTATCGCTACTATCAGTCTCCCCCTGCGTGTGTATATATATATATATCGCTCGATAATGGTACAAAAAGTAAAAAAAAAAAAAAAAAAAAAAAAAAAAAAAAAAGTTCAGACCCTATGCCAAGAGACCCAGCACCAAATGATAGAGAAAATCCAGAACCCAAACCCGGAAAGAAATTAAAACATGCTCTCATCATCACCCTCTCCGGGACTGATTGACCCATCCACGCCCGCCAACAACCCCACCTCCTCGGCACCACTATCCCCAGCATCCTCCCCATGCGACTCCCCACGTCCGTCCATCCTACTCGATCGGCGCGTTTCCTCCGCGCCGTTGAGGACGTACCAGACGTCCTTCTTCGTCAGGAGACCCTGCAAGACGCCCTGGTCACAGAAAAGCACGTATCGCAAACCAAGCTTGCGGAAGTACGTGACGGCGAGATGCAGGCTCGCCCTCGAGGGTAACGTAAGCGGAGTCTGGTCCATCCAGGGCCGGAGGTCCAGCGTGGTGCGGGGATCTGCGAGCGCCTGATGTGAGAAGAAGACCTCCGTCTCGGGAGGTAAGGAACGAGGCGCCTGCGTGGAGGTGTGCAGGTTATAGGCGAGTTCGGTGCGGGAGATGTAGCCGAGGAGGATGGCGTCGCGGGGATCAGAGATGACCGGAAAGCCGCGGTAAGGGTGTGCGTCGAGGATGGTTTTGAGACTGGCGATGGTGTGGCCCGTGGCAGTGAGGACGACGAGGTCTTCGATGCGGGTCATGATTTGCGAGGCGGGGACGTCAGGGACGATGATCTCGTCGCTGTTGTCGAGGAAGGGGTACTCGTTGAAGTGGATCCAGGATTCGTAAATGTCTTTGCGGGAGAAGGCGTCGCCGACCCATTTGGCTATCATGACGGCTACCATAATGGGGAGGACGTAGGTTAACGCTCCGGTGAGCTCGAACATGATGACGACAATGGATACGGTGAGCCGCGTGACGCCGGCCAGGGCCGCCGCGGCTCCGATGAGGGCGTAGGTTCCTGGCGTGATGCAGGGGATGTCGGGCTCGCATGAGTCCCAGAGAATAAAGCCTCGGGTGCTGTTGACCAAGATTTCCATGATGATCCCAATCGCTCTTCCTACCAACGCACCGATGGCCATCGACGGCAGGATGATACCCGCAGGAATCTGGAGACCAAAGGTGATGGCTGCGAGGCCGAAGCCGAGAATGGCTGCAAATATCAGGAGTACAACAGTACCCGCGGAAGCCGCACCAGTCTTGCAGAGACCAATTTCGTCCTCGAGAAGCTTAGTACAATCTGTAAATAGATTGGACACCAACTCCGACGTCTGAAGCTTCATGTAAACATTGGGGTAGTTGACCAAGGCTGTAAAGAAGGCCACCATAATGACCTGAGTAATCGCGGACGGTAACCACGGCGTGGACTTCTTCCACCTCGCGACGAACATGTTTGCTTTGATGAAGAGCCCTCCATAGATACCACCCAATACACCCAGGATAACGTAAGGGACAAGCTCAAAGCCATGCCAGCCCACGTTATATTTCACCTGGAAGAGCACGAGCTTCCCGGACCTGAGAGGGTCAAGCGCTTGGAGAACGACAGCAGCCGTCATGGCGCACACGAAGCTCTGCCACATGGTCTTGTCAGGGAAGTAGTAGGAAAGTTGCTGCATGAAAAAGTTAGTAACCATGCTCTGCCTCCCGATCTAAGGAGGAGCTTGTCTCACCTCGAGGCTGAAGAGCACACCTCCTATGGGTGAGCCGAAAGCGACTGAAATGCCTGCGGCGGCTGCAGCAGACAAGACCTCACGCTTACGCGCTACGAAAACAGACGCGGTTAGTATAAATAACGATCTTACAAGTCAAGTGGGAAGCAGGGTGAGGCTACCTTCGTTTTCACTAATATTCCTGAAGGGTCTAGTGAATAGGTTGGCAACGCAGCATGCTACATGCACGAAGGGTCCCTCTTTTCCCAGCCACATCCCTGAGCCAACAGCGAGACACTGTAACTCGAGAGTTAGCATGAGGCGCAGCGCAGCATCCTCTAATTGATTGAAGCAGACTTACCAGGCCAATCGATTTTGTGATCAACGTCCACAATCCTAGGAATTTGCGAATGACAAAGCCCCCCAAGATCGTTTTCATCTCAGGTATACCGCTGTGCTTGGCGTATATCGCATACTCCTTGACCAAAGCCGATGCAAAGTATGCAAGAATAACCTGCAAAACCAATGTTAGCCGGCTGGGAGGGTCGGAAGTCTTGGAACGAAAGACAACCATACTGAAAATATAATGAAGAAAAGATATTCTATAAACCATTTACCGCCACCGGAGTGAATACCAAACGCCTCGCCCCATGAAGTCCACCCCAGGCACTTCGAGCCTTGATCGTACCCCAAGCAACATGATGCCTTGCTCAGATAGAATGCTCCACCATCCGGACCACCGGAGCAGAAGCCAGTCTTAAGATCACCTAGCCAGCTTGTCGTCACCTGAATACCGGCAGCGATGGCTCCAGTAGCGATTCCCGTGAGAATGAGAATGACCCAAACCTGGCTCGCATCCAGAAGCTGCTGTATGTACCCGAGTAGACCGCTTGCGCTAGACCTCAAGACACGTAACCGCTGTCTCTCTTTCGTATACTCGAAAATCCAATCGATGGCCGTCAAGTTTTCGTATGCGACACGTCTTCCTGGGCCCTCCACGTACCAATCCAGCGGAGGCTCCTCCTTTGGGTGGTAGCCGCCTCTGAGCCCGTCCTGGTCCAAGCCCTGGACTCCTATCCCTCGTAAGATTCCATCGCCGTCGGCTGAGTTCAGAGAGGGTGACGGCGGCTCGTCGTGGTGGCGGGAAGCCCCGCCAGCGTTGGTAAAGGCAGAGAAGAATCGCGCCGTCGACGAGAGCATGTTGCGCTTCTGTTTTCGCTTAAAGGTAATTGGTTCATTTCGAGTCTCATTCAGGGGGTCCTCGGCAAGGACTCCCGTATCTGGTTCGTCAACCCAGAATGGCTCGATTCCATCGTCTCGTTCGTCGGAACTGTCGGCGGGCGTCTGGATGGGAATCGGCGATCGGGACGATGATGGTGTGGAAGAGTCAACGTTCGGTATGAAATGTCCCGACATGATTATGGTATGGAGGCGGCCGAGCTTCCCATCTTTATCAATCGCTGAGAAGCTGGGAATTCGAGCTGGTATACTTCGTATTTCGTAGGTGCAGATGTGGTCGCGGGAGTGAGGACGAGTTGTTGTAAACCCAGCCTCTTCGTTCGAATAACAAGGCAGCGCAATAGGCCAGATGCTAGATGACGAAAGCGCAATGCTCTGAGCCTTATGTTAGCACTTGTTGACATCTGTCTTGAGTTTGGACATGCAACGTCTTGTATACAGTGCTATTACTCCGTAGGAACAGTATTCTCATCACATCCTCGACGTCGATTTCTCGCATCATCGCTCACTTCAAGGACCTTCAAACGTAACTTAAGAGAAGTGGAGTTTTCCGAAACAAAATCGTCTTGTTAGTCCAGATATACTCGCATACAGATATCAAGCCTCCTTATCGAACTACTATCATGGCTGAAGCCGAACCCGGGCAAGGCCCCAGCGCCGAGCCCAGAAAAGCGCCCACCATCTCGATCTCCCAAGTTCAAAACTTGCTAAATTCGAAAGATGACACCTCCAGGTTTACCGGCCTAGCGGTTCTCAAAGCTGTTCTTGATGATTCGCCTAAGTTGAGAGAGGACCAGGAGATTATAACACAGCTGTGGAACTCGATATCACCCAAGTTCCTAGATCGACTTATACGCACAGGCTCTAAGAGCTCAGGAACCGGCAAGGACACGAGGGAGATGTTGAATCTTGCCGTGTCTATTATACATACCTTCACTACCCTCCTTCCTGCGGATGAAAAACAAAATCCAAGGCTAGTCCAGAGGATACCATCCTTGATGAGTGCCATTCTCTGCAGGTTTGTCTCAACTCACCCACAACGTGCGGAAACTCTTCCCTTCATCATGTGCTGACCCGCTGAAGCTCTAAAGAAACAACTCAGTTGACACTCCAGGCGATGGCTACTATTACAAGTTTCCCGGCCGGGGGGAATGAGTTTATGGCCCTTGATGACATTACCCCCCTTGTAGAGGTTGCTCCAGCACACCCTGAAGCTCTCCAGATTTTAAGTTTCGCGTGGTTCAATACCATGAACGGTCCTGAGGGCCCGGGACAGGTCAGAGATAAGATTGACGGAACTATCCGGAAGCTCGTGTCGTCCTTCAAAGGTACAGACGGCGTCACGCTTCTTGAATTCCTGAGCTTCTACTTGCATTACGCGGACCCTGAGGTGAGCATCCTCAACCTCATAGTATACTGCCATCAACTGGGTTTAGCTAATGCTGCATTATATAGGCGATACCACAGAATCCTCAGTGGTTAGAATCCATTGTAGGATTTATAAAAAGGCTTGTTGCGAGCCGGCCAACGCCAGAGGCTAGGTCGGCTTACACAAACGCGGCGGCCTCCTTATTACAGGCGTATCCAACCGATGCGCCGAAACTCCTATTCGCCTCGCAACCTAAAGAGGAGAAGTCCCTTCCATATCTCCTCACGAATCTTGTCTTAATTGACATCCGATCCTCCTGTCCAACATTGCTAGAGAAGCTAAATAGCCCCCAGTACATCAAGATATCTCGAAGGTTAGCTTCGGGATATGACATTCTCTCTAGCTTTATTGGCTACCTCGTCAGAAGTCTCGAAAACGATTTTGATGACGAGAGTTGTACTTTAGTCATGGATCCCAACCTGTTGCTGAAGCTACGAAAGTCCCTATCGGAGACGATGTCTGTGACCATTGAATACCTCCGCGACCGGTGGGATGCCTCAGTCGCCGGCGCCATGGGCCTACATCCCGAAGCCAGGGTCGGGAAGGCGACGACAGGGACAGGATCTCATTTGACTCTGGCATGGGATTCAGCAAACGATAGTGCTGGCGATGACCCAATGATACTAGCAGCTGTGAGGGCGCTAGCAATCTGGCTTCGGGAAGATGAGAGCAGCATGCTTCGGAAGGAAGCGTCGGGTCTCCTTGACATGTTCTTCGATTTGTACAAATCCAGCGGTCCAACGAAAAACGACTTTAGATCGGCCGTCCTTGTTGCCTTGGAAGGCATGTTGGAAGTCGCGAGGGGGAAGGAAGCTTTCTTCGAGAATGATGGATGGGCTATTCTTGTCAAGGACCTGCTCGACGTGTTCCATAGGACATCAAAGGAGAGTAACGAGTCGGACGCCTATAGGGGGATCAATATCGTCCACACACTCATACGCATTGCCGAGGAGGAGGATACGGGCACTCGAGAAGCATGGATGGATACCGTCACTAGCGTCGCCGCGTGGAGCCCTCCTGACGTTGAGCAACCGTCTCTTGTGCGAGAATTCCAATTTGCCGTGCTGCAGCTGTGTGCCGTCCTCCTGGCCCGTGCCAGTCCTGGATTGAGGAAGAGATACCTGCACTCGACGAGCGCCATCGTTGGGATAGTGAATCAACTTCGGCAGCATATAGGAGACAACCGGATACTCCAAGAGCAACTTCAGGACGTGCAGGAGACTCTGGAAAGCCTTCGGTAGGGATTCCGAATTTCCAGTTTCCTGCCCTTGCGCTGGTGCACGAACAATTTATAGTGGGTATATCAACTCCCATCATCCCCCTCCAAGGAGTTCCGCTTCAGGCGATTGCATGAATCACTAAAGTAGGAGGAGCGGGGGAGAAAGCGCGATTATCGTGAGAAGAAAAAACCTCATATGAATCAAAAAGAATCGGCGATTGTATCTGCTCCTCCCACGATTTTATCTCACTTTATGTAACCTGTAAACAAGAATTCGGTGCCGCCAAGCTACTCCGCTTGTGTTCAGGACGGTAGAATACACAGCAATAACATATTTCCATTTCTGGAGGTGTAAAAGCATCTAGCTCTATAAACCGAGATAGATTTCCTTGGAGATCAATTTAGCTTTTATAGTGCCTGCACACCATGGAATGGTGTGGCGGAATAAACGAATGCCGCCGCATCCAAAGCTTCTAAATGTGAGAGGCCAAGCTTGATGCCTAGATTCGTGGTAGGTTGTACCATGTGCAATCATCCAACCGAAGATGATAGGAACAGCGAAGGCGCCATTGGATTTAGGGATGAGGTCCTTGTACAATTGCACCATTCGATCTCAAGGTATTTGCCTGCTGGAGAGAAAGGACGCGGCTTATGGAGAAGTATTTCCGTCAGCAACCGCACCCTCGACAAAGGCCGGAAACGGCAAACCCTCCAATTTCTACCGGCGTCGGTTGATCCAGACTCGGTAACATCTAAAAGCCACTGGAAAGGAGCGGGGAGGAAGTTGGAGTACGTAGGTAACACCACAGCCGCTGGAAAGAAAAAAGAAACATGGAATAAATTTCCGCGGAGGCAAACTGAGAAGATCAGGCTGCCTCAACCCGGACGGACGACGATTGGCTCGCCTCCGCATTCCTCTTCGCAGCCTCAATTTCGGCCTTGGCCCTCTTCTTCCGAGCTCTCCTCACTTCAATCTCGATGTTCAGCATCTCCGCATTGACAGTAGCGAGGCGCGGGACGACGTTTTCGATGATCTGAACGGCTTGGTCCTGCGCAAGTCGTAGCGGCATGGGTGTGACCAACCCGAACCAGCGGAGCGGGTTTCGGTTTGCTTCCTTCTTCGACTTTTCATCCTGTTTGCCCTCGTTTCGCTGCTCCGGCGTGTCCCCGATTAGGTCTGCCTTCTCGCCATGCTCCTCCTTCTCTGCTGTGTTGCCCTGTTCTGGGATCAATGTGCTTTGATCGACGACGGAAAAAGCCGGCACGCTTTCACTGTTGCCGCCCAAGACTTCGACCTTTACCTTGCGAGAGGCCTGCATCCTATCGTCGTAGAAGTCCTGGCCGTACCTGATGCCACGCTCGGCGGAGAAATTGGCACGAGCGATGTTTTGGTACATGGCTCCTTGGAGGCTACTTAGAGATGAGCGAAGCGTTGTGTACTCATCGAGTAGGAGGAGATAGCGCTCCAGCAGGCGATCAATGTGGTCGGCCTCCATGGTGACGGTCATCTCAAGACTCAACTTCTCTCTTCGTAGGCTCCAGTCGAAGCTCAGAAGGCGTTAAAAGCTGGAGGGCGGTGGTATATTGTCCCTTTCACGCTGTCGACTTTGAAGATACTGAGTACGTACGAAGTGCTTGTTGCCAGTTAATATAGTGCGATTCGTCACATCAACACTTCTGTCAGTGGGCGGCACCTGCCAGGCCCCCAGGCTGCCACCCATGTGAAAAATCCCGAATTCACATCACACAGTACATAGTAAAATAAAATAATACGCACGGTGGAAAAGGTGATACAACCAGCAGTACAGCACAGTCTGAGTTCGCTCATCAATTGATCCGCCCTGAAAAAGCACTTGTTGAGACCTCGAGTGCTCTGAACGCGCTGGCTGGCGGCCAGCACAGGTCTAGCTCGGCCCCCACTAATCTGTCAGCACTGAGCACGCAGATCCCTGATGTAACATTAAACACTCCCTTCGAGAACAGCCCCTGGAAATGCAGTTCACGAGACCCCAGGCGTTCTGGAACACTAGCGCCCTCTGGTCTCCTGTTCGTCCGGTCAAGGAGAACCAAAACGGGGCGTTATCTCACCCTGAGGAGAGCGAGTGCGACAGTGCGGTAAATGATGATCCGAAGGGACGCGGTCCTGAATATTAAGAATAGATACTCTGAGGTGTTTAGTGACGTGATTGAGTCGAGGGAAGTTGCGTGAAGCTGAACCTTGGGAGAAGGGGATTTCTTTTCAGCACGCAATCTGCGGGCATGGTGGGTACCACCCTTCCAAGGGTTCCCTTCAACGCTTGCCAGCTTGGGATAGTATCCTGTTTCAGCTTTAGGCCTTGATTTTTTGGCGCTGTCACACTCTTTTGGACCCCAAAAAAGGAGAGAGGGCATTTGCAGCCTCTCTCATATGCACTCCCTGCGTCAACGAGCGAGGAGAAACACGAAATGTTGGCCTCGGATCCAGTGAACAGGGCAGTGCTCGAAGGGAACGGGAACTTTTTTGTTTCCTTGTGAAATAGACTCCTTGCGACAGATCACACACTGGCCCACCTGTGAACATGTGCAGCGTTCCATCTACCGTCCGTTTTGTGGCAGAAACGTGGAAGCGGGAGGAAACGCTACGGAGTACCTCAGTACTTAGTCGATCTCCCATTACAGGTCGTGCAGGTGCTGCCTAAACGCCACTTCAGCTTCGCGGGCCGGGAAAGAAGGCCTCTGGATTCCATTTTTAGGCCTTCAAGGAGCTTTACACGGGTCGAGCCTTAGAGGAGGCTCCGACTCCTATGCTCCATGTTGTACAGGCATCTGCCGAGGGCCACGTCGTAATCCACCGGGAATATCTTCGTATAGTGGTATCGATCGGGTGCCCACAGCCACCCATGAGATCATTTAGCGAGGCGGTCGCTGAGTGAGGGATGTTGGCCCGTTGCGGTAGAAGCAGGTTCGACCCGTGTTCCATGCGCATGGCTGGTAACCCACCTCGGCATACTGGACTGCTTGTAAGTGCATGGCGTGCAAACGGATCAAGAGGACGAAAATCGAGGGTGGCCAACCACTCTAGCAAGTATGCAGGAGACTGATAGAAATAGAAACTCGGCGGCTTTCCCATTTGCCACATGAAGGAGGGTGGGTGCTGCCGCTGTGGCGGTGGTGCATGCGAAAAGGCCCAGGTACTCGCTAGTGTCTTCGACGTCTTGAATCAAACTCCTTCTAAGATCGGCGAGAGCGTTAAGACGATGACGGTAGTTTGGAGTGGGAGGGAGCTAGGGCCAGTCCGATAAGCCGGATCGACAAGTGATGAAGACGGTCAACCTCTGGGGTCGACTGTCTACGTAATAGGCGCCTTTCTCACTGGTAGGTGATTGCTAGAAAAAAGAGCGCACGGCCAATCGCTCAGAAATGCTGCATCCCTCTCTCAACGCTCGACTCCGACTCGTTGACCATGTCTAAGGGGACCAAAGAAAAGGAGTGATCACACTCGAGAGTCGAGAGTGTGGGGTTCCTTGGCTAGGATCGGTGCCGGGGATAGGAGTCGTCGAGGCCTGGTTTGTTTCGGAACAGTCAAATGCCAGGATCTCTTTTATGCCTCCGCCATCCGGAAGCTCTCGACATTTGGGTGGTCCAAATGTCTCTAGTACTCAATCGGTCTCGACTTCTCCCTTTGTCCTATCCCTGTCCTCGATGCCAGGCAATGCTGGGTTTTTTGGCCTAGCCAGTCATGGACACGAAGTGCAGGATCGAGCATAATACGAAGGACGACGACGCCCCTTTCCTGTTGGTTATGAAGGAAGAGTCTTCAAATAATACATTGTGATGGTCTTCGGGTGTCCTCGATTCGGAGATGTTTCACTATCACTTGTCAACTTCACCGCTCTCGCCCCAAAAACTAGTCTGAAGGAAAAGCCCTTGAACCACCACATTCCCTCTTTCAGCCACCGTTTTCCACATCAACCCTGGTCAAAAAGTTGGTGGATGATTGAAGCTCTCCTTTTCAACTCTCAACGCTGAAGACGGTGATAAAAACGCCACTGGCTGTAGATTAATGGCCTGGTTAAGGGGAAGGGCTGTGGAGGAGCGAGAAGAAAGAGTAAACTTAGCGACCATAAATTGACCTCCGAGGCAGCAGCCCATTGCAAGTATGAGTTTGTTGACGACTCGCAGTCTTAACTTGAAGAAACAGAAAAAATTACGAAGCTTTATCTTTTTAATCAACAAGCGAAGATAATATCACTGTTGCACTGCGAGACGCAACTCTGGCGCCCAGCAGGTTTGGGACCGTAAGATACTACTAGTAAGTCACTGTCAGCACCTTCTCGACCTGCGGCAGGCACCAGTCAATCGATTAAGGTAACGGGGAATGCACGCCCCATTGATCCTGCTCTGCCCTCTCCCCTCAGTGCTCCCTGCTCTCTATGTACTCCAGCCCACTGTTACCAGTATCCAGGCTGACGAGACTGACGAGATCCATCATTGTTTGATTGATCAAAACATGAGTCTCTCGAGGAACAAATACACTAGAACACCACGACACTTGATGCTTCGGTCGAGTTTGCTAGCTCAAGGTGCTCCCAATCCCACTCTCACTCCCACCAAGGCCCTCAAAGTGCTCAATTACAAGTACATTCGGGCCCCTTTGACTACTCCATCCTAAAGTACAAGTACGAAGTACCTTGGGTGTAGTTTGGTACTAGTCGAGGCTAGTTTACGTTCCACAGTGCCATTGGCATGCTGGATTTCATACTGGTGCGTTCACTGCATTGATTGTGATTGTTCACCTTTGTACACAGGTACTCTCAAGGACCAATACTAATAATCAGAGTCCTGAATCTTTTCAATGTTCCTTTTCCTTTTAAATCCTCTCCAGAGAGACCCTGGACTACTTGACCACTTTGGACTGGACCACTTTGGACCTTTGGACCAGCCTGGGCCTTGGTGCTCTCAAATTCTTCGTGCCTTCCCATCCTCCATCATTTTACCGTTGTGCTTCACAACGCTATCGTCTTCATTCCGCCGTCCTATTAATTTCCCTCCCCTTCCACCTCCCTTTCCCCACACCTCCACCGTCACTTTGCGTCTGTCGCCCGTCTCTGCCTCTTGCACTCTCGAACTCACTTCAACTTTCCATAAATTTAGACTTACACTTCCTCTTACAAACAAAAAAACAATCAATCCGCCCTCTGACTCGTCGCCGAGAATCCAGTTTCGACCTGGAGGTGGCCTTTCGAGAGAATTGGCGAAAGTCGCAGCTCCCCTCTTTTTTTCCCCGACCTCCCCCATCCAACCTGCAGATTGTCGTCGACCGGTCCCCGGGAAAATACGTATCGCTATCCCCATCCCTCTGTCCACCGACCTCCGCCTTCAGCCTGCGCTCACGATAAGGCAAGGGCATCACCAAACAGTCGGTCAACCCCGAACCCGCTCTATCTGCTCCCACAAAGGAGCACAGCTGGCTCTGAACAATGGTGGTCGCCACGATCAAGTATGTAATCCCACTTCCATTCCAAATCCGTCGCTTTATTTGCATCATTCCACTCGCACTCCTCTGGTCTCCCTATCCGACACACTTTTGCCGTCCTCGCTGCGCCAGCCACTACCAACCTTGCGATCATTGTTGGTCTCGAGCAAACTCTCCAGATACGCCGCCGACATGGTGTTAGGCCCCGGGGAGCAACATAGTAACAAGACGTGTGCCACGCTCGCCGACAAATTCGAGCCCCTGTTTTAACGGTTCCTGTTATGCACCGACTCGTCTTGGACTGAACATGGTGCTAACCAACCTCTTCTTCTTAGGTGTGTAGTTGTTGGTGATGGTGCTGTCGGAAAGACGTGTCTTCTCATCAGCTATACGACGAACAAGTTCCCTTCAGAATATGTACCTACGGTCTTCGACAACTATGCTGTCACTGTGATGTGAGTTGCTACGCATCCTAGTCTACGGTCCATCAGAACCATGGCCCTGCCTTCTTCCGTGGGCACTGCGTATCTTCGGGGATAGAGGTTCCAATACTGCACGGTGCCGCTACCTCTCTAGTCATGTTCTCCATTCGCTAACCTGCCTATCCGGATAGGATTGGCGACGAGCCATATACGCTGGGCCTCTTCGATACTGCTGGGCAGGAAGATTACGATAGATTGCGGCCTCTTTCCTACCCCCAGACCGACGTCTTCCTTGTCTGCTTCAGCGTCACATCTCCCGCGTCCTTCGAAAACGTCAGAGAAAAATGGTTCCCCGAGGTACATCACCACTGCCCCGGTGTCCCCTGCCTGATCGTTGGCACCCAGGTAGATCTTCGGGACGACCCAAGTGTGCGCGAAAAGCTTGCGAAGCAAAAGATGCAGCCCGTTAGGAGGGAGGATGGAGAGAGGATGGCGAAAGACCTCGGCGCTGTTAAGTACGTGGAATGCAGTGCTCTGACGCAGTATAAACTAAAGGACGTATTCGACGAGGTATGTTTTCTGTGCCCTGCTAGTCCCACCTCCATCCACCAGTACAAATGTAGTAGATCCCATACTGACACAAGATTTCTCTACTTCGTAGGCGATCGTCGCTGCCTTGGAGCCTCCCGCGCACAAGAAGAAAAAGAGCCGTTGCGTCCTCCTCTAAACACACCACCACGAATCATGCATCACCTCGATCTCCCATACTCCCCAGCCTCTTACCCCTGAATTCCAGTGTCTATTGCCAGTACCAATAAGACTATACTACGTATGGATTGATCCTTTTTTTAGGACCAGGGTGCGCTTTTTTTTTCGAGAACGGCAACGACCATGGGCTGGGGCGACATTGGGATGGATAACGAGGTGGAATAGACCGAACTAGGCTCTTAATTACACGGCCTTCAGACAATGGGATTGCGATGGGCGTCCTGCGCTTTACGGGAGCGATTTTGCTTTGAGAGGATGGAATGGGTCTTTGGTCGGGGTTGGAGCGGAGGAGGGGAATGGGCACCCGAGGGATCAATAGATCTATCGCCTGGAAGCAGGCTGTGGTCCCTAAAATCCACCCACCTGGAATGACGAAGCCCGTGGCCTCAGGAATTCTACAGCTGGCTTGAGACTCGGTTCGTTGCATCTAGCGTTCTAGGAAATTCTTCTTTTTTTACCTATTTTATTTAGTACCGGTGTTGACTATGTTCTTCCTTTTGCTACATTTTCAGGGTGGGCAAATTCATAAATGCAGGCAGGAAACACCTTTCAACAGGACAGTTTGGCGATTGGAGTGAATTAAAATTTTGGGGGCGTTTCCACAATTTTGACTTTCTACAATTGTTCTAGGATTTCTTTTGTTTTGCTTCTTTTCCCAAGCCCAACCCGGCCTTGAGGCCGTGCTCACCTCGCAAGCCTGCTAGTCGGATTGGAATGCTTCGAGTGCAGATAAGGAGGCAACATCGCGGTCATCGAAGAACGTGATGGGTGGCGGCGACCGTTGAGCGAAGAAGCCGGCCACCCTGGTCTCCGGCTGGACACCGCACATCTTGGGGCATCTGGTGGCTTTGCCCATGGCGTCACCTAGATCCGCTCTGTCATTGCTTTTCCAGAACCTGGGAGAACCTGGCTTGTAGAAACTGATATCTGGTGATATATCTATTGGTCTCGTCGCGTAGATAGCAGTCGAGCGAACAAAGCAAAGGGTCCAAGGAGGGGAGGTGGTAGGAGACTCGACATCCCTCAACAATCGGGGAACCATACGGACATGGTGATGCCTACCAGTTCTATCGCCGATAGGTCGTCAAAGTACCCGGAAATGTCGGGTCGATGTAAAAGCTAGAGTGGTGGGATGGAGGTAGTTGCGCCCTTCTCACATCCTCGATTCAATGTCTAGAGTACATTTCAATCGGGCCCACAGTCTTGAAGACAAAATCCAAAATATTGCTATGCAACGCCCCTGAAGATCATTGATAGATGGCTAGGCTGTGCTCACTTATAGTGAGACGTGTCGGATTGTTCAGCAGCCGATGACTCGAAGCTTGGAGCTGATAACGACTGTGGTGACTCAACCTGAATTGAGTTGCGCCTGCTCCAGAAAAAAATATCAATTCCCCTCCCCGCCTTCCCGCCGTCCATTCTGCCCAATTCGCATTGCCCCGCCATCCTACACACCAGAAATAATATTGTCCCTCCATTACGTCCTTATCTAGAACAAACACCAAACACCAGACCTTGTATCAGTTTCGCATAGTTTCCGCCAGCGTCGTACTTTTCCTTTCCCCTAAAAGAATAGACGACAAGTTTGTCTCTTGAGCCCCCTCGGCTTTAGAATTCATTTTTTCTTGGGCTAAGCGTCCCAATTAACCGAACAGACCCTCATGGCTGCCCCGCAAGAACTCGCAGACCGCACCAAGATGGAGGACAAGAAGGTCTACGTCGACACCGATGCCGGTGCGGACGACGAAACCGCCGACGGCTCTGAACAGAAGCCCTATAAGTCCCTGGCCTACGCGTACATCCAGAACTTCGAGAAGCCCGCCCCCGCGTACCTCACGCGCGCGTCCGTAACCGGCCCCGGTGAGGACGAGACAGCCCGCCTTGCCTGGAAGGATCCCCCGAAGAGTGCCGTGAAGAAGGCCCAAGGTGCCCTCGATTCGCATAAGAAGAAGGTTGCGAAGCAGCGACAGCTTGCGGCTGCGGAGGAAGAGAAGAAAAAGCATAAACTCCAGGCGCTGGAGGACGCGAAGAAGATTGTCTTGAAGGAGGACGAGACCCTCCCTAAGGCTATTAAGATCAACATTGGCAACCAGGATGTTGAGCTTGGTGATACTGAGAAGAAGGGAACCCGGGTCAAGGTCTACGGCAGGATTCACAGGTTGCGACCGCAGAAGCACGCGACTTTTATTACTCTCATCGATGGCCATGGACATCTCCAGTGCATTCTCCCTGCTGGTGATCTGACCAAGAACTACGATGCTCTGCAGTTCGCCCAGGGAACATCACTCCTACTCTTTGGTGAGCTGAAGAAGGTGCCCGAGGGCCAGTCCGCGCCGGACGGTCGTGAGCTTCACGTTGATTACTATGAGGTGATCGGCTCGGCGCCCTCCGAGGAGGATGCCATTACCAACAAGGTTTCCTCGTCCCAGAACCAGTGGGACGCCCAAATGCTTGACAACAGGCACCTCGTGCTCCGTGGCGACAACGCGTCGGCGATCATGAAGATCAGGGCGGCGACCGAATGGGCGTTTGCCAAGGTTTACAAGGACATGAAGTTTGTCAAGGTTTCTCCCCCCGCACTTGTGCAGACCCAATGCGAGGGCGGAGCTACCCTCTTCAGCCTTCCCTACTACGACGAGACCTCCTACCTCACTCAATCCTCGCAGCTCTATCTCGAGACCGTCCTCCCTAGCCTCGGCAACGTGTACTGTATCGAGAAGTCGTTCCGTGCTGAGAAGAGCTTGACCCGTCGCCATCTCTCCGAGTATACCCACATCGAGGCGGAGCTGGATTTTATCCACTTTGACGACCTCCTAGACCACATCGAGGATATCATCTGCCGTGTCATCGACAACGTTCTTGAAGACCCCACCATTGCCCCTCTCATCAAGGAGCTCAACCCCGACTTCAAGAAGCCCGAGAGGCCATTCATGCGCATGAAGTATAGCGACGCCATCGACTGGCTCAACGCCCAAGACCCACCCATCCCCAACGAAGACGGAAACCCCCACGTGTTCGGCGACGACATCGCCGAGGCCGCCGAGCGGAGGATGACGGACATCATCAACAAGCCCATTCTCCTCACCCATTTCCCCGTCGAGATCAAGGCGTTTTACATGAAGAAGGACCCGAGCGACTTGAGGGTCACTGAGAGTGTTGATGTGCTCATGCCTGGTGTCGGAGAGATTGTTGGTGGCTCGATGAGGATGGAGGGGTATGAGGAGCTTTTGGAGGCGTATAAGAAGCAGGGTATTCCTGCTGAGGATTACTACTGGTACACCGACCAGCGAAAGTGAGTTTTGATATTCCAGACCTTTCTTTCCGGGAGGGAAACCCGTTCCCCCCAAACAATGCGGGGAAACATAGTAAGTTGCATGCTAACCGCCGTATTCTTAGGTACGGCACTTCCCCCCATGGTGGTTACGGATTAGGTCTGGAGCGATTCTTGGCCTGGATGGCTAACCAGCACACCGTCCGCACGACATGTTTGTATCCCCGCTACATGGGTCGCTGCAAGCCTTAAACGACTATTTTTAGGGCAAGGAAGGCGTTCGGGACGGTGGGAGGGTGACGTAGAGACGAATTATGGAACAGGGTGATGTTAGAAAAGACGGGAGGAAGCGGTAGAGATAAGGGTATCTTTAGGGTGAGGTCTGTAGGGCCCTTGGGCAGATGTACATAGCCTTCTGTTCTCGCTCATGGATCTCGTTTTGATGACTGAAGTTCTTCTCTCCTGCCTCTTGGGGCGTGATTATGATCATTAACGATTGATATGTATCGGGGTTCGGGGGGTTTTGCGATCGTTTCGATAGGCCCGAACGGTTATTCATCACCACATCAGCCACTTGGTGGTGGCCCTGATGGGGAGGAAGCGCCACCACTTGCCCATCTTGGGTGCATTATTAGGTCTTCCGGACGCTGAGGGGGGTAAAATTTTATTACTGCCTTACACTTCTTCATCCGGAGAGTTACCCGAGATAAACTCTTCGAGTTTGCCCCGCCTCTGATGTAAGATGCCGTTTTCCTCTTAGCCCCGAATCCCTGTTCGCTCAAGGGAAACCATGAAGAAGAAGAAGGCGGAAAGAGCAGGATATGAACGGGAGAGATTCTGTTGAAGCTATCGTGACCCCACACTGCCTCAGCTGGAAGTAGAGGGAACTCTCGCATTCCTTTACCAACGAATTTAACAAGTATACCTCGGATTCTGAAGAGAAGCCCCCCCAAAAGATGTCCCCACGGCTTAAATGCATGGGTATAGAGGCCGAAGAACGAAGGAGCTTAATATCAAGACACGGCATATATAGTGGTTCACATTGATGTCACATGCGGGGTCGAATATTGATGGAAGGAGATGAAGATTTTCTGCATTGGTGTCTCAGTTTCTCGATGAGTCAATTGAGCTCCAAGGGTCAATAAGGTTTATCCCCCGGGTTTGTCTCGACATCGGGCATCGAAATGCTTGGTCCAGAAGGGAGGCAAAAAAAGAGGAAAGCGGACGCGATTCCATCGAACATCATCAACTTGAGCCGATGGTCGTCAGATCGCCTTTGAGATGAGCATGATCACATAAAGGCCGTGACAATGCAATAATCAGACTCAGCAACTATACCCGATGCAGGGCGAGCAGGATATGGCGTGTTGGATGTTTCGTTAGAGATCGCTCGCCCGACGTTCGTCTCGTCCATCTCTTGTCGATCAAGGATAGCATCAGTAACAATGAACGCCTACTTTTGGGTCATTGAACCATGTTGAATTCCTGGGGTAAGCGTTCTTAGACGGACACAAACTCCCTTCCATGCAGGAAGAGAAGTCCTGCTCATTGGCCCAGCTGCACGCCCTAGGTACCTGAGACAGCCTAGGGGGATAAAGGGCGGTTAAGGGAGCGTTTGAGAATCGAGTCAACTGGCAGCCTCGATGGCCTGAGCCACTGGCCATTGTAACAAGCGCAGGGTCCCACGAATGCATGAAAAGGGGCTGAATCGTATCTCAAGGAGGAAGGTTTGAACCGCTTGGATAAGAAATCTACGACGGCGGTCCAAACATTTCGCCAGCTCTCGAGACAAGTGGGCAGGTTAGAGTACGACTTTCATTATTTACGGCTTGACGAGATGGATCCCCCCTTTTTTGGCATCGGTGGGAGAACCAACATGGTGTGTGGTACTGCACAAGATTAAATATAGAACGCCGCAAGTTGACCTCCCCTTCTCGAAATAACGCGGGCTTCCCTTGGGATCTCCTGTGTGGCGAGGATCACAGCAGGGCGAAGACAGTAAGGGTAGGGGTGTCCCCTGCTTTGAAGGGAGGGTTGGCAATCATGCTTGACCCAGCCGCCCGGAAAACGGAGAAGGGAGACGGACAGGGGGTGGCACCTAAAGGGATGAAATATCAAGACCCAGGAATGCGCACGATTGTTATTACTAGGAGGCCCAGGGAATGTCGTTCGTAGAAGTTGCCATTTTTGTTCATAATGGTATTGCGAAACCGAAGGTTATTTCTTCCTTCGTACAGGTCATCCAAACATTCCAAACACGCACGGGACAAATGCCAATACTAATAAAGATTTTCGGTTCTTAATGTTGATGGATTAGATCCTAAAGGATCAAGGTTTGGCATCAACTGAGCGGACGATACAAAGTATGAAGATGGCCCGTCTCACGCCTCCCTTCTCCAGGCTGCCAGAAAATTAGGTAAATTGGAGGTGGTATACGAGGACTCCACATGAAGCCATTGGCAACGGCGGTGATCGTTTGAGGTACGATACAGCCTAGGGTCTGGAAAATAACATTGCAATTGTGAGTCTTGGTATGGAGCATTGAGCATTGAAGAGCCCCTCGATTGTGTTCAATGTTCTTCGCCAGTGCTGTTGCTGTACGTAATCCCGAACAATACACCAATACGACGACTTGGACGGGGAGGTACGAAGTACACGGCGAAGTACTCGCGGGCACAAGCGCTGGACTGGACGAGAAAAGTACGAAAGTGGGCACTGCATCTCAATGGGTGGGCTGGACAGCATCCACGTTGAGCAGGCTCGCTCGTCCATCGTCCACGTCGGATACCCTCACCCTCACCTTCGCCCTCATCTTCACGGCTGTGCGCTGTATGAAGTCCGGTCCTCTCTGTTGTCCTGATCCTCACTGAAGTGGTGGGTCGGTTTGGAGCCGAAGCTTCAAATTCGAGGCGCTTGGAAGAGAGTGAGTGGATACAGTACTCTCCACTCCTTCGTAGGAGGAATCAATACGACCTCGATCAATTGATGCGTATCCCATAGTGTACTCCGCAGGATGCGAATTATTCCTGCATTCCATTTATAGGGAGGGAGCCGCTCCTCTGTTGGCTGTGAAGTCGACTCCAACTCCTGCGCACTAACCAGAGTTGGGGCAGGGCGCTAGTACTTTGTACCTTAGTGATTGATCTCTGATTCTCAAGTAACAAAATGCGAGCAGCAAGGAGATGAATTTCTGTGCGAACCTGGCCTCGCCTGCCTGTCGAATATTCCCCGTGTCCTAGTGCAGGCCGGTACTGCAGACGTTGTTGACCTACAGAAGACGCCAACACGCACCAACGGCGACCGCCAAGTCAGGGGAAATTGGCGTCAAATTGCGAGAGGCGATAGAGTTTGGGGGCGTGAGAGAACAATTAATCCGAATTTGCAGAAATATCAATTGATCGCACCTGGATTTTCTGTTCCCCTTTAAATGCCTCCATGTCGCCTACCTGCTAGCCGGAGCCGAGTTGGGACCGACGAATTGGTATGGATCAACTCCTCTATTGATGTGCTGCGGCGTACTTTGCACAAGCATCAATAAACTTGTCACATCCACCTCCAGAGAAGTGCTCGTGCTCACGCTCATGCTCGCGTCTGCGGCTTGTGATAATTGTGATAAGGCTTGCTCTCAAATTTCCCAGTCGTTTTTCCTCGGTATGCCATCAATATTCGTGCAGTCCACCTTCTCCGCACTCTGCTCTCTTGGCGAGACGAAGCCCCTCCAACATCGGCAGCGTGCTCCTAATGACACTTGTATAAAGAGAGTCTTAGCCAGCGATCCTGAGACTCGTTGGGGACATTGATGAATTTCAGTTTGTTCTCCACCTATTCTCCAAGCTATCCTCATGGCCTCGTGCTCATGGAAGACATTCCCGGACGATATTAGTGTGGAGGATTATGAGTAGCTTCTCTTGATCCAAGTACACTAGTATGTAGTCCATCATTGTCCATGCCTCTCGACTCTGACGAGGCCAGCAATTTTCTAAGACCATAAAGATCAAGCCATCAATACAATACAATATGGCTCTGTATTACTTCTATGCTCATACCGCTTTCGGGAGTGTACATGCCCCGTACATTCACAACCTCGCACCCATAATCTGCTCTGGAGTTTATATACAACATTGAAGTATCCATTACTTATTACACTACATGGAGACATCTCTTTTCGTCCTCTTTAAAATTGCTGGGTTTTATTGGAGGGCATCTTTATGGGTACTCTCACAGGCCCAATCAAGCCGGTGCAACACAGTGTACATTTATTGAATCTTACCCAGATTGTACATCTCCATTACTTGGCAAGCCGCAAATTTATGAGGCAGAGTCTTGAATATAAAGGTACAAGGACAGTAAAAACTTTGCAATAGCCACAGTACGGTACCTGCATTCCCAGCTTACCCAGGTACTCTCGCATCCCCTGACTGGCTCATTAAACTAGAACAGCCATTTACACCTTCCTCCACCCTTTTTGGGTAGGCACACTGAGGTACAACCGCGAAGTAGTGTACAAAGTAGCGGCGGAAGTAGCGACCCCCCAGAACGAGGAAGCCTCTTCTCACCCCTTTCCCCCGTCCGCTCGACCAGACCCTGTTCGTCACCTTACTTGTACATCCTCACTTTCTCATCTTTGCTCTCCATTTTTATCCTTACCTTACCTTTCCATTCATTCTCTCGCTCGTTTTGTTCACTCTCTTCTGGAGCCATACTCCTACTTCTCTCCTCAGAGTAGTCTTTTTTTCTTCTATTCTCCGTCTTTTTCTTCTCCTTCTGTATTTCTTATCCGACATCCACCCCAATCCTCATCTTCGATATTCTTATTTCGTTCTCCTTTCTCTTTTTTCGTCGAACCATCTCGGCGCGTACCTCCGTCGACATTAGCCCTCATCTCCGACTCTCCACCTGCCCCGGCATCCGTGAAGCAGTCTTTTTTAACCCCCTTGCTCCGCGATAAAAGTTCCGTCGACCGCTCCGCGACTACCATCGAGCCCGACGCCTTGACATAGCAAGCTCGCTGCGACTTTCTCGCTTCTCAGTTAGCTCTTTCTTTCATATACAGCTTTTAATATCTCGAGACACGCGACACCGCCGACCCAGGCAGCCGCTGTGCTCTTTGTGCTTAGTTCGAACGACCTCGGATCTTTCCAAGAAAGCGGCTCATTGTGCCTCGAAACTTGCGTTCCTGTCCACACCCGATCGAGTCCGATTCCATATAGATAACGGCCGGTTGTTTTTTTAATAACCAGCCCACATCGCTTGTCTCGGCAGGTATACGATATACACGCAGCTTCCTATCTCGTGTGCATATTTCGTCGGGTTTCGAGAATACCTTTTGGAGTACTCTGATCCAGCACCCAAGCTACTGGCTCGTATATACCCTGTTGCTTCTGTCAGTTGCACAAGACAAAAGACAACAGCACCGCGCTCTCCGTTTCGCCTTACTTCGTGCCTCTCACAAGGCACGCTTAATTAGTCAAAACGGCGGTCCTACCTCAAATCGGTCGGGACTCACTCGTCCCCCCGCATCTTCTCGCCGGGATGCAAGACCTCTCTGGCCCCGTGGGCGCCGGCCCTAGCTCCGCGCCTGGCGGCCGCTTCCCTGGCCACGCCTCGAAGCCCTCGAACAGCGATACTGGTTTCTCCCACGGTGCATTCACGTCCAACATCCAGGGGTTCGGTGACAGACACCCTCGCCGTGCTAATGTTCCGTCCATCAATACTCAATCCTTGTCCGCCCAACCCCAGGTTCCTGCTGGCGCTGCTGATCTGACTACCCCAGGCACTGCTTTCGACATGCAGTTCACTCCTCTCCTCCCCTCCCAGTTGCTTTTGGGCTCGCCTTTCCAGCCCGGAACCCCCGCCGCCTTTGCTAGCCCGCAGTTCCAGAACCATCCTGCCTTCCAGCAGAACCAGCAACCTAACAACCAGCAGCAGAACGGAGTAGGCAGCCCTCAGAGCGTCTCCCCCCAGGCCTACCAGGCTATCGTCTCGCCTTCGACTTACGGCGCCCCCCAGTTCTACAGCCCCCAGTCCCCCAGCGGCTCTTACAGCAACCTCCAGATGCAGATGCAGCCCACCTCCCCCGTCGCCATGACGCCCGGCCTCGTGACCGGCACCAGTCGCACCGTGTATCTAGGCAACATTCCACCAGATACCCCTGCCGAGGAGCTCCTGAGCCACGTCAGGAGTGGTCAGATTGAGTCTGTCCGTCTCCTTCCCGACAAGAACTGCGCTTTCATCTCCTTCCTCGATGCTAGCTCCGCCACCCACTTCCACTCCGATGCCATCTTGAAAAAGCTCTGCATCAAGGGCCAGGACATTAAGGTCGGTTGGGGTAAGCCTTCGCAGGTGCCGACCTCAGTTGCTCTTGCTGTTCAGCAATCGGGTGCGTCTCGGAACGTGTACCTCGGTAACCTTCCTGAAGACGTCACCGATGAGGAGATCCGCGAGGACCTTGGCAAGTTCGGCCCCATTGACACTGTCAAGCTGGTAAAGGAGAAGAACATTGCTTTCGTCCATTTCCTCTCCATCTCGAATGCCATCAAGGCCGTCTCGCAGCTCCCCCAGGAGCAGAAGTGGCAGGCACCTCGGCGCGTGTACTACGGCAAGGATCGGTGTGCCTACGTTTCCAAGACTCAGCAGCAAAACGCTGCCCAATACCTCGGAATTGCCCCCGGCCATGCCCACATGTTGACCGGTGCCGACCGTGAGATGATTTCGAACGCCCTCGCCCAACAGTCCGTTGCTGCTGCGGCTGTCGCTACTGCTGCTGGCGGTATCAACAACTTGGGCAACCGCACCATTTATCTCGGAAACATTCACCCCGAGACCACCATCGAGGAGATTTGCAATGTCGTCCGAGGAGGCCTTCTACACCACATCCGGTACATCCCCGACAAGCACATTTGCTTCGTTACTTTCATCGATCCCACTGCCGCTGCGTCCTTCTACGCTCTCAGCAACCTCCAGGGTCTTATGATTCACAACCGGCGACTTAAGATTGGCTGGGGAAAGCACTCTGGGGCTCTGCCTCCGGCTATTGCTCTCGCTGTTAGCGGTGGTGCGTCTCGAAACGTATACATCGGTAACTTGGACGAGACTTGGACCGAGGAACGTCTCCGACAGGACTTCACTGAGTACGGCGAGATTGAGCTCGTGAACACGTTGAGGGAGAAGAGCTGCGCTTTTGTCAACTTCACGAACATCGCCAACGCTATTAAGGCTATCGAGGCTATCCGAAGCAAGGAAGAATACCGCAAGTTCAAGGTGAACTTCGGCAAGGACCGCTGCGGTAACCCGCCTAGGCAGCTCCAGCAGCAGCAGCAGGCCCAGTCTCCCCGGGGCGACGGTGTCCCCTCCCCTCCCGCGGCTAGCTCGCAGAATGGGGGATCCCCCACAAATGCGACGACTCCCCAGCCCGCTCTTTTCAACTCCGCTTCCAACCCCTTGACGATGTACCTAAACCACATTGCTCAACAGGCTCAGCACCAGCAGAGTCAACAGCAGCAGGTTCTAGCTGCCCAGCAAGCCGCGCTCTTCGGAACCGCACAGTCCTCGCCCAATGAGGTGTCGATCGAGGTTCCTCAGCAAGTTCCCGTGTCCGGCCACCAGCAGTCTGCAAGCGTCTCCAATGGTTACGCTTCGAACGGTATCGGGCCTGGAGGCTCGACCACCATTGGCGGCCTCTTGGCCCCTGGACCCCGTGGCCAACACAATAGGGCCGTGAGCCTACCCGTTCTTGCGCCCGACTTCCAGAATGGTGGCACTAGCCCCAACAGCGTCCCCAGTGCCAACGGCACTGAAGGTGAGCGACGCGGCCACCAGTACCAGGCGAGTTACGGAGGCATGGGTTCCGGCTTCGGTCTTGCTATCCAGGGAGGATTGAACGGTTGGGTCGAGGAAGAGGTCGCGCACTAAGGACTTCGGAGAGAGCAGAGGGAAGATGGGAGGTGTCGCTGTGTTGATTTTTTTTTTTTTTTTTTGGAAAGCATTTAAGGGGGAAAATACATCTTGACGAGAAAGATTGCCTAATTGTTGTAATTGTTACGGTCCACTCCTTCTTTATTCCACTACCAACCTCTTCTCTCGTCTTGCCTCTTATTTCCCCCGTTTCATCAGCACAAACTGGATTTTATCTTTTTCCTATTTCATTCTCTTGTAAACTTTGTTGATTTATATTCCTTTTGTAGTTTTCCACAACATATTTTGCATTTGTTTTTCCTTGTCATTTCCTCGGAACTTTCTGTGTATTGTCTGTGCTTTTGAGGGCTTTCAACTCACTCTCCTTCATTTTTCTTTGAGTGTTATTTTCTTCCTGATTTCTTTTTAATTTGCTGGAATTTAGGAACAACGCAACCACAAATTGGATAATCCCCTTGCAATATGTGCCGGCCCAAAGAATCAGACCAGGGTTCTGTATTCGAGGAGAGGGTTCGAGCCGAACAGTAGGGCCTGTTTGATGAGAGAGATCAGGCCTAGAACCGAGGGGTGTCGAGGAGGAACAGGAAGGGAAAAGCCCAAGGGAAGGTAAATAGAGCCGAGAGAAGTGATGCTCCTGGGGAGATGTTGTGGGGTTTGATGTATACCACGTATATACAGGAGTCAATTTTCCTTTTTTTTACTGGATTTTCGATACTTGCGCTTTCTGTGATGTCGGGTTCGTGGGCATGGTTTGACCTTTTACTTCGAGCAGGTCGTAGACAGCCGGGAAAGCACAGGATGGATGGTAGACTAGGGCGTCACACTTCCCTTCATCAAGGCCAAACGATCTTGGGCTTTGCTCCCATGTCACTGTCGTAGCTGTCCCTTGGGCCTTCCTATCTATCTAATTCGAGAGTGTATGGCCAATCCAATTTGATATCCAGCAAGTAAGGCACCAGGACCGAGCAGAAGGCTCGCACGATCTATCTTTCCCCATCCTTCAGTACACTTAGATTCCATCAACGAGAAAGAGGAGAAAGTTTCCTCTCAATCCACGTTGAAACCGGAGAGAAGCGAAGCCACTGCCTCTGGGGAGTGCTCTTATTCGGCACGCTAGTTGGAATCAGATGCGTATGTTTTCGAGAGGGATTTCTTCAAGTTTCAATATTTACGTTTCTCCTGTGTCTTTTCTCGTGCTGCAAGAGTGATTTGACATATTATCCCATTGTCAGCTGGAAAAGGGGCAGTGCAGAATATATCTATCGCTAGTAAAATATGCAAGGCTGCGCAGTTTGTCCTGTTCTTCCCTACAACCCCGTCTTTCCGTTTTAACACCCAATCTATCTACATATCAGATACATCTCCTTTCCAACCGCAATTCCCCATGATGCTATCCAAGTCATGCTCAAAAAAAGAAGAAGAAAAAAAAGATGATGATGCAGGGCAGCGCTATCATAGAAAGTACACCTTATTGTTCCTTCAGTATCCCGCCGGTTCAGGTTTCTCTGGGAAGGCTGGCGCATCGATGTTGGCTCTACAGTCGCGGCGCCAATTCGTCGGCGTGAACTTGTCGACGATGGATTTGAAGGCGGACTAAGAGTTATAAGATCAGTTTTAATCCTCCGGGAAATGAGGAGTAAAAGAACGCGCAACAACTCACCAAAGTACAGAAGCTCACATCTCCATCAAGATGGTTCCCGGGTTTCCTACATCCAGGAAGGATAAGCGGCTCATCATTATACCTCACACGCACAAACCACCCATCCAACGCCTTCTCCTCCTTCTCTCCCCACCGCTCCTTATTCGACAAGAACGCCCTCGCCGTATCATTCCTAACCAACTCGTCGCTGACGACCCCATCCGTTCGCGGGGGGTCACCACTATTACGCGAAAACAGCTCAAAGGCAATATGGCTCGTAAACGGCGGCCACTTCTTCAAGGCCGAACGGTCACCTAGGCTTGTGAGAGTAGCGGCAAGCGTCGTGTCGTGACATCCGCTCATTGCGAACTTGATGGGCCGTTGGGGATCGGCGTACGAGTGTTGGTGCTGCCGCAGCGGGGGCTCGTCCTTGGGGTCCTGGGCCGAGGAGATGACCATGCGCTGGACTACGTCGCCCAGGAGAGATCCGATGCCTAGCTTTCGGTACTCGTTGGATTCGGCGTAGCCGGCGAACCATTCCTCGATGGCGAGCTTCTCTCCGATTTCCAAGAGCAGAGGATCGTAGAATTCAGCAGGGAGATGAGTCGAAGGACCATGAGCGAGCGTGGCGTTGACGGTGTCGAGGACACCAACGAGGCTCGGCTTAGAATCGATGGCGACACGTCTATTGGCGGGCATCCATTTGCCGATCCTGTTGTTGATGTACCGGAGCTCGGGGGATTCGTTCCAGCGCTCGGCGGCGCGTTTGGAGAACTGGCGGGCGAGGTGTGCAAGGCGACGGCAGTGGAGATCGTTAGGGTATAGTGTTTCCTGGGCGGGGTTACGGGAGATGATAGCCGGCGCGGGCATGCCCGGGGACCGGTCCTCTTCCGGGTAGAGACCGAGGAAGACCTGTTGAAGGGATTCGCGGGCGCGAGGAATCGGGGTGGCGCGCAGATACATCCAGTCCGTCGAATTGATGGTCTTGGGCAAGAAGCCCAGCTGATCAACGTACAGATCCCTCAGCCTAATGCCCAGGGCATGGGTAGTCTGCCGGCCCTGATCCGTCAAGGTGCCATTGTCGCAGATACCATCGACGTCGCCGTGCGGGCCCCACACGAGCTTGGGCGAGTCGTCCGAGTCAGAGGCAAAGGTCTCGAGGTGGCGCTTCCACTCGAAGCTGGTGAAGCCGTTGGTGCGGCCGTTGAGGAGGGCGGAGCGGAGAGTGGTCACGTCGCGGCAGTAAGGCCAGAAGGCGGGGAGGCCGGTGTTTTCGAAGCGCGAGGTGATGGGGGTGCGTTCGCCGTGGCGGAGGAGGATCTGGACTTGGCGGAGGGCGAGGGTGGAGGGGTAGAGAGCTTGGAGCTCGGCGGGCGAGTAGGGGTCTCGCGGTTTGAGGGATGTCATGGCTGCGGACCGGAGGGAGGGAGGAAGGGGCGGTCAATGGAGGTTCAAGATGAGAGCGACGCCGCGGATGGGCTCTATGAAGCAGAGGCGTATTGTTCGAGGTCTTGAGACATGCCACGGGATAGAGCTACAAGGGAAGCAAGCAATTGACACGATCTAACTCTATTTCTCTGACTCAAAAGGGAGGGGGGAAAGAGCTGAAGCCACCGGTAATTGTTAGGGTAAGCAAACTAGGAACTAGGAACAGGAAGAGTGACGTTGGAGCTCCGGAAATGTACCTAGGATGTTTGGTCAATCGCTCTCGCTCCTCTCGGTCCTTGCAAGCTGCAACGTGCCCGGGTCGTGCTTGTCCAAATCCAGCGTAGCACGCGGGGCCAAACCTGCAACAGTTCCTCCGGTTTTACGTGGAGTTTGACTCATAAATCCTCGGCCGAGAGACAACCATTGACGGATGTTCAATGAATACGACAAAGTACGTAATTCTGATGCCCACTCGCCGAGCTGGAGAACAATATTGAACTTGCGGCTTTTCAATCCCTCTTCCGGTGGGTGCCCTGCTATGGGGTGCAATTGGCTGTCTCGAAGCTGGAACCGATGGGTCGGAGCTGGGGACATTCACAGAGAGTGGCGATTCGGAGTATTAGGCTTGTGTACATCGTATAGATGTTCACAATATTGTATTGGTACGGGTTTCAGTGCTATGAACCTCTGGTGGAAGAGCTTGCGTAACAACTTTGCGTAACAAGTCGAGTAAGTATGCCTTCTTCTGCCAGTCATTTCCTCGTCATCCCAGATACGGAGGCATCCACACTGCGGAAAAAAAAAGACAAGATGAACCCCAAAGAACCCTTGAACGGGAAGAAGGGGAGGGTGGGGGGGGTTGAGAGCGATTAGCTAGCAACCTTAATTGGGGCGCTTGATGCTCACAGTTCGGCATAGTTCTACACAGCCACGCTCTTTTCTGTGTAAAGAAAATTATACCCTTGGCCTGGCCTTGGGTCCTCTGATGTCATCAAACTCAAACTCGGAGCGACTTCACCGGATTTGACAACTGGAACAAGGTTCAAGCTTGGCATCTGCTTCCCCAACTCCCAAGAGTTTGGGTACTGGATCCTGGAGGCACGGCTGGATGTTCGGCACCCAGACCCTTTCACCTACGGAGTTACCTTCCGAGCGTGACTGGCTTTCAACGTTTAAAGAGGGTACTAAAATTTTGTTTCACTTCCCAAAAGGGTTGGGGCTCGGGGTCGCCGGCGCCGTTGAACACCCCTTGGAATACTTCGTAGGTACCGGCCCCGGCTTCTCCTCCACCGGTCCGGCCGTCGGTCCTTTTTTTTTCCCCTAGGAAGAGCAGGGTAGTGCAACCTGTACCTCAATTGCCCGTTACGATTCGTCCCCAGTTTACGAAACCGTTGTTGAAGCCTGCAGCGCTAACAGATATAGTTTTCGACCAGTGAGCAGGTGAGCGTTGGGAGTAGTGTACTTCACGGAGCAAACAATGCATTGATAGCATCACCCTTGCCGGTCACTTGAAGTATTCTGCGAACGGGTAAGATGCCGATGGCTAGTGGCCTGGCTGTCTCTCATCCGGTGGTCCTGGATATGGTCATGGTGATGCAAACGTAGCAGAGCCAAAGTGCTCGGGTCGACGGGCAACAGACGAGAGCTTCGTTCGTCTGTTGTGGCTCGGCCACTGTGTTATTTTCCTATTTCGTAGTTTCAACTAATACCGGATCGCTTGGCCTTCTCAACGGCCGTCCGCCCGTTTGGCCCATTAAGCTCGTTCCTTCATGTTCCTCTCGTGATAAAAAAACACCATCATTATTTGCTTTTTTTTTTCGCTTTTCCCAATCCATAAGAAACCACCTTCCATAGAGCGCCGCCATTGAATACATTCTATTGTACACACCCAATCGTCTGCTGCTTCAAGAGCGCCGGGTCCCGTAGCACTAGATCATCATCATCGCATGGCAAAAAGATGGGAGATGCAGCAGCCCGACAACGCCAGTAGCCCCGAGTTCTCGCTCGCAAGTCTGAAACCAGGCCAGGATGCATCGCGAGACAACAGAAGTAAGAAAAAGAAAAATATGCCGTCAAACTTCGTTTTGCTTTTGGGGGTGTTCCGTTTGCTCGTTCATAGGAGCCAGTTCGGTGAGTCGTCATCATCAGCCCGTTCGTCTCGAGCTTCTTCCGAAATGGCATCACGGGTGCCTGTCGATGGGAGTAACATCACGGACTGGCCCCGCAGCGTGGGGTTTCTCAAGAATTTTTCTTCCGCTTTGAAGACCTGACCATTGCCATGATTCGGCACTTTGGTTTCTTCCAATCAGGGTACCTTTCGCAAAAGTCACGAAGGGCCATTTTGACTTGTCGTGACATTTCGATCGTTTCTTTGGTCCCTCCGATGTCGATTAGCACCAAGTCGGCGTCATAGCCCGAGTAGGCAACGTCCTCTGCCTCGACCGCCCCTGCCGGAACAAACACGAGCTCCTCAAGGGCCGGCATGCGTGACCGCACAAGTGCCAGCACGTCCGCAGCCAGTGAGTGTACGTACTTACAACCGACCTTGAAGACAGCCTCGTTAATCGCAAGTTGGCGTACACTGCCCAAGTCTTCGGGCGAGCAGAGGGACATGGCAGTACGGAAGTGTGCTTCGGAAGCCCCGAAGCCCTCGTGAGACCCGAAGTAGAGGATGTCAGAGTCTGGGTTAAAGAAGATCCTTCCCGGCTGTCGGTACATGCCGAAAGATAGACGGTGGAACTTCAAGGCTTCTCTGCGCGCCTCGTGGCAGACGTGGAGGTTTGCGGGCGCCGGGCATGGAGAGACACATTGAGGGATGGCTAATAGACTAGGAAACGGTTCGCTCCCCGTTTCCGAAGGGGACTGGGCGTCGATGTGCAGGGGCACTATACGGGGACGATGGAGGTTGAGATTCCAAATCGCCAAGCGCAACTCGGTGGGAAGTTCTGAGAAGTGGTGCTATAACCGAGTTAGTCTGTTAGTGTGAAGAAAATGGCCAGAACAATCCGGCACCTCCAACCTCAACGTGATGAAGGTGGACGAGCGGCCCCCGCAAGCTCATGACAAATGTGTGGGGAGGAAGGGGGAAATGGGCTTTAGATAGTGATCAATGTAGCACAAGAACCCGCTAATGCTGGGGTGCCGGATTGTTGGCAGATAAATGTGACTGTGCGAGGCTTCGAAGAAGACCGCCAGCAAAGGAGTTGGAGGATTTATACTTACGAAAGATCTCGCAGGCTGTGCCATTCTCCCAAGACAAGTGACCGCCGCTCCAGTGTCACACAGGATCCTTCTTTCCTCCCCAGAACGGTGTCGGTCGCGTTCGAAGATCGGTCACGTTGCCAAACCAGAAACCCTCAAGTGACAATATCGACGGGGATCGACCGCGGGTCGGAGGGTGGCTGCCAGGCGGTCGAGAGTGGGATGCGCCAAAGGCCCGAAGCGGAGCAGAGCTACCTATACTGTAGTGGTAGTTTCCGACAGGAGCTTCCAGATAGCGTACGCAGTAATGAAAGCCACGGATCCTCGAAGCACAAAGAAAGACCGACTCGGGCGAGAGGAGGATGAGGAGAAGGAGGAGGAGGAGGAGAAGAAGAAGAAGAAGGAAGAGCGGAAGAGGGGGAAGGATACCCAAGGAATGATGGTAAACCAGAACGAGATAGTAGTGCAAAGAAGTTGGGCAGCCCTTTCGCAGGAAAGGTGCCCTTGGAGCGACGATATATATGTCCAAGTAGTAAAGTACCCAGGTAGATGCCACTCTTATAGTGGAGCGCTGCGTTCGAAGTAGCGTAGCGTTGTGTAAAACACAGCGCCTCGGTTTTGATAGGTCGAAGGCGCCATGCACAGGATCAAACCCGGTGCCAAGTGAATGTGGGGATGGAGGCTTTGCAATATATATATATACAGCAAGACGGACAAAACTCCTCTCGGGTACCCACCGGATCAACACCAAGAAATCTCTAGGGGAGGAACTGTAGTAGAGGGACAGGCTACTCTTAGCCTGGCCCTATGGATGAACAATAATACCGACGGTGACTATGCCCGCCCTCGCCGACAAGGGCGGTGTTCTATGGCAGGCATGAAAGGAGAAAAAGCAAAAAGAAAGTATGTTCGAAACAGAATTCAAGGCACAAAGAAAAGAAAACAACCCTACACCACTTCCAAGCGATGTCCATTACCTCTTAGTCCGTCCAGGGTGTACCTTCCTATGCTCCAAATCACACTCCCCCCCCCTCTTTCCGTCCATCAGTGTTCCTTCCCCCTTCACACCCCTCCCATCCAATGTCCCTTCTCTTCTGAGCTAGCTTTGATGACGCAGCGGAAGGAGAAAAAAAAAGACAGGAAAAAAAAAAAAGAAGTCTCCACCCCCGTACTTCCACGCTATCACGTACACTACGCATCAAATTGCACCTGCTGCTACTTACGAAAGGTACAGAAGTACGTAGTGACCTACCACTAGGTCCTGCTGTCTCGGAGTATACGGACTTAGAGTAACAGTCCTGCTTCAGGGTTTGGCCAGGACTACCCTTAAATGACTACCCTGACCCAACCCTGACATCCCTTGACTAGCTCACTAGGTTCACACTAGGCTGTGACGGCCATGCCAATCAAGACCCACTAACGCTTGTCTCCAGGGTAGGAGCGTCGGCGTGGGCGCCCCATGTGAGCTGAATTCGGCCGCAAGGCGGAGACGGTTCCGTCAACCAAGAACACCGAGTATCGTTTAATCATTGCCACCGTGAGCTTAAACAAGAAACCCATCCAGCCATTACGTCTGCTGTTCGGGGAGTGCGCCATTACGAAGTGACGGGCATGTAGATGTAGCAGAAGGTAGAGAGAGAGAGAGAGAATGTGGAATAGTATAGGAGGGTAGTCAAACGGTAAAGGAGAAAGGGGAGGACCCCGCGGGTGTTCTTGAAGACTTGTTATGCGGAGAGGGGCATTTCCAAACGGAACGTATCCGAGCAGAAACGGGGGATTAGAGCTATCAGTTCTCGACGGCAGGACGGTACGGGAGAGGGCATGTGGCGGATCCCAGAATCCAAGTTCCTGGGAAAAAGGACGTACGAAAAAAGCAAGCAGTAAACGAAGGGTTGGGCAAGGGGCCTTGTTGCAAGAAGCTTAGCTCGGAGATGGAATCTCGTGGGAGCCTGGTCAACCTGGGCTCTTTTCGGCGCATTATGAGTACGCGTATGATAGGTAAGAGCGCATTCTCTGTAACATGGTAAAACCTGCAGCTACAGCTTCATCAGCGGAGGATCTACGACATCCATGCTGAAGCAAAGACTACGGCAAGACAGGATTCTCAGGACGCTAAGCTCGGCTAGACGACCTCGTCCTACCTTGAGGACGAAAGCTCAAATCAGAGGTTAGGTTACATGTGAGAGGTGCAGCGTAGGGTAAGGGCTAGAAAGGGGCGAATCGTAATAAGCATCTCACATGCCCTGCATTAAGGGGGGGTTGTACTAGTAAAACGGCTTTGCAGAGCGCGAGACATACTTGGAGGATGCTGAAATGTAGGGTGGTTGTGCTTGGGAAGAACGTATTGGTCCCACGCAGCTTTACACAGGGTAATGTATAAGAGCTCACAAAGCGTAGGCTAGGGTAGTAGTGCCGGCCACAAGGTGAAATGGACACGAACCCAGGGCGAATGGAGCGGCCAGATTTTCAACTTGGGATGATCCAACCGTACTCTAACAGATCAAAGCTGAAGTTTCAGGCCAAATGGAAGCTGGTGAACAAACGGTGCACTACGGGGGTCAAGTCGAGAAGTATCAGACTGGCAATAACATTATCCGTGGATACTTCCTTCGGAAATTGTTTACGGGGATTTAAAGACGCTGCGTTGTACCTGGTGTCTTGATTTCCTTTTTTTTTTTTTTTTTTTTTTTTTTTTCCGTTGGCGGGGTGGGGGGAAAGGGAGGGGGGAAGGGCTTTACGAAGTAGGCCGAGCCCCTGTTAACTGGGTTGTTGGATCACAAAGCTGGAGGCTTGCTCAGTTAAGGAGAGCATGATAACACGAAAAGCTGAAGCCACGCAATTCGGGTCACTGGTTGGGCGGAGATGGCGAACAGCGAAGCTGGAATACCACAAAGTAGAGGCGAATTCGAAAGGTGAAGATGCAGGTTAATCCCTGCAGGAACGCAGAAATCCGGGTTTGACGAGCCCACTTTGTCACAGACGACGGCATCTAGAGTCAAGTTTGAACTAGATTTCCTTCCTCTGACATGTGTTTGCTGCAAGACCCGGACAGGCCTGGCTGTGGACTCCAGAGTGTCCTTCGTGCTTGCAGAAGTGCTTCGTACGCTTACGCCGACTCAAGTGGTACCCACACCACGTCGCACTGACCACTGGGGATCGCCGTGTCCCTGGCACTGCCGCCCGCCCCGGGGAGCCCGCGACCTCAGCGTTGGTAAGCTCAACTCAACGCTTCCTAACCTTCCGGTAATATCCAGAACATCGCAAAGGCCAGGGAAGACAAGGGATGGAGAACCCGGCGGGGAGGGAAGAAGACGAAAGAAGAGAAGGGAAAGGGAGGAAAAAAAAAATTCTCCTCGACTACGAAGTAAACTACCTGCCCACGTGGACATGGATTTTCAGGTTCGCGTGTCAAATGAAAAATCAAAATTAGTCTGAGACGAACGATAATCAAATCAACATCAATGTTGGTGCGCGGGCATCCAGGGTCCAGTTTTGTTGACCCCAAAATTTGGTTATATGCCTTCGGAGGTCTTGCTTTTTTTTTTTTATTACCCTTTGAGCCTTTTTCTCCCTTTCCACCCCTCCATCAAATCCGCGAAACCTACGGGATGCTACAGCTCGCTTATTTAGACACTCAGACAAGAAAAAAAAAGTGAACCCGGGATGGAGATGACGCCCAATGGACTGGCGCCGGAAATAGAAAAGGGGGTGTTCGTCCGGTTTCCAATCCCAGGACGTGCACGCACAGGCGGAAGGGGGGTCGGCTGTGGATTGAGGGAGAAACGAAGCAATGTTCATCCTTTGTCTCATCCATACGTACGTACATACAAAGTACGTCCGCATCCGAAGTGCGGTCTCGCATTGCAGCCTGGCTTTCACGGATGACTGAACCTTCGATACGCTCCAGCTCGTACTGATCACGGCTGGGTGGACTGCTCACGATCCAGGTCGGCCTGGCTCTCGTTCGTCAGATTCCGACGATGTGCCAGCCTCTATCCAAAGACAGTAGTGTTAAGCAAAACGGAGCCACCAAGAAGATAAAGCCATCGGATTCATTTGCTGTTTGACGGATTGAAATTGGGCTCATACCTGGCTCCGAAGGCTTACTCTAGCCCGCCCGTGTTTCCCACTAGCCCGTGGGCCTACGAAATAGAGGTAATATTAAAACCGTCCCGTTCGTGCTTCAGCAAGGTGGAGAACCCTCGAACCGAGCTTGAGCTTTTGGTGAGGACCGGGATAAGGACACAGAACGACCACAGTTCTGGTGTCACCATGCTGGTGGAGGCGTATGCATTGTGGTCCTAGCCATACCTGCTGGATGAGTTTCCCCCACTCCTGTCAAAATGGCGTCGGATCTCCATGCCTTCGTTCTGCTGAAGCATTTGAAATGTACGAAGTAATGCACCTCAAAAGCCCGAGGTTGAGTTGCTGAGCCATATCCGAGCTGCGCAACACTCGGGGTATTCATCCTCCTGTTATGCATCGACCACCATCGGTCAGAGGTACCACGGACCCGTGTGGGACTAGGGTAGGTTTGTTATCAATCTTTGATGAGGGCTGCCATTGGGCTACTCTTGGACCGTGGTCTTGTGCATATTGATCTCAGTAGGCATCCTGGACGGGATAGTGCCCGCGCTGCCTGGCTGCCTAGCTGACGATGGAAGGTGAAACCCTTTCCTTCGTACACTACAATCTCCCGCCGATCTCACTACCTCGCCAACTAGAGGCCTGCTGAGTGATGTCTCGCGATCCTCTTGGACAGTCCTTTTGAAATGTCAAGCTATGGACAGATGATGGCACATGTCGACATCCGACTTTCTCAAACACAGAAACCATCAAGTACTTCGTGATTATCCATGACGGCAATCATTTCTGTCATAAATCAAAAAATTTTTAAGCAACCTTGCGGGAAGCGGCCCAGGGTCACTAGCCTGGCCTGGCCTTATCCACGGACCACCATAGCCGAGAGCTCAGTGACATACCTGTATGTACACTACGAAGTCGGTGACGACTCCCGGCGAGTTAAAACTTCGATGTTCCTGGACGCGCCCTCAAGACTCGGGTAAACTAAGACGGCTTTAATTACCGAGGTTACGGCGAGAGAAAGAAGCTTCAGAGGCTTCAAATGTTGCTAAACGCCAGCTTCTTCACAGCATGCAGGACTAGTCCGCCCTCCCTGCAGATTTCCAAGAGCCTATCACCAATTCGCCATGGAGGAGGGTCGAGACCTCCAGGCGGACCTCAAGCTGCATTTTCCGTGGGGGAGACAAGAAGTCCAGGCAAATGAGAGGTGAGGATGTTTCCGAGAGCCGGCCTCTATTTCTGGTCGGCGGGATTCGACCATTGCTTCCCATGATTGGAGAGAGCCCTGTGGTTGGGGAGTGGTTAAGCGCTCGCGTCACCTACTTTCTGCAGGTCAGACAGGGTCGGCGAGCCAATCCGGAACAGTCGTTTGCTCACCTCCACAATCTCGAGCAGGAATGCGCGGCTATAACGTCGCTCTTTTGCCTTTTTTAGAATCCTGATGCTGGGGGCCATACATGTTGCTTGAGATGATTTTGCTATATTTAAACTACACATGGACTAGCATGGTGGAGATTGTTCGTCATTTTTAGATGAAGGGTCGCTCCTGGGCGGCTATTCTGTGCATGAGTGAAGCTTATTTTAGGTGTCCCAAACTTGGGGTTTGGCTTTCTGGGGAGATGTCCGCAGTATTTCAAGTGGTTTAGTCCCCCCCTAGATCTCCGATATTCTTCATGCTCTCTGGTGCTCCTGGATATCTTCGTTTTCTGAACTGTGTTCTCGGTTCCCTTTTTCTTTCCTTTCTTTGGCAGTACTCTAGTTGGCCGCGTTGACCCGGTGACTCCTTTCAATTCTCCCTAGATACCCGTGCTGCTGGCCTTGATATCTACGACGTTCCTTTGCTTTAGATATTTGCCTATATACGAGCGGCCCTTTCCTAGCCGTCCCTAGCCTACCAATCTCCTGCGTTCCCATCCTCCTCTGTCAACTCTCGTCTCATACCCAACTGCCGACACAATGTCCGAGTCCAAGCGTCAGATGAACTCCTCCGAGTTCGAAGTCGACTCCCACGATCCCCCGATCCAGTCCAAGGTCAAGACCCTCGGGCTCCTCGACAACGTCCGCACAGCCCTCACCGCCCTTACTCTACTCTCCGCCCTTACCATTCTCGCCGTTTCCGCAGATGCCTTGTCCGTCTATCAGGCAACTCACCTCCCCGACGACTTCCTTCTCCCTCTCTGGCCCGCAAACTTCAATATCCGACCTACCACTGCTCTGGTCATTTGCAGTGCCATCGTTGTGGTGACCAGTAGTGTGTCTCTTGGCTTTGGGCGGATCAAGTTTGTGAGTCTTACCACATCCCACCTCGATAACAACTCTTCATCAAACTGGGACGCTTCTTTCCGACGTTTTCGACACCATTCGCTAACAGGACTTACAGCTCAATGACCAGGCTGTCCTCAATGCCATCTTCGTTCTCGTGCCGGCGGTCACCTCCCTCATTGCTGCCATAATCGCGATTTCCTTCTTCTACACTGTGAACGCGTCCACGGAGGTCGACACCGTCCAGAGCTGGAGCTGCCAGTGGCGAGACGTGGCCATGACGATGCGACCGCACTTTGGGACTCTTTGCAGGCAGAGCCAGGCTGGTATCGGGCTCGCTGTGGCGCTCGTGCCCATCCAGGTCATCATCTTGGGCGTCGCTGCTGGAGAGTTGGTTGTTCTGAAGGCCGTTAATGCTGTTGGCGTTCCTTCCAGGAAGACGGCGAGCCCTCATACGTTCTAAGAGGAGGTCGTGTGCTTGGATAATCGAGCGTATCGAAAGATATTGCCCCTCGAGGAGTTGGGTCGGCCAGGACTGGGTGCAGGCATCGTCTGAATGGTCTAGGTGCTTGCTTTCGCTTTTGTTGCAGGCTGGGGACTGATATGGTCGTGTAGTTAATGGACTATTGGAGTTATGGATGGGAATGGTTTTAATTGGCAAATAATATATTTTCTTCTGGGAAATCGAGCCTCCACCGGACGAATGTGGTCACTTCAATATATTCTCCACGCCCTTCCAACGATGGGAGGATTCCTCTGAGCGGAAAGAGTGTCGCAGGCAGTAGAGATGGGGACAAAAAACGACGATTGCGCTGGCTTATCTCATGTCTCTCGCTGCCTTCTTCCGCCAGCCTTTCCTTGATTCCTGCTCCGCATCTGATGAAATCCCTGAGGTCAAGGTAACTGCTAGTTTCACCATCGATGGGCTTCAGTCTGCTTGACAGCCCCGCCTGAGGAACCGAATTATCGGCACCAGAGTCCTACTTGTCGACGTCAATCGGTACCGTCCTACCTGGACACGGAAATAAAATCGAGCCAAAAAGATATTGATTGCCTTTTCCCAGAATTGGAATCAAGTGCATGTGCTTGATTCATTGTCTACAGAGCTGGGGCGGATCAGGCTGTTTTAGCGCCAACCCCCGCACTGACCACTGACCATCAACTGCCACGCCGTCTACAACCCACTGTAACCACAAGTCACCACTGCCCAGCGTACTCGACCGATACCACAAAGCCTGGCCAGATCTGCAAAGTGCGCATGTGGGTTCCCTCCTGATTCTAGCTTGGAGGATACACCATACTTCGTACTTGTACATGGATGATTGATGTTGGAATAATCTCTGGCTCCTTCCGACCGCGTTATCGTGAGAGTTCCCACTTCCAACAAATGTTGGTCCAAGTCCTAAACCGACTGGACGATTAAGCCGTATTCCTGCCACCACACTCCCTCGTCGCAAAGCACGGCGTCCTCAAGCCTGCTCGATCCTCGCATTCGACACCAAGCACGAAATATCTCCTCGCTAATTCCTCCGGGGCTGTGTCCACAATCCCTATTGCCCTACTTCGTACCTGCCACCCATTCCTATACCTTCCCAACTCCTATCTCATATCTCATCGATCACTATCGCAGCCTCATCGGTCTGCAGCCATTCAGACAGTCCGCCGCTAGTCTTCCATCAGCAAAGCTCATATTGCAGCGACCCAGCTCGCGTGACGCGAGTCTCCGGGCCCCAAAAATGGAGGTAAGCCAAGAATAGCTCTTCCTTCTCTCTGGTGGACGCATGCTTTTTTTTCATCGCTGGTCGCCTCGTCTGTCAGCCTCATCATTCCTTTCGGCGCTTCTTGCATTCCCTCTGTTTCCCAGCACCCTTACCCCTTGCTCAACCACGCCCCCACCCCGCCCATGTTCCCTTTCCTACGAAGTACACCGGGATGATCGTGTTTTTGGCCAATTGGTTTGGATTTCCCTCTGCACTATCAAATCGTCGTGAGCTTGCTAGCGCCGCCAGCCGTGAGGTGGAACTTCGCATCTGAGCCAGTGGTTACTCGATTTTGCTGGTCTGCAAGGCACCAGTCGTCAGCTCTTGATTTATTGGCAGGGATCTGCTGTGCTGAAATCCCAATCACAATTCAACCATGTCGCCCCAGAGCTCCCATACGACGACGATATGGGCCCAAACCACTTCTTCCGCTCTCATCCGTAGATGCCTGGAGATGGCTTTCTTCACCCATGACCCCGGCATAGCAACATTGGCCGGCGTTGCCTAATTTCGACACATGGTCTGAACAGGCTTATTCGTGCGATATACAGCCAGCTTGCTGCTCTTCACTACGACACCCATGCAAGTGTCCGGCTCCACGGCACCGGTGCTCCTTCGCTCGAAGCCATGAAGTGTTAGTGCACTTTAATCCTGAGGGTTAGATGCGTTACGGGTTGCAGTTGGCACTATTTTCCCTTTTCGCCGACGGCAATATTCGATACGAGCTCTGTCCCGAAAGCCGCTCGCCGACTCGCATGGCGCCTTGCTGGCCGTCATGATAACCCAATCGTTGCGAGATCCCACACGCTTGGGGCTCGATAACCATAGTTACCGGCTGGTGGCCCAGATCGACAAACTCGACCAGTCATAGACTCCATCATTTGCCTTTCCCTTTGATGTAACTATGTGCTCCCTATTTTGCGCCCATGCCCGGTCAGCAAGGCAGGCTATGCCCAGGGAGACACAAGTTCTTCAGCTCTGGCTATGATTAGTATCAACACCCCGGCCAATACCTTCAATGTATATAGACGTCGCATCCTTACAATTACATGTTCTTGATTTCCTTGTTTTACATTTTTCTGTCATGGATCTCATTCCCAGGGAGCCTCTGATATCTCCGACCCAAGTGGGATGGCCTCCCCTTCGTCCTCTCTGAGCTGTCGCTCAGCTGTTCTTACAGATGACCGAGAGAGTCTAGCAAAACTAAACCTTCAACGTGTCTACGAGCAGAGCCGCACCGCGCCACCAAAACAAGATGGGAACAAACAACAAGGGGTACCTCAAGGGCCCTCGTCAACCACAAAAGGCCGGCCTCGTCTGTTATTGATGGGTCAGAGTAGGTACGATAAACTGCTTTTATCCTCGAGCTAGGACCTCCTTCCTGCCGTACCTTTGCTTAAGAACCCTCTGATTGACATTTTATAACCAGGAGCGGGAAGTCCTCGATATCAAGCGTAGTCTTTCAAAAACTGCCGCCCAACGAGACGTTATATCTTGAATCAACTGCTAGGATTCAGAAAGATCAAATGGCGTATGTACCTCTCTTATCTTGCTGGACCGCTCACTCGTATGGTGTTATTACTTTGGCAAGAAAGCTCACTTAGCTATCGGTATGCAGATCATTTATGGATTTCCAAGTTTGGGACTTTCCTGGTCAGATAGATTTTTTCGAAAACCCAAACTTCGACATCGATGCTATCTTCAGCGAAGTCGGCGCGCTTATATGGGTTATCGACGCTCAAGATGACTATCTCGAGGCTGTCGCCCGCTTAAACGCCACTATTCTTTACCTCCAGCGCAACTATTCCAATCTTAACATTGAGGTCTTCATCCACAAGGTTGATGGCCTATCAGACGACTACAAACTCGATATTCAGCGAGATATCACCATCCGCATCCAGGACGAACTATCCGATCACGGCATTGAGAACGCACCTGTAACATTCCATCTCACCTCCATCTACAACCACTCCATCTTCGAAGCCTTCAGCAAAGTCATCCAAAAACTAATTCCCCGCCTCGGTATTCTCGAAGGTATCCTGACCAATCTCTGCCGGACCTGCCGCTTCGAGAAGGCCTATCTCTTCGACGTCCTCAGCAAGATCTACATTGCAACCGACTCTGCACCCGCAGACATGGCCTCGTACGAGATTTGCTCCGACTACATTGACGTCATCATCGACATTACCGAAGTCTATGGCTCGTGGCCCCGCAACAGCGAGCAGAGGAAGAAGCTCGAGGGCGAGCCGTGGAACATGAAGCTCGAAGACCAGGTCGCCTGTCCCTGCGCCGAGAGTTGTATGATGCTTCACGACGGGAACAGGCCGATTATGCTGCGCGAGGTCGACCGGTACCTTGCCTTGGTTGCCATTATGAAGGAGGATTCCTACGATAAGATGCCCTTGGTGAATATGAATGTCGAGGCGGTTGTGCAGGGTCTCAAGGAGTTCTTCGAGATTACGAAGCCGAGGAAATGAGAGTGTGAGGACAGAAACTATGGCACTTCGGATAACCTGTTTCTGTTGGCGACGTTTTCATATGCCTAGCGGATTGAACGGGTGCGTCTGAGCGAGATTACGTACGGGACTTGAGTTATAGCAAGCAAGGCGAGTGCGTGATAGATTTTACATACCGAAGGCTCAGAGAAGTGAGCAAGATGAATTGTCGTGAATCTATTTGTGAACCTTTCTTTTCGGTACCATCCGTTGTCCCCGCCATTGCTATTATCTATATATTTTCCGAAAAACTCATTGGAATGGAACCGCCTTTTTCCCTCATGAATCAAATTTCAACTCGAACACCCGATACGTGCACCGATCTTGCCCAAGTAGACATACCCTTGCTGGCATGGGACCCCTCACGTCACTTTTGTCGTGGATATCCATCTGCACAGGGATGAAGTCGCCGTCTTTTCCCAGCGGAATCTGAGTAGTTGCTACGGAACTAGGTTCGAGCTCGCGTGGAGGAGGAAGTGGTGTCGAGGGGGTGTAAGAGGTCCATGGGAGGGTCGCGGTCTTGAGAGGTAGGGAGGTGAGGGAAGGAGGCGCGCCTGTTCTTGGGTTAGATTATAGGGTTCTGGCAAAAGGGGGTCGGGGAAGGGGGGAAATGACGGACCTGTTTGAGAGCCTAGGATGAGAAGGAGAGTAGGTGTTAGGAATTTGACGTCGATGACTTTTTTGGGAGCGATGGAGATGGTGCAGCAGCCTGTTTCGACGGTCCCGCTTATGCCGTTGACAATCGGCATGGAGGTTCGGAGGAGGAGAACTAAATATCGGTCAGTGACGTGTAAACTGAGATGAAAGAGTGATGCTGCTGAATCGACTGTGAACTCACTCTCGCTATCCCGCTCTTTAGTAGCCACGGCTGTATACGTCAGCCCGTCGAGGAGGTCCTGTTCTCGAATGTTAGTAGCGCGTCTTGGCATAGGGAGGAAACCTCTACGTCCACATACCCCGGATCCGTGGACTGCATCCATGCAGATATCGACTCCCGTAATCTCCTGGTCCAACGAAATTGTTGTCGCCTGCCCAAACCGAACGCTCCTCTTCTGAGCCTGTGCAATATCACTGAACACCCCGCTCGCCTTGTCATCCAAATGGCCTAGAAGCCAATGCACCTTCGGCAAGAATTCGGCGAACTGCTGTCCATTCTCATGCTTCTTCAGTTGAGCGTCGAGAGTCTCGAGGAGAGACGCCCCCTTGGCGATCTCTTCCCAGTCACCACCCGTTTCATCGTCCACCAGAAAGATGGACAACGGACTCCGAAGGAGATATTTCTTAATGTAAGCTAGTATATGTCCATTATTCATCGTCGCCTCCTTCTCCATGAGTTCGTCGCTGCCGGAGCTTGTCGCAAGACGATCGATCTGAAACCTCAGCCACAAGGAGAAGGACGTGAAGAGCTCGAGCTCCTCCATCACTACGAGGAGCATTCGGTGGCCGACGAGGGTAAGGCATGCGACGGTGTCCATGAGGCGGGAGATCTGGATAGCTGATAGGCCGGTGTCGTCACGGGATTCGTAGAATTGGGCGAGGCCTTTGAGACGGCTGAGGATGACGCCGCAGCGGCTAAGGGCGGGGAGGAAGTTTTCGTGGATGATGCTTCGGAGATTTTCGAGACCGGATACTACGGCTCTGTCCCATCTTTTATGGCCCTACATCCAGAGTTAGATAAAATCAGATCCAATTCGCGTGAAAATAGATGTGGGCCAAGTCACCTACTCTTTCTGCAAGGCTGTCTACTAGCCATTCCTTCACGATCTCATATGTGTGTCCCGTGACGAGCGTATGATAGAGTGCGGAGACAATGTCCCTGGGCCCCATTTCGGCACCCTCTAGGTCCTCCTGAACGTTTGCTAGGAACCGTGATGGCAGGTCCCTAGTGTTCTTGTACTCTACTTGCATGTGGAGGAATGCTTGCCTTAGATATCTTAATAGCTTCTGAAGGGTGGTCAACTTAGAAGCCAAGAGAGATAGGTTAATAGGTGAGGACACGATGAATGAGAGGTCCATTGGGACAATGTCGAGCGTGTAACGAGATTCGCCTGTGGACTTAAAGACGAGAGAATGTGTGGAGAGATCGTGGTGCGAAGTATGATGGATTAGGCGCACGTCGGCGTGGGCGTCTTTGGGAGATGGATAGTTGAACGTTCCGACTGTAAAGGAATCGTAGATGCTGAGATGGACGTTGCCCTTATCGGTACCCACAATCATGACGGATATTTCCTCGCTATCTTCGGGTTTGAAAGGCTGGAAGAGAAAGTCGATTCCAGTCCTCAATGTGAAGACCGTTGAGTCCTCTCTGCGTAGGTTGTCAGTACTGACTCTGTCATGTCATTCCCAAAAAGAGACGTAGACCTACCCATTCCCAGCGCTCCCACTTGGTAAGGGGCTGATCTTAGGCAACGCCGTATCTACCTCCAAGAAGGTAAGTTCACGAGGTAGATCGGCGGCGGGAACGTCCTTCCCCAACACGCCTAGCCACGTAGACGATGCTGTACTTGTGCGTCTCTCTGACTTCTTGGTGACGCTGTTGCTCGTCCACCCAATGTGCGAAATCTTGGCCTCCCCGGCCTCAGTGACTTTGATATTATGTGCTGCTTTGTTGTTCTCGAGACCCATCAAGCGGACGTATCCATCATCCCACGCGACGGCTACAAACTGGCCTATGGTTCATGTGAGCAAAACCCTTCTTCTCTCAAGTCCCTCCTCCATCTTTTGTAGTCCCTTCTTACTTGAACGCTCCTAGTCCGAAACCTATTGAGAGCGAAGTGAAGAAAAAGGACAAAACATACCATCTGGCTTCCATTTCACAGCCGTGACCGTTGACGGTTCTCCCCTTCGGCCCTTCGCTCCCTGATGGATCTTCGATACAACCTCATTCTTCGGCCGGTATATGAAAACGTTGCCGGCTGCGCTATCCCAAGTAACCGACAGATCAACTATCGGCGAGCTCACGGGCAGTCCAGGCTGTGTCGCATGGTCGTACTTTGTCTCACTAAATGCAGAGAGGGCAATTTGGGCCACCATTTTGTTCTCTACTGCATGCAGCTCGTGGGCTTGGTCCAACTTGAATACACTTCAACTTGCGCTTTTCCACATTGGCACCGGGCAGAGTAGTGGCGACGCACGGTAGCTAGAACGAAAAAAGAATAACCAGATCTCTCAGAAAGAAGAAAAATGAAAAGGAAATACCATGGCTGGGCCCTAGGCCGACCGCAGACTAGGTTCTGTGAAAGTGGGCGGGCAAAATGTAGTTTGGGTGAGGTTGAGCGTGTCTTCTATAAGCAACGCGGCTCGCACTGTACGTTTGCCGCAAAACCTTCCTTGGAATTACACAATATACACAGTGTAAATTACACATCCGAAAGTCTTCACACCCAACTGAACAAAACATCGTCGAAGTCGATCAATCGTCATCCATCTATTTAGATATATAGTTGACCTTCTCCCGTTATGAATCAAGCACTCTGTGGCGCCAGACGCTCGTCGTTAGTCCTGCCAACCATTTTTTTTTTTCAATCCCCTAAAAGACGCACGTCATACCATAAACAAGTCCCCAACTCATCGAGCAATCCCGGAAATCAATGCTCTCCTTCAGTCTATTCAATTACGTAGTTCTCTGCCGTAGACTTGACGTCCTTCGAGAAAGTGATCTCTTCATCCATATCAACAAGCGAGACGGAAGTTACCTAAATACGTGAGTTAGCAAGAGAGGTGGTTCAGAGGGAGAAGGGAAGAGCTAGAACATACATCAACATCGACATAGGGCGACGTCTTCTGGAACCGGACCGTCATAGGGAAGAAGTCGTTTTCATCGTTGGCTTCTGCCTCAAATTCGAAAGATCCGCTTCCGTTATCCTCGTCAATCGACCCAATGGTCCACTCGAGCATGTCGCCCATAATATCATATGTAGCATCAAAGCTTGATACAATGGGCTCAGAAGCCTGGTACGGGATCAAGACGCTGACGTCCTTCAAAGAGTCTCCACCAGTGAGTTCGTACTCGACGGTAATGTTATACTTGTCCGAGTCCTTGTTTATCCAGACAGTGAAAGTGATGGGGCAGGCACTGGAGTCGTCCGTCTTGGGGGCGGCCCGCCACCGAAGTACGCCGACAGAGTTATTCACGGGGAATCCTTGAGCTACGTTGGCCATTTGAATGATCTTGGACTTATTGAAGGTGTTGCGGTCCACCTTGGGGTGCGTTCGGAATTGGACACCGTGGGATGAATTTGCGGTCAGTCCAAGCTGGATCCTGGTCAAGCTGGGATCGGAAATGCGTAGCGTAAGGTCGCCATTGACCGAGATCGAGTTGACGGCGCCCTCCCTGGAGAGGTTCGCGGTGATCGATTCTGAAATGATGACGTGAATAGCGTCACGATCCATGGTCGTCGAGGCACGAGGCGAGACTACTTGGGCGGCGGGAGCCGCAGTGGGAGCGACGAGCGGGCTGTCATCAATCTCTGCACCCATCTCTCCGCGAACACGCTCAAACATGTCTGTCGTCTTGGACTTCTTGCCCAGTTGCATGCCCTTACCCCTAAGCGCAACCGGCCTACACTCTGTTAGCAAAGGCATTGACGGTCGGGCGCAGGAAACGTACTTATTGAAAGTCTTGTTCTTCTCAGCCTCGTACGAGTCGTATGATTCTTGGGGGGCCGCCGGCCGGGATGGTGGGGTATATGTGGGATAGACTGGCGTTCGAGGGACTCCGCGCATTCCCCTCGCAGATTCCTTGCGTTGCATTTCGAGTTGCTTGGCTTTGCGCTTCCTCTCCTCGGTGGCCTCGAGTTCCTTGTTCTATTCTGGGTGTTAGCACTACCCAGGAATGATATGTTAAGATATTATGTATGCTCCATACCCTGGCGATAATCTCCTGGATACGCTCTTCGTGGCTCTCCATCTCGAGGAATGTCTTGATCTGGCTGATGGTCAAGTTCTCGCGATATCCGAGAGTTACCAGCTCATCGAAGGCACTCAGAAGGTCGTAGGCATGTCGAAGAATTTCTCGTTCATCCAGGCTCTTGCATGTGCTGGTGACGACTTGGGCGAAGAGGTGGAGCGAATCTATGTCTTGGAGAATGTTGGACTGCTTGTTGGTGATGAGGACCATGTATAGCTCGTCAAGAGGCTGGTACACGAAGCGGACATTATCCTGCTCAACCGTCGTATGTTGCGTACCGCTGTCAGCTAGCTTAGGGAACGAGGCGAGTAGAGCTTCTATTCTCGATCGGGGCATCTCGCGGAACTGCCTGGAGAGGACGGCCTTGCCCCCGCGGGTGCAAATGGAGGCGGCGAGGACAACCTAGACCACGATTAGCATTGGGCACCGCATAATCCGAAAATGGCTCCAAAACTGGCAATCATACCATGTTGAAGTGTATACAGAGGTTAGCAGACTTAATGCTTGGTTCCTGAGATAGGGATGCAGTCAAAGCCGGCCAAATAATGCCAGGTGGGATGTCCCAAGGTGTCCACTGCTCCTTGATTAGGGAGAGACCGCTAATGAACAGCAGTGTCCGCAAGGTCCCCTCGAACTCGATAGATGGATACCCTCTTTTACTAGGATAATCCCACATCTGGTGCAAGGACAATGGAGCCAAGGAATGTGGGCGCAAGCACATGATAGTTGGCTGGCCCGTGCATGCTCCCAGTCGCTCCTCCCCGCCTAGTCCCATAATTAACCGCGCTTTTTCCAAGCTTCACCTTGGTAAAACGCGCTGGTCATTCATACCCATTCCTGCCTGCTGTCATTTTCCGTCAACCCTTCTCCTTTACCATCTTTTTATCAGGTTCGAGAGGAAGCCATCTATAATCGACGCTGGGATAATCTTATCGCGATTTCATAAGACTTGGACTTTATCCCTGGCCAGAAACGCAATATCGGCTCAATAGGTGAAGCTTGGCGAAGTTGGCCACACGCTACCTAAGAATAGACATTTGACCTTCACGGACCTCGCAACCTTCGCACGATCGGTTGCCCTTCCCCCCCTCAAATTAACCCTCCTATCTTCAGCTTTGAGCGATCCCCCATCGAATGCAAATATCACGAAAGGTTTACTATGGCAGCTGAAGTCTCACAAGCGCCCTTGGAGGGCCAGCTCGATACAGACCTCACATTTGGTGGTGATCTAGGTCGCGACACGGGACTCGAACTACCTGAATCGAATGAAAGCGCTGTAGGCATCACGGAGGCCGAGCGGTTCTCTGCCGACCCTGCTTCTAAAGCGACCGATAGTTTGAACGAGATAGACTGGGAGGAACATCCCCAGCCCAACAACAATGACGAGTCTCCAGCAGAGCTCGAGTTGAACGATACTACCAATGGTAGTGCTCCTCACTCTTCGTTTGATGTTCATATGGACGAGTCCGAATTTAAACTCGATGCATCGGCGGATGCTGTCGTCAACGCAGGTGGCGAGCAAGAGGAGGGTGAAGCCGAGAATGGCGGTTTTGATGATGATGGTGGTGGTGATGCTTCCAATCTGAACGATAATTCTGTGGGCGAGGAGGTCGTGGAGCATGAAATCAATTACGACGAAGAAGAGGACGATGAGAAATTGGATGCTGATATTGAAGTTGAAGACGTTTCACTTGAGTATCCACCCACTCCTGACCAGGGAGCAGAGAGCCATGTCCATTCGGACGCGGAGGATGTTTCCGAGGAAATTAGCCATGATGTGGAAGAGGAGAAAGACGAGGATGAGGACCAATCTGAGCAAGTAGCAGCTCCTGACGATCACTCTACAGACGAATCCGAGGACGACCAGGGGGAGCTGCCTACATCGTGTCCTGACATTTCTGTTACCTATCGGAGCCAGGAGTACCCTCTCATCCACGGTCAGAATAACGCCGACGTTCAAATGGGTTTCTTTGAAGACGTTGCCGTGCTTGACTTGACCGTGGACAACCTCCTTTCTAGGTTTCGGCAGGAACTCGTCGACGATCTTGGCGAGCAAGATGAACTGGTTCTCCAAGTCGACGAGCTTGGTTTGGAATATGCCGAGGTGCGTTGTGATTAATCTCCTTTCCTCTTTTTCTATATTTACGATTGTACTAACTTTTTTGAATAGTCCACCCAACGTGATCACCTCTCGGGTGTTACGCTCAGGCAGCTCCACGAGATATTTGATCAGCTGGTGAAGAATCAGGATCCCGATGCATCGCGCCCCCTGTACACCAACCTTATTGTCCGCCCGCACCCTGCTAAGCGCTTGGAGCTGCTTATCGATGAGGCTTTCAATGGCAAAGGCCTTGATGAGATTATCTATTGGTTCCAGCCTAACGTCCATGGCCAAGCAGGTCACACTGAGAGTAATGTGGATATGAACGCCGACGTTAGTAGTGATGGCGACGGCGCAGATGAATATATTTCCGGTGACGCAGAGGAGGAGGAAGTGTCCGCTAACGACGACCTGGTTTCGGAGCAAGATGATGAGGAGATTAGCGAGAATGAGCCGGAGCCCTCGGGCGATGACCGAGATGACGATATTACAGAAGATCAGTACTACGATAACGGTAGTAGAGATCTCGATGAGGTTGAGGACACAGCCGATCATCAATATGCCGATGAAGTCGGAATGAATGAGCTCACGGAGGAGCAAACCGAACTGCTGGAATCTGCACAAGATAACGAAGCTCTCATCAACGATCTGGTCGCAGCAGATGTGACTGAAGTGGAGGAAGTGGCAACATCAAATGGTAGTAGCCAACTTCTCCTTCGTCGACTCCCCAAACAGTGTCTCTGTGTATTCTGTGTCTTCGGTCCCGTCATAGATTGGGAGACAGAAGCGGAATTAAAGAGGCTTAAAGCGGATTGGCATGAGGAAGCGGCCACTGACTTACGTGTAATGCCAGACAAAGTACACGACGACCTTACGACAGAACAACCCGCCGACGAAGTGTTAGATGAAGGCTTCGACCTCATTGAGATGATTGACGACGACGACAACGACGGTGCCCTTGAACTTGGCCAAGCCGATGCTGCAGATAGTAGCGCCACAGCGACGCTCGACGGCCACGCCGATAATGAAATCGACTACGACGACCATAATGTAAACGGTGATGCGATCCCGGATATTGGCGAGTCCGCGATTGCTGGTGAACCTCTGGAAGAGATAGACTGGCGCGATTTCCCTGATGAAAACGATGCTAGTAACGAGAAGGAGACATTGAGTGTTTCGGGAAAACGCCCTCACTCCGAGATAAATGACGGAGAAGAGTTTGACTTGGACAATGAGAATGGTATGTCCTCACCCACATAACTAACCTGTGAGCCGCACCCACTAACTAATCTTGTAGACGTCAAGCGTCGTCGTTCTTAGCAACCCCGCCAATAACTATCCCATCCCCTAACCAGTATCCCTTTCAAATCAACAGCCCCCCCTTCCGCCTTTTCCTTTTCCTTCCCTATTCACGCATGGTACCCCATGGCGCAATCTCCATGATGGCGAAGTATATCCCGCCGAGAGGTTTCTGGCCTCGATGGTGGCATTTTACTTCACAGGCAATTATCCTCACCACCAGTCCCCCCTGACGGATTGGTAAAGCACCAGCGGCCCAGTAAGCCCAAGCACACCCAATTTTGAGGAATAACTGGAGATATATTCTCCTAAGGTAGGTGGCAATCGTTGATGAACATACTAATCTTACCCCCCCGGTGTCCTGGTCGGTCAACACCTGGCGAGTTCGAAAATGAACCATGACCTTTTATGACCCTATGCAGACTTTGTTTCGATAGTGGTTCTAGGACAGGTTTGGGGTGGCGACAACAGCATTAAGAGACAGTCAAAAGCCTTTTGAGCTCGACGGTCAATCGGAGGATACCCCCTCATGACGCGATCCACCGTTTAATTTCGATATTTTATTGTTGATGAGGCGTTTCTTCTCCTCCTCCACCTCATCCTCCTCCTTCTTCTTTTATCTTTATCACGGCGTTATGGAAAGGGTGGCCCCTACTTGATTGATACCAGCAAGGTGGCGTAGCTCTACCTGTCTCGATGTTTCGAGTTTTAGTAGGAAGGCCGATTGGAGTTCGGTTATTTTCATGTCGTCTTTTCGTTTCGGGAAGGAAAACGTCTAGTATAGAAGCAAAATTGGGTTGGCGAATTCTCGGGTTTCGCCGTGGAGTCTGGTCACTGATTGGTTTTGCAGTGCTCAGTCGGTAGTTAGCACTTCTTTGATTTTTCACTTTTCACTGCTTATATCCCGCTCATTCCGTTCCCTCGTGAAGTCTGAGATGCTCGCATCGTTCATAAATCTCTGCACAACAAGCTGTGCAGCATCCGGATGATCGGGATCCTGTCTAACCCGAATCACAGAAGTCGCGCGCAGTTCCGTGCTTCCGGGAGGTTGGTGATTGTGGAGTTGTTGCTTTTCTGACAACATCAAGTACTCCGTACTACACTCCATCTAGCGTATTTCTCGATGCGGCTTACTTAGATCGGGAGCCAACCCGCCCCTGTCCCCTGCAGGACCCATTCCATTCCGTGGACTCAGATTGCGTGTCCTCTATTATCGATCCTGCTTTGGACAACGCTACGCTACTTCGTAGCTTGGTAGCACCCATCTTTGACATGCTGGAGGTGAGCAGGCGTCGACGGCTAGTGCAAGAAATGTTTTGAAACATTTCACAGTTGGCCCAAGCATGGATCCTCCGCACTACTAATATTAGATCCAGCTTGGTGGTTGAGATGTAACGACTCTTGAGTGGTCAAGGTATATTGAAGGACACTTGGCGTTGGGAAGCCAGCAGGCCACAAGATAATTGAGCCCATTTCGGGACCAGGATTCCAAGCTTGATCTCAATTGAATTTTACGAAGTACTTTCCACAGGTGCTGAAAAGATTGATACGATAAATTTATGGCGCCACATGAAGCGGATAATAGCATTGTTTCCTCGATTAACCATGGCAAAAGACTGGCGCCGTGGGGATCGACGTCGCAAGGGCTTCAGGGCAGGGGGCATCCCGAGGGAGCTAGGACTGGATAATGGGATCGAGAGTGGACCGGGCAAGTCACCAGTCGTCGGCACTGGACATGATACAACTCCATTCCTCGTCTTCTTGGAGCAATAGAGACTTTCGTTTCGAAAATGGGGATGCCACTGAACCCCACTTAAGCCCTTGTTCGGTTGTGGCTATGTTTCGCGGGGGGATCCAACTGTGGAAACCGTTGCTCTTAGAAGACATCGCCAGTCTGAGTCCTGGAAGGCCAGAAACATCAATAAAACCCAACGTTCAGTGTTGTACAACTGGCTTCAACTGGCTTCAAGGAGCCTCTTCTGTGTAATCGTCACTGGGAAAAAAAATTATTCAATACCAAGTTTCTCTGGGGAAGGAGTCATGGATTTGATGCAGGAATCAATACGATATCCTTCGTACCAATACTAACGGAGTCACCGGGCTGGGAAACGGACTTCTACAGCCGGATGTGTCCGCCCTCAATACAAACATTAGCGTTTGATACTGAGTTTAGTCGCCGATTTCGTGTTCCTGGTGTCTGAATCCACTAAATTTAGAGCCAAAATAGAACCTGCTGCGCTGAAAAGGTACAATCGGACAGCCTAGACAAGTACTTGAGGGAGGCTCCCGAGTACCCTAACCTCAATCTCCTTCCAAACGCTTCAGAAATTGTACTTCCCCCAGCATGGGCCTGACTCTGAAACTCGAAGTATCAAAGGCTTCGTAATCATATTGGAGGGTACATTCGTCCCAGCAGAAGCCGTCGAGAAAGATGAACTCCAGTTCAAGACACATGCTCCCCAATAATTGTTAGTATCTGAAAAGGCAGGTAACACAGGAGGGTACCAATAACATTGTGCTTAGAGGAGAGTCTTGCTTGCGACGCAGAGCGCACTATTCGCACACACTACACACATACTTGCCCCTTATGTCCTAGTTATGCAGGGTGACAGGTCCAGACATGCAATAATACGGTGGGATGGTACACAACTATGTACACAACTATGTACACATCAAAAGCAACTGTGCAGGGACCCTTAAGTACCCTCCCCTTTCCTGTAAGTATTTGTGTACCTTGTTTCTAGTTATCCAGTTACCTGACCGTAACTGACCCTTTTTATCCACGAAACAGAGACCCTGCCACTCCCCTTCGCAAAATCGCCAGCGCACCTCGTCCTTCGTTCTCCAAAGGCCACATCCAAATCTCGAGTCCCCTCGCTAAACAGCACAACGCTCTTTCCACGCCCTCCGAATAGACCGCGATTCTCTACAGACGGTCCCCAAACCCAGAGGAATCAATCCGATGCATTAACATTAGCAGGCAATCCTGTCTAGCGACCCCTCCCTCCTCTCTACTTCCTCCATCCTCCGCCCAGTCGCCTCGCCCGGCGCGAGCCTGCCCAACTCCTCTCTCCACCGATTTGTGCGCAAGCCATATAGATCAATTTTTTCCTTGAAAGATCTTATATCGACCTCGCCCTAAAGGCTACTACGGTCTTCCATCCGTCGTTTTGAACTCTCGATTGCAGCGCCGCCGGTTCGCCCAAGATGATGCTCGAGGAGAAGTATGTAGCCTCGATCGATGCGGTTTCCCGGATGGACACCCTCTTTTTCGCACTGCTGAGTCTGTCCTGGATGGGCGTTTGCTGATTGGCATCTTGAATACAGATATATCGGCCTCGGGTTGGCCATGACCTCGAGTCTGGCGATTGGTATGTATGCCCCATTCCTTATGCTGCTGCCTGCGCTAATCCTGGTCCCACCTAGGCACGAGCTTTGTTATCACGAAAAAGGTACACACACAACACCACCCGCACGAATATGATATAGCTCTGCGATTCCCTGCGTCCTCGCAATGCGGTTTTCGATATTAACATGATTATTATAGGGTTTACAAGATGCCGAGAAGCGACATGGATTTGAAGGCGAAGGCTTCGTATACCTTCGAAGCCCCATCTGGTGGGCGGGCATTGGAACTTGTGAGTGCTTGCGATATCGTTTTGTTTGGTTACCGCTAGGTAGCCTGCTGACCGTCCCTCTCTCCTCCTCTAGTGGGTATTGGTGAAGTGTGCAACTTCGCCGCCTATGCCTTTGCGCCGGCCATCCTCGTCACACCTCTAGGTGCCCTGAGTGTCCTCATCGGGGCTGTTCTTGGTTCTTACTTCTTGAAGGAAGAGCTTGGTATTCTGGGCAAACTCGGCAGCGCAATATGTCTCATTGGCACCGTTATCATTGTTCTCCATGCCCCTCCAGATGAAGAAATCGAAACCATCGACCAGATCCTGCATTACGCTATCCAACCAGGTATGCACGTCCTAAGTGTCTTTGGTGCTTCCTAGCTACTCCTTTGCTGGGTGGAAGCTAACGCTGCGCTCGCCCCTAGGGTTCCTACTTTATGCGATTGCCGTGGCCGTATACTCGATCGTCATGATATACAAGGTTGCCCCCGTCCATGGAAAGAAGAACGCGCTCATTTTCCTGTCCATCTGCTCCACGGTTGGCTCTGTCTCGGTCATGGCTGTCAAGGCTTTCGGCATTGCCCTGAAGCTCACGCTTGCCGGAAACAACCAATTCTCGCATCCGTCCACTTATGTTTTCTTGCTCTTGACCATTGTTTGCATCGTCACCCAGATGAACTACTTCAACAAGGCCCTAGCCTGCTTCCCCGCCAATATGTATGTGTCTCTGCCATCTAGCTAGCGATAGCCCCGAATTCTAACCCCCATCCGAATCTAGCGTCAACCCTCTCTACTATGTCACGTTCACCACCGCTACGCTCTGCGCGTCATTCATCCTCTTCGGCGGCTTCAACACGACCGACACCGTGACTATCATATCGCTTCTCAGCGGGTTCCTCGTCACCTTCGCCGGTGTCTACCTATTGAATCTCTCTCGCGGCGACCCCAATGGCCACAAGCTAATCTCCGGGCGTCCTAGCATGGACGTCTCCGGTACTGATATGATCTCGAGCATCCAGACTCGCCTGAGTATGCAATCTAGGAGAAGCCTCGACCCCCACCGCCGCCTCAGTGTGAGCAGTCAGCATGGTGACCGAGAAGGTCTCATGAGGGGTTATGACGAGGAATCTGGTGCCTTCGGCCTCACCGACCTAGCGGAAGAGAGCGATGACGACGGCATCGGCAGGCCTAACGGATCCACAAATGGCAACAAGAGGACATACGGTGACTCGATAGAGCTGCAAGAACGCAAGTCCGACTCATAACATCTGCTGGATGTTCTCCCACCGTGTACGAAATATCTTAACGCATCTTGTACAATTTCTTTTGGAGCGACGATTTCTTTTTCTCTCTTTACCCGTCAGACCTTTTCTCGGTTTCGCACGGACAGGCTTGGGAGTTCCCATTTCTCCCTTGAACTTGATCCTAGCTCCCCTCGATTTATGCACCACCTTCCAGCAACAGTGGTTACCAACCTATTTTTCTTTCTGACGAAACGTATTCGAGATGACATGTCTACCGATGCCGGCATACCGAAAGCACGAATGAGGTCCTTTCTGTTTTTCTTTCTTCTCTCTTTGCACTTTTGGGATGGGTTTGGCGACGGAGGTAATTTGGGCGGCATACAAGGATACCAGGGGAGGGAAGCCTTTGTTTCCCCTTGGCTATACGCAATGGCAGCATGAGAACCGGAGACATGGCATATCCGACCTCTCCTCTCAGCCTTCGTATCTTCCCCAAAGACTCAGGGGACGATGACAGTAGAGGTCATGCGCAAGCCACGGCATCTATATATACATATCACGGCACCAAACATTATGGCTTGACAGGCGAACTTGGGGGGGTTGGCGGTTGGCATTTGGCGTTTAAAGGAGCTAAGATACAGGGAAAGCAGCTACGGGGAAGGGATGCCCTGCTTAGAGTGGATGGCCTTCCCTGGTTTTTTGGTCATTTTCTTCTCCTTTTCTTTTTGATATTTCCTGATTCTTGCGTGCAAAAGGAAGCGTTTTTCTTATTACTACCCTGCCTTTTGGAGTTTGGTTCTCGCTGGGGTTTCGTATGATCCCCCTTCTCCTGCACTGAGTCTGCATCTGTTGTGTACACTAGCGTTTGTGGTTCTCAAACCGTTTGGGTTCAAGATGGATTGTGTAGGATTAGCAAACAAGTAGGGCAGGGCGAGGATTGAGGTTGGAAGAGAGGCAAGCTAAACTCCGCACGAATTGGTAAAGTTTTGCAGGCTGCTGCATTTCGTGTTCCGCATTCAAGTCGTGGAATACCTCAGTACGCCCGTTCGCACATCAAATATCGCGAAGGGGGCCGAGCAGGTGATACATCCCAACGCCCTATTTTCCCGTAACGCCTCAACGCATAGCATGGCAATGATTCGACGAAACACATATACCGGGAATCACTTTTTGTTCAAGCCGAGAAGCTCAGCTTTTCTTTGCTATCTCGAGTGTATGGTTTTTTTTTTTTTTGTGTCTCATTACACACCAAAGAAAAACGTTCCATTTCCCCTTCCTTCTCCGAGATGCAATGATGGTGGACGTGTAAATAAAAAAAGAACAATGTCACTTGAGACGCCGTTGTACGAAAGCACCAAAGTAGACCGGGTCTGGCAATTTCTTTTTCCGAACCCAACCCTTTTTCCATTCAGTTCTTGGTCATCAAATCAATACCATCTTAAAACCAGCCGTCAAACAAACTTTACCAACCTCCTCCCAAGCCCCACTCATCATCAGCGGGATTAGGTTGCTCGTAGTTGGGCTGCTCGCCATAGCCGAGCTGCTGGCCGTAGTGGTGGAGCTGCTCACCGTAGCCAGGCTGCTCGCCATAGTTGGCACCGTCAGGAACAAACATGACGTACTGCTGCTGATTGTAGTAATCAACAGGAACAGGCTGCTGATAATAAGCACCGCCCTCGACAATAGGAAGGGCAACGGGAGGAGCGCTGAGAGCAGGTTCGGCGGTGGCCGGGGGATGGCTCTCCTCAGCTGGGCCATTCTATTGCTCAGCCGCAGGAGCCTCCTCAGCCTCCTCCGCCGCCCTCTGCGCCTCCTGGGCAGCCGCGAGCTGGGCAGCCTTCGCGCCGTAGTCGATGGACGCGGGCTGAAGGATAGGCTGCTCCTCCTTGGGGTCGATGATGGTGACGGTATCAGGAAGAGTCTTCTGGGGGCCGCTCTTGCCCTCGGGATCGGAGCCCCTCATGATCTTGACCTTAATACCAAGGACACCCTGTCGGAGAAGGACGTGGCGGGTAGCGCTGTCAATGAAGTCGAGCGCGGGCTGACCGGAGTGGATCATGAAGCCGTCGGTGAACTTCATGGACTTGGCACGAGCAGCGCGGAGCTTACCCGAGACGACAACCTCACAACCCTTGGCACCAGACTCCATGATGAAGCGGAGGACACCATAGCAGGCACGGCGGACGGCGAGACCGTTGAGAAGCTTGTATCGGAGGGACTCGCACTGAGCGACGGCGGAAAGACCACGGTTCTGGACCTTGGCGGCGTAGAGGGAGACGGAGTTCTCGGGGAACTTGAATCGCTTCTGGATGAGGGAGGTGAGCTCGCGGATGCGGCGGCCCTGCTCACCGAGAACCTCCTGAGTGTGGGTAGCTCGGATGATGATGTCGGTGACGGTGGGTGTGACGCGGACTTCGACGCCGGAGTAGCCCTCCTCGGCAAGCTCACGCTGGAAGAACTCGTTGAGCTCGGCGTAGAAGACGCCGTCAGCGACGAACTTCCTGCGCTTGGAACTGTAATACGGAAAAACATCCACAGTCAGTAAATGCCATAAATGTGAACAAACCATAATTGAAGGGCTAGGCTCTCGAGAAGACCAGAGGGACCCAAAATTCTGGCCTTCCCGTCCTCCCAATTCGCGCAATGGCCTCGGTCGGGATCGATCGTGAAGTATATATCCGCGGTGAGGGGATGGAGGGGTAGAGAGCAGGAGAATCACTCACATTTGCGTTCCTGGGACGGGAGACATCTTGGGCTGTATGAGGTGTCGGCGTCTCGCTTGGTATGCGTGGACTGTGGGATGGAGGGAGGAGGATTGTCGAAGAGAAAAATCTGGGAATTGGAGAGATACCAGCACAAGATGTCAGTGGTTGATTTTCGGCGGCGTCTGGAATAGTGGACTGGGGGCTCTTGCAGACCGTCGCTTCAAAGGTGACCTCCAATTTCTGGTGTGGGCGGAAAATCAGTGAAAGCCCTAACACTGAATTTTTGAGAGGTTGTGGTCTGTGCACTCGCGTCGAGTACGTACCTCAATACTTCTGTCCAAAACTGGACCTTGGGACTGTGGGGTGAGAAAGGGGTTGTTTAAGCGAGAATACCCCGAAAGGAGGTTTGTCACATGTCATCTGATTGGGCGCTCCTTCCAAAGCTTGGGAGAAGGAGCAGGACAAGGCAAGAGGGGCATCCATCTTCGGAAGGACCTCCCGGATCGTGGGGCTCTCTTACTGGGAGAGAACATGACAACAGTCACAATCTGCTGGAGCTGCTAGACTCACCTCTCCTTGGCTGCGCAACAGGACAAACTCTAGCTTCTTGCATCAGGTCTTGTTCCAGTGATAATGAAATCACTTTAGCCCTTATGGTTACTTATTTTCTTCATGCCTGACCTCACCTTAAATAATCCTCTCTCCTACAACATCTTCCTCCTGTGACCACCAGCAACGTCGACATCATCTCCCCTCTTCCCTTCCACATACCTCCCTCCCCCTTGGCTCCAACACAATTCATTCTCTCGATTCCTTTGATCAGCCACTTATCTCTGACAACATCACCACTAACGACGAATGACATATACTCTATGAATGTAGAGCCTCTATTATATTCTTCCTAACCAAACACAGTAGCCTCATCTCCACAATGGAAGTGAGGAAGGTGAGAATAGCAGCCCGAAGATCTTTTCTGTACCTTGTATTCAGTAATCCACCAGATCTCTAACCTCCCAAATTGTTTAGGTGTTTGACAATGTCCAAGGCATCAATGGCGGCCTCACATCCACTGGAACCCTACGCCTAACCGATTTCCACCTTGTTTTCTGTTCTCCTGCTCCGAATAGCCAGCAATCGAAAGATGGCGCGCCGCCCAAGATTCGCGAGTCCTGGATTACCTATCCTATGCTCTGCTATTGCGCCTTCCGTCCGACCCCTCCGTCGTCTGGCATCCCATCGTCGATCAGGATAAGGTGCCGCGACTTCACCTTTGTCACATTCAACTTCCAGGACGATAAGTTGGCGCGGGCGGCTTTCGACTTTATACGTGCCCGCACATGCAGGCTCGGCACTGTCGAGAAGCTCTACGCTTTTAGCCATATGCCCCTGAAGCCTGAGCTGGGCATTAATGGTTGGGAATTGTACGATGCTAGGGCCGAGTTTCGGCGCCAGGGAATTAGCGAGAAGTCGACGGACAAAGGCTGGAGAATCTCAACGATCAATCAGGATTACAAGTTTTGCGATACCTATCCAGGCTTGCTTGTAGTGCCTTCCTCGATATCGGATCTTACTCTGAAGTATGCCAAGGATTTCCGGTCGAGGAATCGCATCCCAGCGTTGTCCTATCTACACCCCGTAAACGGCTGCACCATTCTTCGAAGCTCCCAGCCCCAAGCTGGCATAACCCGCAAAACCAACCCCCAGGACGAGAAGCTAGTATGCGCCGCATTTTCTTCCAACATGCGAAGCGGTATGATCGGCGACCTTGCGCGACCTAAGCTGGCTAGCGAGCCGAGCAGCCAGTCCGAGACCCCTCCAGACTCCAGCGTCTCCGATGTTAGCTTACAGTCCGACATCCCGGAGATGTATGATTCCAAGGGGAAGCGTCTGATTTACGGTGCACAGCAGAGTAATTTAATTGTCGACGCACGACCTACAATTAACGCCATATTCAACCAAATGCAGGGTTATGGCTCTGAGAACATGGAAGGATACAAGAATACCCAAAAGGTATTTCTTAATATTGATAACATTCATGTCATGAGGTCCTCTCTCAACCAAGTCATCGAGGCAATCAAAGACGCCGACATCTCAGCGCTTCCACCTAACCGAGATCTCCTCGCGAAGAGCGGGTGGATCAAACACATCTTCCATGTCTTGTCAGGAGCTATACAAGTAGCCAAGCAGGTCGGAATCAACCATTCGCACGTTTTGATCCACTGTTCCGATGGATGGGATCGCACAAGCCAACTGAGCGCTCTGGCCCAAATTATGCTTGATCCTTACTACCGCACCCTCGAGGGCTTCATGGTCCTTGTCGAGAAGGACTGGTTGTCGTTCGGTCATATGTTTAGACTTCGTTCTGGACATCTAAACCATGACGACTGGTTTGTGGTGCAGAAGGACGCGCTAGCTGGGTCGACCGTGCAGCCAGGCGAAAGCGATGGCAGAGGCGATGCTCTACAGAACGCCTTGGACGGCGCTCGGCGGCTATTTGGGCAGGCTAAGACCGACCCGCAGCTAGAAGCCATGACCGAGACTGCCCCAGGAGAGGTAGTTGAGAGCGAGATTACAACTAAGAAGATGGTGAGCCCGGTTTTCCACCAGTTCCTGGATTGCGCGTACCAGATGCAGCGACAATTCCCCGATCGATTCGAGTTCAACGAACGGTTCTTGAGACGACTCCTTTACCACCTCTATTCATGTCAGTATGGAACATTCCTCTATAACTCAGAGAAGCAGCGACATGACGCCAAGGTATTCACGAGAACGTCATCCGTTTGGGACTACTTTTTGTCCCGTAGGGTTGAATTTATCAATCCCAACTTCGAACCTGTTATCGACGACCATGTCAAGGGACGTGAGCGTTTGCTATTCCCAGATATCAAAGAAATTCGATGGTGGCATCAAGTCTTCAACCGCAGCGATGAGGAGATGAATGCCTCATTGGATGCCATGGCAGCAATGGAGAGCGGCCGTGAGACAATGATGGCCGGCCTTGAGGTGCCCACCTCCACGATTCAAAGCAATAGCCAGCCGACGACCCCGCTGAGGTCTCTGAGCCCCATGCCGCCCACTACCTTGACCACCAGCCAATCCGCCCTTGACTCCGTCGATCCGGCTAAAGATTCTCTCACCCCCGAAGCGGCCGTGCCTGCACTTCACCGGAGTGCCAGTGCGGATGCTAATTCGGGTGCCTTTTCTACTATTCGCGATGGCCTAGCCGGCCTCAGACTCCTTAATCCATTGGGAAGAGCCGGCGAGGCGTCCAACGCCGCAGCCTCTGTTCATCGAGAGCAAGAAATGCGAGAGATGACGTAGGGGGTCATGTTTCCAAATGAGGCGCCATATGAATATTTCGAGACGGAGAGAACGGTCCGTCCCAGGTCGCGCGACGATGAGTTGAGCTTTAACGATGCCGTAGTTATCGATCCTTCCGAAGTCCCAGATGACGCTTGTCCGGATGAGGATCTATCGTACTGGATTTTGGATCTGAGCACCTGTACCATCATCGGAAGCAGTGATGAGAAAGTGCCCAGCCATAGCGTCGCATGCACGCCCCTGGTTTGACCAGATCCCGAGAGAACGGAGAGATCTTTCGCTCGAGACACGAGTGGAGTTGCGAGAGAGGGATAGCCGGTGTGTTTCTGTTTTCCATTTTGCATAGCGAGCGGTCTGGAAGCGGTCAAGGAGCATACACATACCTTTCTTTTTATTAGCAAACCGGTTATCAGCGTAACCGGTCTTCTTGTTTTCAAGGGGGGAACATAAGGGCACCCTCCTCGATCAAAGGGGGATTTGCGTACACGTCGAAGGAAAGGGGTTGTTTTACAAGGGAAAAGGAGAGCGTTCATGTATTGAGCGAGACCACGGATTACGCATTTTAGAATGCAAGGTCACCCTCGGTTTTTGTCGTTTTCTGCTGCGCAAATAAAATGTATCACTTTTTTCCTCCAAGTTCTTTTTTGCTCTTCTCAGCAAGTGAATCAAGCAGGAAGGAGTCTACGCTCGCAGTTCATCTATCTCGCTTTTTGACTATGTGTATCCATATCCCCCTTGTTTTCGCCTCCCTAATAAACAACGCCCACTCCCCAGATCATTTCCATCACGATCATGGCTCTGATTACAAGAACTCCTCAAGGTTGATTTCGAGAGTGCTGACAGGGTATCTAAATAGGTTCGTTAGTATACGGCAATGTGACCGACCAGACGTGTGGTTGGAAAAGGGGGAGAGAGAAAATGGATGATCTCACCTTAGCTCAAACTTCTCTAGTACCGTAGGGTGAAGAATGCCCAACTCGCCAATTCGCTTCACGACGCCATCGACGCGAAGGAAGACAGCCGCACCGCGACCAGGGAAGAAAGTATCGTCATGGATCTCCTCAATCCAGTATCCATCAGGCTTCCCGGAACCGCTAGCGGCCTGGAGACTGGAGCCAACCTTGCTGGTGAGTCCCTCCTCGTGGGTGACGAAGGCGGTCCTGAGCATGGAGAGGACGCGGTCGAGGAGTCCGTGGACCATTTCGAAACCGCTCGTCTTTCCGTACCACGCGGCGGCGAAGTGACGCTCGTTCCGGGCCTTACGCTCAAGAGCCTCATCCTTGAAGACGACGTCAGCGACCTCGAAGACCTTGAGGGGCACGGCGTGGGCCGTGTTCTCACGGATAGTCTTGAGGATGCCGGGGAGGAGGGAAGTGCGGACGACCTGGTACTCGGCGGATTTGGGGTTCGCGAGGCGGACAGCTGTGTTTCCGTCGTCCTTGCGGTTGAGCCAGGCGAAGTTCTCGTCGTGGCTACAGAGGATGAGGGGCATGACCTCGCTCCAGCCGGCCATGGCGGCTTCGTTGCGGATAATGTCGCTGAGCTTGTTGATCATGAGGGGAGCACCGATGGTGGCGCTCTTGTTGGGGCTGGAGCGTGGGAGGTTGTTATAACCGTAGCAGATGGCGAGATCTTCCATGACATCGCAGGCGTGCAGTACGTCGGTTCGCGTCGGAGGGATAGAGACCTCGATGAGGTTCTTGTCCTTGGGGGAGGGCTTCGAGACGTAGGCCATCTTGTCAAGGAGCTTGCAGAGGCGCTCGGGGGACTCGCCGAGGCCGGTGCAGCCGTTGAGGTAGTCGACCTCGACTTCTGTTGTGCGGTGGTCGAGGTTAGGCGTCACGCGCGTTTGGCCGTTGTGGTCCGATACGATCTTGACGGGGGAGACGGTGAAGCGGTCGCCGCAGTATATGGAGAACATGGTAACCATGGTCTTGATTACAATATCGAGCTTCGTGGCGTCTGTGGCGGTGACTTCTATCAAGACATTCTTGGTATCGAGGGTGATCTTGGAGTGGTCACTGTTGATGATGGGAGGAAGAGAGAGGACGGTTCGGCTGGCGTCGTAGATGACTGGATATACGGGCGAATCGCGAATAATGTGAAGATAGCGACCAAGGTGCTTGTCCTTGTCGTAGAACTCCATCAACTCCCTTCCGTTCATCTTCTTAGTCTGATTAAGGGGCACGAAGTTGATCTCCTCCGGCGCGAGGGCCTCGTAGGTGAAGGGACCTTGTACGGTGTCGAGATCGTGGGTACCGATAGATACCAGAGTCCTCTGCCGCGCCAGGTTCTGGTGAAGTTTATCTTGTAGAGAAATGAACGAGTTGTATCGGTCTTGGTCGAAGGTGACGTTGCGCAGAATAGCAGCAGCGACTAGCGGCCTTATCTTGGTGGTATCTTGAGCGACCGTGATGGTCTCGACCTTCTCATTACTGAATTCCAGCACCCTGAAATCCGGAGGAGGCATGGTGCCACGGAAGATGTTGAGCATGAGGGCAATGCCCTCGAAGCAGAGCATGTCATAGCGGTTGGCGGGGATCTCGATCTTCAGCTCGGGCGGGACCTGCTTGCCGTCCACGATGGGGCGGTCGGAGTCTTCGGTATCTTCGTCGAGCTCGATACCGAATTCGAAGCAGAGGTCCTCGAATTCCTCGGTCGTGAATCTAGACGTGGCGCGGAGAGCGCGTAGAGGTCAGTTTTTTTTTCTGCCGGAGGGCCTTACATGGTGGGATGGAGGGGCTATGGAAGGAGGGGGAATTCTCCAAGACTGCGCCCAACGAACGCACTTTTGACCAAGGGCTTCGTAAAGCTTGTATTTGTCTACCGTGATGGTCGGCATGTTGTCTAGAATTATCGATATCAAGAAGTGTTTTTGCAAAGGTTCTCGAGGTGCAATGGGGCGCTATCGTCAAGAGCGCTGGGTGTTTCCCTCTTGATAATCGACAATCGCTGAGTCAAGGTGCTTTCTGAAGCAACGTTTTGGGACAATAAGTCAGAGTCACAGAATTCTGTACCTGGTCAATGCGCGGCCGGAGCGTCAAGGTGAAACTCGAAACCCTTGCCGGCTGGCAGCCTTGGCAACACCCCGCGGCAGCTCCTGTGGTTCTGATCTGCCCCTCGCCTCATGTTGGGTCTCGCAGTCCTCTCTATAATTCCACGTCTAAAACATAATTAACCCAACGTCAAGCAAATGCGAATCTATTGCCAACCAGGTCTTCGAAGAGAGTGTAAGGGCCAAAGAAATCTCCAAAGGAGGCCCTCAGCTACATCAACCTGTTTGGTATTCAACCCATCGAAACAGCGATCCAGTGTTGGCAGCAGCCTGGGCTCATGAGCTCATTGTGATAGAACAATTAGAGTTTGTAATACTACTGGCCTGAAAACCAATTGGCACTCTTCCAGCACTTCGTATCGACATTTTCTGATGTTAGTGAAGACGCGGCTCCGACTCCAGTGGTATGACGAAGAGCTGGGCCGGTGCTAGTTGTTCAGGTCTCTTGGCCTGTGTTACTACATGTTACTGGGTGTTACTGAGTAAAAGGGCAAGCTTCAATGGCCCGAGGTGCCGTTCTACGCCCTAATCTAATTAGGCATTGGGTGGTGTTTCAATAGGTCAATACAGGCGAGCTCCCATGCGAAGTACAAATTAGGTCCTCACAGGCCATTTCAGGTACTTCGAGAAGTGGCCCGGTACCTCAGCTAGTGAGCGACTTCTTGAGCTCAAAGCTAGCTGACCTTGATTTGCTGATTGGTACAAGCAGAAAGGGTTTGTAGAAATGTAGAGTATTATTGGGTAGCACCTGACGTAACGAATAGTACAAGCACATTGAAATTAATGGTGACATATACATGCAACCGTAGTGAATTGTAGTGTACTGCCTCACTGGGGACACCGACCCGTTGATCAGATTGTTGATTGATCCCAGCCCAGCCCGGTCCAGCCCAGCCCAGGAGGAACAGGAGCAAGACCAAACCAGGCCCTGCATCGTCCTTGGATTATAGTCTAATCAAATCAATCTCTTCACAACAGCAATACATTCCCACTTCCCCTTTCATCCAAAGTGACAACAACCATCCTGACGATCTGCATCCACGCTGCCAGCTTTAAAATTCCACCGCCAGCAACCAAACAGAATAACCCCTCCTTCCTGGACAGCCGACTCAGTTTGGCGGCATTCTATATAGTCATCTCCAATCCTGTTCCTGTTTGCCGCGTGAACCCCACCCCAAAACAAAGGGTTAAGCCCAACTGGTCGTCTGGTCCTGAGCAGGTCGTCGGCACGCGATAGACGGCTAACCCACCAAGCCTTCCCACCTCCCACCTCCTGTCTTCCGCCTACCTACCTTGTACCTGCAAACTCCCCACCGCACCCCGTCGAATCGACCACTAGACGCGCATCGACAAGCCGAGCTCGCCATGGCGGACGCGCAGAATCCCAACGACGAGCTTTACCCCATCGCGGTGTTGATGGATGAGTTGAAGGTACCGCCCGCCAATTGCAATTCTTCGTCTCCTCGCAAGGCAGCCTCACTAGCCTTCTCTGTCTCGCCCCTCACTCTCCCAACCCCGCCTAACCTCGTGTTTCTCTCCCCTCTGCTCGCCGACCTCGAACGATCTGGATGTGAGAGTGCGCGCAGCGAAAGCCCTTGGCTAACAGTTTAATTCTTCAGCATGACGACGTCCTGCTTCGACTCAACGCCATCCACCGCCTCTCCACCATCGCCCTTGCCCTCGGGCCCGAACGTACTCGCGAGGAGCTCATTCCATTCCTTGACGGTTAGTCGCGATTGTCCTCATCGGATATATCCCTCTCTTTTCCACTTCACGCAGCTGCCATTTCTGCTCGGCATGTGTTACGGACTTCTCCTCTAACGCTGCCTTAATTTTCTAGAATCTGTCGACGATGAGGACGAAGTCCTAGTTGCTCTGAGCGAGGAGCTCGGCGGATTTATCGAATACGTTGGAGGACCTCAGTACGGCCATGTCCTTCTGTCTCCCTTAGAAAATCTTGCTTCTATCGAGGAACCCGTCGTCCGAGACAAGGTACGAGTTTCCCCTTTTCCTTGCAACCATGCACATCAATTCCGTTATTCGCTTGTGAATCTCCTCTCTCTGTTCTTAGGTAGCTCATTAAATTTATTTGTAAATCTAGGCCGTCGAGTCACTCAACAAGATCTGCAATGATCTTTCCTCCGAACAGATCGAGGAATACTTCATTCCCCTCACCATCCGACTGTCAAAAGCCGACTGGTTCACCTCAAAGGTGTCCGGTTGCGGCCTTTACGCCGCGCCCTACAAAAAGGTCTCGCCGCCCGTCCAAGAGCAACTTCACCAGCAGTTTGGCCATCTAGTCCACGACGAAACCCCAATGGTCCGCCGTCAAGCCGCGACGAACCTTGCCAAGTTCGTAAAGGAGATGCCTGCGTCTGTGGTTGTCGAAGAAATGATACCCTTGTTCCAACACCTTGCCCAAGACGAGCAGGATAGCGTCCGGCTATTGACTGTTGAAGTCCTCATTTCCATTGCCGAAGTCGTGCCCAAGGAGCAACAGGCGAGCCACGGCGTGTTGCTCACATCTCTACGAAATCTGATAGAAGATAAGGCTTGGCGCGTTCGGTATATGGTTGCAGATAGATTCGAGAAGGTAGGTTTCACGTCCGGCCCCTGCAAACCCCCTCTACGCACTACTCTCGCTCGCAGCCACCTCCGCACATTTTGGCCATGTTGATCTGTAGACTGACTGTATCGAATAGATTGCAAAGGCGGTTGATGAGGAGGTCGTCGCCAGGGATCTCGTCCCGGCCTTTGTGAAGCTGCTCAAGGATAATGAAGCGGAAGTGCGGACAGCTATCGCGGGCCAGATCCCTGGTTTCTGCGCCTTGGTCGATCGTTCGGTTCTCCTCGATACCATTATGGGTAGCATCGAGGGCCTTGTTAGCGATACCTCACAACATGTCAGGGCCGCCCTCGGCACGCAGATCAGCGGTTTGGCGCCGATTCTGGGCAAGGACGCGTAAGGCTACATCATACCTTTACTTCTTATCTAACTAGGCCGTATGCTGATTGTCTCTTTTTAGAACTATTGAGCACCTCCTGCCCATGTTCCTTTCCATGCTCAAGGACGAGTTCCCCGACGTCCGGCTTCACATCATCTCTAAGCTTGAGTTGGTCAACCAAGGTATAAACAGAGCACACAAGAGTTGGCGGGAAACACTGGCGCGCTAACAGTTTTATTTCATAGTCATCGGCATTGACCTCCTCTCGCAATCTCTACTCCCCGCTATTGTGCAATTGGCCGAGGACAAGCAATGGCGAGTGAGACTTGCCATCATCGAATATATTCCCTTGTTGGCAAGCCAACTCGGCGTCAACTTCTTTAACGAGAAGTTGAGCAACCTTTGCATGAGCTGGCTGGGCGATACCGTGTTCTCTATTCGTGAAGCTGCTACTGTCAACCTGAGGAAGCTTACGGAGGTCTTCGGCGTGGACTGGGCAAACGAGGCTATCATTCCCAAGGTGATGGCTATGGGCAATCACCCCAACTACCTCTATCGCATGACGACTTGCTTCGCGATATCGGTAAGTAGAGCAGACCCAGCATGATGCGCGCCACATCTTATGCCTATGGAGGCTTTTTTTTTTCCCTCCCCCTTCTTGTCTTGCTGACGTCAATTTCAATTTCATAGACCCTATCGCCTGTTGTCACCATGGATGTCATTGCTAAGTCCATTCTGCCCATGCTTGACAAACTCGCCGAGGACGAGATTCCCAACATTCGCTTCAATGTCGCCAAGACATACGGCACCATCAGCGACATCCTACGCCGCCTACCCGACCAGGGTACCATCTACAGCTTGGAGAAGGCTGGAGCGAGCTTCCAGCCCTCGCCTCGCGGTCTGGAACTCATTCAACAACGCATTCTGCCCAATCTTGAAAAACTTCAAAAGGATAACGATGTAGATGTCTGCTACTTTGCGGTCACGGCAGCCCAGCGTGCGACGGGCCAGGGAGAGGGGGATCCGATGAATACGTCGCCATAGATGATGAAGACATGTTAATGAAGCAAAATCCCGAATCAAATATTCTCTATTTTTGTTTGTTCCTCCAACCTCTCTCTCTTGGAACTCGGCCCGCTTGGTCCTATATCGCCGTGTTAACATCCCCACCTACTATTCATTTTTATCTTTCTTGTTTTTGTTGCCTTCGTCTAGAACGTTGACTTGGTGCCGGCCATTGAATGCGACTTGATGTTATGTGTCTTGCGATAGCTAGGTTCATTGCTGTTGAGTTGAAGTGTTGCGTAACGGCGTGGGAAAGTTCTAGAAGATATAAGGCGGTTCCGAGCAGCATTATGAGGACGGTTTCGGGGGACGAGAGGAGAGAAAGATCACGACCGAGGATAAAATGGATGAGGAAAGAGAAAAGGGGGGCAAAAAAAGCAAGGTAGCGAGGTGCTGTAGCAAGGAGGGAATGGCGGTTGGGAGTGTCGTTTGAGCTAGGTAGGGTTCGTATAATGCGAAAAGCGAAAGGCTCGAGCTGGGATCCCGGAGCCACCCTCGTGTTGATGGAGCATGGCCGCCTTGTTTCCGTGTCCCTTTTGAGAATCAACTTTTTTTGTTTTATATTTTGGTTTTACTTTTTGTTTTTTATCCTCATTAAGAGGAACTACCCCCTCCTAAAGCACAAGGTACTAATCGTCTGCCCCTTCGCTCCCCCAAACACAAAAGCCCTATACTCAACCCTCCCCCACTCTTCAAACTCGCCCCCCGTCCCCTCGACGAACCAAGCCCTCAGCTCCCCCTCGGTCCAATTACAGCTTGTTACGATAAACAAGCCTCCGTGGGGCTTCACGAGCGCGGCTATCCTATCCTTGTACCCCTCGCAAATACGCCTCCCCTGCTCATCCTTCTCATCCGAGAGACAAATAGCATCGAAAGTACCCTTATCCAAAACGACGTCCCAACCCCCCCTCTGCTCCCCCGATAAAACGTCCTCCAGGTCCCCGCGGAGAAGATCCCACGTCTGGAACCGCGTAGCAGGTCCCCCTCCCTCCGCTCTTTCGGCCTCCTCGATGCGCCGCGCGAGAGAGATGCTGTTGGCGGAGTAATCGATCCCCAGCGCGGGACCGGACCACCCTTCCCTTCGGAGGGCGAAGAGAAGGCTTCCGTTGCCGCAGCCTAGGTCGAGAAGGGAGGTTGTTTCGGGGGAAAGGGCAGGGGAGATTGTGGGGAGGAAGTCGAGGAGTTTTTGCTCGGCGTCGGAGTCGTCGAACCAGACTGTGCCGGTGTCGGAGGGGTTGAGGGCGTGGTTGGTTAGTTCGGTGGAGTAGAGGGCGTCCCAGCTTTGAGTTCGTATGGGAGGAGTTAGTTGGTGAACGATGGCCTGTCTTTTTTTTTTTCTTCTGGGAAGGGGGGGAGGTAGGGATTTTTACTATTCTTTTGTGCCGAGCTTGGAGGGCTCGAGATGAGCGGGGTGAGAGGGCGGGTGGTCGGCCATTTGTAAGGGGAGGATTAGGGTCACTGCTGAGCTTGAAGGGGATTTGATATGGGACAGGGTATTTGGTTTGTCGAGGACGTTGAGTGTTGGAGGAGGGGCGGCTTCCGACTTCTCTCAGCCTCGTTCCTCTGTTCAGCCTTGGAGAATCTTTTGGTGGGATGTTTTGGCGGGGTAATATACTGTATTATTTCCTAGATAACACTGTGGCGTGAAACTCTCCAGCAAACCGTACCTTCCTTCGATGATTATCGTAGCTTTTCATTCCCCCAGAAGCTTCATTTCAAAAAGAGATCAAAGACAATGCCGCCTCAATCCTAATAATAACAATTAAGTTCGTTGGTATCATTCCTCCATCGCTTCTATCTTCCGGTTTGACCCTGGCAAGTCATTCGACTACCGCACAGCACCAGTTTCGACCTCAATCTACCTCAGGATCCGTATGCGCTTCACAAGCAACCCCGCCAATTGACATGTCATTAAGCCCAGCTACCCCTCATCGGGGAAAAAAAAGGTCTCACACAAACTGCCCCCACTCTTATCTAAATGTAGACAGGTGTGAACCCAGAAACCCCTGAGACCACACCAGCAGGAAACACAATACCGACTCCTTGCCCCCTCGATTAAACAAGTATGAAACAACAACTAGTTCAACGGCGGTGTTTCGTTGCATCCACTGCCTTCATTTCATTTTCATACCAAAGAGACGTTATCAGATTGCCTACAGCTGGGGCCAAACAGAAATATCACATCCTCGCCCCCCCTCTCTTTCCACCTATGTCCTCCCAAACCCCGAACTACTCTTTTGTTTCCCAAAGTACTTCATAAAGTCGAGACCTAAAACGGTCTACCGTAGTCAAGGTTATCCAAAGATACCCATCGTCGTAGATGTTATAAGCTGCTTCGAAGTCTTTAACCGAGAGTCCAGACGGGAGCTTTGATAAGCACCTGTCTGCCCCTGACTTCCAAGGCGACGAACCCTGCAAGCCGGACTCTGTTCGCATCCTTGGAGGGTCCTGTAGAGAGAAAGTAAAACAAGTCAGTTGCACGTTGTGGCGTATAGAAGGGATCCCCGTTGGCTGTGCCTGCAGAATACGTACCCGTTCGGCTCCTGTCCGCGTGACGATCCTTCGACGAAGGCTTCTCATTGGGATCACCACTATCGTCATCGTCCTCATCATCCCCAGCTTCTAGACCCTCCAGAGAAGGTAGGCCTTGCTTTTCGACCTCCATGAACGAAGGATCCAAGGGATCTCCAGGCAGCGGGTATCGAATAACCACATCACGGCTCTCCAGGGGAAGGTTCGCGGCGATGCCCACGGCCAACTCCATAATCATCGACGCGCTTCCATCGACGCCGGCCGGCGGCGGATCATTGAGGTACTGCATGAGCGTGCTCAGCAAGGTCGACGTGACCCTCCGGGTGAACTCGGCGCGGTGCTCGGCGCTATCCGACGAGTTGAGCTCCCTCGCGAGTCCATCCAGCGTAGCCATCCTCCAGCTGACGACCTTGGCCGTCAGCGCATCGTACTCCTCTTGGCTGTTCAGCGTGTACGAGTTGCGCCTGATATTCAGCTCGATCTCCTTCAGCTGCCGGCTCAGCACGGGATCCAAGCCGGGATGGAAACACCTGTTGAACACCTCCTCGACGATCCATCGCGTAATGACCGCTCTGCCCACCGCTGTCATTTCCTGCTTGCCAGTCTGGAGGGCATCCTGGCTGACGTAGCGGTCAAGCCAGCGAGGAACCATTTGCCAATCTTTGCGGATGTTGAAGGAAAGGTTGTTGATCGCGCCATTGAGCCTGTTGAATCGTGTCGCGTACTCGCTGTCGTCGAGGGCGGTTCGGGATTGAGATATCCTTTGGTTGGCGATGGCGTTCTGCAAGTGCTCGATCTGGCCCGTCATTTGCTCTATTTGCGCCTTGTTGTCGAAGTACAGCCGCTTGACATTCTTGTACTTGACCACTATGATAAGAATTTTGTTAGTCGAGAGGCGGGATCGATTACACAAGAGTTTACAGTAGCAGGGAAAGCAGCCGAACCGTCATTAGAGGTGACGGAGGGATATCAAAATCATAGGAAAAAAATTTCGCAAAAGGATTGTAGGTCTAGTCAACGTACACAATTCTCTAAACGCCTTTTCGGGGTCTTCACGCTCGGGCTGGGGGCTATTGCGGCCCTGGTCGCCGGTAGAACCGTCGTAAGGCATTCTGTCTTGTCCGCCCGCACCTCTAAACGGCTGGTTTTGCTGTGCTCCCGCAGGTGGGGGAGGCATTACCTGGGCGTGTCTGTACGAGGGCGGAGGAGCACCAGGCTGCCCTCTGTCGACTTCTTGCGAACGGCGTGGTTGCTGCGCTCCGGAAGGGGGCGGTGCCATAGATTGGTCGTGGGCACCGTCTTGCTGGGTTTCGGCTACCAGGGGCGGAAGGGGACTTTCCTGACCAGATTGGGAAGCGAAAGTGGCAGCTGGTGAGATCTGGGAAGACTGGAAGTGAGAAGAGGCCGGGGCTGTTTCGGCAATAGGAGACTCTCGCGACACCTGGGAACAGGTTTCGGGATTATGCTGAAGAGGGTTCGGAAGATGGCCGGTTTGCAGCTGGGGCAAGCCAGGCTGATACTGGACCTGGGGCGAAGAAGGATAAGAAAACTGCTGTTGCGGCTGCTGATGTTGGAGAGGGTCAATATTGCCCTGGACGTGCTGCTGGTTAGGATCCTGCTGCAGCTGGAACTGGGGAATAATGCCGGGGTGCTGGTGCGGCGGCAGCGAATGCTGTTGCTGAGGGTGGTGGTGGTGTTGCTGTGATTGCAACTGGAATTCCTCGCCCGGATAGGGTGAGTGCGCTTCGAGGTCGGGATGGACCTGGCGAATAGTGGTGTTGAGGGGATTTGAAAGAGTCTTGATATGATGAGGGTGAATATCAGGACCACGAGCGACAAACTCCTCGTCGAGTTCCCCGACGCCAGCAAGAGGGGGAGGGGCCTGGCCGTGAAGGGGATGCGGCGAGTGGTGTTGTTGCTGCCAATCGGTTGGCTGGTGCGGGTCTTGGTCGATAGAGAGCTGCGACACCTGCTGCGTCAGAGAGTAGCGGTAATTTGGCGTATTGCTAACCCGTTTCGACGGTCGGCGAGCAAGGCCAGAGGTGTTATCGTAGTGGCCGGCCTGCTGCTGCTGTTGTTGTTGTTGTTGTTGTTGTTGTTGTTGTTGTTGCTGCTGCTGTTGATTATGATTTTCCTTGCTGGAGGAGCTAGTAAAAATCCCCTTGATAATCTTACGCGCCGAGCGTTTCTGTTCGGGCTGCGGCGGCGGAGGTTGCTGCTGCTGGTTGCTTTGAAGGGGTGCAACGGGCGGTTGCTGTGAGAAAGGGTGGGGTAAGGCGGGGTGGTTGTGGTGAGAAGAGTGCTTCTGGTGCCGACCGAGTCCAAGACCATGGGCTGGCAATTGAGCCTGTGCCTGAGCTTGAGCCTGAGCTTGGGCTTGGGCGTGGACGTGGGCAGCAGCAGCAGCGGGGGATGCAATTTGCTGCTGGAGATCGTCCACCGAGTCGGAAAATGTAGAACGATGTTGTAGCGGTGGAGGGTAATGATGGGCTTGGGAAGGGTGTGTGACGGGGGCAGATAAGTCGTGACCACTCAGGCGAGGATCAAAAGGGGCACTTTGACCACCAGCACCAGCCCCAGCCGCACTTTGATTGTGCAGAGTGGGAGGCGGAGGGAGTTTGGTAATTTTATTGGCAGGCTTAAAATGGTGAGGCGGAGGCGGAGGCGGGTGCTGGTCGTCCTCGTCCTGGTCCTGGCCCCGGTGAGGAGATTGAGGGTTTTGCGCGAGTTCTTCCTGCTGCCGGGCGTGCGGCTGCGGCTGCGATGGGGGACGTTGACCCTGTTGCGTTTGTTGCGCCTGTTGCCGTTGCTGTTGCTGGTGCTGCAGATCTAAAGACTCACTCGAACCGAAGCCAGTGGGCGAGGCTGGGTGAGGGGGATTGGCAGTTGCAGGAGCATTTGAGAGACCAGGGGCGACGGCCGACGCAGCAGATGCAGCAGCGCTAGAAGGAGCACCAGCACCAGAGGAGCCAGAGCCAGAGCCGGGGCGGTTGCTTACTTCCTGGAAGTCCTTTGCTGCTCCGCTAGTCGATGCCGACCCCGACGGCTCCAGGATGGGGAGAGCGTGCTGCGACCGGTTGCCGTGCTTTCCTAGACGACCAAAAGGCATGCTTATGCTTGGCGGTTTCTTCGAGCGAGACGGGGATGATTGGACTGGGTAGTCCTTTGGGATGTGCTGGTCCGTCACGCGTGGGTTTGGGATGAAGAAAGGGACATGAAGGGGAGTTTATTCCTGGCACAATGGAGCGACACGACAACGATGGCCTGGTGGGTGGGACTGGGACTGGGACGGACTTGACGGCAACGTCGGGCGAGACGGGCGACGGGGGTCAGACGGGGAAACAAATGCACCTTCTTTCGTCTTTCGCTGGAGTTCGAATTTAGTGAGTGGCCTAAAGGGCAGCCTTGGAGTGTGAAGTAGAAGTTCCCAGCGCCGTCGGCAGAGTAGATGCGAGTAGATGCGCAGCGATCAGTGATCAATCAAATTGAATTTGAATCAATTGATCCATTCGATCAACCAGGCCATCAGCCATCAAATCCGCTCAGCCATCCATGCCATGGATGACTCGTCGCTGACCAGGTGTGCTAATAATAATACTCCGCAAGTTGATACTACCATCAATGTTGCAGAGTGAGCGCCACAGCCCTAGAACGGGATGAAAGCCCCCCCTGAACATCCAGCAATAAGGCCGATTTACGAAGCACTGGGCTGAAGATAAGAACGTGGATAAGCTGGCAGCGGGGGGATGTGGCCCATGCTTCAATGTTCCCTCCTCAAGGCCGAAGAGCAGAAGAGACAAGGACCCATGCTTGTCAGCGGGACAAAATACATCGACGATGTACTTTACCCTCGTCCACATCGAATATCAAGAGCTTCATTGTTGAGGCTTCACGTTGCGATATATCCGGGGTTCATCAATATTTCGTATGCACGGGTCACACCCGCTCCAAGTAAACGACTGCGAAGCTCATGCACTGGTGCTGCGTTTCTGCTACGAGGATGCCTGAGATGGAGATCCTGTTTGCTATTAGTTATTTCCTTGCAAGCGACGGATTCAGCCATCAGCGACCCTCTCTCTCTTGTTACGAGAGACTATTACGAAGGTTTATGGAGGGGCTGCTGAAGCTGCCTGGGACGGACGCAGCAAGCCCAGGGTACTATTGGGCCGGGCTGAAGACACGATTCCCGTTTGGGGAGTCTCTTGGGGGCTGTGCCTGGCAGCGGAAATTGGGTCCAAAAAAAGATCTATTTCCAGCTCTGGAGAGAAACATGCATACAACCTCTCAGACGCTCTCAGTCGTGCTTCCCAATTGCTCGCCTGTCAACTCGCGCCATCGCCGTCTCCTCGAGGGACCCAGCTCCCCCTCTCACTTCTCCCCATGTCGTTATGCTGTTGATTCTGTCGATCCAACCCTCCGCCATCTGAGTGGTACGAGTACTCGTACAAATGAAATCCGAACTGAGAAGAAGGCGGCGACGGGATCTCCTGCCATCGCGAAGTACACGAGGAATTGGCTGAGGGCGCAGTCAATTCATCCATCGTGAGTTCAGGCAAACATCGATGCGGACGGGCACCGAACGGACTTCACGCGAATCTGTTTTCTGCTGCTCGAGGATCTACGGCTTCCACGACGACAAGTGCAAGTGCATGCCATCGTGCCGATTGCTGCTGTTGTAGTACATGGAACCGCTGTTCCTCCCCAACCTTGATTTCAGCAGGGCTATGGCTATTGTTTGACAACGGGCACTTCTTTTCCATGCCTGTCGTCCTGTCCTTCTCCAGAGGGCTAGTTAATACGCCGACTCTCATCGCGAAGTTGTAGGCGTGAACACATAAACAGGGAAAAAAAAAAGGTGGGAAAAATGAGACCCCTCATTCGAACGAACAACCTCCCGGGCCCTTTTCCATAATTTCTAAGTACCTTTTCTCGCCAGTTGTCCTCCACATAAGTACCCCACACAAGGCTGCGCAACTTCGCGCGACTATCACAGCCTCGCCGACCAAGCCCATTTCCACACCACAACATTGAATTAAATAAAATTAAATTAAATTAATACTATCAACTAGCAAAAAAGAGTTCGGCCCCCGTCGGTTGGGCCTACATCTCTTGTCGTTCGGGTCGTATCGCTCGATTCGCTTCGTCGTCGGTTCGCTCGATTCGTTACGCTCGTGTCGATTCGGTACGTCGTCGTCGGATATGTCGAGAGATTGCGAGTCATCGCGGCTTTGTCCTGACTGTAACCAGCGCCCACCGCTCGTCGCCGATGACCAAGAGGCAATTTGCTCCCTATAAGGTATACTCAGTCGCCCGTCAGCATTTTCGACCGCCGGCCCATTTCAGGTGCCCTGGCGGGTGTTGATTCTGAACACCTTTTTCAATTTAGATTCCAGTACAATTTTGATCGTATTTCGGCAATCCTGACCCCCGACCTACGATCCCATCAGTTGCTTGTCAAATCCAGCATACTTGGTAGGGGCCAAGTGTCGATTTATACTTGCGGAACACCGTCGCTAGTCACTAGTCAGCTCGTGTCTAGATGGTGCAGACCTTGGGTTCCCCAATATATTTCTCGCAGATGCTTCAATGACGGCCTCACTCGACCGAGTACATCCGCGCCGCCTCCGTATGAGCGTAGACATCAGCTCGTGATGATGCCAGAGGCTCTGCTGCCAGAGGCATTCGAATCCGCCCGGGAGGTTGTGCCATTATCACCAGAACAGGAAGAATCCGGGTTCGTATCATCCCCAACCGGAGGTGCGTAGGTTGGCGGCCGACTTTCCAGCAAGCACCGAGTTCTCTTGTTCCTAGCTCAAGCATATCCTTCTTCTCAACCAATGCATCTAAACCGGGCCACGTTTCAATCTCAACGGAATTGAACTAGCAGCCTTAGTTTTGTAGAACAAACTCTAGTGGTTATCACAAGCAAGAAATCACTCTGATCACTTTGCTAACTATTTTACCTTGCATTCATCGTAGGCAGGTTCTCTCCGTAGAAACTCAGTAGAGGATAAGATAAGGCTGCCTTGTTTCCCATAGCACCGTTATCAACGAGGAGGCTACTTGAAATACCTCGTCTCCTGCCTTTACCGCCATGAAGTTTGCCGTCCACCAGTGTTGATTTTATTTACTTAGTCAATCCCAAAACCCTACCGACGGCCCAAGAATTGGGCGCGGAAAGCAACCTCCTCTCTAGGCATGTCAAGCTATTTCGCCGATTGTCTCGGCCAGCTCCTGACGGAGCTTATCCTTAGGACAATCATCTATGCCGCCTTCATAGTCATCGAGACGCAAGTCATCCAACGACGGGATTCGATTATACAATGGGGTCGCCAGGCTCAGAACCGGCTCCATATACCAGAATGCATGCGCATCTTCACCGAGAAGGATCCCGGGATGCAGGTAGAAGACATGCGAATGGCCGCTGAAATACTCGGCTTCGCCTGCTTGCTCGCCTTCTTCGGGCAAATAGGAGCACTTGCGATAGGAACAGTTTGGGATCCCTGGGTGTTTGGTCTAGTTTTTGTTGGTCCGGGTTGTCTTCTTGGCCTCCTTTGGCTGATACTAGCTCTTTCGAAACGACGGCTGTCGAGGGTGCCGATGCTCGTGGGGGAAGAGGGTCATTGCGAGTCGGATATTCTTTTGAGCAAGGAAAAAGCCGACCGACAACATGGCCAAAGGATACTAGACAGAATGAGCAACAGGAACTGGACGGGGTAGTCCTCGGAACGTGGACAGACCGCTTGTAGACATCGGCGACGGGGAAGATGGGAATGCACGTCTGTCAAACCTCCATACAGAATGTGGCAGTGGCATCAACTCTCATACCACATCTTCCACTTCGTCGCCTCTACATCTAGGCTTTTGCATAGAGCCGAGACTCAACCCTACGTCGTTCAGCGCAATAGAGCCTCAAGAACAGGGGTGCTGCCAGGCTTCCCAACCAGAAACACCCGCAGAACGGGGCCGTATCCTCACCAAGTCCAACCAATCACTAAGAAATCAATTGATCAAATAGGTGCACAGACTGTAGGCATTGCAGAAGGCATGATACCTTGCCCGGTCATCGAGCCCTTGGGACTTAGCTTGATAGATTTTGCTAGAAAACTGAAGGGATTCCGAGGACTTGAGAGAATGTGCATAACGTCGTCCTTTCAACATTCATTCATTTACATCTAACCCCCCAAGTTGGACAAGCTGCAGCGGCGATATTGCGAAAAGTTCAAATGGGACACTCCTCATCTTAACACAGAATCGAATCTGGAGCTTCAGATGTGTTTTCTGTTATTCGGAGAGTACTTCGAGGCTGAGCGATTCCACCGAGATATTGCTCGTTATACCTGTGTGCCCAAGATGGAATTTTATCGCCCTGCGTAGATTAATTCTGTGAAGTTCAAAGGTTAGAATCGAGAGTCGAGATTCAATAGCCAAAAGTCGAGTCATGGCAGGGGTCAACCCAACTCAGGGAATTTTAGCAGGCGACCTTTTGAGGACTGATTTTCGTGTGTCCCACCTTCTCTTTCATAAGTCGACGTGAAACAGCGAAACATCGGCTCACAAACACCGTGGGCCAGGCCTGGTCATGACCATGATACCCATACCCAGGCGGTAAGGTTTAAGTTGGGCACCAGAAATATCCACCGCACTAAATCCATCGCTGCCAGCATCGTCCACGGCCTTGGGATCGTCAAAGACACAGTGCAAAGCCAGACTTCACTGATCCATCATTCATCCCGAGTTGCGCAAAAACCATGGCAAGCCAACCACAGGCAAAGAAGGCAAATCCCAAATCCAAGCTAAACCAGCGATCGACGACGCCCCTGCACATCTACGTCGCCGGCGGCTCGGACATTCGCGAAACCGGCCTAGGCGGCGAGTTCCGAGACGTAGAACCGGACGTCGTCACCACCGAAGGCGCCGTCTCCGTTCCCGTACGCCAACCCCGTCTTAACCTCGAGGATAATGCCATCGTGCAGATTTCCGTGGGCCAGAAGCACACCGCCGCTCTCACGCAAAAGGGCACCGTGCTGACGTGGGGATCAAATGATTTCTATGCCCTTGGAAGGGATACGCCGTCGGTGGGACACGAAGGGTGGCCCGAAGCCGTGCAGGCCCTTGTGAATTTGAAGCTGGAGATTGTGCAGGTTGCTGCCACCGATCATGCTACTTTTGCACTTACTTCGAATGGACGGGTTTACGGATGGGGGACATTCATGGTAGGCTAACCCCTAATCTCAAATGAGAGCTACACACTCGATTTGGTGTCTGCTTCATCCAAGGGCAATCCCCTCTAACACGATTCATTAGAGCGACGATGGGGTAATAGGATTCCTCAAGGACCTCATCGAACATAAGACCAAAGTCGACCCAGATGAACTCATAGCCAAAATCCCCACTCCCATCCCCGGCCTCAAGGACATCAAAGAACTCGCCACCGGGTCAAACCACATCCTAGCGCTAACACGCACCGGCAACGTCTACGCCTGGGGGTCCGGTCACCACGGCGAACTCGGCCGCCGTCTCGTCTACCGCCACCAGTTCGAATCCCTGACTCCCCGTACCATCTCCTTGCCCAAAAACCAGATCGTTCGCATCTTCGCGGGCTTCTACCACAACTTCGCCGTCGATAAGAAGGGCCGTGTTTGGGCTTGGGGCTTGAACAACTTCTGTCAGGCCGGCGTTCCGGCGGAGGTGGAGGAGGGTGGCACCGATAACCTCCATATTAGCCACCCGGTGCAGGTGCAGACGCTAGAAGGTGTCCAAATTAGACACATGGCTGGGGGCTTGCATCATAGCATTGCTTGCGCCGAGGATGGGAGGATCTTGGTCTGGGGACGGTGCGATGATAGCCAGATGGGTGCTTCGCTGGAGAGAGTGAAAGACAACTTCCTTTTGAAAGACGAGAGAGGTGTCCCACGGATATTGATGATGCCGTTGGAAATACCAGGTACGTATCTCCCATCCTATACCTATTGGCTTGAGTTGGCTCGTCTTTTAACATTCACGTCTCTAGGTCTCAAAGCCCAATTTGTTGCAGCGGGCACAGACAACTGCTTTGCCGTCGACCCGGATGGAAAGATATACGCCTGGGGCTTCTCTGACAACTTCCGTACTGGCCTCGGCACGGAGGACTCGGTCAAGGAGCCGACACTGGTTTCGACCGAAGGCTTGTCCAAACTCTCTGCCAAATTGGTGGTTACCCGAGGGCCGTTTACCTTCTTTGCTGGAGTGCCAGCGGAGGTGGATGTAGCCTCGGAAGATGATTAGACCTCCACGTGTGGGAATATTGAAATTAAACCCGTCGGAGCGTGTTTCTACACTTACCTTTCTTTTGTTTTTGGGAATTGTCTCTCTGATTGATAGCATGAAGTCCTTATACTGCCAGATACCATGGTTTGAGTTTGTTCATGTCAAGAGAATCCATAGCTGGCCAAAGAAGCACGTATCTGATACTCAGCACAATATACCCTTGAGAATAACAAAACATGCAAAGAGCGTAAGATAAGACCTATACAAGTACAAAAAAGGAAATGGGACCTCGAACTTGAAGCTATCTCAACCTTGAGCTCATCCGAGCCTGGCCGCACCTAAGTTTCCGGCGCTTTTCAACGGATCTTGTCCAGCGTCCTCCCTCCCGCCCACCCAAATTAACCACTTCACTCGTTTCACTGCTCAGCCATTGACACTCATTCTTTTGCCGTCTCATGCCCTGCCCCTCCCCGACCTTTCCGTCTACCAGTTCGAGCTCCGCGGCCTGGGGCCCCGCTACAAGAACCTCAATCCGATTCCGCTGCCTCTTCCCTCAGATGGAGTGACCTCAAGATCTATTTTGATTTTGGTAGGTGTCTCCTCTTCTTGTTTTACAGGAGTCTCCTTTTCTTCTTTGACAGGAGTCACCTCTTCTTGTTTGATGGTAATCTCCTTTTCTTGGTCGATAGGAATCTCATGCCTATCGCCAGCTTGTATCGCTATCATGCTATATGTCTCACCAGCACCAGCCCAAACGGGCCTAACTTCTCTCCGTATGTCCCGCATCATGTCTGGGTTGTTCTTGTCGGGACAAAAGATGGGGATGCTTTGAGGAAGGGTACGGTCCCTCGTGCTGCGGCCTCCTAGGCGGTAATTGGCGCCTACCCCGGCACTCTTTATCACGCCAGGCTCACCTATGAAGACGGTATGGTGTGGTCCGCAAGCGACGGCCGTGGCCCAGCGTTCCTGTCCGTTGCCGGTTTCGGGAATTATTATTGGCGTCCAGCCGCCCACCTTGACCGTACCAGCATCCTCCGCGACCGAGATGTTGGGCGCGACGTATTTCTTTCCGATCCAAAGGTGTCTTGCCGAGAACAGGAACCCTAGGCGTCCGTTGTCATCGAGGCCCCAGGTGTAGTGACGGCCGTTTGTGGTCACCACTGCAGAGTGGTAGCGACCTCCGGCGGCTTGTTTGACGTCATTGATGGGGCAAGGGTCGAAAAGGATCTGTTGAGGTGCATCGACGTATCTGCTCTGGATCACGGCGCTTCCTGCCTGTCCATACTTGCTCTCACCCCACTGGTAGATTTCAGGGCACGGTAAACGTCAGCTAGGAGGCTGGAATCTCTCACAATGAAGGCAAGCGAAAGGGCAAACCTCAAAAAAGGGGAGGGTTAGGGAGTTGTGCAGGATAGGCAAGGACTTACCGCCCACAGTCCCTCGTCTGTGCAAAAGGCCATAGAATGGTTATACCCGGCGCCAACCCCCACCACATCGTCGGGAAGCCTCGGTACGATGGCAGGCCGAAACGCCCTATTATTATCCATGGGATCATCTAAGTGCCTCCCGAGTCGGTAGCCGGTTCCATGGCCCCAGCTCCAGACCTTGTGCTTCTTGTCGAGGGCGAGAGCGTGCTTTTCGGCACAGGCAATATCGACAATACCCCTGAGTCGCGGGAGTTTTACTGGTTCGGTCTGGACATCGATGAGCTTGCCGCCACGCATGTAAAAGCCTTTATTCTCGCCGCCTTTCATCTTATCCTGGTCCTAGAGTGGGAATGCAAATCAGTATAGTGAAGGTCGATAACCCTGAGGATTTAGAATAGATTTATATCTCATCGCATTGACAACTGCTTGAGATGGCACGTCGTGGATTCCCCAGGGCTAAGCCCACAGGAAGCCTTGGTGTTTCCTTGAAAAAAAAGAAAAGAAAAACAGTCCGTCAACTTTGAAACTTACAATGAAAGTGCCCCAGGCATATATGTCACCGGTAGTAGTGAGAGCCAAGCTGTAGGATCCTCCAGCAGCAACCTTGCAGAACAGGACACCCTCGGGGATATGTTTGTGGTCGATCTTGCCGGGTTTGTATCTAGTACTGCTACCTGGACCAGCCTCGGTATCTCGACCGAGTTGGCCGTTATTATTCGAGCCCCACGAGTACACATCACCATCGGCCGTCAGGGCCAAGGCGTGCATCGGGCCACACGCGGCGCCAACAATGACTTCCTTGAAGATCTTAATGGGGGTGGGCACCTCACAAACCAGGCACTTATCCCCGTGCCCCAGCTCGCCCTCTTTTCCGGTTCCAAAGGTAAAGAGGGCCATCTCAGTCCGCGGTATGGGGTTCTCAGCTGGCCCTATATCAACGGCGGTTTCAGGTGGTGGCGTTTCTTCTGTCTGGCCTGTCGACGCCGTACCCTTTCCACCGCCTTTTTGCTTCTTGGGAGGGTTTCCAGTATTACTCCCCGGGTCGTTCAGAGGGCGTTTATTCATCCCCTTCGCTTTGTCTTCCGAGGCTTTCTTGTTGGCTGCCGTACCGGTGGCTTCCTTGCCGGTAGCTTTCTTGTTATTGGACTTGGCTGGTGTTCCTTTGCCATCATCCGCCTTCGCGGCCGGTTTAGCCTGTTGGCCTCCCTTTGCCGGCTGGGTGGCCGCGGGAGGGTCAGGAGCCGCTTTAGGTTTCCTGCCTCGCTTTGCTGGTTGGGAGGTTGCGGAAGTGGCAGCAGCCGCTTTAGGTTTCCTGCCTCTGGTTGCTGTTTGGGGGTTTGCGGACGTGGCCGCAGCTGGTTTGGTCTTCCTGCCCCCCTTTGCCGGTTGAGAGGTTGCAGCTGGCGCCGCAGCTGCCCGAGCTTTACCGCCGCTCGTTGCTGGCTTGGGGGTGGTCTTGGGTGTTGGCTGGGGGCTTGGTCGGGGCGCCGCAGTTGCTTTAGCTCTGCCGCCTCTCGTTGCTGGTTTCTTCCCAGTTTGGGATCTAGTCACTCGCTTGGGTACCACGACTTCCTCTTCCTCCTCCTCTTCCTCCTCCCTCTCTTCCTCCTTCTCTTCCTCCTTCTCTTGTTCCTTCTCTTGTTCCTTCTCTTGTTCCTTCTCTCTCCCCTCCTTCACTCCCCCCTCCTTCTCTCCCCCCTCTTCCTCTTCCTCATTCTCTTCCTCTTCCTCTTCCTTTTCCTCTGTCTTTTCCTCCTCTTCCTCCTCGGAGGACTCTTCATCTTTCGTTGCGGCGATGGCCTTTTTCTGGGTCTTTCCGGTATCCTTTTTGGGTGCGGCAAGCGTAATAGTTGCGAAGGGCGCATCATCCATCTCGCTATCGGAGTCGTAAGAAGGTGTGCTTGGTCCCCAGCTAAGAGGACTCCCCTCCGTCTCAGACTCAAGGCCTTCCATGGGAGAATCCCACTGAGGGTCTTGAGAAGGGTCGGAACTCATAGTTGACCAGGAGCTTGAACAAAAGTTGATGGGAAAAAAGAGTGAGTGCCTTGCCCCAAATTTCTGGGAGGTTTAGTGAGAAAGAACCCGAGCTTTTGAACGACTAAGGCACGGCAGCTTGTGGAACTAAAGATTCAGGACCTGGGGACACTGAATGGAATGAACAGAATCGCAAGCCGTTCCCCTTTTCGGGAAATATCTGGATTCTAAATCAAGCGTCGTGAAGGCTTGCAGCTAGTCATCGTGTAGGAAGGCCTGACGTTCTCCGACGTCCATTTCCAGATGTAGAACAATCCAGAAGGTCCAGCCAACTGGCATGAGGCCCCGTTTGGAGGTAGCAAGTTGTCCATACTCTTCCAGCATTTAGCTACTTGGCCTCTGTCGTCTTTGTTGTTGTCATACGGAATTCAAGATGATAAGCTGGATATAGACCTTGCGTACCAACAGCTCGAGGTCAATAGAACCATAATTGGTAAGGAGAAACTCGAATTCCATCCATATGTCATACTCGGATACCAGGTGATATTTACTGCGTCTACATCTTTATGGGCAGCCTCGGAGATGCCTGCAACCGGTCGATTACACCGCGAGCGGTATAGAGAGGCCGGAAAGGGGCTTTCTCGTGAATTCCACTTTACTTTTTCGGTCAACGGTTCCAGGAAATCCCTGGATTGGAATTTGAGCTAACTTTTTTCTGGTATGGAAAATGCGTGTGGAGGTGCGCTTCCACGACAAGCATTCCTGTCCCAACAAAGGGGTGCTGTAAAGCGAGAGTCGGTGTCTGGCTGGTGTACTGTGCTCAAGGAGGGCAATAAGGCGCATTGTCATTAAAACTAAATCTTAGAAAGGTGCCTATGAATACTTCGTAGTAAGATCTCTAGGACGCTGATCAGAGATGCAGATCCTAGCCTTCCATGTTCTGCCAGAGTCTGCATGCTTCAATGTGTCCATAGCTGAAAATAACAACACTAAGAGGAACTCGTAAAGCACGTAAATCAGATTAATCACATCTGTAGCTTAATGCATCGGGGTGCTTCATAGAATCCTAGTCTTGCAGTCTTGCTTAGACGCGGTAGATCTGTTGATATGGATAGCATCGCAATGTGCTCAGGAGCCATATTCCTGAGCCCAGCCGCGACCGAAAACCCGCATCTATTTCTAGAATATATTCGTCCAACTTACTTCTTAGTCCGTGTTGGGAGGCAATTGAGTCCAAGTTCATGCGACCGAAGACGGATCGCCTCGGCCGCTCGGGTGGTGCTTTCATTTATCCCATGCGCCCAAACCGAGAGTGTAAAAATGTGTAAATGCAAACCGCCACGGCAATTCTCCCGTCGAGTTCGGGATTAATTGGTGAATGAGTGGGAGGCTCGCACCGACATGCAGAAGTAAGACTTCGTACTTCCCCGGTGATCTTAATAGGAGTACATGTACGCGAGGAGATGTGACGAAGTCAGCTTGAGAGCTGTCAATAGCAATTCGTAGCGGTCTCGTGAAATCCCACCCGACTCCCATAAGACTCTAAAACTGATTGCTGTTCAACTGGAATTATCCCTATGGGTCATGCAGAGGCCCCATAGAGAAGAAGATCATCACAGTGATCGTCAAGGTAAGATTAGCCGCTTGAACCTAGATCCAGGGGCGATCTTGGGTCAAAGGCATTCCTGGTTCTTGCCCATCTACCATTTTATTAGTTGTCTCATAAGCCGTGCGGCTTAGATTGACTGCCAAATGAAGTATCCAAGGATCTTGATTGCCCACGGCAGGCGGATAGCCGTGTGGAGCGCAGGTATTGAGGCAGCCTCTTTTGCCTTATAAGAAAGACATGATGTCCCTAGCTTCCCCTCTGTCTGCGTAGCGGTGAAGTGCGAAACCTGGCCTCGTGTCTAGAGAGATCGCAATTCGCCTTGTTGCGTCTATAGATTCGGTTGCTCACAGGCACATGTCACACATGTGTTGGAGTCGTCTGTTTGCTTGAATTTTATAAATTAGAGTCGCTTGTCTTCTCTGCTCAGTGAGTCGGTTGAACGTGGGCATATGTCGTCGGTTGCTTTTAGCGACTACTTTTCTTACGTCCTCGTCCGCGGTTACAGTAGTCGCACACCATTCCCTTCTGCACTTCGATCCGCCTCAGTTCAGATTCTACCGAAACGATGGCTTCGGGACGGCGCCTCAAGTATGGAGGACTGCTGGTTACGGCTTGCGGGGTCGCGAACGCCGCCATAGTATCGCGAGCCGCTCATCTTCCTTCCTCCATTCAGATGCTCTCGGTCCCCTCAGAAGATACACCAATCGCTCTCGAAATTGGGCTCAGAATGCAAAACATCGAAAAGCTAGAGGGCATGCTTCGCGATGTCTCCGAACCCAAGAGCGCCAACTACGGCCGGTATCTGAGCATGTCGGAAGTACACGAGGTCTTTCGCCCCTCAGCGGACTCGAGTACCGCTGTCACGGCGTGGTTGGAGAGCAACGGAATCACTGACATCGTGGACAATGGCTTCTATATCAACTTTGCAACTACCATCTCAAAAGCCAATAGCTTGCTCAACTCATCCTTTTCGTACTTTGATGTGCAGGGCACGAAGAAACTGCGAACGCGGGAGTACTCCATCTCGGACGACATGGCCCGCCATATTGAACTCGTTACGCCGACGACGTACTTCGGAACAACCAAGTCACACCGTCCCGTGAAAATGCCCGGTCCGGAGGCATATGGGTCGCGGCTTCTGGCAAGGCAGGAGGGTAACTCAACCGAACGATCGCCGTGCTCTCGACTTCTTACCCCGTCGTGTTTGAAAGAGATGTATGGTTTTGGTGACTACGAAGTTGACCCGGAATCCAGTAGCCGCGTTGCCTTTGCTAGTTTCCTAAACCAGTCGGCAGTTCCAAATGATTTGGATGTCTTTACGGAGACCTTCGACTTGCCCAAGACGAGCTGGGAATCCGTTATTATTAACGACGGTGATGACCACCAGGACCCTCGAGGAAACGTGGGCGAGGCCAATCTAGATTCGCAGATGCTTGCTCTCTCGGGACAGACTCTTCCCATGATACACTACGTCACCGGCGGAAGCCCGTAAGTACTAGCCCCCCCGGTTGGGATGCCAGTCCTTCCGTGTAAGGACAGGAGTGATGAACGTGGAGCAATGGCACTAACGGGACCGTAGGCCGTTCGTCCCGAATCTTAGACTCGATGCCGACTCGAACACGAACGAACCATACCTGGAGTTTTACCAACACTTAATGGACCTGGAGAATCACGAGGTTGCGCAAGTGATATCAATCTCTTACGGCGATGACGAACAGGTGAGGCGACTCTCTACATGACTTCTCGTACAGTACAGGATGGAGGTTGGGATGCTGATCTCTCCTTGAAAACAACCTAGACCGTGCCAAGGGACTATGCTATTCGCACGTGTAATCTGATGGGCATGATGGGCCTTCGTGGAGTGTCAATCATCGAGTCTTCTGGAGATGGAGGTTAGTCCCGCCCCCCAAATTTTTCGTGCTGCCTAGTGTCACGGGTGAAGAAGGGTTAACCAGGCATCCTCTTCTGTTTTTTCAGGTGTTGGAGCACCCTGCCGCGCAAACGACGGATCGGATAAGATAGAGTTTACACCACAGTTTCCACCCAGTTGTCCATACATCACGACCATAGGGGGCACGCAGGGATACGATCCCGAAATCGCGTGGGTTGGTAGTTCGGGGGGCTTCAGCAACTACTTCGAACGTGCCTGGTACCAGGAAGCAGCGATCGAGAGATACTTGGACGAAGTGCTGGATCCAGATCTTAAGGAGGAATACGAGCAGTATGCCAACTACGGCGGGAGGGGGTTCCCGGACATCTCGGCTCATAGCTCTAGTCCCTCGTAAGTCAGCACCCTCTCCTCCCAGAGATAGGTTTCTCAGTGCACTTGCATAGATGAGTTTAACCGCCATATTCCCTCCTAGGTACCACATTATCATCGGAGGCTCTGCCTCATTCTCGGGCGGAACATCGGCGGCTGCACCGCTGATCGCGGGCATGATTGGCTTATTAAACGACGCGCGGTTGAAGGCGGGAAAGCCTACGATGGGGTTCCTTAACCCATGGCTCTATAGCGAGGGATACCAGGCCCTCACTGACGTTGTCGGCGGTTACTCAAAGGGCTGCGACGGATGGGATACCCAATCCGGCCGAGAGGTTCCGGGTGCCGGTGTTATTGGAGAGAGGGGCGCGTACTGGAATGGGACTGAAGGTGGGTTACGCGTAGAATTAGAGAACATCTTTCACCATGGTAAGGAGCTAACAGATTTGATGCTAGGTTGGGATCCTGCTACGGGATTGGGCATGCCGAACTTCAAGCAGTTGCTTAAGTTGGCTATGGGAGATAATGTCGACGTGGGAGATGATGGTCAAGAAGGTTTTGATGAACGGGGCTCAGACAATGATACCAAAGATGGTTCCAAACATATGTCCGCGGAGAAGGGCGTTGAGGGGGGCGTAGTTAGATGAAGGGGAATGAGGTGAGAACTCAGATCAATAGCTCGAGCTTCTGGGAAGGGTGGCAAGAGGCCAGGCGACTAGAGGGATCAATACATGTACATAGATATGTAGATGAGGCGTGAGATACCCGCAACTATGAATGATTATCGATTGATGATGACAAATAGAGCAATTGTAATTTGAAGATCTTGTCATTCATGACCTGTCGAGACCGATCTTTAGCTCCAGGATAATCTACAATGGGTATCTGGATCGAGGCGGGTAAGCCCGGGCAGTTACTGATCGGTGATGATTACAATTGAACTCGGTGATTACTTACGGGAGTGTGCGATCAAGGGTCCTTGGGGACCAAGAGGGACGTGGGGATGGATCACTTTGATGCTGTTGATCCTTCGATCCTTTTCGATTTCGACGGACCAGATTTCCGATTCAGGGCCTCTTATCAAAACTCTATGCAGTGCTGCACATGATCAAGCAGAAACAGGCGGTTGATGCAGTGTTGCCAGGCTCCCCCGCAATACATCAATCAATGATGATATCGATTCTTCCCGAATAACACGCAAGTTTGGTTGCGTCAATTCCTCCAGCTTGCCGGCGATCGGAGACTCTAGCTCGCATCATGTCCCTCTGAACTTGCGTATATTTTTGTCAATTGATGCCATCGGACTTCCGGCAATCGGACTTTTAATATTCGGATGGCACCGGGCAGAGCGGCGAGCACTAAGGGCTTCCCACTAGCAAAGTACCACCTCACTCAGAGTTACTATTCATACTAGACAATCCTTGAGCAACATTGAGCTTTTGGGAGGGTTTGTTAAGCGAGATGCCAGGCTCCTTCTGGCTTCGCATGAAGTACTGAGTATTTAACGAGGTATACGAAGTACGAAGCGCTGCCTGGCTTCTGGTGGGGGCGATGGGAGATCTTACATTGTAAAGTACCACTGTACTTCGACTCCAGCACCGTGCTAAAAACGAACACCATGACTAAATTCTGGAGTACTTCTACGCTGGCATTAGTGCGTAGCCGTCGTTAAGTACCGACTTCCAGCACAGGCCAACTTCGCAACCTTGCGCACCGCAGTGCAGCCTAACTCAGCGTACTTCGTTACCTACAAAAATTCCATCTTGTCAAGGTCAATTGATCTGGGATTTTTTACGTTTTTACCGCGACCGATTATTAATTCGACTGTGCCTGTTGCAATTCTGTTCCGCTCACACCTCGCCGGTCCCTTAAAACTCTGTTTAGACCTTTCCTGCTTCGTCGGTCTCCCTGGATTTTGTATCCAGCTTTCTGACGTAGAGGAGCAAACGTTGAACTTATAGATTGGATCCTAATCTCTGCTGGCTTGCTCTCAATTGCTGTGTAGAGTTGATAGACAACGCGCCTGGGCATCTTCAGTCCTAAACCCCGCTATTCCCGACGGTACAGCTCGCTGTGGGCCTCTTTTTTTGTAAGAGCTTTGACGCCGACTGACCTCAGGTCTTCGTCAATTGTTCGCTCAATCCACGCGGTCCCCTCCATCGCCACCACTGTCCGAAATTCCCACATCCTTCGACCTCCCGGCTCCGAAAAAGAACGACATGCTTTGCCTAAACCGATCATTCTCCCGGTAGTAGGAATTTTCGATCCCATTTACGATGCGAGTCTTCGAAGATCAGGATCAATTCCGCTTCGAGACCGGGTCGTTTACCGGCTTCCGGCCTCTACGCCAGCTCGGCAGCGGCTATCTCACCTCACCGGGCCATTTCAAGCAGCCGCTGTGTGGCAACGAAGAAGGATGGGGCCCCTTGAGCCCTCACCGATATGACTTTACTCCTTGCTTTATCGACGTGTGGGTTGCCACGGTGGCCGCCTTCGGTATTGTTATCGGCGGCATTGCCGTCGCGTGGCTAGTAAAGCGCTGCACGCCTGTCGATATCTCAAAGAACTGGCATTTCTGGTTGAAACAGGTAGGTTAATGGTGCCGCCTCCGTTACTGTGTGCGAAAGCATATGGGACCAATTGATGTGTTCCTGGACACGTCCTTTTCCCCTGACGTGGTATGCTAATACGGCGCTTCTTGTTCATGATAGTCCCTTCTGGCTGCCGTTATCGCCGATTTCGTCTTGCAACTTGCCATTCAGATTATTAGCTACCCAGGCATCTGGTTCGGCGATTTTCGAGTCTGGACTACCGCCGCGACCATCGCGTCCCTCGCTGTCATCTTCTCCATCCAATGGCTCGAGTATACGCGCCTCCGCAATCCCAACGGTGTCGCTCTTTTCTACTGGCTGTTCCTCCTGATCGCCCTCGCTGTCAAGCTCCGATCTCTCATCTCCCAACAACTCTACCATTCCGACCTGTGGTATTTCACCATCTACGCTGTCGGATGCGGCCTTTCCGTTGCCGCCTTCCTGGCCGAGTGGATTTGGCCCAAGTCGGATAGCCGATACGAGGCCCTTGAAGAGTTCGAGGAGGAATGTCCTCTCGAGACGGCCACCGTCTTCTCTCGTTTGACCTTCTCGTGGATGACGCCCTTGATGCGCTACGGCTATAAACAGTACCTCACCGAAGACGACCTGTGGGCTCTTGCGCACACCGACAACACCAAGACCACCGGTGACGCTTTCGATAACGCGTGGCAACATGAGTTGGAGCATCGGAAGGAGAAACCCTCCCTCTGGTGGGCAATGGGTCGCGCCTATGGTGGCCCTTACGCGCTCGCTGCTATCTTTAAAATTGGCAACGACATCTCTCAATACGTGCAGCCTCAGCTTTTGAGGATCCTGATCGGCTGGGTTGATTCGTATCGACCCGGCAAGGAGCCCGAGCCCGTCATCAAGGGAGCTGCTATTGCCCTGGGCATGTTCTCCTGTGCCGTTTTCCAGACTGCCATGGTCGTAAGTCATTTTTCTCTCTCTTCAAATATGCCAGCTTTTCTAGCTATGTCGAATATATGCTGACTCTGGCCACGCAGCACCAATACTTCCAAACTACCTTCGTTACGGGCATGCGGATCAAGGGTGGTTTAGCCTCGGCCATCTACCGAAAGTCCCTCCGACTCTCCAACGAAGGTCGGTCACACAAGACGACCGGTGACATCGTCAACTATATGGCCGTCGATGCTCAGCGCCTGCAGGATCTCGCCCAGTTCCTACACCAGATCTGGTCCTCGCCCTTCCAAATCATCCTCTGCATGGTTTCTCTCTACCACCTGGTTGGATGGTCTATGCTTGCAGGTATCGGAGTCATGATTATCATGATGCCATTAAACGGCTGGATTTCCAAGGTGATGAGGAACCTGCAGAAGAAGCAGATGAAGAACAAGGATGCCAGGAGCAGGCTAGTGACCGAAATCATCAATAACATGAAGAGCATCAAGCTCTATGCCTGGAGCGCCGCCTTCATGAACAAACTTAACTATGTTCGAAACGAGCAAGAATTGAAGAACCTGCGAAAAATCGGAGCAACCCAAGCCCTTGCCAACTTTGCCTGGAACACTGCCCCCTTCTTCGTGTCTTGCTCGACATTTGCTGTCTTTGTCCTCACTCAGGATAAACCCCTTAGCACGGACATTGTCTTCCCTGCTCTAGGTACGTAGGAGCACCGAGTACCCCCTCCTTCAAACTCTTTATGTTGCTATTCAGTCTTAAACTAATTGTCGATTCTAGCCCTCTTCAACCTTCTTACATTCCCTCTTGCTGTCTTGCCTATGGTCATTACCGCCATGGTTGAAGCCGGCGTTGCTGTCCGCCGGTTGTCTGATTTCCTTGCCGCTGAGGAGATTCAGCCCGATGCCGTTGCCATCAAGCCTTCTCCTGACGCTATCGGCGAGGAGTCCGTTGTCATCCGCAACGCGACTTTCTCATGGAACCGCCATGAGTCGAAGACTGCTCTCAGGGACATCGACTTTACCGCCTATAAGGGCCAGCTGTCCTGCATCGTCGGCAGGGTCGGCGCCGGCAAGTCTTCCTTCCTTCAGTCTATTTTGGGAGATCTATGGAAGGTCGAGGGTAAAGTCGAAGTCCACGGTACCGTTGCGTATGTCGCTCAGCAGCCCTGGATTCTGAACGCTACGGTTAAGGAGAACATCATTTTCGGGTACCGTTATGATTCCCACTTCTACGAGCTCACTGTCAAGGCCTGTGCGCTCTTAGACGACTTTGTCCAGCTCCCCGATGGCGACGAAACCGTGGTCGGTGAGCGCGGTATTTCTCTCAGCGGTGGTCAGAAGGCTCGCGTTGCTTTGGCCCGTGCCGTCTATGCTCGAGCTGATATCTATCTCCTCGACGATGTACTTTCTGCCGTGGATTCGCACGTCGGCCGACACATCATCGAGAACGTTCTCGGTCCTCGGGGTCTCCTCCACACTAGGACCCGAGTCCTTGCCACTAACTCTATCTCGGTTCTCCAGGAGGCCAGCCACATCACTCTCCTCAAGGATGGCGAGATTGCTGAAAAGGGTGCTTTCCAGGAGCTCATGCTTCAGAAGGGTCTAGTTGCCGAGCTCGTTAAGACCGCGAAGCAGGATCAGAATGGTGGTTCTTCGTCCGACTCATCCTCGAGCATCTCCAGCAGCGAATCCGCCACTGTCCACGAGGCCGACCTCAAGGACTCCGATAGGGATGCTTTGGATGAAGCTGGGGAGCCCATTCCCGAAGCGCAGCATGGCGGTGAAACCGACGGCAAGAAGAGGGCTATGAGCATCGCAACTCTCCGTCGACCAAGCGCCGCGAGCTTTAGAGGAGCTCGGGGCAAGCTTGCGGACGAGGAGGGCAATAATAGTAGGACCAAGCAGAAAAAGGAGCACTCTGAGCAGGGCTCGGTCAAATGGGATGGTGAGTCGCAATTATCTACTGCTTTCCACACCCGTTAGGTCGGCCAGCAGCGTACATACTGACCTCTAGGGCAATAGTCTATACTCAGTACGCAAAGGACAACAACTTGGGCGCTGTTGCTATCTATTTGTTCGCCCTAGTCGCCGCCCAGTGCGTTAGCGTTGGTGAGTTTCTCTCTTTCTCTCCATCTCTCTTTGTACCTCTACGAGAAACATATATCTAACTCTTTCTTTAGCTGGTTCCGTTTGGCTGAAGCGGTGGTCCGAGACAAACCAGGAGTCCGGGTATAACCCAGATATCGGCAAATTCATCAGCATCTACTTTGCCTTTGGTGTGGGGGCTGCTGCTCTCACCGTCGGGCAAACCCTCATACTCTGGATCTTCTGCTCTATCGAGGTAAGGCATGCTAAGTGCTTATTGCTTTAAGCTAATCATACTAATGTCTTTTTCTCCCCTCCCTAGGCCTCGCGAAAACTGCACGAGAGAATGGCGAACGCTATTTTCCGATCGCCAATGTCGTTCTTCGATACAACTCCGACTGGCCGTATCCTTAATCGATTCTCAAGGTGAGTGCATTTCCTTGAACCCAACCACCTACCCACCGCTGCACGACGATGCGTAGCATGTCCACGCCTTGTGGATGGTGTGACCGAGCACGAGGGGGTGGACGTTTGTTTCTTCGTTGATAGCGAATGTGGTACTAACATGGTTGTACTAGTGACATCTACCGTGTCGATGAGGTCCTTGCCCGGACCTTCAACATGCTATTCGTCAATCTCTCCAGGTCCGGCTTCACGTTGATGATCATCTCAGTTTCCACGCCCATTTTCACCGCCCTTATTATCCCGCTCGGCTTCATGTATAGGTGGATCCAAAAGTACTACCTGCGCACGTCGCGAGAGCTCAAGAGACTGGATAGCGTCAGCCGAAGCCCCATCTACGCTCACTTCCAAGAAACGCTGGGTGGTGTTTCGACTATTAGGGCGTACCGCCAGCAGGACCGATTCGGGCTCGAGAACGAGTGGCGCATCGACCAAAACCTCCAGGCCTACTTCCCATCTATCAGCGCGAATCGATGGCTTGCCATCCGTCTCGAGTTCATCGGTGCCATTGTCATTCTCTCGGCTGCCGGATTTTCTATCATGTATGTGGCGGGCGGTAGTGGTCTAACGTCGGGTATGGTCGGTCTGGCCATGTCATATGCCCTACAGATTGTCACATCGCTCAATTGGATTGTCCGCCAAACGGTCGAGGTAGAGACGAACATCGTGTCGGTCGAGCGTGTGCTCGAGTATACCCACCTGCCCAGCGAGGCACCTGAAATCATCCCCGGCAACCGCCCACCGGTTTCATGGCCGTCCAAGGGTGCCGTCTCGTTCAACAACTACAGCACCCGTTATCGAGAAGGTCTCGACCTCGTGCTCAAGAACATCAACCTCGACATCAAGTCGCACGAGAAGATCGGTGTGGTGGGGCGTACGGGGGCGGGCAAGTCGTCGCTCACCCTCGCACTGTTCCGGATCATCGAGCCGGTGTCGGGTAACATCACCATCGACGGCATCAACACGTCGACGATTGGGCTGCTGGATCTGAGGCGACGCCTTGCTATCATTCCGCAGGACGCAGCTCTTTTCGAGGGCACGGTTCGCGACAATCTTGATCCTGGACATGTGCACGATGACACTGAGTTGTGGAGCGTATTAGGTATGTTTTTGTTTTCTCTTTTGCGCATTGTGACACATATTGTACGCGTGCTTGAGGTCATACCTAGTCACGGCATGGGATCATGTCGGAGGCCGTATTCTTGGAAGGCTACAGTCGAATTGGTTTGGATGTACTCGAGCTTCACAAGGAAGAGAAATTGAACGTGGGGGGGTTGGTTGGTAACTCGATCACGAAGCTAACCGTGGATCTTTTTTTAACAGAGCACGCGCGTCTAAAGGACCATGTCTCATCCATGGATGGTGGCCTCGAAGCCAAGATCAACGAAGGAGGTAAGCAACACAGTTTTCTTTTCTAGTATTTTTACTCTACTTCTTAGTCTGGACCCCTTTCATTCCGGATTCTCGCCGCTTTCCTTCGGCCTTGGAGGGCATATGATGGTCCTGATGGACCTTTTTGCTCCTGAGTTTGCGTCGTACGGCCGTCAGCTGTGGCGAGGCGCATATCAGAGATTTCTGGTTTCATTTGGCCTTGCAGCGCGAAGTGCTGCACAGGGAGGCGAATGTTTGGGAACTTTCACCCACACACGTCAGCAGAGAGGGCACGGGCGCCACCTCCATACTGGCGTTTCCGTGGTCTCTAAGGGGGAAAGAAAAAGTAAAAGGAATCGTGCCATTTTTTTGGGCCTAAGAACTTATCATCGCCGACTTGGACAGCAGGGTCCAGGGGTGCGGGCACATCCGCGAAGTCGCCTGATGTATACTGGAGGGACAAAAAGAAAAAGGAAAGAAAAAAATCAGAAGCAGACAGCAGCTAACCCAAGACTGCGAAAAACAGGATCCAACCTCTCACAGGGCCAGCGCCAGCTCGTATCCCTGGCGCGAGCTATGCTCACGCCGTCCAACATCCTGGTTCTCGACGAGGCCACGGCTGCCGTCGACGTGCAGACGGACGTGCTGCTGCAGGCGACGCTGCGGAGTCCGCTGTTCGCGAACCGGACCATCATCACGGTGGCGCACCGCATCAACACGATCATGGACAGCGACCGGGTGGTGGTGCTGGACAAGGGCGAGGTGGTGGAGTTCGATACGCCGCAGGAGCTGATTAAGAAGCAGGGTGTGTTTTATGGGTTGGTTAAGCAGGCTGGCATTGAGACGGATTGAAGATAGAGTGCTTTTCTTTTTTAGCCTTGCGCTTTCGTTTGCCTTGCCTTAGTCCCTTTCAGGTGAGAGCGGGGGAACGTTAGCGGGAGGGAGAACGTTAGCTGAAACACGGCGGAGGAGGACCTAGCAGTTGGGGGTTTGGTAGAGCTGCGAGAGGCCCTCCCGCTAGCACTCTGCAGGATGGGTTTCGAGTGGGAAGAAGCATGGACGATAGAAAGAGGGATCCATGATATGATGCCACGCCGGTTCTCGGGCGGGTGTGAAAAGATGGAACAAGAAAGGACGACAGGGAAAACCCCGAGGATGTTTTGGGTACCAACCACCAGCATTGCATTGGACGGAAGAGGGCATTGGCTATGCACCGGGGTTGAGTCCAAAAAGAAGAAAAACAAAAGAACGTGGGGGAAATAAAGGAAGCGTCCATTCTGTAGCTAGTATACATTTTTTTTCTCATCATCTCTATACATGCAAAAGAACAAGAGCTGATATGCCCTAGTCCATTCGTCTCACCGTTCCCGCAGCACTGGTGATGGATGAGAGCCAAGGACCCGGCCTATGCAGTCTGCAGTCTTTTTGCCTGCCGGAGAGGCTGTGCTGATCTTCCTTTTGAAGCTAACTAACACGATTACGAGCCGTGATCGTCTTCGTTCTGTTGTTTTCCGCACCAACACCGGAGGGCAAGAAGACGAAGCGGGAAGAAAAGAAAAGAAGAGAAGAAGGAAGAGAAGAAGAAAAAGAGAAAGAAGAGGAGAATAGCATCGTTCCTCCTGCCGGCATATGGCAGAACTTGGCGCATTAACTCACCTACACAAAGTTCCATCTCGTCCAGGTGCAGGTCGACGTTGGTCTTACTTCCCGCAGGAGCTCGTTCCTTACCACTCTTCCCAATCATCCTCTCGGTCCCGAGATTTTGCGTCGTTTTACGCCCGGTGAGAAGGAGGAGCGGAGACCCGGGCCCATCCGGCGCAGTGGGTGATTTTTTTTTTCCCTTTTTGTCGTTTCTGTTTGTCTCACCTCTTTCTCTCCCTCCCTCGGTCAACATCCGGGGAATCATCTCGGCGACGGAGAGTATTTCTCCAAGAGGAGCGGGTTCCGCGTTTGCATATGTAGATCCCTCCCTCCTCTGCCTTCATAGGCATTATAGAATCATAAACATACATGCATACACATGTACGGGGCGGATTTTTTTTCTGAGGAGTCCTATTTAAAAGAAGCAACTTGCTGGGAAAAGCAAGTGTGTTATCCACTTGGAAGTGCGCGCAGGAGAAGTGTGTGCCGTGGATGTCTACGCTGTATCGGAACCGTAGACTGGGGCATGAATTTTTCTCCCTCTTAATTTTATCAGATTCTTTATGCATTTGATCTATTCCTTTTGTTTTTCTTCAGTTCTCTTTTTATTATTATTATTATTATTATTTTTATTTTTTTATTTTTTTTAGTCTTTTCTTCGCCGGCTGTGGTGTCTTGCCAGTCGAATATTTGGGGAGTCGTTTGCTACGCATCCGCTCTGTTGATCCCTCCTCAACCAGGACTCAAGACGCAGAAAATAAGCAGCTGGGTTTTTCTGGAAAGGAATACAGATCAAGGTGGCTAGACCTTCTCCATCCGTGAAACGTCTTGCACCTCGTACACAGGTGGAGAGGAAGAGGGCCGACGCGACGATTCCATCCAAAGTCGCGCGGATGGATACTCGTCGTGGTCATATACCCGTGCCCACCCACCATGCGGGTTATGCTTCACCCTGCAGATAGAAAAAAAAAAAAAAAAAGGAAAAGAAAAAAATAATGGTATTATTTAGATGTGCGCCGGAGATATGTACAATATCAATGTTCCGGCTACGGATCCCCGAAGTTTGTGGAGGTTTGCGGAGGTTTGCTCTGCGATTGTTGCTCTCCTCCTTCCCTCACTCTTCCTTTTCCTATATTTTTGGCGCCTCTTTTATTTATCTATTTATCTATTTATTTGGTTATTTATTTCACTTTCTTTTGGTAATTAAATCCTCCGCAAATAGGATTGTAGACGGCGGATAAGAAACAACCACAGCTGCTTTTTGTCGTGGGAACCGGCCCGAGGAGGGAGGGGACGATGAGGAGGATGAAGACGGTGAGGGGGGAGGGAGGAGATGATGGGAGGAGATGAGGGGAGAAGTGTGAGAGGAGATGCTAGACCGAAACCAGGCCAGCTGAAGTGTGGGACTAGTGCACAAACGATGTCTCGAGAATTGCTTTTTCTATTCCCTTTGAGAGATTCGCGCCTGGTTGATTCCACGTTTCCTAGTTTGGAGGAGGTGTGGTTAGAGAGGCACTGGTTTTGGTTTGGACGCTAAGGTTAAAAAAAACATGTCATGGTCAGGGATTTGATACTTGGGTTTCTTTGCTTTTCATCAACACTTGGGGACTTCCATTGGATCTGCGTGTCTTGTTTTGGTGGAAGGGGTCTACTAGGAAGCACACGAAAGAAAAGGGCCGTGGGTGGCATCTCTATACAAGTGGAGTTGATCACAGACTCACCAACCTGTGCTCCAACCACGAAACTGGTTTATGATGGAAATGCAGTGCTGGGCGGGATTAAGAGAGAGAGAGAGTGTGTGTGAGGGCATCACCAGCCTGGCTCTCACTCCTCTTTCGTACGCTGCCCTCCAAAAACCCCAAGGGCAAGGCCTTTCCCGATGAGGACGTCTTAACGAGACGTAGTGTACTCGTACACCACAAAGCTGGCATTGAGAATGTCAACAACAGATGTCATTTCTCATTGACGCCTCTCTGTGAGGCTGGGACGCTGGGACGCTGGGACGCTGGGACGCTGCAGTGGGTGGGGTTAGACTAGTGGTCTGTGAATGTATGGAGTCTGAAGCAGTGCACACTAGTGTCGTGTGCGTCGTGCGGTATGATGTTATTCGTAGCACGCACCACTCGCCTCCGCCCAATTCGACGCAAGTCTCATTTGCATCTCTTGCGGACGTCAGCTAGCGGCCAGTCGGGAGAGAGCCGGCGCGTACCGAGCAAGGAGGCCCACAGACCACATCCCTGTACGGAGTAGGCTTATCACTCGACATTTGACCCAGGCCGTGCCTTTGCGTCGGGAATGTTGGTGATGCCGATCGTGGAGAGTTGTGAGGGTGGAGACGATACGATATTATACGGCGGCAGTTAGCAGGAGTGTCGAGTATTGTGAAGTAGATAACTTTTCCTCTGGGTATGCTTGGCACCAAGCGATCGAATGCCGGTCCATCTCCGAATTCAGTGCTGCTTGCGAGAATGGATGGACCTGCTCAACAGTGGCTGGCGTATCTTCTTCGCCTGTTCGAAACCATACCTGTGCCTGTCATTTAGTTTCACCATTCAGAAGAAAGAACGCCACCAGCGCCATTCACTAGGCCTGGCCTAAATGGCCTTTAGAAGGTCCGAGTGTGCTCGCTCGTTCCCTCCCATACGACACGCCTGTCGCATACCTCCTACACCCTTGTGCCCCCCCTTCCGTGGTGTGTTCAGCCCGGCGGGATATCGAACGTTGACCGGCGCCTTGCGTTTCTAATCCCAGCAGACCACCCATAGACAACACCATTCTAGCAAGAGGGAAAAAGCAAAGAAGTAGAAATGAAAGCAGGATTTTTGTCGATTAGGTCCTCCCGAAATGCGAGATCTCGTTGCTGTTCCATGGCCTCGGGAAACCGGTGTGCTGGGATGCCCTCACCGGCCGGCCGCACCCTCTGGAGATCGCTGAGAACTAGCTAGCATCAACCTCATGCCACTGGTCTACTGGTAGTATAGAACCGCATTGCCACTCTCGGGTATGCCCTGTTCTCGTACCCCCGTCTGCCTTTCTAGCATCACAAGCCGCAGAGGGGTCTACTAATGCCGAATATCTGGATCTGTGTCGAGATGGTGCACCGGGTCCTGCCGCTGCTCGACTTCGCTTTTCGAGTTCACAAACTAATTCCCGGATGCTGCTGCCACGGATTGTATACCACCATCCGGTTCCTGGTCGAAATTCCCTTCCCCGATGCCCCCTTCTGTGTAGTGAAAGCAGCCGATTGCTCCTTGTGCTACATCTTAGCTAGGCGATTCGCTCTTGGCAAGATCGATTGTTCCAGCACCACCACTAAATCCCTCGCCCGGCTAGCAAGATCTGATCTAGTATCACCATCCATATCCGTAGTAGAGCCACGCTACAAAGAGTGCTCTCCGCTTCGCCCTATTCTTAAGGGGAGGGTGGAAAAGAAATCCCTGCTCTACTTCGTAATCTATCTCTCCCCCCCGCACGCCACGAAGAAGCCTATTTGCTTCGCTATTGGGCAGCATAGAGAGGCGTAGCAACCAGGCCGTAGGCCTGGTGCTATGGCGCTTTTCATTTCGAGTAAGACCGTTCTGTTACCTCTGTTGATAGACTCGCTGCTCTGCTCCACACATCCACACATGAGGTTTGGGTCATCAGTCATATGATGGATGCAACCCACAACACCTCATCGCATATTATCGCAGCCAAGAACCGAAAAAGCAAGTTCAGTTCTAGGCGATGACGATGTAAAACGCTCCGTCGCTTTGCGGAAGACAGCCGTAATGAGACGGTTGGCTTGAAACTGACCGATTCTAAGATTGCAGGATCCTCTCGCGGCAATTTGATAACAGACTTCCACGAAGAAGAACCGGGTATCGTCTTGTAAAAGGGGAAAAGCCAAATAGCTGTTGCGGGTTTAGCGATTTGAAGATGGCCCACGTGTAAGTACATAGAGGCTCCTGGCCCTGGGCCACTTAGACGCCAGGCGGTTCCTGGCACTAACTAAACCCATTGACAAGTTTAAAACCAGGGAGCTTCTGGGGTTCCCCCACATGGTGGTGTGTTGTGTCACTTGGTGTCAGGAGTATTCGTCTTATGTGGCATGCCTGGGATGTTTACTTTGTAGCTATCACTTTACCATCGATACTGGAGGGCGGCGAATATCGGGCGGGTTTCAGTGTTTGGGGAATGAGCTAAGCAGACACTAGTCAATGGGTGTTCTT